GGAGAACTACCCCTCTCTCTTTGGGTCTGTGATTTTCATGACAATAAAATCATATTTAGCAGTCACCAGATAAAGACTGGAGTAATGTATAGTCTGCAAGCGTGTCCCGTAATTTTCTGGTCTTTTTCTTCTTCCTTTTCCAGACCGCCAAGAGGAAGCGAGGACTCATCAAGAACAAGCTTGTCTTGAGGAAAGGCAAGAAACTACAAAAAAAATAAAGACGACCACGAACTCTTCTAGGAAAACAAACAAATGCGAAGAAACCTCGAACAACCAATGAAGAAGAACACAGGGGGGCGTTTATCTGGCACTTGGCACTCAAGCGCTTCCCATGAGGGCGCCCCCTGTGTGGTGAGGAAGCTGAAGTGTCATATCTGGCTAGATCCAGACCTGTTGTCTGTTTTATCCTGAGGATCTTTGTCTTGCTCATTTTTTTCCCAGATTTTTTTTTTTTCTTTTTCCTAATTTTTTTCTTTTTTTTTTTTACTTGAATGTGTGGCAAGGCATAGGGCTGCTCTTCTCGTTTCTACGTCGATTAATTTTTTGTGGTACGTTAATTAACTGCTTATCAGTGCGGGGGGGACTGTGAAGGGGAGGGAAGCGAAAGAAGACTAGGAACATTTGCACCAAAGACCCATCGACCTTGCTCCATGGCACATGTGAACTCATCACTGAGCGAGAGGAGGAAGTGGAAGTGAAAACTGAGGACTTGTTCCTGACACGTGTACAGAGGAGAGTATGCGGCATGGAGGAACGTCACCGTTTAGGCACAGCTCATCTGTAATATTGACCTTTTTATTATTATCATCACCTCCTTTTTGTCTGCCTGGCTCCCGACCTTCTTTTTCCACAAATTCCTGAAAAAATTGGCCTAATATGTAAATATGTGATGTAAAGAAAATGTCTAAAAGGATGATAATATATTGGATTATTGTGGTGATTTTTAAATATGCAGTTTTTTCTCTTAATTTCTTTGTGATTTTTTTGTATGACAGCAAATAGAACAGTGAATGCAATAATTCTTGTATAGAGGGGCTTTTGAGATTTTGTTGGAAGAATGAATGTGAATTTTTATGATGTCCCCTTCCACCCCTGGCCCTCTTTTTCATAAATTGCATAGATTGTACATTTCTGCTGCTAGGGTTTTAAAGACAGAAGCAGGCAACTGTGTGTAAAAAGTAGTGATAATTAATTAGGCCTCCCATCCTGCAGGGGGAGCTCTCTAGTTCAGTGTGCAAAGCCTAGTGCCTCATCACTGGTCATCATGCCTCATTGATTTGTGATTTTGTTTATTTTTTTCTTTTTTTGAGTTTAGTTTTGTTAAATTCATCTTGTAAGTGCTTCTGCCAGACTGAGGCTTTGGAAACTGGACTTTTTTTTGTTTTTTCTTTTTTAAAGATGTCTGAAAATAGACTGGTGAACTGTGAAGAAGCGAAGTCGGTGCGCAGGCGCTGAAACAACACTGAAACAAGGACAGTCAGCAGAGATCAGGAGAGGTTGGGAAAGATGAAATCATCATCGTCTGTGACTTTGGTGGACTGTTGACCAACTAAAGGTACTTTAGAGCTGTGTCCTTATCCCAAAAGTCAAATACTCCAAAAAAATCAAACTGGGAATGTTAAAGATTTAAATTTTTAACACCCAGCTTACTATAAAAAAATAAAAATTGCTAGTTAACGTTTACTTAAATGCGAATTGTTCATATTTTCAAAAAAAATTCTGCGGCTGAAATGAATCTGGCCAACATTAGGTTTCCAAATAAAGGTTGTTATCAAGCACAGCCACGTGGTTGTTATAGTTTTAATCATACAAAACATTATAACTCTCTAATAATTGATTACAGCCCAGGGTAACTTCTGAAAATGTCTCTTTTTAATTGGACAAAAACATTAAAATAAAACCAAAGTTGTAAAATCTTAAAACATGAGAATCTTTACCGAGCAGATTGGTCTCGTTATTACCTGAAAAAAACAAATTGGCTAAGGAGACGGTGTCAGTTACATTGGCATTAACAAGCAAAATCTAAACTAGCAAATATCAATTTTATAAAGGAATGCAGTGTAAACATTTGGAAAAGCTGTTCTGACACCTGGCGTTTCCCTTCCTGGTCCCATCAGTAAATTCAGCAGTTGCACTTTAATGTGAAACAAACCCAGAAGTGTTCCGATTGCAGTGAAGATACAATTAATCCAAAGGTTGAAATTAATAGCTGCTTGATTCATCACTTTTCAGCAGATGAATAGTGATGAATAGTGACAGTCTGATGTTTCTGGCCATCTTCATCCATATCAGCGTCATTTAGAGAGAGCTGGTGCTTGGTGCAGCAACATACCAGAGCTCGACAACATCTCCGGTTTAGTTCAGATATTTTCATCCAGCTCTTTGAATCAGGGGCTCCTCTCCTCTTCTTCCTAAACCTCTGTATCTTTGCAAGTAGTGTCCATTATTTGACAAATTTGCACATGAGGCGTTGTGTGTCGTTGCTGCTCCAAGTCGACCCATGACTCATTTTGATCGGGGTTAACTGGCCTGGATCGGTTGGCGTCTTATTGCCGGCTTCCCACTATGCAAAGAAGAACCAGGGAAAGGAGGCCGTAACATTAAAACATTAAAAAGAAAACTTTGCAGTGATTTGTAAGATCAGAACAATAATGGAAATTGATGCGTCTGCTCCGTTACAGGACAGTGTTTGAAAGTCTTCTTAAACTTCACATTTAGGACACAGCTCTACTGTGCGTCGGTGAATCTCTGACTTGACGATCTTTGACACAGCACTGTACTTCATGTGTCTGAACTTTCAGATGCCATGTCCATACACTAAAGGAGTTTGTGTGTGTGTGTGCGTGTGTGTGTGTGTGTGTGCACGCTTCAGCAACGTTTTTGTACCTAATAAGAGACACATCAAAAGACTAACACATCAAACAGCTGTACCTGCTTCGTCACGTCTCACAGAAAGTGACTTTTTGAATTAGTATCACCTGTTCATTTGGTTTTCTTTACACTTTTTTCTGTCTGTATCGCTTTGTTCTTTATCTCTGATCTTCTTGAAACCGAGTGTCGTCATTTGTAGGTGTCAGACTTTGGACACAATGCCACATCGTTATTGTACTTTGCCTAAACCATGTCGCGTCCTTTGATTTCTCATCTGTCAGCTGAGGAGAGTTCAGACTAAGCCTTAATGTGGTGTACAGTTTGTTGCCCTCTTTATGTTTTTTTCTTCATTTAAGGTTCATTATAAGCAGCAGAGCGGTTTCTTCCTCTACTAAGTTTACCGATGTCTTAAGTAGCTCAGTGCCGTCTGTCCCTGACAGTTTTCTGTTTGATGAAATCCCTCACTCCCTCACCTTCAGAAGTTTACATTTTTACTTTGTTGTTCTGTTCGGCCATCTTTAAATATACACTTTAATGAAAAAGATCTGTCTATGTTGTTGTTATTGAAGTCTTATGTCAATAATCCCATATTTTAAACAGACAGCACACTCAGAATATTCATGTTGTAAACCTGAGTGAAAAGCCGACCACTTGATGGCAGCATTAAGCTTCAAATGAAGACTTTTGAGGCAGAAATACTCAACATGAGAAGATGGTAAGTGATGGATTTCAGAAGTAAGATAGTAAATTAGTGGGTGCCAGGTGGTGTCTAATGATTTACCTGATTGTTTCCCTTAGGAGTTCAGTGCCGTGAAGCATTAAAACTGAATGACTTCTTGGAGAGGAGAAGCATCTTCTTAACCTTGTTGCTGAACGGTGGAAATGTCTTTATCAGGTGAGGATTGTTGATCACTTCACCACAGAAATAAAGGGTGTTTAATGGGGGGAAAAGAAAACACAGATAGATAGATGTTGGTAAACATTCCTATTTGTACTCCCTGTAAGTTTTAGATTATCCAAAAATCTAGAGAATCAGATCTAAATGAACCCACATTGTTGAGCATCAGGGGTTTGAAAAACCTCTTGGCTACCTACTGTCCAAATTTTCATCAGCTCATCCTTTTTAGAGAGAGAGATTTTTTATCTGATCAAATACATGCAGTACAATTTTAGACAAGAAATTCAACTTTTTTTTTTTGGAGATTGAAAAGGAGACGGTAGAAGCTATTTAGCTTGTTTGTTCCTACTCTCATTCCTTCCTATTCATTGACCTTTTACATGTCTCTTGAATTTTAGGATTTCTGAAGTCGCCAAAAAGTAACCAAAGCTCCAAAGTCTAACATTAATAAGTAACAAATCATTAACACTGAGACAAAGACCTTATATATACATATATATACACCCATACCTATATTCACGTATACACACACAAATATGCACTTCATATAAGTATTTTTCAAACATACTCTGCCTTAATTGACATTTAAAACTGTGCTGTTGTTTTGCTTTGTTTCATTTCATCAGGCAATCTGTTCCACAGCTTCACTCCCATAACAGAAGGACCCGTGTTTTTTAGTGTTGTACCAACGCCAGGTTGTCTTAAATTTCATTCCCTTCTTAATACATACCTGCTCTCTCAAACATTTTCTATATCTTGCTAGGGAGTAGATTGTTGCTTGCTTTGTACATTGACCGTGCAGTTCTAAATTCAACTAGATAAGAACCAAACCTGTTGTGCAACTCTGTTACGACGACAGAATCCCAAGGAGAGACAAAAAACTGCAGGGCTTACAAACTGGATTTTGAAACGCTGCTACATGCAAATCTTTGCTAATCATGACTGTAAGTGCACTGATGCCTTGTCACATAAATCAAGTTCCCGTTTTTAATGATTTTTGCCCTCGAACAGCCTGAGTGCACCGCTGATTGTGGATATCTGAAGTGTTAATTTTAACCAGACTGAACTGGATTACAGAGATCCTACTGAATATTCAGTCTGGCTTTGAAAGAACAAAGTAATTTTATACAGCACCATCTCTGACCTATATAACAAGGTATTCATGACGTCTTTATCTGTGAGGTGATCTAAGAGTGAAGAGTTATGATTCTGCACCTGAATGAAGGAGATTGAAGACACTACAAGATGACATGTTTCATTAGAAAAAGTAGAAGGTCTTTATTTATGGACAGTCCCTCTTTTATCACAATCACTATCTACTTCAGTGGATCCTTTCTGGATATAAAAGAAAAACAAAAAGCTTAACTCTCATGTAAGGCGAAGTGTTGTAAAACAGCAATGAACAGTGGTTTTTCTGCAGATCACAAGTTGTCTGGATGGTCGAAAGTCTATTCTGTATGCTGTCATGTAAATGCATCTGCTACAAAGAGGCATCTGGTAATTTCACCTGGCTTTAAAGACTTCATGAATGATCAAGTGAGGAATTAACTGAAAAAAGAGGCAAAAAATAATAGGCAAACATATTTCTTTTTTCATTTAAAAGCAGAATGAACTGGATACATGTTAAAAACCTGTTCAGTTAGAAATTGGCCATGTCGTTGTGAGGTATGGACTGTAAAAACATGAGCTTTAAACACATCTCCTTCTGGATCTGACTGCTTTGTGATTGTTGTCCCGGTGGATTATCTGCTCATCTTCACAGAGGAAACTCCCAGTGTTCTCTGAGCCCCCCCTCATCCGTATCCCTCACCACAGCAACCTAACAAGAAGTATGAACTCCAGGAGGTATGTGATGTCTAATTACACAATTACCATCTTCAGGGCATGAGAACAAAAACAAAGAAAAAAAAGATTAAAGGACTGAGAAATTAGCCACCAACACAACGCTTTTGTTGTGTTTCGTTTTGGACTAATAAGAGGCTAATGGCTGGAATAGTAGGATAAGAGAGGTAGTAATGGAGATGTGAGAGGTCTGACTCTAACTCAGGGGCTGAAAATTATGCATGTGGAGAGACCTTCAAAATAAAAGGGCAAAACTGCATGTGTAGTAACAGGAAAAGAGGGAAAAATAGCATCTTATTATGTGTAAATGTGCCAAAATACATTCATAGTGCAGACAAAACAATCACTTTCTAGTAGCTCACTGTAATGTACTGTATAATAATACATACTAACACATAATATAATGTTTACCTGTTGATTTATATTCAATGTTCTTTTTTTTTTGGTAAGCTCTGAGAGACCACCCTGATCGGTAAAAGCTATAGATATAAAATATTTAATTTATTTCAATGGGAAAAGTGCTTCGAGAAACAACTCATGTACAGCTACAGTATTATGTGTAACAGGAAACTTCGAGTCATTCTAACGCTGCATTTTCAACTAAAAGCTCTGGGAACGGAAAAAAACAACATCTGTGGCAAACTTTATCACTGTGCGTGTGCAAAAAAGGCCTTGGCAAGGTGAAAAATAGAAATACTCTACTTTGAATAGTAATACTATTTACTCGTTTTATAAAAATCTACTTCTGTTCCAAGAGCTCCAACCACTTGGTCCTGGTTAAAACAGTGGAGATCCCTTTGGCACCTTGCGAGTTTTACTGTTTTTGTGTCACTCTGAGAGTCTTCATAGTTCAGGTTTAACGGTCGACAGAGCTCGCCGCTCTCTTTGCTTGACTTCCTGACCTCAGCGTGGAGAGACGGGCTCGGTTATTGTCCGTGAGATCAGGGAGTTGTTTTGTTGTCAGGTCGACTTCCACAGCGGGTTGTTGTAGGTCCAACCGTCTCCCTGAACATGTGAGGGGAAAAAATGGTACATTAAAATAAATTCACAGTTTTTTTTGTCTGCTTTTGTGTTATCACCCTCCAGAAATCAGATAGGCAACCCTTTAGATGTCAGTAATCGCAAACATTTTTACGTTTTGCAGTATATCTTATAGATGCACGGCCACAGGAGTTTAAATCCACATCTGTAGAGTGAACAACAAGCTGACAGCACTTTTTTGACAATGCAGGAGGGGAATCTGTCCTCACATTTGACAAAAAAAGCATAGACTGCATTGTTGAAGACCATACCCACTGAGCATGTTTTGGTCTGAAAGAGGTCTAATAGACGTCTAAATGTAGACTAGAGGACTGGTCTAAAATCAGGCAACCACAGGTCTAAAAATGAAAGTCTAAATCTGAGCTTTATCTATACTACACTGTATTTTGCTTAACGGCCATCATAATTATTTTGGTTAAGTACTTGAAGATCAGTTATGTAACTCACAGTTGCTTTTTGAAATAAAAAGTTATCGGTTAAAGTACAACGTCTAAATTCCGTCTAAAAATTTACAGAATCCAGACGGTTGAAATTAGGTCTATAAAAAACTAGACGTCTAATAGCATCTATTGCTCAGTGGGTAGTCTGTAGACTTTTCTGGAAACAGCAAAATCCAAAGCTGAGGACATCGTTCAGAGTCCAGAACATCCTTTGAACACTCAGTTTGAGCTCCTACCTTCTGGCAGGAGATCAAGACTCCAACAGGCTGAGGAATTTTTTTATAACACAATCCATCAGGCAACTAAATCTTGAAAAATAATCCATCATGAAATATTATATTCTAACTACTGGTCGCTGCTGACGGGACAATTTATACTTTTGGTCGTTCTTGAATATATTCTTTGAAATATCGCGCTGTGATTGGAGTACCTGAGTTTTACCAGGCTGCAAAGCAAATTTCCCCGAGGGGACAATAAAGTGAAAATCTTTAAAGTGAAACAAAGATAAAATGTTTTTGTGCTTCTTTTGGTTTCACTTTTGGTGACACTTTGAGGGCTATGAGTAGTCGATGAATCAGCCCACTCAGACTTCTACAATATACCTGACAGTTTGTTGTAGAAGTGAGTAATTCACATTATAATATAATAAACAGCATGATGCCACAACACATGGCATGACATGACATAATAAAATACAAATATGATACCAGGAAAAGTAAAATATCAGAATCTGGCACCATAGCAGCATTAGCATATGTAACTAAAAATTGAGTTATCCTTCAAATCTTCTTGGAAACCTGCAGCAGAGCGACTACAATCAAATACGCCTCCACTTTACCTCTTTAGTGAAGTATTTAGGAGTCCAGGGTTTATTATCAGCTGCTCTCTGCCTCTCCTCTCCTCTCTGTCTCTCCTCTAGTTTGTGTTTGTGCTCCGTGGCTTCGTCCATGTTCCCTTCCTTCAAAGACTTGGTGACATGTTGCCACAACCGCCTGCAAGGACACAAATGATTAATTACAGCGAAATTCATGAGCAATTAATGGCACTTCTCATCCTTCCTCACCTCGACTCTGTCCTGCTCTGTTTGTCCACAGGTCGGAGCTTCTTCCTGGTGACGGGGAGTTTTGCCGTGTCGATCACTTTGGTTTCCCCGCTGCTGTAGGTGAACTCGAGCGTGCCGTTCCACTCGCCCTGAGCTTTGCACACGATGGTGTTTGTGGGGTTGTGTTTGACCTCTGCCGTCACCCTGAGTGTGCCAAACGGAGAGAGATTGCTGTAAAACCTGATCTGATAGACGCTGTCTATCTGCGAGGAATAACCACTTCTGAACACTCACCTGTGTACCTTCCCTCCGTAAAACGGTTTGGTGTGAAAGGTGACGGTGGCGGAGTAGCCGCTCTTCACGCAGTTGATGGACACTTTACCTCCCAGCTCCACCCAGGGCACGGTGAGGATGGAGCGGGCGTAGGCACAGGGCAGCGTGAAGACGTACTCTTCATCGTGTTCGAGGAGGCAGAGGACCCCTGGGAAGAGAAGGAAAAGGAGGAGAGAAAAAAATCACGATGGGATCAAAAATATGCAGAAAAGGCCTTCTTTTTCCGCTGCAAAAATTGTTAAATATTTAGGTAATTAACTGCAAAAGCATACACTTTGCACTAAACCAGCCGATATCTCCTTAAAGCAGTGTATACTGTGTGTCCTCGGTGAAAGGAGGCCCAGAGGAGAAGGCATTAAAACATAAAACTCCTGATTGACTCTGAGCACAAGTTAGTCATCGTCTGAGTCACCCTGTTGGTGCATAAGTGGATTTATTTTGTTGGAAACAACGTCTTTCTGTTTCCCCTCTGCACCTCACGTGTCTGCATCTAGGGTCGAAGGAGTGAAATTACCCGGTGTAGACGCCTTTATTAAACTTTGGGAATGTTCCAGTTTTCTCTCATATTAAGATTTTATCCTCAAAGAAAAATGATAGATCAGCCGGTGAGCCTTAACTGAGATCCAGTGTATTTCTTCCCAGTCAAAGTAAATCCTCAAGTATGAAATAGTCACTAAGTTCTGCATCTATAATTCTACTTGAATAAAGTTTCAGAAGTTTTGTAATTAAAATGTACTTAAAGTATCAGCAGTCAAAGTATGAATTATGCAGAAGGGCTCCTCTAAGAATGTTAAGTTATGAAGTTTGACAGTCATGAAGATATTTTAAAAAGAAATACAGTCTCAGCACTTCAGTTTATTTAAGGACTTTTTATGCAGCTGATTGAAGACGAGGTTTAAATCCTCACTGTTATGACCCACGTTACTTAACCTGGTTTTACCTTCTTCACAGAGAGGTGAAAGTCTGCACAAACTGGGTCTGGAAGCCTCTCTGCCTCACCCCTAATGTGGAAAAACTGAAACTTTATCACCTAATGTTTTACATCCGATCATAAGTTTGCGTATAACTCCATCATGTGTTCCTTTCCTGACATGCTGACTCACTCTCAGTCCGTCAAGTCTCGGCCGTTTATAACACAGAATCAACCGCAATCAGGAAAGCAGCCACCGCTGGAAAAACAGTTATCGATATTTTCGCCATGTTCTCTGACGGTAGCACAAGCCTCTGCACCACATGATGGAGTGCTGCGTCACGACCTGCTGACAGGTATTCACGGGAACACTGAGCGGCGGTGTCTGAACGAATCAGGTCAGGTATCCAGATTCAGTCTATCGGCCTCAAGGACTTCCTGTTTCTCTCTGCTCAGGGTGACTCATTAAAGTCAGTCTGCAGAGCGCAGCGTGATGGCGCTGACAGCCAGGACTGGATTATTGATTGCCATGGGAGAGGTCTCAGGCTCTTTCATAAAGGACAGGACACTGTGACCACCGGCCAAACAAACAGCATTTCTTTTTTTAAATGATTCTTTGACATTTTGTCTTCGACTGCAAGTGAAAACCTGGCACGGCTCCATCTTTTAGGACCTTCTGTGAACCACTGCAGGGACCATTAAACTGCAGGTATTGCTAAAAAACGCCTCAGACTTAAGAGGCATGAGTTTTGGGTTGTTTAGTAATTGCAAAGCTGTGTAAAAAGTAACACCCACAAGAAGAGCCAAAGTTAATTATCATGGGGAAAGCAGCCAAAATGAAGTGTCTCAGGCAGAGGATGACAGTATCAGATCTGACAGTCTTATCAGTCTTATCACATCTTATCAGCATTTCCTAAAGGGATATTCCGGCGTAAAATTAAGTTAGGGTCAAACACACCGTAACACAGAGTTAGACACCCCCTCAAGAGATGAATGTTGCTGACCGCTTGCTTCTCTAGTTATAACAACTTTAGTAATGACCGCAGGATAGCAATACTGAGAGCCACGCGCTCAACCAAAGAGCCACTCTATAGTTTTGGTTGAGGTTTGTTTATGGCTACTCAGACGGCTGTGTATTGCTATCGTGCGGTCGTTACTAAAGTTGGTATAACTAGAGAAACAAGCAGTCAGCAACATTTATCTCTCGAGGGGGTGTCTAACTCGGTGTTACAGTGTGTTTGACCCTAACTTAATTTTACGCCAGAATATCCCTTTCAGTCGTTGTTCAGCTCACCTTCTCCCACCATGGACACTCCTATGGACATCCCCATGAACTTGCTCTTGGTCCACACATGGGCATTGACACACATCCCCCTTTCCCGACACTCGCAGTAAAACCCCGACACAGGTGGATGATGGGAAACCTGCTCGGCCACGAACCGAACCCTATAGCACCCTCCTGGTGAATCGTCCCCCTGCTGTGCGTTATTGGACCCCCTTGTCGGCTCCCATGAGGACCCTTGATTGGATCTGACCAAAGGTTTGACTTTATCCCAAGGCACCTCCCAGGAACAATGAAAGGTCTCTCCCAGCACCGGATTGTACGGCTTCTTGGCCACGGCTCCTTTCCGCCCCTCGTGGAAAGCGGTCAGGTAGTACTCGACAAAACGGACGATTCTGTCCTCGGCGGTGGCTCCTGCTGTGATTGACAGGAACATGTCAGGGTGGGCCATGAAGTTGGCGTACATCTCCAGAAGTGATCGCTTTTCCAAAATGAAGGTAGGTAGAACCACCTGGGAAAGATTATGAGAATGAAAGGATGAGATGATATTTTCATAATTTGTGCACATGGATTACAAATGTTTGTGCGGGCAGATTTGCTTATGGCTTTCCTTATCTGTCACCCTAGGCTCCTGGGGATCACATTTCTAAAAGTGAGTTTTACTGCTGTACCCGTGTGAGATCCATGCCCAGTTTGAGCTGGGAGAGCAGGTGGAGGATGATGCTCCGTTGGTCATCCAGGACACCCAGGTCCTCCTCTTCATTATCCTCCGTATCTGTCACCTCTTCAGAGGGGCTGATGTCTTCTAGCCCTCCATGGTGCTGCGGAAACAGGTAACATAAAAATTTGTAACACCTTCCACCTTGCCGATCTCATCTTTTGAGTATGTAGATGATTTACTTAATTTAATTTGTATTGTTGTGAGTTCAAAAATACTGCCCAATCACACTGTGCAGTGAGATGCCAACTGTTTGTTTACATACTGACGGTAGAGTATCACAGCATTGCAAGAGGGACGATTAGCCAGAGCTAAAGCTAGAATAGTGGCTGCGCTAAAGCTTAGACACGACATTTAAATGACACCTTAATAATCCTGTTGTGAACTAACAAAGATGGTGACACCTAAAGGTTTTATGGACTGAACAAACATCCTTCCACGCAACTGCTAAGAAACACTCTTTGTTGAATCAGGAGTCTGACAATGTTCTCTGTCTAACATATTCTCAGACACGGTGATGTTTGCTGCGACGCTTTCTGTCACATGGAAAGAAAGAGAAAAGAGCGAGAGGACGATGCTGTGCTCTTCACCGATACAGCCCCGTCAATACCTACCATAAGGTCACCCGACTCATATAGAGGACAGACAGACCTGTGAGAGCGTCGACCTATAAATACCAAAGGACACAACCTCATTTACTTTTCACAGCCCACTCCTCTACTCTATTAAGCTCTGTCACCCCACCTTTCAATCCCCCTTTCAGCATTTCCTATGGAGTACTACATGCCCCTGAGCAGCCTGAGTGCCTCTTGACAATGGGCCTCCACAATGCCTTTCTGGATGTACGATACACAGCACTAGTTGTTGCTGCATGTTGCATTTGTGTTCCAGCATTCAACTGGAAATGGATCTAGTCGATGTTAAAGAAGGAGCTGATGCCTTTGATATCTCCTGGAGTTACACGGAGCAGGAAGGAAGAAGAAGGGAAGAAAAAAAAACATAACAAGAAAGAGGCTGATGTATAATGCAGAAAGTGCTTTCAAGCCTGTAGGCAACAACAACTCTCTGTGCACCCCCCTTCACTGTACCGCTCTTTGTCCTACGTTTAAACCCCTGTTCAGTGCGAGCATGTCCTTTTTTCCAACTAAGCATCTCATTTTGGGAAAGCTGCTGCTTCAAGAAAAGCAAAATAATAACGAATAATGAGGGAAATGTACCCGCATGGAGTGTTTCTGCAAAAAGGGAGCAGAAATGTAGAGAGAGAGAAAAGCATTTCCAAGACTAGAGTGCCCGCCCGAATGTTACCTGAATATTTCATCCCATGCATGTATGCAAAAAGCTCCACATATCCACCCTGAGCACACTCGCTCCCTGCCGAAACATTTCACACTTAATACACGGACACACTCACAAAAGCACACACGAGGGAGCATGCCTGAACACACAAGAGCAGGAGTCCCTGGAGCTGGTTTGTTCTCCAAGCACGGTGATAAATATAGCCGTGGAGAGGAGGTACTGAAGGGGGAGGACTGCTATGATTCCAGAGGTTCTGACTAATTAAAGAGGCTCTTGACAGAAACAGGAAATTACTGATGAAGAGGTCGGAGCAACTCTGCAGTAAAACCCTCCTGTGGATCTATTTGGCCGACCTGGCGGTTGTCATTACATATAAAAAGACAGTTTAATGCGGTTGAACTTGTCGAGAAGTGATTAATAATGGGTCCCAAGTTATGAGTTAATGCAGAGGAGGTGTGTGGGAGTGACATGTATGAGGGGGTGAAAGTGTCCAGAATGAAGAGGTTTAAGTCTGAGCTGCTGATTTAATCATCGCAACACAAACCTTTAATTTTAGCACCAAAGACTCACATGATATCTCTGTAATATTCATCATTAGACATTCTATTTCAATCTTATTATGTTAATAACTGTGCTCACATAAAAGTGACTAATTTAATGCTGGTCACATGTTTTTGCCTGAAGCAGCCACCTGCCTCTAACCCAGACTGTTATTCCAGTTTCTGCCATAATGTTGTAATGCTCTGTAACCTTGATGTAAAAAAAACATGACAGATAATATCTTGATCTTTAAAAAAAATGGAGATGAAATTGTATATCGGTGTACTGTGTGTGGTTAAACAAGCATATAATTAGGGAAATGTGTAATCAGCCCAAGCATGTGGGAGTTAATCTGCAAGGGACCTGAAGGCATGTGGTTTATCCCCAGACTTCATAATCCTCAGTTTATTGCTGTTGAGCTTCTGATTGTTCAGTTACTTTTAGACTGGTTAGTTCTAGATTTCTGATCCAACAACTTGAAAATAAGTAAATAACCTTTAAAACTGGAGTCGGGGACACAGCAGGCTGGTTAACGTAGGGGTCAGGTTTGGGTTGGGGGCTTAAATTCAATCAGGATTGGATTGGGGTCACTTGGATGGAGTAGTTTTGAGGTCACTTTGTCAAGGGATTTCCTGCCATAACAACATAAGTGCGTGGTAGAACAGTTATAAAGAGTGTAAGTGTAAAAGAAATAGCTTGTGGTGAAATAACCATGAAAAATGATGACATTTAGCAGATACTATAGACCTCATGTACAGTGATAGACCTTCAGCTCTACACAAAGTTGCCATGTATATTTAAAGCCTTACAGGTAAGTTTAAAGAGGTTACAACATACAAGTTGCCCTTAAATTACTCTAAAAATTCAGGTTGGTTAGCATTTTCTTATAAGCTGTGGTTTTGATTATTTTACCGTTTTATTATCAATTTTACTCAGCGGTGACAAAACTACTCCAATCTCCCAAAAGCAGTATCTTAAAGCTGCTGTGAGGAACTTTTAGTTTGCATTAGCAATGGCGCCCCCTGTGGCCAAATAATACCTGTTATTTATTGTCCTGTACATGTGAAAATTGAGTTTTCAGACAAAAAGACAAATATTTGCTGTATGAAAAATATAAAAAGCTACTTTTTCATCTTGTCTGACACCTGCCCTCTCCTCGCACTTTTGACCAGAGTTGTTGCTGATGGTCTTTTTTTGCTTTTGAAGGTCATATGGCGGCGTCGGTGTAAGTTTCAATCTGTTTCTGACCAGGTAGAAACTCCTAACAGTGCCTTTAAAAAAAATTGTCCTTCATATGTGACAGAGCTTTTAGTCACTTGGGAGCAGCAGAAAAAAAGTTAAGAGGATTGACATATCTTTGCAGTTGAACTTTTTGTGGCACAGCTTTACTCACTTTGCACTGGATGTTGTAGAAGTGTTTGTTTGATTAAGAAGTGTTTTATTTTTGGACGGACTTGCAACAACTGAGCGGATCATCAACATCAGATTATAAAGGATTAGACATGTAAGAGGACCGAAAGTGAAGGGAGTGTTTTCACATATTGTGAGGTAATCTAAATGTTCCTGCCAAACATCTTTCTATGCAGATGACTTATTGTTCGAGTGAAATAAAAACAACATTACATAAAGTTCCTGTTTCCTGGAGTTTGTCTCAAAACTTTGCCCTCCGCCCTGATGAAGGGTTACTTCATTCAGCTGACTTCAAGTGAATTCACTGTGTGATGGATTAGAAGTGGGGAGGGACCAATTTTGGAAAGGCCTGAGCTGTCTCCTGTTTGGGCACTAAACAGGAAGTGCATAGGAAGTGGATTTCTAGAGATTTTCCCCTGGGAACTGGTGCCTGCTGTAGCTAAAGTTAAAAAAAATTGACTAAAGGAGAAAATTTATATATTATTATGACTGATGATAATCTAAAACAAATTTAGATTCGTAAATCTATGATTGACTTTTGTTATTGAGTGATGGAGAAATCACAGAAGCCCTAAAAATATGAGTAAAACAGAAGAATATGTTGTAAATTTAGGATAACACAACCAAACATCAGTCAGACAATCTGGCAAGCACAGAGTTTTATCAACAGCTAATGGATGATCAATAAAGCATTAGTATGTATTGATTCAGCAACCACTAAAGCAATTAGTTACACCCTTTTACAAATTGCTCCACATTAGGAAGTCGTACCTGTTAATTAAATAATATCATTAAGAGTTCTCTTCCATAAAAGAGGAAGAGCCAAAGTATCCAACTTTCCTTCAAACCAATTTAGCAACTTTTTAAGGATGCTGTGCTTGTAAATGTTTAACAGCAGAACCAGCCCTGCCGGCTAGTTTGTTCTAAAATTCATGAAGTCAACAAAGACTCTCTGTGTCGGAGGAAAACTGCTTCACATTACAGATAAGTGATGTTTACTGCTAAAATGTATCCAAGTTCATTCTGGGTAAACCCTCAGGCTGCAACTTCCCTTTTCAACCTCCTCCCAAAAAAACAGATGCGAGGACTAGCAGCGCACCACGTGAGGACACGGGCGCACAAACATCAGCTTGTAAACACTCACGCTGCATTGCTGTGTAGCTACAGGCTTGATGGGCATAAAGCTGGATCTCATCTCCAAAAAAGGAAAAAGGAAAATGACTCAACACGAGAAACAGTCAAATCCAGGAAAGGAAGAGATGTCCCTTTTCCTCGAGGTTTAAATCAGTGTAAAATCCAATCAGTGAGGTGAAGTCTCAAAGAAAAGCTTGTCAGAAAAGTATCTTCAGAGAGGTTTCCAATCCTTAAGGTCAGCAAAGATGGAAAAACAAACTCTACTTAAAAACTGAATTTACTGCCTGGTTAGTCCTGGCTCTTGTTGGAGAGACGCACAATGTGGCTGAGTTAAGGTGGTGAGCCGCTGTGCGTGACTTGCAGAGTCTCTCCCACCACCCGCTCTGACAAATCAGGGAGGAGGGGGGAGAGAAAAGCTTAGGGAAAGTCCCAGTGACGTTTCCCTCTGCATCCTCCCACCATCCCTCTGGCGTGCTTCCTTACATCTCTTTCCATTTTTACCTCCTCCCTGCCATCTTCATCACTTTTCCCCGCGCTCTCCTCCCTCCTGTATTCCTCTTACACGCTCTGAAGCATTTATCCTTTCTCCTATACCTTCTTTTCCCCACACCTCTGTCTAGTTCTCTGTTTTACACCTCAGTGAATCAGCTTTCTATGGTAGTTTGCACATTTGAAACATTAATAAAGCATTAATTTTACTTGAACATTCAACCAGAAGTGGAAATACTCTGCGACAGTGTACATATCACTACAGCTTCTTAGCCTCTCACCACTGGCTAACCATCTGCCAAATTTAGCATTTGATTGTGTTACTCAATAAACTCATATGAGAACTAAGCAGGATCTGCACAAGATTAGCTCAAATCCTGATTTTGCATCATAAATGTAACCACTCTGAGAGAAGTAAAGATTTTTGTGCTCTCGATCCTGCAAAGCTACTATCAAAGCTGTAAGAAGAGGGGTTTAAAGGCTGTAAATGAGCACAGTATGCCCACAGTCCAGCTGCACCGGAGATTCCCACCCTGAGCATAATGTCAGAGAAAAACACCCCCCATGTGTATGCGGTAAATGAGAGTCTGTCTGACTCATCGACACACTTAAACCCCCTCTTCCTTGCAGTTTCTCTCTGAGAGCTCTAGTTTCATGCTTTGGTGTGGCGTGGGCACGGCGTAGGTCAGGTCCGCCGCATCAATGAGGTGTGCAATGAGGTGTCTCCCTAACTCAGCTCCTCCCAGCTACATGAGTAAGAAAGAGGGAGGGAAGAAGGCGTGGAGTGGGTTTAACACAGCCGAGTCCTGTTTTTACCAATCACATCAGCTCCTCTCCTCACCTTTAAATCGGCCACTGGTGAGGCATATTGCAAATTTGGTAAACTAGTGGAAGACATAACTGAAGACAGCAACGCCACAAGATGGCAACAGGACGCAGCCCCTCAAAAAGTGTTTCGGTAAGCGCTGTGGAGGGCATCTTCCACACTCTCTCAAATAAGCACAGAGGGATTTGGTGTGTACAAGATTGGAACCAATGGTAAGACAAACACTCTTTTCCACAAATCAAAATAATCACATCAAGGTGAGATGTGTAAACAGAAGAAATTATGAAAAGAAAAATTACTCGCTAGCGCACCCTATATTTTTCATGCTTGAGGAGTTTCCTGAATAGTTCATATGAAAATGTGATATTTTTATCATACTATACTATGACATTACTATACTATGGTGTTTAGGTATGATATTTTTATCACACTATGAGGTTTTTTCATACAAATATTTGATATTTTTGTTTTTATGACATTTCTTTATCAAGCTACACTATGACTTTTTTGTACTTGAATTTGTAATTTTTTCATGCTTTACTATGACCTTTTTTTCACATGCTATACTAAGATAATTTTATCATACTACACTGTGACTTCTTTTCATACAAAAATTTGAATTTTTTTGTCATGGTATACTATGACATGTTTTAATTATACTATACTATGATAGTTGTGTTGTGATAGTTGTGATAGTGTGTTTTCACATTACAATTTGTAATTTTTATCATACTATACTATGACATTTATATCATACTATACTATTATATTTGATCAATCTATATAATGACTTTTTTCACAACTATAATGTGAATTATTTTATCTTACTATACTATGACAGTTTTGTCATGATATTTTTATCTTACTATACTATGACATTTTTTGACTAAACTATACTATAATATTTTTGCAGTACTATACTATTACTGTTTATCAAACTAAAATGTAAAGTTTTTGTCATACTATACTATGATATTTTTTATCATAAATCATTATGACCTTTTTTGTACTATAATTTGAAGTTTTTGTCATAGTACACTATCACATTTCTTTTATTAAACTATAATATAATATTTTTGTCGTACTATACTATGACTTTTTTCATACTGAAATTTGAAATTTTTGTCTTACTATACTATGACATTTTTTAACATACTATACTTTGATCATTTTTTTCATACTATACTATGAATTTTTTGCAAACTAAAATGTAAAGTTTTTATCATACTATCCTATGAATTTGTTTCTAACTAAAATGTAAAGTTTTTATCACACTATACTTTGACTTTTTTATACAAATACTTAAAAGTTTTTGTCATAGTATACTATGACATTCTATATCAGGCTATAATTTGACTTTTTTTGTACGGAAATTTATAATTCTTTTCATGCTTTACTATGACCATTTTTTCAAATACTTTACTCTGGTAATTTAATCATACTTTACTGTGACTTCTTTTCGTACAAAAATTTTGAATTTTTGTCATGGTATACTATGACATTTTTTATTATACTATACTGTGATAGTTGAATTATACTATACTATGATATTTATTGATTCTATACTATGATATTTTTGTCATACTAATATATGATTAATTTCTTTTTCATAACTTATTTTTATTATATAAGACCTAACTGGGATTTGAACCCATGACCTTGTTGTTGAAAGGCAAAGTTCTACCCATTACACCACGGTGACACCAATGTCATAACAAATCCATTTATCGTACTCTTCTTTGACAGTTTTTCACATTACAATATAAAAATTTTATCATACTATACTATGATTTTTTACTATAATTTTTCAAACTCAAACGTAAGTTTTTTCAAAAAAGTCGAACATTACAATTTGACATTTTCATCATACTATACTATGACCTATCAATCTATACTATGACTTTTTCAAACTAAAATGTAGTTTTTGTAATCTTATTATACTATGACATTTTTATCATGATATTTTTATCTTACTATACTATGACATTTTGTCATAATTCGATGATATTTTAATCATACTTCATTATGACATTTTTGGTTGTAAAATTTGAAGTTTTTGTCCTAGTATACAATGACATTTTTTATGATACTATACTATTATATTTTTGTCATACTATACTTTGACTTTTTTTCAAACTAAAATGTACATTTTTTTGTCATACTATACTATGAAATTTTTATTCTACTATACTATGATATTTTCATCGTACTATACTATGACTTTTTTCATACTTAAATTTGAAATTTTTATCATACTATACTATGACATTTTTATCATATAATACTGACATTTTTATTATCCTATACTATGACTTTTTTCCCAGAACTTTATTTTTATCATACTACACCTACAATTCTGACATTTTTCCACGTTTTTTGGTTCTTTTAGACTCAAAATGGTCTGAAATGTGCTCAGTCATTTTAGTCATTTTAACCCTAACCCTAAACACTTAGAAAAACTGTGTCCGATCTTGCTTCAAAAGGTAGCAGCCACAGGCAATTCCATTCATTTAAATGGGGATTTTTTAGCTTGCCTATAACTTTTAAACGCAACACTGTAGAGACTTAATTCTGGTACCAGTGCACTCTGGGTACATGAAATATGGTGGTGTGGTCTTGGTCCCAGATCACTATCTCATTCCCTTGACTATCGCCGAGGATCGCCGGTAGCAGATTGTGGTTAATTTACTCCAGTATCATGTTTAATTCATGCTCCCTGTCTTCCGCCCTCACACTGTCATCTCTGTCATTGTTTCTTCCATTCACCCTCCTTATCCATGCCATCCACTATTCTGTTTCATCAGCATCCTTCTCCATAACTGTCTTGGTACTGTTTTCTTCTTGCTTTCTGTTCTTCATCTCTCTTGAATCTGTCTCCCTCTCTCTCAAGAGTCATCAGGGGACAGCGTGTGCGTAGGGCATTGAGCTCATGTTCACACTTCAAAGACTCCTTTAGCTTCACAGTTTGAACAGGCTGGTTCATTTATTTTTGGCCCAAACATCACCTGAGAGCTAGGCGACAGTGGACTATAGCTACCCTCTCTTAACAGTGAGCATCCTCTCTCTAGCTTTGCTTTTGAAAAAGTGGATTTCCCTTTGCAGTCCTTTGGGTGCTGAACTAAAAGAACCATAACTTGCATTATCAGTCATCACTAGTGCATGGAGGGCATACTTATAAATTTTGTTTCCTAATTTCAAACCTTCTTAAACTAGATTCTTAATTACTAGCTGTATTTCTTGTATAGATGTTAAATATGACAGAAATAAGTCTGAAGAGGTCAGAATATGCGCTCTCTCTCTCTCTCTCTCTCTCTCTCTCTAAATAATAAACAAATAAATAAATATCTTACCTCTTTACCTATTTTGCCTTCTCTCTCTTTGTGATGTTGTGTTTCATTTTCACCGTAGTAAAATGACAGCTGTTTGTCCCCTGTCAGCAGCATTTTAAAGCTGCTGTGAGGAACTTTTTGGCGCCCCCTATGGATAAAGTAGTCTATGGTAAACCTGCTCCAAACATGCATTTGTAGCGTCTTCTGACTCTTGACAGTCATATTTATCGTTCATGGTCTTGTTTGTTTTTGTTGATTATAAAAAGGCATCAAAATAAGTTTAGGTCTAGTTCATAAATTCAAAAAATTCTCATTGGAAATTCAAGGTACAATTTCTTTTTTATCATATTTTTAATCATACTACACTATGACTTTTTTTCCTACTAAAATGTAAAATTTTTATCATACTATACTATGACATTTTTATCATACTTTACTCTGATATTTTTATCATACTATACTATGACATTTTTATCATACTGTACTCTGATATTTTTATCATACTATACTATGACATTTTTATCATACTATACTATGACATTTTTTATCATACTGTACTCTGATATTCTTATCATACTATACTACGACTTTTTTTCAAACTAAAATGTAAAATTTTTGTCATACTATACTATGACATTTTTATCATACTATACTATGACATTTTTTATCATACTGTACTCTGATATTTTTATCATACTATACTACGACTTTTTTTCAAACTAAAATGTAAAATTTTTATCATACTATACTATGACATTTTTATCATACTGTACTCTGATATTTTTATCATACTATACTATGACATTTTTATCATACTATACTACGACTTTTTTTCAAACTAAAATGTAAAATTTTTATCATACTATACTATGACATTTTTATCATACTGTACTCTGATATTTTTATCATACTATACTACGACTTTTTTTCAAACTAAAATGTAAAATTTTTGTCATACTATACTATGACATTTTTATCATACTATACTATGACATTTTTTATCATACTGTACTCTGATATATTTATCATACTATACTATGATTTTTTTTCATACTAAAATTTGGAAGTTTTATCATACTAAAATCTGACATTTTTATCATACTATACTATGACATTTTGACATCCTGTACTATGACCTTTTTTTTGTCAAACTTTATTTTTATCATATTACGCCTACAATTTTGACATTGTGTTTTTTTTTGTACCTATAGACTCCAAATGGTCTGAAACGTGCTTTGTTAAGAAATAAAACTAAAGTAGACTTTCAGGTTACAAACTTGATACATGCAGGGATTTTTTTTTTTCAACATTTAACAATTAATCAACATTTAAAGAACTAAAATTCTTTAACCATCAATTATCTTCAAGCAATAACCAACAAAAACTTAAAATCTTAATCGTGTCTTCCAGATGAAAAACAAATATATCCAGAATTTTATTTTCCTTTCTTATAGTCACATTTTCAAATAGTCATAATAGCTAGCATTGGGGTTAATGCTAACATTTCCTGTTATCTGTAATTAAAAGTTTATAAAAATTTTATTTTAAAGCTCCTGCATGTGGAGTTTTTGACTCATTATAAAACAGATTGATATTAACAGTGACGTCTTTTATAGTCTACAAAAGCAAACAAGACTTGATTACAACAAGTCTGCAAATATCTATCTTTGAATTTTTTTTTTTTTTTTATTCCTGTACTAAAGGGGACGGACAAGATTATACAGCAAACTGAGATGGCCACAGCATATATCCACAGTAAGTTTTCACTGCTCATTTAAAGCAGGATAAGATGACAATATCCTCAGGGGGCGCCAAAATCAACAAGCAAAAAAAGTCCCTTACAGGAGCTTTAACTTGAAATATGACCAACTATTCCTTTTGATTTAAAATATCAGACACTTGTGTTTCAAACAGCAGCTCAGACCACAGTATTATAAAATATCACTTGAATTGTCAGGGAGAGGGTAGAGGGTGAAACATTGCCAGAATCAGACCTCCCAAATCTCTTACACCTCCTTAAAAACATGAGGCAAGTTGGGCTGAGATGTTAAGTCTCAGCACTTCATATATAAATCATAATGAGCTGTTTCATCAGCTCAGCCTCTAATGAGAGGATATAAAACACAGCCGGTGCAGACACAGCAGTTTTAGTGCTCACACTTAGACACACAAACTTACATAAAATGTGGCCAGTGTGTTCAGCTGAGTACTTAACCAGCATTAATACACGGACATGACTGCAGAAAGCAAAAAAATTCTGGTAATCTGAAAGCCATTTTTCACTCAAAGCATAATGAATGTCTCTTCAGAGCTGCTCTTTTGCTGTCAAAGACTCTTACAGAAATTACACTCTTCGCTCAAGAGTCAGACATCTTTTCCTGAAAGCTTTGAGAAAGGGTTCTTGTCGTCCTCATCATTTGATTTTAAAAGCCTCTCAGCTTCATGCTTTTTCAATCACTCAAAATTACAAAGCATTAAATCATCTCTTCACCTGAATGTCTGGAACAAGTTGCAAGATTTTTCATTCGATTTTGCCACAGTCAACATATCTGAACAACTTGTAAATTCATGTAAAAAGCTAGATTTACAACAGCTGTGCAAACAGTCCTGTATGTTCAGGTAAAGAGGAATAAATGAATGAACAGTTTAATGTATTTTTTACTCATTCTGTACCTTTGTTTTTAACATACTCAAACGTTAAACTTAAGGTTTATGTTAGACTGTAGTAGGAGACATAAGAGAGGCTTTTTCCTACAGCCTGTATTTTCCAGAATCCCTCAAGTAAATCCCGAGTTCAATAAAGAGAGTGGATTAGAGAGCTGAGAGTGAGTCATGGGTTGAAATTTTCCACGCTGAGCTCAGACCTGAGAACACACAGCTCTTTATTTGAAGTTTTCACCCTGGGACGGACAAGACCAAGACCTTTGTGCCAGTTAATAAGACTCAGGTAAAACCAAGGCCCCTTAATGTAAGCACTTTTTTAATGCTCCGGCTGATTATTGATGCCTGACTAACACGAAATGATTCAGTTAATAAAAGTAAGTTTGCTCTTTTACTGCAGGTTGTGATCCTAAATGTTCAACCACAAATACAAAGTCTTCTGTATTTGCCTCAGATCAAGTGCTATAACAAATGTGGTGTTCACATGTGAATCAAAACAGGAGTAACTACATAGTGGAGGACTATGCTGCCCTCTGCTGGAATAAACAAGGAACTATAACTCATGAGAAAGAAAATGCAGCATAATACTACTACTCCTATTTGATCAAACGAGAAATTTTTGGCTGATGTCTTTCTGGAGTGTTTCAAATTGATGAGGTGAATGTGTATCTAATATAGACTTGTCCTTCCCTGCCTTCAAACCATGTTTTTCACCATAGTGAAATTGATCCTGAGCAGCTGCACACGTGCACAAAGGGACAGCTAATAGAGCGTGGTGATGTTCTGGTGCTGTTACGAATGCATTTAGCCCACTGATTTCTGCAAGCACCTGCAGGTTTTCCTTCATTCTCCCTGTGCTGTCATGCACCGGCCACGTGCCTCCCCTTGCCGGCTGCACACTAGAACTGCATATTAAATGCCATTTTGGGGTTAAATAATTCAAATAGCTAACCTTTATTATTCTGGAGTGATATATCCTCTTTCTTGCACTCACAAGATTAGGGGTAAAATATTCACCTGGCATGCGACCAAAGTAAGAAACTGGAGATTAGAAAAAGAACTGACCTTGGGCAGTCCTGGACACAAACATAATGTTCATATTTTAAGCTGAGGTGACAAACGCTGAAACTGAAGCTGATCCAGAACATTTTATAACAGCCATTAATTATTCAAGTCTGCGCTCTTCTTCCTGCGGTTGGCTGCATACTAAGTCTTGATGTCAGATACTGTTTTTGACACGGTTTTCTTCAGGATTCAGTGACTCAAAGTGTTTAATAGTTAACCCTCTCTGCAGTCTGCTTTCCTACCACAAGGTGGCTTCATATCTGTCTCACTAGATCACCTAAAAATAATACAAACTAGAAAAGTAAACATGACTGCACATCTGATCAGTGTCTTTTAATGTCTTAATATGACCTCAAGTGTGTGGATGTTTCAATCTCCTCCACACAGAGACATAAACATTCATCAGCTGTATGTTAAAGCTGAAGGAAAAACAGACTGTCAAGCTGATCTAATGCGTTCTGACAATCTGCAAACACATCTCCTTCATCTTATGGTCCGTCTTCAAACATCAGGCCAAGTATCTTTGAAGATTCAAATGAAATCTGGCTGGAGCTGCTGGGCAGAGCTGAGAAAAACAGGCAGGAGGGAGAGTGCCAAATATCACAGAGCAGTGACAGAGAGGTATAAAGTCTAAATCTGAATGTGTCATGGAGAAATGTCTCTTAATAAGAAACGACACCTACACAGAAGACTAGGTAAACCATCTACACACAGCAGAGGTGAGCGGGCACTTAGGTCAGAGTTCGATATATTTAAAGATGTTATAAAGTTTAAGAAATGATTCAACTTTGATTTATCATTTTGGTTCACCATCAAAGGCAGCATATCAACCAATCAATCAAGTAATAACCTCCTGTAAGATTGACGTCCTCACCTTGTCAGCAAACAGATGCCAATTTCTATTTTTAGTTGCTAATATTGATTATTTTGACCCGTCTGGTGTAGGGTCAAACAGTTCATGCACACGTTTACAACACAGACTATATAAAAAACGGACGCAGAATCAACAATGTTTTTGAGGCAGCATTACTTCCACCTCACATCAGATCAACCTCATATCAGATATCTGAGAACTTCTAAAGACTATAAGTTGTTCTGTGACTTTCTGTTTTAAATTGACATTAATCAAGTGGGGTTAGGTTGATTGGCCACTTTCAAATTGCCTATAGGTGTGAATGTCAGCCCTCCGATGAACTGGCGACTTGTCCAGGGTGTCCGAGGGACGCTCCAGCCTCCCCCGCGACCCCGGGAACAGGAATAAATGGTAGAAAATGGATGGATGGATGGATGACATTTATCACTATTCTTTGGTTATTTGTTATTGTGTGAGTGCTGTTTTATATCACCCTTGGGTAATACTTGACGTGACTCCTATCTCTATAACGCATTATAAATATATGTATAATGTGTTATAATCACATTATAGCACTGTATAATTATAGTTATAAACACTCATAAATTATCAAAATGCTTTATAGCAATAGTCACAACACATTATAAAACATTTTATCATGACTTACAATGTCAGGTATTATAATGTGTTTTAACTGTTACCAACTCACTGACAATGCACACATAGATAATGCATTATACATATATTTATGATGTGTTATAATTTGCTTATAAACTTGTATTACTGTCATCATAAACCTCATAAATGATCATAATGCTTTATAGCAATAACCATAACACATTATAAAGCATTTTATCATGACTTACAAAGTAAGGTATTATAATGTGTTATGTTTATTGTTATAGAGCCTTATGATAACTACAGCTTGACTGTATTAAGCAGAAGTTGAATCATGTAATTTGCATTGTCTCTATCAAAAAAACTATGAACAGACAAAGAGACAGAGTTTGGGCGGGATTTGGACACCCTTAATCCTGCAAATCTGTGTTCAGTATTTAGCTTTTATTTCTTTAAAATGGATGAGTTATGAGAAAGGGCCACAAAGCTATCAAACTTTCAATTGTTCATACTGCAAATATATCAAAATAAAGGACAGGGTTTATTGTTATACAAACACAGCCTGTCCTCTTTTCACCCTCATGATTCTGAGTCAAAGGTGCTTGAATTTGCTTTAATATCAGTACCCCATTGAAGACCACCTCATTAGTGGAGCGCAGTATCCTAATAGCATACTGATGATGTGGCAGGATTATTAGTTGGTTGGCCCGGGCCTCCTGAATCATAACTGCCATAATACTGTCCAAAACGTCTTAAAAGGTGCCAAATCACCATTATGAGCTGCCCTCTCATCCCCCGGTCCTAATTGTGCGCGATGAAGTACACCGAGCAGCTTGACAATTAACTGCAAATGGTTTGACTCTTCAACACAGAAATACCCATTTGCACTCGTACGTCAGTCGAGAAAAATGATCATTAACGTGACAGATTAGTCGGCGCTGTGGTGTCTCTCATGACGGCGCTTCCCTCCCTGCTTCCTGGTGTTGTGGTGAGATTTAGTGTGATCAAATTTAACACAACGCCATTCTCCTTAATGCTCGAGTGGGAGTCATGACAAGTAACGGTCAAAGTTTACCACCTGTCAAAGGTTAATGATGACAGGGCGTGGCATTACACCCGCTCTATTAATCTTCATCTTGTTATTCATTGTGTTGAGATTTGAGGTTTTTATCTAATTTACCGTCAACTATTTATTTGTTGTCATAGCTATTTATTTTGATGATACCTCTTGTGCATCCTGTCATATCTGTTGCTGCTGTGACAATATGAATTTCTCCTTTGGGGGATCAATAAAGTTTTATTCTATTCTACATACGACATGACTTTTGAATGCATGGACACTAATGCACTCTAAAAAAAACCAACACCAGGGTTGAAAAGGGACCGACGACTTATTGGTTTATTTTGACCGAGAATGTTGAGTTATTCAAATTAACCCAAATTTTGTGCTGACTCAATAACACTTTTTAAGGGTCAAGTTAACCCAATGTTCGAGTTAATTTGACTCAGTTTGACGCATTTGGGAAGCTTATTTTGGGAGCTTTGCTTCTACAACCTGAACCTTATTTCCCCATGTACTTTTTTAATCTAACTGATTGTAGGTCCATAGCGCTAAGGGTCTTGCCTAAAGACCCACACTGGTGGATATAATTCACTCCTTACAGATGTGTCTCATGTGGGATTTGAGCCCCAACCACCCAGGTGGGAGCTAGTTGCTTTACCTGCTGAGCTAACCCAACCGCCCAATGTATATTGGAGTAGCTACCCCGAGCTACCCCAATAAGGTCACCAGGTAACTTTCAGGCCTAGAAACCACGTAGAGTCAATCGAACCCAACATTCTGACCCAATTATTGGGTTACTCTCAGAAAAATAACCCATAATTATTAACCCAATCAAAAAACCCTCAAATTGGGTTACAACAGAATCCATATGACCCAAGAAATGAGTATGGATCTGAAAAATAACCCAGAAATTTAATTCAACACATATAACCCAGGAATTGGGTTGAAGAAATAACTCTGCAGCGTATTCACCAAGAAGCTGTAACCCTCCTGCTGCTCTCTAGGAAACCCTCACTTCCTTGACAGCCTGACAGCTAACCTACCTGACGTTACGCAGCAGGTCCTGCCAGAACGATCAGCTAAGCAAGCTCCACAGATTGACACATGCACACAAAATAGTAAACCGAGATCAGATAACAGTGCGAATTGACTTTTTTCTGTTGTTTCAAACAGTCTCACATTTGTCTTGAAGTTTCTCTTTTCTGATCTTGTTGTTCCAGCTGAGAATATTAATATTCCACAACATCTGCTTTCCGTCTGGGACTGAAACCGCAGCATCTCAGCCGCTCACTTTCACCCATCTCTGACAGCCTGACACACCATTACGTCAGAGCAACCTGGACTCTATTACTCCTCTCTAGGACATGGTGGTCCAGTCAGACAGCCGGGTCCTCTCTGGAGTGGACAAGCTGGGCAGGAATTCATAAAGGCCTCTCCTGGGGTGGGCTCAGTTCCAGCTCTGTGCTGTGTGACCCACTTATTTGACAGCAGCTCTGTTAAAACTTTCAAAAGCAAATGAGTGCTTCCCTCACCGGGCATCATAAGCAAACGTGCTGAACATCACAGCAAGCAGATTTATTCCTGGCATTCGAAGGATGTAGAGGAACCTTTGATTTAATTCTTAACATTTTTCATCGTGTAAGAAGCTTTTGACTTTCAGTTCACTTCATAACAGCAGCAAAATCTACTTGAAAAGATAAGGTCGTCCATAAAGAAAAAACCTTGTCAGCTTATTTCTACGAAATGGAAAAGCATTTCAAAGCAAGCAGTCTTTCTTAGAAAATACATAATCGTCGGCATGTCTCCGAGGGCTTCTGAGAGTCTGAAATCAATTATGAGCGACTAAGCTGCTGATCAGCAACTTACCTAATACAAGAAAAAGGCTAATACATATTTTATGTCTATGCTAACACCCCTTTTTTGCTCTGCATGGAAAATTGTCTTCAAAATAAAACAGCTTTATCATCTTCAGCAGCATTTAACTCCTGAATTTGGTTTCTTTAATTATATATTCCTCCAAAGAGTCCATATGATACTTAAAGGTTGAGTAGGCAGGAATCTGTTAAAGCCGCATCTTTTTTTGTGGAGTATATACAAAAAAGCTTTTAATATCAGTCAACAGCTATGAGTCATTGATGACATTTGGTAATATAATGATATCGCTATGTTTTGTTAAGTCTGTGTAGTCAACATTTAAAGTTTTTAGAGCGCTCCGCTCTTTCTGACTGTAAACAAAGCAATTCTCCGCCTCCCCCAACCTGATTGGTTATGAGGCGTACGCTGCTCTTTAGTGCTGATTGGTTGTGAGGCGTACGCTGCTCTCCCGTGTCGTTCAGGAGCCCAAACAAAGTTAGTGTGCTACAATATCGGACAGTAGAAACCAACCAGAAAGTACAGAAAATTGTCTGAATCCTCCTTTGGCCACGACTGCCAACACAAGCAAGAAAACGAAGTAAATACTTGAGACTCTGGCGGAATAATAGGTGCTTAAAAAGGAGGTAGACTATCCGGACAAGAGCTAAAAAAGTCGGATCAACAATGACGGGGCCACTTAGGGGATCTTACAGACCCTCTAACCTTTCTGCTGGACAGGTAAACCGCTTTAACAAAGTAAGCCGAGTGTAACAGAAGTGTTTCTTGTCAAATGGGACCTGCTGTGTGTTGTCGCGCCCCTAAACTGTTGACCTCAGGTCCTGGATTATGTCACTTTATCCTAGTTGTAGAAGTCCTGCAAACATTGTGTTTGCTGGTCGTCTGTTGGCATCTACAGTAGCACCAATGCTGTTTACTTTCACGTTGACTGGGCCCCATTTGTAATAATCTGAAGTATTTATCTGCATTATACAGAAGTTGAATTCTGCTGAAGCTTTATTTTGAAGGAAATTTCCATTCAAGTGTTAAATCTAATCTAATTATGCACCTTGAAAGATATCCCTGTCACTTTTGCAACAAGCTCCTGCAACCTCGCTCAAATCCCCACTACCCACCCATCAATATTTCAGTTGCAATATATCTTACAGTAGCTGTGCAGCCCGAGAGAGAAGACTCAGTCTCTCCTCTGAAACACTACAAGACATGGTGGGAGGAGAGAGGAGTGAGACAGCACAGAGACAGAGAGGTGATAATTGACAGTACGACTCAGTGTTTCTCACCTCAGCACCATGGGACAGACTCCTTTTCCTGAAGGCCGGGGAGGGCTCGGCTGATCGTAGAGGAGTCAGACCTCCGTTCTTCAACAGCTCCCCTGAGGGCGACTTTGGTACAGTCCACACAGGAACACCATCTGAAAGATTACAAGGTAGAGTCAGAGCCGGGTACATCTTTGAGTCAACAACAGAGAGAAGGAGGAGATACTTGAGATTTATTGCTGTACAGTTTCATCTTTAGGTTTGTGTTTGTGTGTAACGGCTAATTACTAGCAAGAAAATCAAAGAGGGATATATCAGATCAGACTAAACCCTTCTCATTTCTGACATTTAATAAAAAGGTTCTCTTAAATGCCATCGAAAAGAGCGAGTGTGATTGACATCGGGAAACTCTGCATGTGTTTCTGCTTGTATGTACTCTCTTAAGGTCAGGCATGCTGAAATGACTAGAAAGATGATTCACTTTGCTTCAAGGTCAAAAACAGTAAACATCCTATAGAGGTGTTATAATCCTTTCTTGTTAGATATGCCTCATGTAATGTAATTCTGATCCTGCGGCTGTAGGCGTTAAAAAATGTACGCATAATCTTTTCATCCTCTGCTGTCTTCAGGGATGAACCGTCAGATGATGATTCAACTTGGTGGTCTTATTTGAGGTCATGGCTCGCAGCAGGGTTTGGCTAAATCCGCTAAATCCAGTCGGTTGTGCTTGAAGTTTAAATTTGAGAACCATCTCTGGTTTGTGTCGTGTTTCGTCCTTGTTAAGACTTCTGCATCATTTGAGTTTTTGACTAAAGAATCAGAGAAAAAGGGTCTAGAGCCACAGACGCAGCTCTGGAAGTCTTGGCTTTTAGCTGTATACTGATGGGAGCATGCTCAATTGCATGCTAACATGCTCATGATGATAACGTTAGCATGCTATCCCAAGCCCATACTAAATTTGAGAATGCTCATTTTTGTGTGTTTGTAGGTATTTGGTTAAAAATCAAGGTTCAGGGTTTGATGTTGGTTGTGGGTTGGATGAGAAGTGGATCACCAAAGCTGTACTGGTTCATCCTCAGGGCACATGAACGCTCAAACTACATTTTTTAGACGTTTAGTTTTTGGGCCTAAAAGGACAGCTAGGAAGATATAAGAAATGTGGGGGAATAGTAGGGGATGCTACACACTTAATACTGCAGGGACCAGGAATTTACCTAATAGCCAACGAGGACTGTAGCCTCTCTACGTAAACCGGCTAACCAAAAATGCTAATGTCATAGTTGCGCTAAAGGAGAAAATCAAACTACGACCCAAGTCATGGGAGGTCATCCTCTGAGGACCAAAAACATCCATCTTAACTTACTCATGCAAATCAATTGAGTAGAAACTAAACAGGGACAAGGATTAAAAAATGTAATGAATGTCAAAATTCTACTTTTAATCTTCCAGGGACCATGAACATCTGTACAAAATGTATGCTAATTCATCCAATTAGTTGTTAAAGCTGAAGCTGAAAGCTGAAATATGTATCAATGACAGAAAACAAGACACTATTGCTTTAGTCGAGCTATCCTGTCATGAGTAAAACCTTCAATGTGTTCACAATTTAGGCCAAAAGAATAAAAATGTAATCGACATGTTTCGCCCTGATGATATTTTTATCTCCTGTGAGTACAACTCCATCAGAAAACCAAGCTTTTCCCATTTAAAAGCCTCTGATATTTATCACAGTAGTGGATCTCATTTCAAAGTACTGTTAGTGGTTCGTGAAACCCCTCTTATCTCAAGCCCCAAGACTCAAAATTGGGTTAAAAGTCTAATGCACCAAGAGGCTGGTCTTTGATATCCATTAGTGAGAAGCAAGCTCTGCTGACACAGGGTGACATGCTGGTGAGCCTGAGGCGAAGCCGTCTCGACAAAATCTGCTGATCCAGCCCTCAGGCCAGGCCTCAGCTTTGGTCAAATGACAGCTTCATTGACAGGACCTGAAAAGTGTAAGTCAACCTCCTCAAAGAGAACTGGACTCCCGAACAGCAGAGAAATGAGCAGAGGGAGGTCAGCCTGAAGGCCAGTGGATGTGAGTGAGTTGTCAAGACATAGAAAATTGATTTTTTTTTTTAGTAAAGATATTTAAAGGAAACATTTCTGAAAACAGCTCATGCCTGTAAAAAGGGTTAACCACAAGTTAGTGGTTTGTTAGCAAGAACAGTAAATGAGGTAGTTCCTCTGAGATGTCACAACGAAGCACCAGAAGTAGAAATACTCAGTGAGCAGGGGGCTGTTTGGACCATTGGACAGAGGCATGCAAGTGGATAAAAAGGCTGTTGCAGATCAAACAGTGGAGGGACAAACATTCATGCAGTTTCCAATGGTTTTACCTTCCTATTCTGGGCTGTGACATTAATCAACTTTTGCAACGGCATTCAGCTCTAAGTCTTTCCCTTTTCTTTTGTTAGTCATCTTTTTTAAGTACAAAAAAATAAAAAAAAGTTCCATTATATGCATCAGCTTTTATGTTAGGCTGAAAGGGAAGTAGTTACCAAAGTTAATTTCCTTTATGGATTTTCATTTCCTTAAAGGAAAGGAGAATTACGCTTAAGGAACCAAGCTCTTCATAGCAATGACAAAGGGAAGGAGGGGAGGAGGGATCCAAAAAGAGCTAGCGCAAGTGGCAAAGATCCTCCAAGACATCAGCTGATAATATGCTGTCTGGTTTGTGATTGGCAGGTTTCAGGTAGGCATTTACAACAATCCTTTAAATTTTTACTGTCTTAGTAATTACAGCTGGCTACATCCAAATGCTCTGGTTTTGTTGTTGAATGAGCCTGGAGGGACTAACGTGCCAGCAAAACTCAGTCCAACCTCATGCAAGGCTCTCCTCCAAAGAGTTGTCTTAAACATGCAGTGGAAAAAGCTTTCCTGTTCAACCAACCAGCCAACCAGCCAACCACTCCCTTTATCAGCTACATCAAATCTGGATGCTGCCCATGCTAGTATGCTACACCACCCATCACCCGGTAAAACCGAGGATCCGATCTAAAACTCTTCACTGATGTGTGGGGGGTACATGCCGAAAGCGGGGAGCAGATGGACCCCCACAGGACTTATCAGCCAAGCAGCGGAAGGAAATAGGTTTGTACTTGCGGCCCGGTGGTCCCACTCCACACCACCCCCTGTCTGATGAACAGGTACAGGGCAGGGTGACTGTTGGCGCAAAGAGAAGACCGACAAACTGTGAGGACCAGCAGATTGATTGAAACCCAAAAGCAGACCCTAAAAGATCCTCCTGAAGTCAGCGATGGACACTGCTCCACCAAAAACACGGTCTTGGAGAGGTGGCAGGTGTCACTTTGGCTTTACAGAAACTACAATGGGAAGAAGTGTTATGTTGTTGGTGTCCAAACCATGAGACTTTCACTAACGCGTCCGTCAATTATTTTGGCCAACTAAGGGATGGCCGAGTATTAATGAACCTGGCTATTGTCGCTGAGGATAGCTAGGATTCTTGCCTGGTGTTTGTAAGCTAGGACAAGGACAACAGTCTGGTTAAATTGCCTGATTCAGCTATGACCATAGTTGGACTGAACTGTGTATGTAAACGGCTAAACTGACAGTCAAGCAGGTTAAGCAAGATAACTCATAATGTTCTGCTCTTAAGCCGTTTCATTAGTTTTTCCTGAGGCATTTCCAGTAAAACGGAATATATATCTCTCCGTCAGCATCTCTAGGGTTTGCCCCAGGATATGCTCCCAGTTGGATGTGCCTGGAATACCTCCACAAAGAGGCGGCTTGGAGGTGTTTGAACGCCCAAACCACCTTGAATAATTTCGTTCTACAAGACGTGTCTTCGGGGACGTCTGAACTTCTTACACCGTCTCAGCCGGAGAGACATGAGGGATTTTAAAAGCATAGACAGTTAGAAAAATAAACATAGGCGGCCAAAAATGAGGCAAAAATTCTGCCGAACTTATGAAAAAGAAGAACTGCCTCTACATGATTTCACATGAACTGCAAGAAGCTGTACAGGTAAAGCTCTTTAATGTCCTTTGCTTTAGGTCATAGCACAGGTATTTATGATTTTAGTGATTATTCAGCATCAAAAGAAAACTTGTCAAGCTACTTCTTTAACACTTCAAACTAAGTCATTAAGTCCACTTTCAAGAGGAATTTGCCAAGAGTAGAGGATTATCCTGCAGGTGTTTGACCGTGGACATCTTATTTAACCTCTGGATTGCCTTTGGGATCCATTATAACAGCTGTAAAACATCTGCCATCCAACTAGACTTTACCTCTTCAGACCAAGTCCATAGTGAGTGTTAGGTAAGTTTTTTGGTAGAGTACATCCATTAATCAGCTCTTATCTCGCCCTGGAGACATGTAAACAGCCTGTCTAAGATTTGCATCTTAGACGCTGATGGAATAAAAAGATCCTTCTAGATTCACTGTCTAGTTTGTGCATCCAGTCTTTTTTGTCCTTTGTCCAGGCTACCTTCGGACTCTAGCGTACCCTTGGTGTTAAGTCGATAGAACCACCCACAGGCCTCAAATGGTTGGAATTGTAATAACTTTATTGGATCCATAAAGACCTGGCACAGAGAGCGTTAAACATGGCAGAGGTCTGACATTTTAGGCACCAGTGTGGATTCCTTTGGCAAAGACTTAATCCCTTGAGAAGAACTGATAGTGCATAGAGTTAATATCTATATTAAGGTTTACCCATTCTCACATAAACCCTGATTTATTCGGACATGCACGTTGGGAGATTCTCTGAAATACATACAAGTACTCTGTAAATAAGAGTGACAATAAATTCATGTTGTTCATACACTCTTCACATTCATGCTTGTACTTGGCACTACCTTTTTGGGGAAGTTGGCATTTCAATGTTATTGAGGACATTGAAGAGACACAATAATGAGTGGATGACAATACAGAACAACACAAACATCTACACACTATGACAAAAAACATGAGTCGAACCAACAGTTACACACTCCAATGCAACATTCAACAGCATTTACTACAAACATTGAAGTTCAAGGTACCAATCAGGCAGGGGCAGGAGCCACAGTCAAGCTGCCCCAGCTGAGCTTTGCCACTGGTGCCTGGCTCTGGAAGAGGGGACTGGAAAGACAAGAGGGATAAGGGAGATGGAGGGGTCGGGGGCTCCAGTAGCAGCACTGGAACAGGGCCTGGGGCGAACTCACCGGAGGGGGCTCCGTGGGGCGTGAGGTTGTGGTCGGAGCTCTGAGTGTGATGTGGTGGCTGGCTGTGGCTCTGGGTCTGTTGGAGGATGTTCAGGCACTCTCCCAAGCAGCTGAGCGTGGCAGCTGACGTGGCTTTGAGCAGCAAGAGGTCCTGGTCTAGGCAGGAGAGAGGGCCTCTGGTGGGTAAAGAGTCAATGGACTGGACCAAATTCTTCTGCTGGCCTTCTGCTTGGGACATCACCTGGTGGAAGGAAAGTGAGATAAAACCTTAAAATAAACAGTCGTTTAGTAAATACAAACGCTCTTGAGCACTAGGGGGCGCCAAAAATGGCACAAACCAAAAGTTCCTAACAAGACTTAAAAGAAAAACCAACATACAGGAACTTCAGCTCTCTTCTTAAACTGTTGACTCATTCAGGACCTGTTTGTGAGGTGTTTCTGGTACATATTTAAAAGATGTGTCATCAAACTCGCAATAAAAGAGTAGTCACTATTTTCCTACAAAGATATTAGAGAAAATTAGTAAAGATTTTCAAGCTCCTGTGGAGAACTTTTTAGTTGCATTGATTTTGGTGCGCCTGTTCAAATCGATAGCTCTTGTTTTCTTCGCTTATTATTTCCTGTAAATGCATGAGTCATATTTTTAACAAAAAACTCATCCTGCTTTGTGCTAATACTTCAATGTTTCACTGAAAAATGTCAACAAAGACTGTTTTGGCAGCTTAATCTGACACCTATCCCTCACCAGAGGCTTTATCAGTCATATAGACATATTAATATTCATTATAATCTGTTTCATGACAAGATCAAGACAAGAGGGTGTTTTTCGTCCATACAGACATCCCAATGGAAATGTTTGGCTCATAATATAGAGGGTATATGAGCAACAACATCCGTGAACACAACAGAGAATGTGCCAAAAACATAAAAAAGAAACAATCATGAGTATAACACTTTGTTGTCCAACATCTCATACAGCCATACTGTTTCCTTTGAGCGTAGGAAGTGGTACAACTTGACTTTTCCCTCTGATGGTGTCACCTCAGTCTTGACTACAGGCAACAACTCATCCAGAACCATCTGCTCCGAGACAGCCGAGCCAAAAACAGAAACTGGTAAAACTCTTCAAAGAAAAAAAAAGCCCTCCCCCTCTGCTCGCACAGACACACACACACAGCATTTCCTTGTTAGAATTATTCCTGTATGACTCACCTCTCAGAGTCTAAATGCATCACAAAAGAAAGGAGAGACAAAGTCGGCTCTGGCTGGTGGGTAATAAACTTCTCCTGAAGCTAATGAATCTGGCTTGTTTATCAGCTTAGAAATGTTATATTCATTAATATTGTATGGCTGCACACACACACACACACACACTCACTCGTCCTCGGCACGTACTCGAGTAGCACATCTGTCTCCCCGCGTTGCCCAACAGATCTATTTTTGAGTCACAGCAAGCTGTTGCAGTGGGGTTTGAAGTAGCGGGGACACTCATGTAGAGGAAGTTTTCCTTCACCTCGCTTGTCCAATTATTCAGGCATTTACTCAGGTGGGATGATGTTTGTCTCAGGCAGGTGGAGCTCAGTTTTGGTCCCCAGTGCTTGTTATAAATAGATTCTTGGTACTCAGCATGCTGACAGTGTATCAGTGCCCTTTAAACAATCAGAGCATGCTAGTTTTTTCTTTTTCACTGCACACTCCTCAAGAAATCTATGTCACATATTGTGGGTGTGCAGACATTAATTGCAGCTGGATGTTATTTTTTCCTCTCTATCTGTCAAGTAGCTATAAAATTTAACTGTTAAAGGACTGCAGAGCAAATGTATGAGAGAGGATTTGTAAAGAGATTAAAGATACTGCTTTATCCACAAGGAGGCGCCAAAACAGACACAAACCAAAAGTCACAAATAGGACCTTTAAATTTTTAATAATTGGATAAATTAATAGTAGAATAATAATCTATCTTTTTTGCTTTATTAGTATTATTATTATTATTATAAAACAGACACAAACCAAAAGTCACAAATAGGAACTTAAAATTGGATTTTAAGCAACTAAAGTGCTTAAACAGCTGAAACAAACTCTACAGAGAGAGAGAGAAAAAAAAACAATAAATAATAATAATAACAAAATAAAATAAAAAATGAGTGATAAATAATAAATAATAATAACTAAAAAATAATTGGATAAATAATTGGATAAATAAATAGTAGAATAATAATAAATAAATAAAACAAAATTAAATTAAAAAATAATTAAGATAAATAAAGAGTAGAATAATAATCTCTCTCTCTCTCTCACTTTTTGCTTTATCATAATTATTATTATTATAATTATTATTATTATTATTATTACCATTATTATTATGGCATAATGCTTACATTTTCTTCCTTCACTCTCTCCTTGACAGTCATCATAATTTAAAAAGAGGGAGCAATTCACACCCACAAACACACACACCTCTTAACACACATAAAAACACCCACCCACCCAACCACACAGCCTTGCAACACCTTCTAAATGTATGTAAATGTTATGTGTCCCTGCTGTACTAGTCACTTTGTCTTGTCTCCATTGTCTGTTTGTGCTGTTTATATTTTTTTAACCACCTGTCTTGCATCACCTATAAAAAAAAAAAAAAAAAAAGAAAAAAAAAATACTCTACATGGACTTGGTGCATGTTATACATAGAGCTACTTTAAGTATTAATGCCATTAACTTTTATGCATCTATCATGCAATGTCTAAATGTAAGCAGAAAAGCAGTGACTGTATCTGTGGTGCATCTCTGATACCAGACATCAGCACTGCCTCAGGGTCTGTACTCACTAAAGGGGCCTTCAGCAGGTGGCTGTAAAATTCTCTGAGCAATTGTGTTGCTATGCAACCTTAAGTAACTCTAAAAAACCCATACCATGCTCAAAAATAACACGGCTCACTAAGTTTTGCGATGCTCACTGAAATGTGGCTGAATGTCTGGATGTAAGCACTCTGGAGATCTGTAAACAAACGGGGGAAAACAGTGATGAGTGGACTCTTTTAAAGGAATATTAGACGGTTAAACACGAGTAAATAAATGATGTGCAGATAAGACTGAAAGGGGGACATTAGGCATCTGTGTGGACACTACCACCAATCAAAACAGAGCCATGCTAGTCATCTGTATTCATACAATCTATCAAAGACCAATCATAATGATGCTCTCTGGCTGAATAACTATGTCGCTTACATCTTTGTTATTGGTTTACAATGTTTAGAGAGACATAAAATTACCAGAGATCTTTCAAAAGCCAAGCCAGTGGGCTCACGGTAATAACAGCTGCCCCCCATCAAACACACACATACACACACATACACACACACAGCTCTCTGGAGCCAACAGGACCACTGTTGCTTCCCGAAATAGCCTAACCCCAGTGATCCAGCTCTGTAGCAGCAGCGTAAGTGCCCAGTGGTGCTGCTGCTGCTCTCAGATTCGAGGCGTTTGATGAGTCCACGCCGGCCATGTCGGAGAGACGGTAATGTGGTCTGACTCCCGTCGTCACACAGTCAGAGGAGAGACAGATGCATGCATGAGTGGACTGACGGATGAGATAGGACAGCGACACAACAGCCAAAACATTCAAACTAGGACTCCACAAATAAATTGGTACGTTACGGCCATCTTCAGGGATATGAGAGAGGGGCGTGTTGCGACATCAAAAATGCTCAAATAATATTCAATAATCATGTTTAGAGAAATATCTGAGGATGGAGGCATAAAATCTTACGGGTTTTAAGTGTGTAAAGAGCTGAAAAATTTCTGAATAGAGCATACGCTGACACAGAGAATAGTGCTTTAGTTGGAGTTTGGTATAATTAGCTAAATTACATGGTGGAGCTGACTCTGTCTGACCAGCGGTTGATTGCATAGCTTCTGGTCTGGCTGTTTTTTCAACAAAGAGCCAAGCTGACCGAGGTGACTAACACACTTACTACTGAGGAGTACCTCCTACAGCCACACTTAAAAATCAAACTCTCACTTTTTACACTTTCAGTGACTCATAAGAAATCAATGTGAACTTCTTCAAAAGTAACTGATTGACCTTTTAGATCACTTTAAACTTATAAATTACGCTTCTGTCAGGCTTGTTTTGCAGGAATACAAAACTTTCCAAACTGTTTAGGGTGGAAATGCAAACAGCCATTGACCTGATTTTACTCAGACTTTTTCCTGTCAACAATTCAGGGTTGAGATACAAACACAGGGATGTGATGTGTAAATAGAGTGAAAGTTAAAGGGATATTCCGGCGTAAAATTAAGTTAGGGTCAAACACACACCATAACACCGAGTTAGACACCAAGTCCAGAGATGAATGTTGCCGACTTCTTGCTTCTCTAGTTATACCAACTTTAGTAACGACCACAGGAAAGCAATACAGAGAGCTCTCTTCCAGCAGCCGCTTGTTTGTAGCGAGACCTCAGACGAGTCCTTTACCAACAACTGTGGGGTGGCACTGCTCAAGGAAGAACATTTATGATCATTTCTTCATGGAAATGCAATCAGACCGAGACGCTAAGGCAGAAGAACTACTGTGTCTGCAGTGCAAAATGATTAATATGATGATTATTACTTCAAGGAAATGATAAATAAATGATCATAAATGATCTTCCTTGAGCTGCGTCACCCCGTTGTTGTTGGTAAAGGACTCGTCTGAGGTCTCGCTACAAACAAGCGGCTGCTGGAAGAGAGTAGGTGAGTTGTGTTGATGTTTGGTGGCTAGTACTGTGGCTGGGACCCTATATGTACTGTTGATGAAGTTAGGTGCTGTTCTGAGTATTATTTGTGGCTATAGAGTGGCGTTTTGCTTGAGCGTGTGGCTCTCTGTATTGCTATCCTGCGGTCGTTACTAAAGTTGGTATAACTAGAGAAGCAAGTGGTCGGCAACATTCATCTCTAGAGGGGGAGTCTAACTTGGTGTTACGGTGTGTTTGAGCTTAAATTAATTTTACCCCGGACTATCCCTTTAAAGAAGGAGACTCTTTTTCCAGCCTAGAGCAGTGAAAATATCTGCATAGCCATCTTGAAGACTTAAAAACAGGCAACTGGACTGTGTAGAGTTAAGAAGACGTTTCGCCTCTTATCCAAGAAGCTTCTTCAGTTCTAAAAGTGCTAGTGTCAGGAGCAGATATTTATCTTACTGGAGAAGGGGGACAGTTAACGACTGGCTGGAGTTGAAAAGAATGGGTCGTAGAAACCCATCTCTCGGTGTGTCCCCCCCAAGTCGTTATCCTGAAAGGGTCGTTAGCGACTCCTATCATGTGACCGCATGACTCATGCCACCTGAGTCATGTGGTTCCAGGTGTGAATGTTTGTGGAGCTTTCTGGGGAGAGAGCTGAGAACTGCATTGTAAGTGCCAGAGAGATTGTGCCTGAGTCCACCCCCTCTGTTCAGAGAAGGTTTCTCCAGCCTGGTAAAGATGGCTTCTTTAACTCCTCTTTCAAACCATCGGTCTTCTCGAGCCAACACCTGTACATCGCTGTCCTCAAAAGAGTGACCTGTATCCTTCAAGTGAAGGTGGACAGCTGAGTCCTGACCTGAGGAAGTGGCTCTCCTGTGTTGAGCCATGCGCTTGTGAAGCGGTTGTTTAGTTTCCCCAATGTACAGGTCTGAGCATTCCTCGCTGCACTGGACAGCATATACCACATTACTCTGTTTATGTCTCTGTGTTTTGTCCTTGGGATGGACTAGCCTCTGCCTTAGTGTGTTACCAGGCTTGAAATGAACAGGAATGTGGTGTTTGCCAAAGATCCTCTTGAGTTTCTCAGACAGGCCTGCAACGTAAGGGATTACAGTGCTCTTGCGTCTCTCCTCCCTTCCCTGTTCAGTGTTATTTCTCTTTCTGTTCTTCACAAAGGCCCACTTAGGGTATCCACAGGTTGTCAGGGCATTTTTGATGTGCTTTTGTTCCTTTTCCTTACCTTCTTTCTTCGTGGGAATGTTCTCGGCCCGGTGGTTGAGTGTTCTGATGACACCCAGTTTGTGCTGCAGAGGATGGTGGGAATCAAAAAGTAGATATTGATCCGTGTGTGTTGGTTTCCTGTACACTTCAACGTTGAGACACCCATCTGCCTCCAAGTGTACAGCACAGTCCAAAAAGGCCAACACTTTGTCCTTGACATCTTCACGGGTGAACTTGATGTTGCTGTCCACTGTGTTGATATGGTCAGTGAAGGCCTCTACTTCATGTGTTTTGATCTTAACCCAGGTGTCATCCACATATCTGAACCAGTGGCTAGGAGCAGCTCCCTTGAAAGAGGTTAGGGCCTTCCTCTCTACCTCTTCCATGTACAGGTTTGCCACTATTGGAGAAACCGGGGAGCCCATCGCGCATCCGTGTTTCTGTCTGTAATGGCGCTCTCTGAACTGGAAATAGGTGGTGCTGAGGCAGATGTCCAATAAGGAGCAGATGTGGTCCGGGGTTAAGTTGGTTCTGACTTCCAGTGTGCTGTCCTGTGAGAGGCGTTGTCTTACTGCTTGGACTGCCTCTGTTGTTGGAGTACTTGTCTGCTGACACTAGCACTTTTAGAACTGAAGAAGCTTCTTGGATAAGAGGCGAAACGTCTTCTTAACTCTACACAGTCCAGTTGCCTGTTTTTAAGTCTTCAAGATAACCATGACCTGGATGAATGAGAATCTACATGGACATTCTGCATAGCCATCTATTGCACATATGGTCTTTAAAATGCTAAACAGCGTCCACATCATTGATCTCTGTTTCTTTGTCTGCAGTCATGTTGTCAACTTTACACTGCAGTTTTCACAGCGTGCGTCCTCCCTCCTACCTACAGGAACAGGAAGACATCATGCATAATATTGCAGATGTGTGAACAAGCGAAAACGTAGTTGTCTGAGCTCCTGAAAAATTCCAAGTAATTTCAGGACACCGAAGAATGTCTCTTCTAGTGAAAGTATGACTCTACATTTGCTGCTCTGCTCTGTGTCTCTGAGATGTGAGGAGGGTTCACTGAGTTCAACAGGGCAGAGTCGATCATGTGGAGAATCAGTGGAGTGCAAACACGTCTCCCCTTTATGGTTATTTGAGAGGAAAGCTGTATGCATCTGTGGATAGGTGGATGTTTAACAGGAAGTATCAGAGTGAATTTTATGATATTATCAGCGGCACTGAGTGGAGATAGGTAGGAGGTACAATATAACATCCCCATGCTGCTGCTTGATCATAAATCTGCTGATAATCAGCACACTGCAGCTTTCAGGTCTCTACTGCATACAGTGGAGAATAAATAACAGACTCCTTTACTGTCCGTCCCTGCGGCCCTGGACCAAACCCGTCAGGCAAAGTTACGAGCCTGTAATGAATAAAGGAAGGAGAACAAATGACACGAGGATGGAGAGAGAGGGAGACAGGAGAAAGAGTGGATTTGAAGAGAGAGGAAGGGAAGTGATTCAGGTCGCACAAAGCCGCAGTTCTTCACAACCAAACAAATGTGAAACCAAAGAGAAAATGAATCACACATCACAGAGGGCCGGGTTTTCTCCGCCTGTGGAGAAAACACAAGCACCAAAGGAGTGTTTGTTTTGCTTAATGATCACACCATCTGCTCCGTATTTACTCAAACTGTCCCGGGTTCACTCGGAGGAGGCCCGCTCTGCCCCCGAGAGGTGAGAAATGACTCTCCACTTTCACCGTTCACTAGCTGCTCTCTTTCTGTCACAAAGTGCGTCACTTAGACAAGATATTCTTAGCGAGGCACAGCGTGGCGCATATGAATGGGGAATTTAATGACTCGAAGCCAGCCAGGTCTTCAATGAGCAAGACGGCATGAAAGAAAGATTTTTTTTTTTTTGTGCATGAAATATTGATGCTCCTGGGACAGCGTCATAAGAATGACTGAGGGTGTAAAAGCTGAGACTTAGCGAAGAGGTTCAGCAGTTTATTTCCTCTGCTCCACTTTTAGGAGAGGAGACATAGGGGTACAAAGGTTTGAGTGACATGACGGGTTATTATGTAAGCACTGTTTTTGCAGTGTTAAAACGCTCTATTTGGCAGACACCATAGAAAATGGCTGTGCCCCAGATTAAGACAGGCAGTAAACAAGAGTCATTTTGGATACTGGGGCGAGGATCAGAGCGCTACAGGTGAAAAATAGTGATCCTATCAAGTTACCCTCGAATAACAGGATTCTGCTGTCTATATGAGCAACAGATAAGACAGGAAGTAGAAGTAAATCAGCATGTTGGTAATAAGCTTTGTGTTAACCCAGCTGTCCTTTCTCAGAGTTAGCCATGCTTTGCTTGCAGATTAAACTTGATTAAACCTCGAACTTGATTAAGCCTTGCCTGACCCCACTTGTTGTAACTCCAGGCCGCCCATTAAAGGGATATTCCGGCATAAAATCAATTTAGAGTCAAACACACCGTAACACTGACGTTAGACACCCCGTCAAGAGATGAATGTTGCCGACCTCTTGCTTCTCTAGTTATACCAACTTTAGTAACAACCACAGGATGGCAATACACAGTGGTCTCAGGAGCCATAAACGCCACTCTATAGCCACAAATAATGTTCAGAACAGCACCTAACTTCATCAACAGTACATATAGGGTCCCAGCCACCAAACATCTTTTTAACTTTGCCTGATTTCTTTTGCAAAGAGACTAAACACAACTCATCCACTCTCTTCCAGCAGCCGCTTGTTTGCACGGAGACCTCAGACAAGTCCATTATAGACTGCAGCGGGGTGACACAGCTCAAGGAAGAACATTTATGATCATTACTTCATGGAAATGCAAACAGACCAAGATGCTAAGGCAGAAGAACTACCACGTCTGCAGCGCAAAATGATTAGTATGGTGATTATTACTTCAAGGAAATGATAAATAAATAATCATAAATGTTCTTCCTTGAGCTGTGTCACCCCGCTGCAGTCTGTAATGGACTCGTCTGAGGTCTCTGTACAAACAAGCGGCTGCTGGAAGAGAGTAGGTGAGTTGTTTTTAGTCTCTTTGCTAAAGAAATCAGGCGAAGCTAAAAAGATGTTTTGTGGCTAGTGCTATGGCTGAGACCCTATATGTACTGTTGATGAAGTTAGGTGCTGTTCTGAGCATTATTTGTGGCTGACATGCAGTCATTACTAAAGTTGGTATAATTAGAAAAGCACTACCTAATTTTATGCCGGAATATCCCTTTAAGATCTCACTGCCTCAGATTTGGAACCACTGCACTGATATAAACACTCGTTTACAGCTCCTGTTTGTACTGATTTGAACTTGGACATCTATCAACTTACATTTGAACTCTTTCACCGGTGCTGTCCTGAGGAAAACTGGCGTGTTTCTTTACCTTAATAGTTTTTCATATTAACAGAGTTGGTGCTCCTCCATGTTTCTATAGAAGCCCAGAAAAGACAAACGTGATTCTTCATAGACAGAGCATCATCACCACTCAATACCATTATATTCTGCACAGTCTTCAATCTTATCTTGATTTTGATAAGTTGTGCATTTTACAAAACTTGCGTTCAACTTTTATTTCCACATTCAAAACAAAACTATCCAGAGCGCAATATCTGGGGATACAGCAACAATTTCCTCAATAACAGACGCATCCTCTTCCCTGTCAGCTTCTGTTTCTCTCCTCTGTTTCTACATTGTGTTCGGGCAGAAGAGTTTTATATTTAGAAATCCTCTTGTCTCTCCTCGTCAATGTTTTATTCTCCCTCCGAACTGTTAAGTCATCTTATCTACATAATTCAGGGACCAGATGCACAGCTGCTTGGCAACAATACTGAAGAGTTCATTTCTTGAAAAAGGAGAATAAAGGCAAATATTGCAGCAGGTAATTGCTCTATAGTTTTGACAGTCGGGTATGAAACGTCGTCTTTATCATACCTTTATTATTTTAGCTTAACTTCAGGCTTTATCTGTTCCAATTAATCAGCATAAAGCAGCAGCAGATGGGCTATTAAGAGGAGACAGGAGGAAAACTATCTCCTCTCCGACAGATAAGCAGACGAGAGGAAGGCTGTGCTGAGTGAATGGAGATGTTGAATGTGAGGGGTGAGTGGTAACCACAAGTGACAAGTTTGGTGAGTGAGGCAGGAAGAATTAATGAGGATCTGAGGCGCGAAATAAATCAAAAACAAATCCCTTGTTATGATAGAAGCGGAAAAAACTATTTCAATGTATATATACCTTTACGGATTAGCAGGACACCATGTTGAGGAGTGTCTAACACTTTTATATCTCATATGTTGATTTCCACACACTCACACTTCCCACACCAGAACGACAACATACACCAGCCATGTTAATCAGATCTGATAGATACGGTAAAAATGCAAACAAAGCTGAACTTATAGTGAAGACTGTGCACACTGCAGTCAGTGTCAAGGCTGCCAGGGAGCCAGAAATATCTGCTGAACTCACTGCACCACCATCCCACCTGAGACCAGAGTGCAGACTCTGAATGCACAAAGGCCACAAAAAGCACAGAGCAGCTTTTGTCAAGAGTTCGTCTCCAATTATCAAAACAGACAAACTTTCAAAATGAGCTTCATCGAGGAGGAAATGATTGTTTGTTTCTGATATTTGATGAAACTTTTGAGTTAACACACTAAGAAACTGTGATTGCTGAGATTTGGGTATGTAGCAGCACTTAGCAGACAGAAAACTACTCTGTGCCTGTGTATCTGACAAATCAGATTTTCCCCTTAATCCGCTATTTTCATATTATAATAGCTATGATATATTTTTAAACAGATGTTATTCAAAATGTATCCCCTGTAAGATATAATATTATTGTAAATGAACAAGTTAGTATTTCTGTACTTGGCTCTCAACATGTTTAATTGTGTGAAAAAAAAGTTCTAGTTTCTAAGTGACAAATTAGTAGAGATGCACCGATCCATTTTTTACCGATCCAATCTGATACCGATACCTGGGCTGAGCGTATCGGCCGATATCTGATACCAATCCAACACTACTGTTGAATGAATGAACTGTATACCTTGCCCTGTGAGTGAAGGAATCAGGTTTGACATTAGCCTTGTTGAAAAAAAATTAAAAATTAGAAAAAGAAAAGAAAAATTAATTAAAGTAAAAAAAAGACTGGATCGGAACGCTGGATCGGCGTCATTCATCCGATATCTGATCCAGTTAATTTGTTAATATCTGAGCCGATATCTGATCCAAATATCGGATCAGTGGATCCCCACAAATTAGTGAACGCAAAACTACCCATAATGACAGACATGATAACTAATGCTGTGAAAATGAATTTTTAGCTGAATTAAAATATAACTAAATGGTAAAAATGTGTTGATTATCCTCTACGAGAGACATGTTCAGAAAAATCTGTGAACATAAATCTGACTGAATTCCTGGAGCCCACTTCAAACACCCACCTCTTTGACCTCCAGCAGCCGTCCCGGGTACTGACTCTTGGCCCGCCGAGCAGCAGCAGGAGATTTGTGGTGGGTGATGGTGACGATGTTACCGGGCGAGGCTGCGTGGCTCAGGTGCCTCTGAGAACCAGGAGATGAAGATGGGGTTAGGTGAGGGAGGAGGGAGAAGCTACGTGTCCGGCCGGAGGATGAGGAGCCCTTTAAGAGTAAGGAGGGGAAAAAAGGAGATGATCCAGGAAGAGGAAGAGAGAGAAGGAGGAAAGAGGAGGGAGGTTTTTAAATGTTAAAGGACCACAATGATGTTAAAGAGAAAGAGCATGCTCTCTGAAGTCATTTCATGCTTTAAGGTGAAAAGAGAAACGTCACAGCACCACTCAGAGAATCAGATAAACCATAAAAAGAAACAAAATTAAGTTTGTATAAAAGCAAGAAGCTTTTATGTTTATGGCTTTTTATCCTGTCTTATGTAGCCTGCAGAAACACAACTTTTTCTAACTATTTCAGGTTGGTATCCCTGTTTGTTTGTTTAGTTGTATCTTGCATTATAAGTCTTTAAGAATAAATGAATCGATTTCTACTCAAATGTTCAGTCAAATGAGAAAGAAATTGACCCATTAGAGAAAACATTGCTAATACAGTCCAGACTATGAAGTGTGTTTGGCTGAGTTATGTAAAAAGAGAGTCTTATATGTTTCTGTTTTGTAGTTTTCTGGGTCGAAGCTAAAGTCACATCATATTCCTCTCTCTGATGCCTCCTTCACTTCCCCTCTGTGACTCGTGTATCTTCCGCTGGCTGACCTCTGCGCTCACACGGACACTGATGTCAGAACAGCACTCCTCTTTTCTGTCTTTATTAGATTACAGGAGCGAAAGGAGAACAGAAACAGAGATTTATCCTTCAGGAGGGCACAGAGGTCAGCTCAGAATGAATCAAATAAACAACCCGAAGAGAGGAACAACCAATCTTTGGTTCTCAATAACGACCGGAGGGAGCCCAACCCACGACTAGCATTTCACTGTTACATCAACACTTAGAGGATTAGGGTAAAATTATACTATTTAGATCATTTTGGAGGTTTGACAGGTTCAAACTGCTGAGACAAATCTGTGTGGAGTAAGAACAAAAAAGGACAAAGCATTTTCAGCAGGAGGAAGAGAAGGACATGCCAAGGTTTAGAGCGCCAAAACCGTCAGGAAGACCCCCAGAAAGGAGAAAAAAGTAACAAGAGTTGCAGAAAGTTGTTGAGTAAAAATACAGAGGTGAACATGATATTTTTTTGATCATTTAACAGACAAAAAAAAGTGATGACTTCTCTCTTTTTTTCCTTAAATTGTGGCACAAGAACTTAAGTTTTAGCTTTAAAAACAAAGTTGTAGTACAAAAACTCTTCGATTCATTTCTCTGCAATACAACCACAAGGACTACAGTCTCTCAGTGTTACATTACATAATAGCTAAATGTGCCTGCCAGACTCTGCTGAGGGGTAAAAAGTCCCGTGCCTGGCTGGTGCTCAGCAGGCTTTGTGTGGGTGGACTCTGCCCTGCGTGAGGCAGCGTGGGTAGATGGTCCAAGGGTCAACTGCTGACCTGTCATTTTCTACACTACGGGGGGGAGACGCTAATTACACACAATTAGCTATTCAGTAATTATTTTGGTGGTAGTCTGAGAAAGTAGTTTTAAATACCTGTGGACATACTTTTTGATTTAAATACTGCTCACCATAGAAGAAGTACAAATGAGTGTATTTAGTGTACGGAGAAGCAGCATTTAGGCTTCGACGGGTGAAGATTTTCTGAAAAAACCACAGTTGGCAGGAGCTGGGCTGTACACTCATCAGCTCTCTTTAGTCAAGCAGAAAGTAAACAGCATCACCAGATCATCAGTCCACAGTTTGACTCTTGGTGCCCTTCCTGTCAGGAGTTGAGTGAACATGTGCTTCCTAGCTAAACACTGAGCACACGCGAGGTTGTGAGTCTGAGTAGACGGAGAGCTCTCAAAGGCAATTTTATCCTGCATCCTGGTGTGTTTTCTTTTTGTTGTTGCTGCTGCTGCTGTCAAAAGTTTAAGAACAGCTTTTGAAAGTTACTCGGGCTACGATTTAGATCTGTAAAACGCTGCATTATTTATCCTGAGAAGACAAGTAGCATTTCCAAACACCACCAGTTTCCTGCGCCCGGTTTGATAAATGTGTTTACTGCATCTGTATCGATCAGCAATATAAAAGGTGTCAGCTTTCTTTTATTCAGTTTCTTATAAAGACTCGCGCTCCTGGCTCTTTTTCTGTTACGACAAATGAATCTCGCTACACCTTCTCGTCTAAGAGGTCCGTTATCAGAGATGTAGCTGAGCCTGCACCGCTGGCTGCCTCATCACCGCCGCGGCTGCGATAACAATCTGAGAGGCAGACAGCGGCGCTCGGGGACGGATTAGACCACAGCAGTGGGTACAGTAATAACAGCTGCTGCTTCGGCAAAGCCTCGCAGTCAACGAACAGGAACAAAACACCCGTTCAGCTCTGCCTGGCAGGAGAAGAAAAAAAGAGGGAAAGACTGTCCTCCCATTTTTCTTTGCTTATCCAATTTTCTCTCTTCTTTTGATTGCTTTTCTCATCATGGCTGAGCAGAGTAATTGGACTTTCCTCCTCTGCTCCAGCTGTGCAGCAGTTTAAAGCGGCGAGGATCTACATGTTGAATATACCTGTCTGATGCATAATGAGGCTGCAGTAGTTAATGGTTTTAATGGACTCGTGAAAGAGCGTTTCTGTGGAGATTACTCTGAGTGGGTGACCCTTGTCCTTCATCGTGTTTGTGAAGCTGTAAGAGCGGTACATCTTTTCTCCTCTGAGGTGTGTGCGCGCGCATGTGTGTGGCTTACCAGCACCTCCTGGCCTCCTCCGGCTCGTTCCACACTCAGGTGTTCATCTGAGCCCTTCAGCTTTCTCACCTGAAACCACAAACAAGCAGAGAAAATAATTGAAAAATTATAAATGAGTTAAAAGTGGCTGGGGGAAATAAGTCCAAATGAAATCATTAAAACAGCATTACGATCCACCTGCAACCTGCAGCCAGTGCACCTTATTATCTCCAAACTGATTTATACAGCCTCACACAACACTGTAAAACTTCACAGCGCTTCCACAAACAGTCTGAAGACTCAAGACAAAGTCGGTGACAGAGTTTGTGACGTAATGTCAGTCGTATCAGCACCATGGACAGCACTACATGTCGTGCTCATAGACTGTATATAAAATGGACAGTCTGCCTCCTCGCTGGGTGAAGCCACTCCGAAAACAGCACCCTCTGGTGACAGGCTGCAGTATAGGTCATAAATCCCGCCTCCTCCAGCAATCCCTATGGAGCTGTGGACAAACTTTAGAAGTTAATTACACAGAACATAAATTTTTCTCCCCCCTGCTTGAGGTGTTGACATGTAGTTACAGTAAGACTGATTTGTGCTCAAGTCCTCTTTTTTCTGTGAAGCTCCGTTTTTAAAAGTTATTAGGGGGTTCATGTTTTCTGTGATTGACACCTGATACAGCCTATGGGTGTACGAGGATTGCGTAGCTCACCAGGGGGATACACTGTTCTCTGTGACTCTCCCGCCGAATGCGCACAACGCTACTGCGCAGCGCTGGTTTCAGGAAATGAAGAAAAATCCAGAAATACCGAGAGCTTTTTGGCTTCAAATCCGTATACAGGCGGGAGGTGGAACCAAGTTGTCCATAGTATATACAGTCTATATTGAGGAACTGTGTTTCAACCATGCTAAACCTAATCTTATCTGATTAGTTTAACTCGATATTTACACGAATTTTGCCCTAATTTAGGTACATTTTTCTATCTCAGGGAGCTTTTGGGTGTTGTAACAGTTTCAGGGCTTGGTCTAATCAGGAGACAATCTTGTGGTGAACAATATAAGCTGGTATACAATCCGCACACAGACACCAGTCGAGCAGAGAGGAAGATAAGAGGCAGAGACACCAAAGGGCAAAAACAAGAGAGCTAATATTCCAGTGACCTGATGCTATATCTGCTGCCTGCTGGAAACCACAGGAACCATTTAGTTTGGATCTGTTTCTGTTTGAAGCCCCGGTCGTCTTTGATGTATCGCCGTCAATTAAGGGGAGAAGAAACAATCTGATCAATAATAACGCCACTCAAGGGCGTAATATCTCTTGAAATGAGCTCCATCAAAGCAAAAAGTTGTACGCAATCGAATTCTACCGTTGATAGTTGAAAAAGGATTTATCTATCTATCTAAAAGCTCTCAGTGAAAGTCAGAACAACAAAACCTCAAAGTCTGACCTATAATTTTAATAAATAGCTGAATCAACACCTCCAAGATAGAGTCAATAAAACTCAAACTTAATTCGCATCACTAAGCTTTTATTATTGTCCTTGTGCAGATGCTCTTTGTAAACTGGTACCCTAAGTATTTTTCATAACAGTAAACATATCAATACAACATTTCTCAACACTGAGCGGACGTCAGCAGAAGCCTCTGACGTCAGTAGACATCTGTGTTCATCAGGGATACACGCCGACCATCAAACAGACTCCTAAAACTTCATGCTCAGCCAAAACGCATTAAAGATTCCTCAACTTTAGCTCATTCGGCCGGAGCTGCAGCAGGAATTCCAACTGGAAAATATGTCTCTGCAGCTTACACACAAAATGTAATAATAGAAGTTTGCCACAGAGATAAAAAAGTTTGGATTATTACCTGCCCTCATGCACTGTTGGTTCACCTGCAGCAGAGCTCCAGAAGGAGCTCTATAACAAGCCTCATTCTCCACTGACTCAGAGGAATAGGGATGTACCCCCACCTACACACACTAATCCCTGAAGCCTATGATAAAAAAAAAATGCACATGCCCAAATTTTAATCCGTGAAACCCAAAATAAAAGAACTGGCTGTGGATACTGCAGTAACTATTAAGAGGCTGCATGGTAATCTATAAGAAATGAGCCCACAGAGCTTTGAAGAGGGTCGTGAAACCAGGGACGTTAAGTGACGCTTTCATCCTTTAAAAAAAGCAGCAAGAGTGAGCTACTTTATTTCCCTAGATCAGTCTGTCAAACGCTAAAAATATTCCTGAACTGGAAAAGCATGAGCAGTTACAAATGACTGGGAGAAGATCAGCTCAGCAAAACAAGCGTCAGACCTGGATTTCTATATGACCTGATGTTTCTTGTCCCTTATTTGCCCTTTTAACTCCATTTGTGATTGTTTGGGAGGTCTCTCTCACTTTTTGTCTGTTGCTTTGTTCAAATATCATCTTTAACCTTGTAACAAGAGATGGATTCAAATCTACCAACAAGCTTTGGATTTGTTTGGATAAAAGTATAAAAAGGACTTAATGGAGAGAAAAGTGATTAAAGCAGGCCAATAAGAAAGGCAGAATTAAAGGAAATCAGAAGAAAGGACTGGCAGATATTTGTTTTTAAAGGCCAATTATAAGAAGTTAATGAGACCAAGAACTGATATTTGGATCTGATCTGAATCTAAATTAAAAACTGTCTTAATTGCAGAACATTACAAACTCCAACACAAAACTTATTTTCTGATGCCTTTGACAATTTATTTATTAAAAGTGCTTTTTTAAAATTTAAATAAAGTTTCTCTTTTATATTATATTATATATATTATATTACATGACATGACATTATGTTATATTATATTGTATTGAATTGTAGTGTATTGTATTACATTATCTTACATTACATTATGTTACATTATGTTACGTTAAGTTACGTTGCGTTTCATAACATAACATAACATAACTTGTATTGTATTGTATTATATTACATTATATTATATTACATTACATGTTTTGTATTGTATTTTATTGTATTGTATTACATTATAATATTTCATTTTATATAATATCATATCATATTATATTATATTATATTTTATTATATTATAATATATTATATTATATTATGTTATATCATATCATATCATATCATATTATATTATATTATATTATATTATGTAGTACTATCTAACTTTTCACATCATAAAGATAAGTGAACAATTAGCTAGTTACTCTTAATAGGACAATCCTGTGACCTCTATCCAGTCTTAAGTGTTGTAGGCGGTAGATTTGGTAAGAGAAAACAGACGCAGATTCAGGCAATTAGCCAACCAGATATTAGCCAGGGCTAATAATCAGTCTACCCTTAATGAGATACCCTTAACTGTATCAGCAGCTCTTAAACTCTACAGTCTCTTCAATCTCTACAGGAAAGGGAATAAAGAATTGCCTCAGACTCCTAGAACTAGTCAGTAAATTCCGAGCAGAACAGCCGGAGTCAGCGGGGTGGAAGCTAACTGCAGTTCCAGGAGGTTATTAAGCTGTGAGGTGACCCACTAACTGTTGAACTCCTGAACCTGATCTGAGGTCAGGTAAGCTGTCACACTGAACACAGACACAGAAGAGGAGAGGAATCCCCCGAGGGAAATGTCAAGGCTCTTCCACCCTCTCCTCTTCCTGATGAACACATGCTAAGAGCTTAGACCAGGATTATGTTTACAACTTTGTTACTCCGTGCTGACAGGAGTGTGCGTTTGTGTGTGTGTCTTTTACCTTGGCACTGCTGTCTGAGTGGCGTCTGGCACATGCTTGAAGTTGACTGATCCAAAACTGCTGCTCTTTGGCATCAGATGCTGGAAAGACAGAAAACAAAAGAGCACAAACAGAGTTACACGTCTTTACTTTAGACTTTAGAAATCACCAACAGGAGCTCAAAGTCACGGTGAAGATAAAAACAACCTGCAGAGTCAGACGCATCTTCACTTGACTTAGAAAATAACATCCAGTATTTGTGATAGTTCTGTGACCTCTACAAGTTAAATCAGACTTTATTTGAGAGACCGTCGTTCTCAGTGTGTCACTATCGTCTGATTAATTCAACAATACAAAATTAAAGTTATAAAGGTTAAGGTGAATTGCTCTTTTTTTAAAACCACTTTGTCTGTGTGACTCCACAGCTTTAAGTCTGTATGTTTTTTTATTTTAGGTTTAATAAATGGTGGTTCTGACTGAAGTATTTTCCTGTGATATAAAAGAGAAATGAGTCTTAAAGTTAGCTGATGTTTTAAAATGCATTAAGTGAATGATACATTGAATTTTTAAAGCTTCGTTAAAGAGCTTTAGGTTCGTGTAAATTTTGGCGCCCCCTGTGGACAAAGCAGTCTGTGTTTATCAAGTCCCCAACATGCTAAAGCTGTGATTTCTGACAAAAATGAATCCTGCTGACTTTTCACAGTCAGACATATCATTAATTAAGATGAATGCAGGGCTGTTCTCACAGGTTTTACTGACCCCTACCCCCTTACACCAGATTCAAGCATAATAATTGTAATATAAAAATCGTCATTGTTGGTGTTGATGATCTTGTTTGCTTTTGCACCTGATGAAGAGACATGAGTGTGAATTTCAGTCTGTTTCTTCAATGTGAAAAAAAAAATCCTCACAGGAGCTTTAAATGAGTCAATTTAATAATAAGGTCCTTTAATTTCAGAGATACAAAGAAACACCAAAAGTAAGTGGTCATGTGAAGTGTTTTTTCTGTCAAATCTAACTCACAAAACAAAACAGAAAAAGCAACAAAAAAAAAAATCCCAAATTGAAGGAGGGTTCAAACTTTAGATGGATAAATAAATCAGATGTTGATTCAATAACTGCAGTTCAAGCTCAAGTCGTTAGCTTGGGCTCAAATCTTAAAAACAACTCGAATTGACCAAAGTGCTGAACAATCAAATAAAGAGACAATAAATTGAACTAAAACCTCAATTAAAAGAACTCTAACACACACCACAGAGCTCATCTTTAGCACCTTCCTGTCAACATTTTAAGCTCTAACATAACCACAGCAGGTTTAACCAGACTGACACAGTCATATATAGAGTTTGGCCTCAAACTTGGTTTACAGAGAGGAAAAGAGGCAGAGACCAAAACCCACATTTAGGACAGGTGGTGGATTTTTTGAGGTTACCAGTGCAGCTTTATTTCTATTTCAGGAGGCAGTCCCTCTTGTCAGCTGAAGCAGTCTTTTGTTAGGGTTTTAGGTTTGAAGTACTCTCTCGAGTTCAATTGGAAAAGGAAAAAGGGAGCATACAAGGACACAAAACCCTAAAGGAGTAGTCCAACATTTCATTATATCGCTTTAAACTCTTGAAGTGTATTTGTAAATATAAAAGCTCATGATATTATTCAGGAACAGGCACTCATTGCAAATCTGCACCACTTTGAACAAAGCATGACTAAAGCTGTGTGTTACATCAGTGTCGTCCTGTTTGACGTCAGTGATCCCATCCATATACATTATCATTTAACTGGCCAACTGCCTACCCAACCATTTGTTCCTGTTACCGTCGTCAGGGCTGGCGTGACATCTGACCCTCTTCATTCATTTTGCTCTTCTATGCAGTATTAAACACTCAGGATTCAAGAAACACAGTAATTCATTAAGTCAATTTTCTTCTCCAGCAGAAGAAGCAGCATGATACTCTACATGACTGTGGTTTTCCACTTTGATAGTTAATACGATGCACACAGTTATCAGGACACGAACGGCCAGTGAGAGCTCAGACTTGCTGACTAACAGAGAGCAGGGCAGGTTCTCACAGCTGAAGGACTGTCTGTTTGTGGTGACCCTCTTCAGGACAGAAAGGGAAAATAATATCCTCTGATCCTATTTCACTGACTCATAGGAAGTCACTCCAAAAAGCATTACTCTAACTTAAATATCCCAAACTGATTTAATCAATTAGTCTGTAAAATAAACTTATCCATTAATACTGTGAGCTGCCATCTAAAGTAGTCACGGTTTCTCAAGGATCTTTGAACACAATCACACTAACAGAAAATACACAGACTTTACAGCACCTTGCATGAATGCATGACTCATACAACTGAAGGTCAAAAACCTCAAACGATGACTGAATCAAAGCTTCACTTCTGCCAAAACAGCAGACTTTACTCAGATCCAAACAAGAGTGTCATCTCTACAGAGAATCAAGAGAGGGTCTTGTCTTCATGAACCTTAAATCTCTCTAAAAAAAAGAGTCTTCTTTGTGCTCACTTGCCAAAATTCATACAATGAAGTTGATCAAAATTTTAACATATGATCCGTTTTCTTCGTGTGGCTTGTTTTGGCAAGCTTGTTTCAGCAACACCTCCTCAATTTTGGCTTGTTTTGAATTTTCTAAAGAATCTTGTCAGGCATGAAACTACAAACAAAAAATAAAAGACTTCATTGGCTGTGTCAGCTTGTTGGAGCAGCATATTGGATTGTCAAAATGCAAAACAGGAAGCACAAAGAAACATGAAGTAAAAGGGTCTCGGTTAAAAAGCACACTTTGTTGTCCAACGGCATCTGAAACTCATTTTCTTACAGCTTTAATAGGAGGGCCGGCACCCAACTATCACTGTGACTTTTTCAAAAGAGATCATATGACAGGAATACCTGCTTCGACAATGTATGGATAAGAAAAGACGAGATACAATGGGATATGGGACAATAGAATACAATATGATATGGTACAATATGATACACCAGGATACAATACAACAGGACGCAATACACTGGGGTATGATTCTTAGTGATAATATACCATATAATAGGATACAAAATGACATGAACTTAAACTATCTGATAGGATCTGACACTACGCCATATATGGAAGAACAAGTTACGAAACACAAATAATACGAAACGATACAAAAAGACACAAGACGATGCAATAAAATATGATACAGTACGAAAAAGTACGGTGCAAAACTGTATAATACGATACAGTGTAATATTATATACTGCAGTACAGCACGATGTGATACAATACGATACGATCTGATACAGCACGAGACGATAGAATAAGATATGGTGGATATGGTACATTGAAGTGCAATACAAAAGGATACAATGCAATCCGAAAAGAAACGATACAATACGATACAATATAGTGCAAAACTATATGTTAAAGTGCAATGCATTATGGTATGATACAGTGTGAAACGATACATGATATGGTGCGATACAAGGCTATACGATAATGTCTGGCAAAGTGCGATAGGGTGCAGTATGGTGGGATGCGATACGATACGAACTTTACGATACAGTGTGATTTGGTGTGACACGATGCATACCATGTGATATGATACAATGCAATGTGGTACAATACGATTAGAGGTGATGCGGTGCAATGTGATACAGTGCGATAAAATACTTTAGGACACACTATGAGGCAATGTGATACAATAAAATTTAATAAGCTACAACCTGATACGATACGATACAACCTGACACAATAAGATACAAGACAAAACCAATTCAATATTCAACATGATAGGATACAGCACAACAAGGAGCAGAATGGACTAGAATGGTATGAGACTACTCAATAGGGTACAGTAGGGCATGTTTCAGAATCATTTAATGCAGACTGGATATATTACGAAGACTCAATTAGAAAGAAAGGTATCATTCCTGAAGGTTTTTCTGCACTACTAGTTCTTAATTTAATCAACAATAAAAACATGTTAAACATAACAACAATAAAGGTTACATGAAATATTAAATAAGAACGAAGAATTCTTGTAAGTTAAAAAACAAACTAACTTAAAGTAAAAAAGCAATGACAGAAATGTTATTCTGAGAGGTGGAAAGAGATAAAATCACACTTCCCTTTCCAAGTCTGACATTTTCTTCGAGGTATTTTCCCTTCAAAGGAAAAAGCTTCAAATGTGCAAAAGGATACACACCCACGGTTAGAGAGTCGATAATGAAGATGGATGGCTTCATCAGATTTATGAGCAATTCCATCAACAGTAAATGAAATCTATGAAACGTGACAAGTGTTTTTTTTGACACACTGATGAAAATTACTCAGACGTATGGAGAATTCAATTTGCGGCTGTCAGTCACTCGCGCTGAAGACATCTGCAACAGCAACCGGAGTCAAAAGGCCTCTTGGAATGAAGAGGCAGCTCGGAGAAAATGAGACTTCATAGAAACTCGGAGCAGCATTCGAGACGTGATCCCAGAGGCTTCTCAACTCTTAAGGAGGTGAGTATTCACACAGAAAGAAGCACCTGGGCCCAGCTGTCTTTCAGCTAAAATACCAAGTTACCATCTCTCTGACGCCATTCCAGCCAACCCAGAGAGAGAGAGAAAGAGAGCGAGTCTACATCTTCTATTTTCCTCAGCGCTGTGCACAAGCCTTCCTATGATTAAGTATAATTAGTTGTCTGTATTGAGTGCAGCACTGTGTGGCTATGCTAATACGCATCTGTTCACATGGTGACGAAAGAGATACACACACACTGCTTAGCGAGAGCAGGACAGGCTGTCCTAATTCAGGAAAAATACAGATAAAAAAATTTAAAGCAGGTTTTGTGTCACAAGAGCCGCGGACCTTAAGGGAACATGCTGACAGCTCTATTTATTTGATGAATGCTGGAGATGTGAGCTGTAAACCGATGGGACTAACAAGGAAATGAGAAGCTGGTCCGTCTTCCAATTTAAAGTGAGTGACAATAGAGACTCACACTGGCCTGCATGTCATATTTAAATGTCAATATCCATCCCAGGGAGACAGCTGAACACCACGACTGAGTCATAGGGACCTCGATTTCAGTCAATCACAGCCCCACCATCGTCGTTCAGTTATAAGAGCCATTTTAATTACAGCATAGGGAAAGACACTGTGGTGAAGATAACAGTAAATTAGAGGATTAACGCTTGTAATGGTGGTTAGATTTGATTAAAGGGATGGAAGATGTTATGAATGAGGAACCTTGGGCGTATATTACCAGGAAATATGGTTACAGCTAGAGCAGTCAGAGAAATGGACCTTTCCTGTAAGTGCCTCTGGATTAATGATGTACTCGTCTGAATTTTCTATTGTAGCTAAAACTTTATGTTTGGGGCTCCACTGGAGGAGTTTAACACTGGATTCACAAGAGAGTGGACTCAACTCGGTTACATCTAAATGATTTAAGAAGCAAACAAGACCATCATCTACAGTTTTGTGCAGTGAATAAGCACCGTGTCAACACAGCCTATCTCTCTTGAAAGATAAACTGGGTTGGGGTTATGCAGAGGTTGCAAACACTATGAATATTTCGGCAGGTTTTCGGTCATGTATTGTCTTTGATTTTAATCATAAGAACAAGCTCCCACCACAAAACGCTACAAATATCTCTTTTTCATTTTGGTTCTTCTCAAATGTGCGTCGTGCATCCAAATCAGGCTGTTTTAAAGCTGTCCTGAATACAACTTGACCTTTTTATTGGCCCACTGTCTCAGTGGGATGTGGTATGAAAAACAGCTTAATTTGCTGTCAGCACCATCAGGCATGATTAAACTCCCAGCGCTCCTCACCTATGCTGGAGAACACAAGGTCTTACTGTTTCTCTCCATCAGATAATTAATACTTCTTTCATATTTATCTGCACCAACTAATTACATCTTTCTTCTCAAGCAAACCTCACGGCTGTTATATGACACTTTAAATTACCAAGATGGATCCAATTAAAGTTTCCCTGCATTTCCAAGAAACATTTGATTCATAACAAAATTGTCACAAAGACGGTAATGAAATTGAGGTTGTTGGTTTGGTTTCATAAGTATTCTCTACTTTTAGTCAAATAAATACAGTGGCCCTGAAGGTCAAAGGAACACATATTTTAGGAAGGCAAAACATAGATAATTCATAAAACACAAAAATATTTTATTAAATGAAAAAAAAAATTCAACAACCCAGAAAATGTTTTACAAATCACATTAATGTTTCACATGAGTCTAAAATAAAAATAAGGAGACACAAATTAGTTAGAAAAACACACAAATATTTTTGGAAAACACCAAAAATTATGAAATAAATGAAATTTTTAATCCTTCATAGTTTTAAAAAAAAGCCAATATATTTATTAAAACAAAATTATAAATTCTCAAAAGAAATATTGTGGAGACATTTATCAATAAAAAAATCTAAAACATTTGAGAAAATAAATATGTTTTTGAATTTATTTGTATTCAAAATAATTTGTTTTCTCATATATTTTTTCTGTTTAAAGATTCTTTGAGTTTTCAAAATATTGTTGTTTTTAATATTCATTTACATTCCTGTAATATTTTTTTATAATTCATTTCTGTTTTGTTTTGTTTTTAAATTGTGTTTGTGTGAAAAGTTTTTCATGGTTTGTTAAATGTACTCCTGAAATATTTGTTCCATTGATCTTCAGGGCACTGCAAATTCATGTCATAGGGGGATTATTAAGATGCTAGCAAAGTAATTTTTTTGACTTCTCTCGACATACCCAAATCTTTTATATAATTTTTTTGGTGAATAAACTCAAACCACAATTCCACTTGTTAACAGTTACTTGTTATTTCATTTCAATTGATGGAGATCACAGTGATTGAGGTCCAGTGTGTTACCAGCACAATGTGTCAGTTTCCAACCTGGGGATATTTTGGCTTCACTTTTGTAAGACTGGAGAAAGTCGTCCATTCCTGTCTAGAGTCAACGCTAAAGTTTGATCTCATACTACATTATATGTGATTTACGATAAGTTAGAGCATCATTAAAGGAGGAAATTCATCCAGTATTTTCACCCAAAAAGCAGAGAGACTTTGGTATTACCTGATAAGTAAAAAATAGAGATAAAAATAAACTTCTGCCTGTGGATTTTGGACAGTGAAAGGATCAAATCTGGTGAACTTTAAACTGCATAAATGAAACTAAAACTAGCAGCTATCCCCAGTGGAAGCTTTGCCCTTTTACTGTGTATCCAGTATCTCCTCCCACCAGGTAGTGAGGGACATTTTGTTCAATACACCCTCTTGTGAAAAGGTATCAACCTGAGAATAAAGGTGGCCTTTAAAGCTTTAGACTCTGGTGAGATGATACGCAGCTTACAAGCTCTGCCAAAAAAAAAAGAAAAATAACAAGAAAGGGCCCTAGAATGAATCTTAAAGTTACTTTTTTTACCCTCAGGGAAAACTTTCAGGGGTTTCCCATGGCAACCAAATCAGATCTGAGGCGTAGAGGCTAATCTCAATCACCGGCTGTTGTGGGTGTACATGTGAGCGCTTTGTACCCCACTGTTTGCGCAAATTGAAGTTTTTTGTACAATGCTGCCATTCAAGCAGAGTGAATGCGGGGTTTCATAAGTTATTTTATCCTTTTTTTTGGAAGTCTGGGGTCTCGACACCAGTCAAAGATTTAAAGGGTCCATGTTCGTTTGGCTGTAACAAAATCTTCTTTTTAACTCTCTTTGACTTCATTGATCACTCCTTAATCTCACTGAGGAGCTAGAAATGGAAATACCACTCTGCCTTTGAGCATAACTCTCCCTCTTCTTCTTCCTCTTCTTCTTCTCTGTGGGCTCATTGTTTGCTCTTCACTCAATACACACGAACGACTAAGTTATTCAGGGAATATAGGCCAAGTTTTTCTGATATCCTCCCCCTCGAGACTTGGAGGGGACATTCCAGCGGCTCAAGTGGAGCAACAGTAAAAAGGAGCCTCTCTCGCATCAGTGGATACAGGTCACAGACATTAAAGGCCTTCAGACACAGTGACCAGCTGCAGGCTCTTTGTCTGGAGCTCAATCTAAAAGAGACAGCTCCCTTCAGACTGTCTTTGGCCGGAGTGACACTTTCCACACAGATGCTATGCTACAAAACTGTATATTCACAGTGGGTGGGAGGCATGTTTAAAAAGCACTTGGCTGACAAAATGGGACAGAAATTCAACAATTAAATCTGCTTCACAGCAAATACAGGCTGAATTAGAGCTGACATTTATCACCAATAAATTATAGATATTATACATTTACATCACGGCCACAAACAGCTTCCTATGAAGATTGGTTTTGAGTTAAAGCTCCTGTGGGGAAGTTTCAGACTTGTGTTGACTTGGGCGCCCCCTGTGGCCAAAGATGGTACAGCTTATTTTTACTGCTCTTGTACTGGACATGTTTTGGTGTTTTAGTCATTATAAAAATTCTATAAGTAAAGAAATATTCACTCTTGTTTTCGATTTTTATTTGCTTTTGTAAATCATATGAGGCTTTAGTATTCATTTCAGTCAGTAATTTGATGAATCTTACATACTTACTTAATCTACCCTACTCCAACTTCTGCACATTTTTTTCAGAGAGTCATAAATCCCACCTCCTCAGAGCAGCTACAGGTGTTAAAATTACTTTTTCATAGTTGTCCTTCATGTCACTACTGGTTTTGTTTGCATCTAAAGGTCATAAAGTGCCATCACTGTTAATTTCAGCCTGTTTCACAACCAGTGAAAAACTCCTTACAGTGGCTTTAATGTGTGTATATGTGTGATCAGGTTAACCCTGGTGTCATTATTGGTACAGAGACAATAATGACAATCAGAATTAAGTATTTACTTACTTTCCAAGGAAGTAAACAAATCACAAAGTAAATTGATATGATGTTAATCGGAAATATTGATGACAATACCTTTAAGGTTAAGTGCCAGGTAAGTGTAACATCACCACCTTATGCTGGGTAAATTTGCATACAGCAGAGAGAAAAAGAAGACAAGCCAGCGCACTGATTTAAAGCCACAAAGACATATTTCACACCATGGTCTTCATTAGGTGGCTTATCCTCGTTTCCAGGAGAGTGTGCATGACCCACTTACGACAAACTGTGATTTAGCATTATTCTACTTGTTGATGAATATCCAAAAAGAAGGGCATAGAAATATATTCAATACTCATATGAAGACAAAGGTCCAAACTAGGACAGCAGTGACCGCTCTCATGTATTTACAAACACCAGAAGGGACAAGTTAATTCATAACTGTGTGTGTACACTGCACTCAAAGAAAGATGCTCCATCATAAAACACACACACACACACTGCACACAGAGTTTGCACTCTGCCATATATGGGCATCCTGAGGCCTGTGTGAGGGCATACCTCTGAGTTTATACAGCTCTCCATTGACAGAGTTTACGATAAACATGTGCGGAGCTTCGTCGCTCGGGGTTACGGAGGCACCAATCAGGGGCAGGGACCCGCGGGGCTTCTGGCTTCTTCCCTGCTCATTGACAAAGTACTGCAGCTGTCCCAACTCTGTATCCAATACAAAATACCTAAAAGACAGACAGAGAGAGAGGAGTCAGGAAAGTAATGGCAAACATCATAAACTTTATCATATTTTTGTTTTATGCTTTCATTATCGCAGCTTGTTACCAGAAAAACTTTTGTTGGAAGTAAAAGAGAGGATAAGAAAGAGCTGCTGTGAAAAACACGCATTTAACATCCTTCAATTCCTCCCTTCCCATGCAGCAGTGCCTTCAGGATATTATTCAACAGAGCTTTTCAAATGCAGGATGCTTTAAAAACACCCATATGAGCACATTTTACTGCCTGCCTTCACACAACATCCAGCCAGCAGCTCAAATCAGAATTACTCAAGGTAGCAATTAGTGTGGTCATCCCAGCTCCAAGCGTGGAAATTAAACCCCACATTTCCCCCTTTGTGATTAATGAATCACATTCAATCGTCAACTAATTGAATCCTTCTGCCTCGCTCATCGCTGCCTGGAAGATTCAAGACTGAACAGACACATAAGCTGAGACACAGGGAAGAGGATGTGTTTCATTTCCTGCTCTGCTTCATGTTTTGTTCGAGTTCTGCAGCTCAGCACAGGCCAGATTAGCTCTCTGTGGCTTTGGCTGACCTCTCTGTGTTTGTGTAAAGTGGCTTGAAATATTAGGAATTTTCTTAGTTGTGCCTTTTGGTCCAGCAAAATCCTGCATGCATTGTTACTGATTGCCTGAAATTCTCACATTTTCCTAATCGATGCTTTTCTTCCATGTTGAGTTTACCAAAAACTCCTGAAGTCCTGAAAAACTTTGTTGTATTTTTATCTTTGGATTTGTCTGAAAGTTGGAATTTTTAATTTCCATTTATGGGAAATTAGTTGCTTCAGAACATCCCTTATCAGTATTCTGCACAAAGTTGAGCAGTGCATCATTTTTTTTTTCTATTTTAAAATCCCTCACAAACTTAAGGTTGCTCTTAAATTTGTTTCATATTTATAAGCTTTTTAGTTAAAATTTGGGCATTTTCATAACAAAGTAGAGTGTTTTTTTACACAAACAAAATAAAGCGTTCTGATGCTTAAAACTTCCCAGAAGAGCACTGCTGGACCCATCAGCCTAGTGATGGGCACGGCAGCACTTTTAAATGTACTGAATCACTAGAATCAGTTCACTAAAAAGATTCGTTCACCCAATCACTGAATCATTCAGTGCTTGGCGGGAGAAGCCTGTGACTCCGACCTCCTGAACTGATACACGGCTGAGATTCTGGGACCGGGAGATGAGAGTGTTTGGCTGTGATGCTTTGGCAAACAGGTTTGTAAAAATGAGCTTGTTTATAAGTCATGATGTTTTAAGTGTACTGTCCTATGGTATGCTATTTATCAGGTCTGCTCGGTAAATTGGGTTCAGTGTGTGATTCGTTCACGGAACGTTTAAAAGAACTCACACTGAGCATTCACCGTTCCCTCGCAAACCGCTGCAATGATAGGATGCTGCGGGTTTAATGCACTACTTGTTACATGCTGTGTCCTATTGTATGAAAGTTGTTGTGGTGGCAATTTAGCAGTTAAAAATTTTAAAAAAGTTAGTTTTGTCCTACAAAAATGATTCCAGATAGTTCAAAGCGTGATTCGTTTACCAAGTGATTCAGGCATCAGTTCATGCGATCCCTCATTCGCCGGCTGCTCACCTGGCAATGCTGCGTGCTATAGCATCTGCCCTACTGACAGCTCAACTGAAGTGAGAAACGAACGAATCACTTGAGGAAGTGATTCGGTTCAGTACGTTCACTTTAAAGATTCAGTTCTTTTGAACTAATCATTTGTGAACAACACAACACTACATCAGCCAGCTCAAATCTGATTACACTGAAATGAACTGAACAGTTCAAGACCCTTTTCCTAAAGAGAATTAGTCTGGTGGCGCTGGACTAAATTTTCTTTCTGACCATACATTTAATTTTTATAATTCACTGTCATACAAAACATGCTGTTATGTGACATTGTCCTTCCTTTCATTATACAGTCATTTAGATTTCTATAATTAGTGGCTTATAAAAGTGGTTAAAAAAGACAGTAATTCCCTTAAAACATGAAAAATGTAAAAACTGATTGATAAATTTTCTTGGTACATGAAACAGTGAAATGTGTTCAAAGACAAAACATGATAAATGTATTCACTGCTCAAAAATGTACATGTAAAGCAGAGATGATAACTCTGCTCCTGCATCTCTCACATCATGAGCCCTCCCCTGAGAGGATGCAGTGAATACAGCTCTCTGAAAATTGATCCCCGCTCCAGTCTTACCCCCTACCACCAAGAGAGCTCATGATTTATGCCCACCACAGCCAACCAAGGGAGCAATCTGCCTGCGTCAGATTCTATCCAGCCATCTCTTTTTCCCCTCACGCAGACAGAGTACACTGTTTGTGATGTCTTATCCTCCGTTCGGTCAAAGCGTTTACCGTTGACCCCTTCAGGCATTCTTGCCACAATGCAGACCTTTGACATGATGGATGGTGCCCGGTTGAACCTGGGGCTTTACATTCAGCCTCTTGTGTCATAGCAGCGCTGATAACAGCTGATCTGGGTGACCGCAGAGTCTCCGTGCTTCAAACTCAACCTAAACCTGGAACAACCTAACATGAGACAAAGAGGCCTTTTGCTTCCTGGCACAGAGCTATAATGTGCCTACCTGTCAGTCAAATAAGCCACACCCCTTTTTTGCCTTCTTATGCAAATCTAGACTGTTATCCTGAAAGAAACGGGCTTTAACATCATCTTTATCTCTTCACAATCCTGTCCAAAGACCAGACAAAGACTAAAAACTCCCAAATGTAATAAAGCATCCACGTGATGCTTGATCTTTAACGACATGAAGCTTCCTGAAAACTCATCGGTTTTGTTTTCTCTTTGCTGATATCATTCTAATAGATCACCATTATGACAATAATTACACCATTAAATCGAAATCGGCTCAGCCACAGACATTTATCCACATCAACAGATTCACTGTGCCATTTCCTAATGGCATTAACATTGTTGGTGGAGGAAACAGCCTGTCAGCAGAGTTTACGTCTCCACCCAGCTTGTTTTCTCTCTTTATTTGACAGTCACTTCTTAAAAATGGATCAGAGAAAAAAATAGGACCCAATGAAGATAAGAAATGTAATTCAAACATGTTTGGTAATAAAATACGCAGCTTTATAATGTCAGAAGAATCAAAGCTCTATGAGGAAGTAAATTAAAGTTAAAGAAATAGACTGAAACTCAAAGTGATGCCTTTGATGATGATAAATGAAAGCAAACGAGACCATCTGTGACATGACTGACAATTTTCAAACCATTATTTTTACCAGCTAAAATCAGTGTAAGAGGGTTAGGTAGGTGACACAGACACATTACTGTATGAAACATTCACAATAACTGATACATATGACAGTCAAAAGTCAGCAGGATGAGATTTGTCATCTGAAGTTACTACTAAAGCATGTAGAGGACAAGATAGGAAAAAGCTTCTTTGTCCACAAGGGGCACCAAAACTGACAAAAACCAAAAGTTCCTCACAGGGGCTTTAAATGCAAGTCCAAAACCATCTGTTTCCAGCTTAAAATTGGTCTACTAATGGGACTAAGGGATGCCAAAACAAAAACTTGACTCACAATGCTTATATATGGAGGGAGGAATTTCTCATTCGACAATAAATCTCATCACTGATGGAGGTTATATAGTCTGGGCTTTTATTACAAAAACATAGTTAAACAGTAAATTCTTGATCTTAATAACAGCAGTTGGTAAAGTTTCTCCTCAAACACCTCTGCTTTCTTTCAACAATATCACATGGTCGTCCTCTGCAGATTAAGCTAGCTCATTTTCCACGAAACTGGGACCTGACACCTTTTCATTAAACTTTTCTTCTTTCATTCTGACTTGAAGTTTGGAAACCAGATATTTTACAGTGCAGTAACAACTTTCCAGAGTAAATCTAGTTCTGAGGAAAGAGTTACGCAAGAGTCAGCTCAGAAAAAAATGAGGAAGTAAATTGAGATTTTTTGTCAACTCCTGCAAAAAAATCAGCACGTATGCAGCCAAGATAGTCAAAATTTAAAAGAGCATCAAAGGACTAATCAGACTTTTAATCAACAGAAATCAAACACAGTAAGTTTCCAGCCCTTCAGAGCTGCACAACTCAGACTCACAGCTTTGATCAGACGGCACAGAGGTGCTGCTTTTCGGCTAACACATCTGCAGAGAGATATTTCATCCCCACCCCATTGACCACTTAGGAAAACAAACTTTGAATCTGGAGCAATCTTTGCAGATCCAGCCAACGGTCGTGACATCAAGATATAATGAGAGAGCAATGGCTGTTCAGATATTTATGCAATCCTTGAATGACCTGCATATGAAACAAATTATTAGACCTGCAGCCAAACTGGTGCAAGATCGAATGACTCGGAAATATCTCCTGCATCAGACACGTTTTCTTTTTGAATATGAATCAGTTTTTAACATCAACCTGAACTAACTCCACCTCCTTCTACAATATCCTAAGCCTTTGACTGTCTCACACAAGTACAAAAACAACTCAATTTAACGCATATAGCCCAACTTTTAGCATATCCAACAGCTTTATTCTGTAGCACTCCAACCATATTTGTATCTCTAATAAAAAGTCCAAAGGCTCAGCTAGAAATCACTTAAACTCTACATTCAGTCTGTTTAGAGTACGAGGCATCATATACCGTATGTTTGTGTTCAGAAATAGCGAGCGGCAGCATGGTTGTTTGGCTCACAACCTAAAAAAAGAAAGAAAAACAACTTCCCTTGTCAACTTCTGCAACACTTTCCTGACAGATTTTCAGCAAATAATAAAAGTTCTTGTAAATCTCATTCTCACTTTCTGCACAGTCACTTCTCGAACTTTTAACCTCTCATTTTCTCATCCTGCATCGCCTTCTCAAGAAATGATGATGTATTCTCAGTGTGGTTACTCATTAGTTTCCGAAGAGTTGTCGTAAAGCCAAGTGATGGTAGTCAACATATCTGAAATCCAACTAACTTAAGGGCAAATCTCAAAGCCATCGAATCATTCTCACTAATTAACTGTTTGGTCTCTGCTAGTTGTTGACATATTTGAATGCTGACATGTCACATAGTGAACCTTTAAGTCGAGGTGTTGATTTTAGGAAATGTTGCATATCCCAGAAGGTCCTCACAAACAAACTCTGAACATACTTCGTCTATTTGCGAGTGTAGAAACGGCTACCAAGCACTTTTTCTCCAACATAAAACACACACAAAGCACCTACACACAATAACAGCACTTCACACTAACATGGCCTCCCACACAGTGGCAGAATTAGCTACACTCAGTTCTGTTGCCCACCACGACGCCGCCTGCCAAGTGCGCACACACACACACACACACACACACACACACACATATAAAATATGTTATTACACATGACGAATATTGGAAGGTGACTGACGACTGTAATTAACTCCAACACCGTCTGCCACCAGCGCACCGCCACTCCTCTTTCCAACGTTACTATAAATAAAAATACTGAGAGCACTTAAAGATATTACCTGTCTGTCAATGTTGGAGAAGATATTTCTCTTCTTCCAATGAGCTTAAGTGCAGCTTTGAGCTAGAAAAACAGCCACAAAAGAGGGTGTAATTTTGATCATCACAAACTTTACAAGAGTCTATATGGACACTCTTCTATAATCATTGGAGGGTGCAGAGGGTGTAACTGTTACTGATTATTTTAAAGCAAACAGACAGTTGGGTCTTTGACATTCAACACAACTCCATATGCACTCCTTGAAACGCCCTGAGATTACCCAGGATGGCTGCATGTGCATTTTTTAACGCCAGCCCCCCCTCCAGCACGAAGTTTGTGATTTCCGGGTGAAGTAATGCGCTAACACAGCAGGTTATTTCCTGGGGAATCAACAGTAAGCACACTTTTGATTACATCTATAATGCTGCTGCTTTTATCACTTCATGAGTTTTGCAATAATGTGTCAGTTTAAACATTATAACATCTTTTATAGTCACACTGCCAGACCAGCTGTTCTCATTTGACTCAATCTTTGAAATAACAACAGAGTATCAGGGCTGCATTAAAGCTACTATAAGGAGTTTTTTATGTATTTGAAATTGGCTGAAACTCAATCTTTTCATGATATCAAAAACTAAACAAGAGCATCAGGGACAAGACTGACTGTTTGTATTTCTTCGTTTTTAATGGCTGAAGCTGGTGTGAGGGGGTAGGTGTCAGCAGAGCAGCTGATAAAACTTTTTTTTTTATTATTTTCACATAATATAATCACCATAAGAATATATTTGAAGTCTAAAGACGCTAGAGGACAAGATAAGCAAACACTGTATTGTCCACAGGGGGCGCCAAAGTTGACACACACTGATGATCCTCACAGGAGCTTTAAAGAAAACCTTGTGATAATAAAAAAAAATAAAAATAAAAATAATGAAAGTCTATAATAATGATGAAAGTCTACAATAATAATAATAATAATAATAATAATATTATTATTATTCCTGCAATTTCAATAGGACTCTCACCCGCTGCAGCGTCTGCTTGGGCCCTAATTATAAAAACTAAAATGTTGCCCTCCATTGAGTGAAATAAAACAACACAGTTAAATCAAATAAATTCAACCAAGACTAACAAAGAAGGAATAAAAGTGCAGCCAAAAATAATATTCTGTACATTAGTGTGACAACAACACCTTAAACCCCATCATGAATCACTTCCTGTTTGTGAGCTGTATTTGAAACAGCCAGACCAGCAAGGAACAAGATGTGATCATTAAACACTTAAGCCCACTTTAAAAGACATAAAAAGGTGATTTAACTCCATACAGTTGGAGCAAAATCAAATGTGAGCATTAATGTAATAAAATGCTAATCTGAAACATCAAAACAACATCCTGATGAGCTGAAACTCTTGATTATAATTACAATCCCTGACAGCAGATGAGGTGATTCAGGAGATAATTTACAGCTAGAAAGGATTCTTTGCACTGAGTAAATGTGGTTACATACTACAAAGAGTCTTTTCAGGGTGTTTCTGTGTTACATCCATTGAGCTCAAGGTCTCTGTGTCTGCTCCAGTCAATGAACCAAAGGAATCTCCCCTTGAAAGTTAAGACCTTCACCTCAGGGCACTTTGTAACCGAAACCACGCAGGTATCATCACCCAGGAGTAGGGTTGCGTATCATTTGATTTTGAACGATTCCGATTCCAATTTCGATTCCTCATTTCGATTCCGATTCCTATCGATTCTCTAATTCGATTCTTTTAAAAGGCAGGATATCAAAAAGAAAAAAGAAAAAAAAATCATGGTTTGAATGAGGGTGCTAACCGGGGCTCTTGTTTTTGGATGAAATTTCTGAACTTCTCCATGAATTTTTAAATCCTATTAACTTTTTAAGAACTTTACTATGAATTTCTCACAGAGCTATTTTCAACCAGTATATAAATATCAATTTTTGTTTTCAGGTCGTTTGTCTATGAAAAAGTACAAGGGCTAACGTAAGGTGGATATTTAAGTTTACTCACCGTACACAGTTCAATTTCTTTACCGTTTCAAAGTTAGCAGAGGACAGAAGTAATTTATTGTTTCACTTATCTGATCCTGACTGGTTAGCGGAAGACAGGTGTTGTGCTGTAGAATGCACCCCTGCCGTAGAATGCCTCCCCTCCACTGATTAGCTTCTTAGTGGAAGAAATATGATCTCATATTTAATAAAACACGGGTATTAGATCATGAAAACGTGTCAAATGGAGCAGTAAACTTTCGTTTTGTTTGTATGTGTCTCAAAAATGCACACATAAAGGTGTACTTGGGTAAATAAACTGTAGATTAAGCTGTTAATGTAGAGAACATAATATTTTCAGGACAGTAAATATTCCGAATCAGAGGGCGATTGTTTTCGGCATATCTGAATAGCCTGAATGAAATCATTAAAGGCACACGCTTTAGTTTCCGTCCAACGGTAAGAAAAACTTGGATTGTTTCGCCTTGTTGTGTACTTTCAACCGCGCTCCCGTCAGGGGTGCATTCTACGACACAACACCGGCGAAGCGCGTCAAAGACGAGCACTCTGGTATTTCTCCTCCATGAATCCTGAGGTGTTTAATCATGTTGGTCGTTTACCCTCCTTTGCATGATATAACTGTATTGCTAATGTTGCATTGAGATAAGAGTTCATTCTTCCTGCTAAAGTTAGCCAAACTTTTGACCAACGAAGAAGAAGCTGCCGAACACCAACGAGGACGGAGCGTATGAGACGAAGCCACACAGAGAGAGGAGAGAGAAAGAGAGAGATTGTAACCCACAGCGGCTGCATTGCTGTGGGTTGCAATGTACTTTCTCTCTCTGTCTCTCTCCTCTCTCTGTGTGGCTTCGTCTCATACGCTCCGTCCTCATTGGTGTTAAGCGGCTTCTTCTTCGTTGATTTTCGGCGGCTATTTCTTCCGGTCGGCGGACTCTGGCATCGAAACTTGGAATCGAAATTTTAATATTTGAACGATACCGGAAGAATCGAAGTTTTAGTCCCGATTCCCATCGATTCTCGATTCTCGATTCCCAACCCTACCCAGGAGAGGGAAAAAACGACCCTTTCATACATTTCCTGGTGACAATTAAGCCTACAAACTCACCGCTTGTTTCACACAACTCTTAACATGCTTTGATATTTGTTTGCATGCATGTGCTCCACAGACGACAAATCCAGCATGAATAGATTCCTTTTCATCAATACCAGCTCACTTTTACCACCCTGACATGAACATGTGTGTCTTTCAACATGTATTCCTGTGGGCGCAGATCAAGCTGTAGTTCAGTGCATCATCTGCTTGTCAGTTTAATGGGAGAGAATAGAGGAGCTCTCCACCTCCGCCTCCCTGCCCCTTTATTCCTTTCCCTCCCCAGTCTGTCAAACACACTGGCTTCAAACCCACATACTAAGAACACTGTAGCTTCCTTTTCCTCTGCAGCGGCAACAAGTTAAGTTATTTTTGAGCACATTTTGCTTATAAAGGGCTAATTTTATTCCCCAAATCACAGCTGCAGAATAGAAACCATGCATAATTCATGTTAAGCGTACAGAACTTCTGCAGCTCAGGAAAAGGTTCTCTAATCAGCCTAAACACTCAAAACACAGGTAGATGTTTCAACAACAGGTGCAGACTTCAATTATATACTAACGTTCGAAAACTCACTCAAAGCTTCCCATAGAAACTCTTTTAGCAGCTTGAGTTGAGCAAATCGGACGGAGCAGAGGGTGAACTCATAAACGCTGCATCAAGCACATAATGAACTGCTGTGTTCTCCACAGTCGCTGCTGCTGAGATGTTCCTTATTATGAGAGTGACTGCAGAGGATCAGACAGCCACAGGATATGAGCACCGCGTCTGTTCAAAGGAAGAAAATAAAGTAACAGCGTGGTTATTACGAACCACAGGGACCTGGAACAAGCAGGAGGACACCGTAAGGCTGGGGCTGTGATTTCATGCTTTCAAATGTTCATACTGATATTGATACTTACACATACAGTCTCCTTTTAAAGAAAGCAAATTTCTTATGCAACAGAATTGACCTGTTATTCTTATTGTGAGTCTATTTGTTTTAGAACCAGACAAACAGTATTTGACTCTCTCACAGATGAGAAATGCTTTTTTTCCTTAAATAAATACATTAAGTAATACGTCTACTGTCTATTTCCAACAATGCATGCAACCAAACTGTTTAAGCTGTCATAGCGAGCACAAAATAAATGCATCATCTTATCTGCAAAAATGTTCAAATATCTATTTTGGCTATGATCTGCTAAAATAGGATATCATGCTAATAATATCATGCATTCCTAATAATGATTGTAGTTTATTCTCAATAGCAAAAGTGACATCAGGAACACCTGAACACACATCTTATATTATAACAGAAGTCTGGCATGTTTCACTACCATTGACAAAAATGTTAGTTTCTCAATCATCTGGCTAAACAACATGGAGGACATCTGTAATATTGTATCCTGTCCTGCAATCCAGGCAATAGCAGAGCTAGCAAGTGGACTAGAAAGTGAAAAGAACAAGCAGCGCTATTTATAGCAGCACTGTTAAAGTTGTGGCATTTTGGGAGGTTTGCAAAAGGAAGAAGAGGTAAGTAAAGACAGAAATGTCAACATAAACATTCCTGTAGGAGTCTGTGAGTTTGAGTTTGTGCCTCAAGAAGGCTGATAAGAATCTATCGCCATGGAAGCGCCACCATCAGAGAAACTGAAGGCAAACGTTTAAAGCTCTACACATCAACGATTTACAAATCAACAGTCTTACTCAGTGTCTTCAAACAGATATCTAATCATAAGTGCAGCTAACAATCTCTTCTATGTGTCCCATCAACTCCATTCTCACCCTCAAGTTGCCGATCAGACTGTAAACAGACAACCCACTAACAATGAATGGATCAGAGGGAGGGAGAAAAGAGTCAACATACATTTACAGTGAAAACAAACACAATCTACTGACCTCCTATAGACATGAAGTTTGGAGCTCTGCTGTGGGAGGAACCTTTAAGGACCCCCAGAAGGCAAAAACTGTTTCTGTTGATGTCGGTTAAGTCGAGTGTTTGTGTGCTCAGTTAATTAGACAGTATGTATTGACTGGGCGTTTTTGTGTTTGGTTTGGTTTTGCATACTTACAGCCCAAAAATGTTTGGCTATTGTGTGTTTTCTTGGTTGCAGCAGCTCTCAGGGCCACATGAATTTATACCTTTCCTTTTGTTACTATTAGGTACACTTTTATAGTCCCATATAATACCTTGTAAATAATCCTATCTTTATGACTCTCTGAACCTGAGCGGGAACAGTTAGTTAATCATTATGTCGACTGCTGCGTTTTTCTTATAAACCGAATAACTCAAGATAGTTATTGAACAGTGCACCTCTTAAACACTTGTAGTGATCAAATCTGCAGTAAAATAACATTAGCTGACATATCTGACGATATATGAGCCCTTATAATTTGAGCATAATTGATGCATGAAGTTGTTGATTAGAAATAACCATGTTGCATCCAAAATGTCATATAACCTCTGAAATTCATGCAAGTATTCATAACATTTGTTTTCCTTTTCAGATTATGCAATCATCACAAGAAGTAGTGCATAGGTATTGATCAGAAAGCTTGGGATAAAGTGTTAGACACCTAAAATCTCTTACTTACTCCTTGTTGTGTCCAAGTGAGCCCCAGAAGCACTATTCTGATTCTGTATCCCCTGGATAATCTAAAGTCATAGTAGCCTCGTTTAATTTTCATCAACCCACCCTAGGGATGGGAATTGATAAGATTTTATCAATATCGATGCCATTATTGATTCTACTTATTGATTCAATTCCTTAACGATTCCCTTATCAATGCCTTTCTTTGATTGGTTTTCATCGTTAACTCAAAATTTTATTGAGTCTCTGATAACAAAAAAATATATATGTATTTGATGCTGTGCCCCATTGACAAATGTTTAAGCATGTAGCTGGTGTTTCCACCTTTGCATGTTATCACTGCTCGACAAATGTTGCACATTGCGCTGTTGTCATCTCTCTTAGTAAAATTAAGCCACGCTTTAGCTCATTTCTGCCTACTTTTCGTACCATCCGCCATGCTTTCTCTTTCTCTGACTGGCACTCGCGAAACCGTCTTTCAAGGCAGAAGAAAAGAATCGTAAAATGTAAATGATGTCGATGGACTGAACCATTTGGAACCGGTTCTCAACAAGAACCGGTTCTCGATTCCCATCCCCAACCCACCCTTGATTTGAAATGCTAGATCTGGCACAGGCATGAGACCGAATTCACTCCATGTTTAGACACAAACTCACTCAGATAAATAGACAGAATAGTGGCGTGAAAATGTCTTGTTTCTCTTCCCTCTCTGCTCTTGTTTGACATTTACCAACTCCCAAACCAAGCTGCATCGAGCATTGACAAGTGGGTCACCACATTTTTGACACTGTCAACCAAAAGTGAAAGACAAGTGAGGAGGTTATGTGTCAACAGTATCTCCACATGATGTGTCAAGTTTATGAGTTACACAAAGTTTTGTTATCTGCATTAGTTGGTGTTGATTCACCCTCTCAAACAGTTTGTGTAACTGTTTATCAAAAGGCAGCATATGTTCAGTTCTGGCTCTAAACCCCCTCACCTCCCCTTCCTCCCCCCTGGCGGTGACGTGGTGGTAAAAGTGCAACGTGGACGGGGCAAATAACAACACTAACCACACAGATCTGACCCCTAAACATGAGAGTAAATCTACCCTCCATCAACTCCCTCTGTGTACTTACTCACCTGTTCTGCCAGCCTTGGATCAGGTTAGTGTATTTGCTCAGCACTCCTTCCAGCTGCCTCCTCCTCGCCTGCTGCTGCTGCTGCAAATTCATGCTGTTCCCCAGCAGCACAGCTCCCCGGCCGCCCCCTGCTCCGGCCGGGCCGCCCAAAGAGCCGGAGCCCGGGCTGTGCGAGCCGGTCTTCCCGGGCTTCCTCGACGATGAGTTCCCCCGGTCCGACGAGGGAGAGTTGGATTTGTTTGACAAAGAATGCGGACTGCTGAGCGTCTTATCCATCCTGGCGACGGGACGGTGAAGAGGAGGAGGTAGAGGAGGAGGAGGAGGAGGAAGGATAGGGAAAAGGGGACGGGGATGGACAAGTAGCAGCACCAGGGACAGGGTGATGTTTGTGTGCCGAGCTAAAGCAGAGGCAGTGTGTCTGCACTGCTCGTGCTGCGTCCCTCGGCGTGTGAGAAAGCTGACATATTCCCCAGTGGAGCTCGTGTCCTCCCGCTCTCTCCTCTGCAGTGCGCGTGTGGCTGAGTGTGTGTATGTGTGTGTGTGTGTGTGTGTGGCTCTGTGGGTCTCCTTCAGCGTTTTCCTGATCGGAAGGCAGGGGCAGTGGAGCGCAGACACGCCCACTCCACTCTGCACCGCCCCCCGGATATTACAATGCAAGTCTATTATCATTAACCTCTACACACTAAAGGAAAAGTCCCCAAAATACTGCAAACCCTCCTGATTCTGATGACTCATGTTTGACTCCAGAGTCCTTTATTATCATATCTGGTTTAGGATATTTTCCCTATCATGTTTCCTACAGTCCAGTAACCCTATCAGAGGGCTCAACCTTAAAGAGGACATGAAACACACCACATTGGCATCCTCACGTGGTAAAAATAAATCAATTAGGAGAGAGTCTGAAATATTTTTTTGTGTAAAAAATAAGCTGTTTAATAGGGAAACCGCTTTCAAGAGTGTATTTACGACATGCGAACAGCGCCATCCTGAGTTTACGACAGTTGTGACGTCACGGGTTGTGCAGAACCAGAGCGGTGAAATAGTAATTAGTGTACGTGACTCAATTGCTTAGCGATAAGATGTCAGAGGACGAACTCCGACATCTATCCTGTCAACCCGATGGCGTATGCTTTTGAGCCCGTCAGAAAGAGACAGTGTGTAGAAATTAAGAGGAGTCACATTTGAGATTGAAGTGCTCCCTTGCTCACCCCCTCCATTAGAGAAGCCCTAATGAATACTCAATGCATGAGTATGAAGCTCTTTTTTTAAGCCTCTATGACTAATAAATAAACCATGTCTCTAATTATTTCTTTTATGAAAAAAAAACTATTTTTCTTCTCCATCTGGTGCGTTTAGGACAGCCGTTCACTAAATACAAAATACACTTGTGGCCATTACTAGTTTGTCTGTTCTGAGCTACCGTAGTAACACGACTCACCTACATGCTTAAAAGTGGTCTCCTATGGTCAACTTACCCCATGGGGTAAGTTGACCATAGGAGACCACTTTTTTGGCATGCTATATCAATCAATCAATCAATCAATCAACTTTATTTCTATGGCACATTTAAAATAACCACAAAGGTAGCCAAAGTGCTGTACAATGATACATAAAAACAAATAACACAAAGAGCAAGATAAAGCGAGCAGAAATACATTAATGCAAGGGGATAAATAAGTAAATAAATAAGCAGGCTCACGGCAAGTGCTAAAATGATATATATATATATATATATATATATATATATTATCAAGACAGTTCTGTTTACACTCATTCTGTTGGTTTGCAGGGATGCACAACATCTTGAAATATATGCAGATACACTAGTTAGAGACAAAACTAAGATTGCCTTGATAAAGTTATCTGAAATATGAAAAATGGCTCATCTTAACCCACTCACCCCATATATTAAGATAATGATATCCTATTTATGCATACTCACGAGTATTTAATCCCAATTCGGCCAAGTCTGTGATGCTAAGTGCTACACACTGCACAGAGCAAAGTCATTCTGCCCGCTTTGAAGAATGAAGACAATATAATTTATTTAAAAATCATTTCAGGCCTGTTGAGAGTCTCTCTTATCTGTTTGATCCCTGGGTAAGCAGTCCCTCTTTTGCCCCGTTGGTTCATGATCATACAGTCTATACAGATTAGATCAGTGTTAGGGATAATTTACATGTTCTCTTTGGCTTATTTGTGGACTGAAGGCTTTCATAAGGGTTATCTGGGTCTGTGTGAGGGATTTCTTTTTCCATTAAGGTTTTGTTTAACTTTATACATTCACAAACGCACAAACACACACACGTTCATGATAACAGGAATGACAAGGACACGTTAATGAAGACCAGACTGAAGAGCGCTGCCGGCTGTTCAGAAGAGGCTGCGATTACACTAAGCAATTGAAGACATGTCTCGATGAATCTCCATAGGACACTTAACAGAGCACACATAGATTCCTGCTGCTTGCCAGCTGAGGCAGCCACAAAGCAAAGATCAATACAAGGAAAAAAATCTCTGTGCAACTGAGAGTCAATGGATTGTTAAAAGCTAGTGCAGAGTCAAGCTCAGGTCAGCTGCATTTTATTTCAAGTGGTCATCAGTTTTATCGGGGCCATTGTTGGAAACATTTAATTTAGATTGTACTGTGTATAAATCAGCTTTAACATGTTCATATTTTGCTGTACAAGGAATTTAATTCCTTAAATAACCCTTACCTTACTATCCATTCGATTTAAACTAACACCCCAGTCACCATAGTCACATGGCAGACATTTTTACATACAGTTAAGACCAAGGACTGTTGAGTTTACATCCTAGATTATGAATCTTTAGCTGATACACAGTGGGATACCCACTACAAGATAAGTGGACTATTTCAGGGTCTGGATTCCCTTCCATCAATAGTCTCCACAGGCCTGATTTTCTGATGATTTGAATGCATCTTACCAGACTTTTCTGGCTGCACCGATTTCAAATTCAACATATTATACAACATATATTCAAAATTTCCTGTCTGAAATCCTTTTATGTTGGTGAAAACTCAGAGGACAGCCAAGCATACACTCTCTCTGCGACACAACAGCAGCCAATCAGAAAGCAAGCTAACTGAAAAAGCGCAACAAAATATATCAGATCGTCCATGAATGTAGACGCTCCGCTCCCAGAACGTGTTATCAGCGGGAAATGATCATCGTGTGAATATGGAGTATTGCCTTTGTCCCTCTCACTCTGCTGAAAGAGACCAATCTACTGTACGAGGGTCTGACACAGCAGAGAAATTAGGTGTTTCCTCACACCAGCACTGTAAAACATGACAGAAGTCACCCCCCAGAGCCACGCTTCGATGCATTTCTTTTCCCTCGCTACACACTGACATAGCACCAATCTCCTCCACTACAGTCCTGCGTCAGCCTGGTCAGATTTATGGCAGCTCTGGCAGCCTGAAGCGCAACCCTCATCATCCTCTAGCAGCACTCTGCCTGCTGTCCCTGAGCTAACATGACCTAGAAGGAGATCCTTGAGACCCCAATAGCTCTATAATGTTACTCTTTTTAAAGGGACTGAAGACAGCAGCCTTGGCTGATGAAAGTTTTAAATCCAAGAACCAGTCCATGACAGAGCTGTGCAGCCCTTTGAACACTCTGACCATTAGATGCCAGCACAGCCTGCACCATTTGACAGTATGACATGTTTGTCACTTTAAAGGGGAATGTTTTTATTTAACCGTTGATATTATATCAATATTATTATCATTATTTTCAAATAATTATATAAAAAATAATGAGGGCGGCACAGTGGTGTAGTGGTTAGCACTTTTGCCTCACAGCAAGAAGGTCCTGGGTTCGAATCTGGGTAAGGGCGTTTCTGTGTGGAGTTTGCATATTCTCCCTGTGTCTGCGTGGGTTTACTCCGGGTACTCCGGTTTCCTCCCACATCCCAAAAACATGCCTAAGTGGGGTTTGGTTAATTGGCCACTTCCAAATTGGCCATATGTGTGAATGTGAGCGTGGATGATTGTCTGTCTCTATATTTCAGCCCTGCGATGAACTGGCGACTTGGGAATAAGCGGTAGAAAATGGATGGATATTTTCAAAGCACATGTAAAGAGTTTTTTCTTGTTTTTAAAATAGACTGAAATCCATATTGATGCCTTTTTATGATCTAAAAAAGCAAACAAGACCATCAGCAACAAAATTGACAAATTCTATATTGGCATTTTTGATGGGAGGGTCGGTGTCAACCAAGCAGCTAAAGAAACAACTGATTTTTTAAATAGTATAAAAATAGTAAAAGTAGTATAAAATATTCACAAATAAAGGAGATAATTGACTGTCAGAAGTCAGCATACCACTTTTTTGTCAGCAGACATAATGTAACCATGGAGAAGACAAAAAGGGTAAAGACTGTTTTGTCCACAGGGGGCGCCAAAATCGATTCAAACCAAAAGTTCCATACTGGAGCTTTAACAGAAGCATAGAAAAGCCTTGATTTTCATCCTGATAAAATCCAGTTATCTCCAAATAAGTTTTTTTCAAGATAATAGATAATAAGATCCATCCAGCGAGCAAAGATCTCGATCATTTTTCAGCTCAAAGTTCTGCTTGTATTCAAATGAGTGTGGAAGTATTTCATCAGTAATCTTAACCGTGTTTGGCAGCTTGTCTGTCCTCATTCCTGATCTGATATTTGCACACTGCTGCTATGCCAATGCAGTACTTTGTTGTACAAACACCAGAGAACACGTAATCCACATATCTCTCATCCCCCCCTGGAAGTCCAAACCAAAACCTGAGAGAAAATGTGAAAGACAAAGCTGACCTTGGTTTGTTTCGGTGTTCCACTGATGCTTTGTTTTACTAAGAACGGCTCAGATCAGCATTTCACCTGGTCTACTTTTTCCTGGCAACCACAGGAGCCGAGATTATCTGGAGTCTGTTTGTTTTGGGAACATTTTATCTACTCGCTGCTAACTCTGCTGCCAGCCCGCCAATGTGGCTCCATACAAAGTCTTTCTGTCTTTAACCCCCCGAAAAAGCTTAATCCAGTCCCTCTGTTGGCTCCATTTTTTATCATAATGTCTAATTTGGTTTCATTTTATCTCAATTCTTGAGGGAGGTCAGTCTGTAATGTTAAAAAGCTTGCATATATTTGCACAACAGCATGCATTATTTGAAAGACCAGCTCACCAATAACTACTTAATGGACTGGAAGGGGGCTATTGACCCTGTACGCTGACAAGGGCAACAGACTGTGTGTACAAGTACAAGTGTGTCTGTATTAGTCTGTGAGTCTGTAAACTGAGGGCAGGAGAAAAGGGTTATACAGTCCAAGAGCGTGTATGTGAGTCACTCTTTGCTTTCCGTAAAACCATGCATATTAATCAGAGAAGCTTAAGAACAAAGCTCTGTGTTAGCTAGAGATGGACACAGAGAGCAGAACAGACTAAGTTACTGACTGATGTCCACGGAGGGCGACTTTGTTTAAGAGGTGGACTTAACCGCTTTCTATAAGGTACTTTGCCATGCTTAAAGTCAGGAGGGAGAGCGCACTCAAATGCAGATGCTGGATGTTGTGTGAGTTTTACTCTTAGACTCTAATGTTTTTGTGGTGGTCTTGATACTTAACAGCAATTTAACTTATCAGGCAAAGTGTCCACTGTGCATTATGTGTAAAGGAGATTGATTGCGGTCCGCAGTGAGCCAGGTTGTACCCGTTGGTGCTGCAATTGTTGTATTGAATTTACCATTTGCTTCTGTATGGGCTGAATGACAAGTATATGCTGCTACAGGGTCATTAAAGTAAACTGCAGCCAGTCATCCGTGATCACTGATGGATTATTGGATGCAAATGAAGCGTGTTTGACATGGTAGATGGGGGCCTGATGATTCTTGTAAGAGGCATGTGTGGGTTACAAAACTGTTCATAGGAATATACTGTATGCTTGAATGATAATTATTAAAGTAGAGAGTAATAGATCTATTTAGAGAAAATAAATGCTATTAAAGGGATATTCCAGTGTAAAATTAAGTTAGGGTCAAACACACAGTAACACTGAGTTAGACACCTCATCGAGAGATGAATGTTGCCGACTGCTGACTCTAAATTAATTTTTACGCCGGAAAATCCCTTTAATCTGTTATAGATGACCACCCCTGCCTTTCAGGCCACCCAAGTCAAAAAATCTGGACACACCCCTGCATGCAAAGACAACAATGATGTTAAATAAAAGGCTTTACAGCTTATTATTATGTTTATATGAAGTACTGTATATATGGTATTACCTTGTGCATAATAAAGTAAAAAAAATGCAATAAAATGTGGAAAAAGTCCACTCTGCTGTATTTTTTTTGGTTAAATATGACTTCTTTTTGCCAAAATCTATTTTTGTCTACTTAATGACGTCTGATTTAAAGGTCACAGTCTGGTGTTATATTAATGAACCCATCACCTTGAGGATTTGATAGTTTCCTCCTAATTAGATCCCCTCATCGAGCTAAAAGCACAAAAGGTGGTCAAAGACAGGGCGGCGCTGACAGTCCTTTGATAAAAGTGACACTAAAACTCTGTGGGCTCAATTATCGCTCACTTTTACAGGGGCAGAGGGATCTCCAATTCTTCCTTTAACTTGACACTTGAGTTTGTAAGATGAGCCACCTTAATGGTTCCTCTTGATTTCAGACTTCTGCTGCTTAAAGGACACTTCAGGAGGGTACAGGGTGTCAGAATGTGACTGACCGAGGACGGCGATTTTCCCCTGGAGCTTGTTTCAGTGAGATGAGAGCAGAGGACAGTGAGACAGAAACAACACCTTAAACTTTTCTCTCTGCTGTATCGGCATAGCTCACCACTTTAATATTCTTCCACACTCACACATACCCACACTCCACTCTGGCTGTGCACGTTTTATTACTTTTTGTGAGTCTAATTTCCTCCATGGACTGTGTGATTAGAGAAATTGCCTTATTACTTACCTTGACAGACGCCCATGCAGATGTACTCAGAGCAGCAATAATGCCAAAATGGCTTCTTTACAAGCTAATTAAAATTTTATTGCTCACAAATGTCAAGATGAAGAGGTTGAGGTAAAAAGCTGTAAGAGGATCAACAGGCAAATAGGTCGTTTTTAAAACAAATTTTTGTATCAGCCTGCTTTGTTATTACAGAAATTAAAACACAGTGTTACAAGGGAGTGATTTTTCTCCTCAGCAGTTTAAGGCAAACGTGGACGTGTTTCTGTGAAGCACATTAGAGACATCTACTGGCAGGAAAGACATTTTGGGTTTACACTTGTCCCCACTGGGAAAAAGATGAGATCACCTCCAACAGATGATGTAATTTCACTGGAGAGTTAAGGAATGCTGCAAAAGACAGTTTCAAGGACCAGACTATAAGATGGTTGTGTGATAATTTTCATAATGATTAAATTATCTGAAACAGGCGATAGACTCTAGGTATGAATTATGAAATGTTCTGGTGTCAGACTCACCTCTGCTAAGGGCACAGAGGAAAAGATGGTGTGAAATTAACAGGCGACACACTCCTCCACGACTTCAAATCATCCTGCCAGGTACATGTTTTAGAGTGATGAGCCTTTACAGTACATCTCATTAGCATGCAGAGGAGGAAGCAGGTCCATAAGCAGTCCGGATCAACTGGAGTCGTACTTTTTTCTATGCCAGCATCCAAGGACATTACATTAGCATTGATCGTCCTCTTTTAGCGTAGGGGGATAATGGACTTCATTCAGCGACTATTAATGATCAGCTTACTCTCTTTAAATCAGAATATCTGATAAAGCACCACCTGGTTATGCCAGAGTATATTCTCCTTTGACATTATACACAAGGTAAAATGCTAACATGGTGTTGCAGTTGTGTAGTTTTGTGTCTTATAATTTAAATGCTTTGGCAACACTTTACAATGACCATAACTTTTAAATGGTAAGCAGATAGTTTATTCATGTTCAATCATCATTTATAAATAGCATATGGACCATTCATAAACTGTAAATTTTACAATATTAAAAAACCTAACCCTAACCATAACCCAAACTTTACAATAACCATCTAAGTAATGTTTATAGGTGGTTTAAAAACCAGATATTGACCATTTACAAAGTGCTACTGACACACATTTTAATCTAGATGTTTTACAACCAATATTTAAACCCTATTAAAACATTTAATAAATAGTCCATTAATAATTAATGAAAATATTAATCATAATTTCATTGCTTCTTAATGGTAAAGTAACTATTAACTTACATTAATAAACTATCTATTTACCATTTATAAATCATGGTTATTGTAAAGTGTTGCCAACGTTTTTAAGCTTAGTTGACTGAAATAAGACTGAATAGTAAAATAAACATACACACAGGTACCTATATATTCATATTAAAGCTCCTATAAGAAGTTTTCAGTGGGTCGGCAAATGTGTTGTGAACTTTGACCTTTCCAGTCATGAAGGCCTAATACAGAGAGGTTATAGTTCGTGTAAAAGCAGCCACTGGTTTAACTCCAAGCCATGACCGTGTCTACTTTCACCCACTACTTCTCATATTTCCTCATATTTCCTGTTTGTCTTCAATGAAAGCAAAATTGCCCAAAAACATAACTGTGAAATGGATATGACTCATATGTTATGGATAAACACTCCTCTGGATATGACTTGCCATTATCTTTAACTCTTCAGATTTCCCTGGAATATAGAAGCTATGATATCAAAACCTAATTTGGGCTTCCCACCCTCAGCTTCATGTTAATGTGAAACAGCCATCTGCAATGGAGTCATCATAAATCAGTATGATACAATTAGACTACACAGAGCCGGCCCAAGGCATATGCGAACTAAGCGCCTGCTTGGGCCCCCGCGGCCAATAGGGGGCCACCCAAGAGCAATGAAAATTTTTTGAAAATTTAAAATATTTTTCATTTTTTGCATGTATGAGTGATGCTTTCTGTATGATCAAATTTATATTATTGTAAAAATAAAATAAAGTAAAAACATTCCAGTGCTGCTGCTGATGTCGGCCTATGATTCTTACTGCAGATATGTCGAAGCTCCGCTACCGTTATGTACCTTCTGCTGTGTAAAGCGCAGGTAGTTGTGGGGCAAAACAATGTCGAAGGATATCCTTCAGGAGCAGAGAAAAGAAAGAAGAAAAAGAGAAAAAACACCAAGATAAAGGTATGTTTGCATGTCGTGGAGGTGTGTGAATGATCAACAATCAATGTTATTGGCAGAAATAGAGGGCCCCAAAATTAGATTTTGCTTAGGGGCCCCATTAAGGCTTGGGTCGGCTCTGAGACTACATTTCCCAGAATGCCAAGGGGGCTGTTTCACCTGCTTCCACTCAATTATTGTGTTGTCAGACTGCCACCAGATGGTTGTCTGTAGTAAGTGCAGGAAAATGTGGTCATTGCCTCATGTTACATATCTGCAGAGCCGGAGGGTGCAGGTTCAGGACTGCATTTATAGGGTTTTTGTATTATCCAGACAGCTGATAGTTAATATTGATAAGGGTTAGAGTTAGAGTTTGACATTAAAATTGGTTTTGACACACACTAAAAACGTGGTCCTTTGAAATTGTATTCATTTTTTTAAACAGCAAGGGTCTTAGAAGTGCGGTCGTGGATCTGCAGTTTCTGGGTATGCAGATACATGCTGCTCGCTCGATGACACACACACACACACACACACAGAAACTCACACACAGAACCATGCAGGCAGCTGAACCCGGACAAGCAGCAGCAACAGCAGCAGCAGCAGAAGAAGAGATGTGATCGTGGATTAGAAAAGAATGTGCCTCGTCTGTCTTCGTCAACATGTTCCCGGGAGTTTTCTATGCACTGCTGGCAGGTTTCCTCGGGGCTGTGGCGTCGTCGTCGGCCAAGCTGTCCCTCGGAGCCGACTATCTGAAGGGAGTCTGCGAAACCGGACTCCGGACGTGGGGTGAGCAGCGGAAATTTCGACAAGCGGACGAAACGACCGCCTGTGACCGGGTGAGAGCCGTCGTTAAAGTAGCGTAAATTATTAACACGGTGAGGATGGCTGTTTGTGAATAATGCAGCGTGGAGCGTGCCTGCCTGCTAGCGGGGGTAGTCTCTCTCTCTCCCTCTCTTTCACACAGAGGAAGTTGGGGGGTTATCCCCGCCCGCCTCTCTTCCCTGACTCCATCAGCATCAGCACCATCAGGGGAGCCCATGCTGCAGCTGCGCTCGCGTGCCGTGGACGCGTGCTTGAATGACATTGCAGCTCCATGTCTTATCGCGTGATTTTTCCAAGCGTGTAACTTGTCTCACAGTTAAGGTGTTGATGGCGAGGAGAGAGGATGTGATATTAAGGGGGGTGTCAGGTTTCTGGTGGGTGACCTTCACTCTCCTCAAACGTCACACAGTGATGTCAGAAACATCTGCAGGCAGCCTGACACGAGGGAAACGTCAAACCGTGACCTTTAACGTGAAGGGTCATTAGAATAGCAAATACGCAGGTGCAGGTAAATGCAAAACAAGCATGAAAGATTTGACTGTGTAATGAGAATTTAAATATAAAGAGAAGTAGGAAGCTTTTTTTCCATTTTAAATCTGCAAATGATCTGCCATGAACTACACTGACTTTAGTGCAAATGTGTTACTTTAAAGGGATATTCTGGTGTAAAATTAATATAGCATGAAACACCGTAACACCGAGTTAGACACCCCCTAGAGAGATGAATGTTGTCGACCGCTTGCAACTTTAGTAATGACCACAGGATAGCAATACACAGCAGTCTGAGGAGCCATAAACAAACCTCAACCAAACGCCACTCTATAGCCACAAATAATGCTCAGAACAACACCTAACTTCATCAACAGTACATATAGGGTCCCAGCCATAGTACTAGCCACCAAACATCTTTTTAGCTTTGCCTGATTTCTTTAACAAAGAGACTAAAAACAACTCACCTACTCTCTTCCAGCAGCCGCTTGTTTGTAGTGAGACCTCGGGCCAGTCCATTATGGAAAACAGTGGGGTGACGCAGCTCAAGGAAGAACATTTATGATCATTTTTCCATCATTTCCATGAAGTAATAATCACCATATTAATCATTTTGCACTGCAGACGCAACAGTTCTTCTGCCTTAGCGCCTCAGTCTGATTGCATTTCCATGAAGAAATCAGCATAAATGTTCTTGCTTGAGCTGCGTCACCCCGCTGCAGTCAATGGACTCGCCTGGAGGTCTCTACCATACCTTGGCTCGTACTGCAAAAACATTCACCCCAGCCATAATACAGAGTCAGACAGCTCTCTAAACTCCAGAGCATGTTGCTTAATCTTTTATATTAACGTTTGTTCAATGACTTTTTCAAGCTCAATGATAAACATTTTCTGTGCCTGACTTTGATGTTCACTGTCGTGTAAAAAAAAAAATGATAACTATAATTTTGTCCTTGTTTTATAAGCTGCAATATCCACTGTGACATCTTACCCCATGTAGTGAGACAACTTACCCGATGGTGGGGCAACTTGTCACATTTGATTGCTTATAACTGTACTGAGAAAAGATATATATCTAAGACTTTGGTCTTTCATGTGGTAAACATTTTGTTTACGTATAATGTATTGATTCCAAGTAATATATAAGAGTGTAAAAAGTGTGACAACAAGCCCTGGTCTCCCCTACTAATATAAATAATAAACTCTTAAAGTGCTTTTCAGAACTGCGGTTACGAGGTGCTATACAGGCAGACATCAAAATCGAAGAGGTAAAAATAGCACAGTAGTGAGGAAAAGGCTCTACGATAAAAAGCTGATTTTAGTGCAAATTTAAAGGAGGATATAGACTCAGCTGATCTAAGATCCTCAAGCAGGAAGTTCCAGAGCTTATAGGCCAGAACAGCAAAAGCCCCATCACCTCTGAACTCCAGCCAAGGTTCAGAAACAATCAGGGAATTCTTACCAGAGCATCTCAAACAGCAATTTGGTGTATAATAGTTCAATGACACAGCCATAATGGATAACCAGTTCGAAACAGATGGGTTTTTAGGCAGGATTTGAAAGTGGGAAGAGAGTCAGATTCGCAGATTGCTTGTCGTAGAGAGCCCAAGGAAAACAGATTAGAGAGAGTTACAGTAATCAATAAGGAGGTAAACAAAGCATTGACAAGAATAGTGTCATGTTTGGTGTGAGAGATAAGTGGAGACAATTGCTATTACACAAGCGGAAATATGCAGACCTTACATTATTGATGTGTGCTCCAAAGACGAGAGTGCTGTTGAGAATGACACCCAGACACCAGACATCCGACTTGGAGAGAGGGAGAAACTGTAGAGTTGTCTACAACAAGTCTGAAACCATTTGTTTTAGCTTGAGTGGGTTTGAAACCAATGATGAGAGGCTGTTTTAGGCAGTTATGACAGATTTAACATCAGGTAGACAAAGGACGAGGTTTGGCTTGAGGGGCTGATAGTGTCATCAGCATAGTAAAGAAAACGAATACCAGATTTTCTGAGAACATGACCTACAAGTGAGGCTGCAGCCAATAAACAAAAGAGGACCCAGGATAGACCCCTGGGGAACACCGAAGAGGGCTCTGATCAGTAGTTTTTAAACATAATAATGGTATGAGGTGTGATGAATGATGGATATGTTTCATGCAATAGCTGTCTTTACAACATGCTAATTCTCAATCTAAAATTAATCCATGAAATTAATCTAAGAGTAGCTGTTGGCAAATTTAAGCTTCATCTAACTGCATCATGAAGATCGAGAAACACAGCCATTATACCTTGAGGTACCACCTAGTGAAATGTAAGGAAGTGTTGCTTGTTTAACTGTGGCAACTTTCAGACCTTACCAATGACACTGCAGCTACTTGTGCTGCCCTACTTCAAGGCCTCTGAGCTCAAGGGCTTTTGGTTAAACAGGCCCTTACATAAATAGTTAAAGAGTTCTTTACATTTGCATCAAATTTGCTGTCTCTTTATTTCAGCTGCATATCCCTCTGCGGCTGCTGTGTGGCGGACTACTTTTCACCTGCAATGCTGTGATGTGGACCTTTCTTGCCAAAGCACTCAGGTATTCCTCTTCCTCCACCCGAACCACTGTGACCACCACCGCCTCCAACTTTATATCTTCTGTAAGTAACAGCCTCCTTTTTCCAGATCTCTACAGTGTCTTTTTACAATGTCGTAACCGTATGCCTCCTAAGTGGAATATAGGTTAATTTTACAGTAACCTTACACCCTTGTCTCCTTATATAAGCTGATTAATTTTAGAAAATAGGCTGAACCACATTCAGAAATAACATCTTGGACTGATTTAGGATTATTATGGGATGACTACCTCATAAACAATGGATCTCTATTAGCTGTCGTTTAAGAGGCCACATTATCTGTTCTTCTCTGCAGGCTTTCCTGGGGCAGCTTATCTTTGGTGAAGCCCAGATAACATTGTGGTGGGTTGGGATCTCCTTGACCTTCTCCGGTTTGTTGGTACTGCAGAAGGTTTCACCGCAGGACGGACACCAGAACACAGCTGCTAAAGATGAATAATACGGTCTAACCTCCAGTAACTCAGCGCAGCCTGGCTCCTGCAGGCCAGGGAAATATATTTATTAGCTTATCGGCTGAAGAGGTAAATGAAAAGATTGATACTACTCTTATATAGTATAGTAATTACTAAAGTAAACACCGCCTTATCTTGAGGTGACAAAAGCTGTCCACACATTTCTAATCAAAGAAACAAAACAAGCAAAAGACGGATAATTTTACCTCTAGACCTGCTGGTTTCCAGCTCTTTGACTAAGCTAGGCCATCTGTCTGTTGGCTAGCTGATGATAGTGACAGCTTAGCGTAGCCAAGTGAGTGGAAGAAGGAAACAACAAGCTTTTCTCTTAAAGAAGACAAAATCCGCCTACACGTCTGAAACAAACGAGATCGACGAGAGAGAGAGAGAGACACATTAGTCCTCTACTTTTTATGTCCTTTTGCAAATCAAGCAAGTGCCAGATACAAGAGTGGTATTAATCTTCTCATTTATCTCTTAGCAAGTGAGGGGATATTCGCATTGATTAAAATGATAAACTTTTCCTTTCAAGGGTTCGCCTGTTTAAACGAGGACCTGTTTGCATATAAACAGTTTCAAAGTTTCACTCAAAGTCAATCTTTTGCAGTTTGTTCATGAACAAATTGCATCATTGGCTACATGCATGATGTCACCATCAATCAGCTTGTGCATTATGTATTGGAGCTACCAGACCACCAAAGGTTTCCTGATTCTTGCATTTTCTCAAGTGATCATGACACTCACTGTAAAAACCCAACACTGCAGCTACACTGACTTTGCATTTAACGCATGCCTGAGGTTTTTCATGGAGCACTTGGTGCAGCTGTATTTCACGAGTAATAATAAATATATGTAATGCTGAAAGGCTCATCCCTGGCAAGAACTTGCTGTCTGCCTGGGTCTTTCTTTGACTTTTCTTTTTCAATGCCTTTCTTGACAGCTTGAGCCTTAACCTCAGTACCTGAGCATGTCAGATGTTTCATGAGGCAGCTTGTCTTCCATTTCATCACGGACCTGTGCATGAACCTACCAAGACCTGAACTCAGATATCTCATACCAAAGCTTCCAAAACTACCAGTCCACATCTAAGTTGCATCTCCTTTGCTGCTTGATGTATTAAACTCAAATTATCTCATAATTTGTACGCCATCGACATCAGCCCATCATCCATTGTCATTTGGGTTTCATTAACACCTGGCTTCATTAAAAGTTTCCCTCTTCCTCCCAGGAGTTGTCAGTGTGAGTGCAATAACACTTCACAGCACTGTGATGTGTGAAACAATAAGGGAGTTTTGCGCGTAAATAATTCAACACAAGAAATGGCAACACATGCTGCCGAAGGAGTGTTTCTGTTAGAATAGAAAAGCTCAGTTAGCTTACAGAGGTTTACCTGAACACGACATGAAAGGTTGCTTTACTGAACAATATACATATAAGCTCACACTTTGCTGTATATGGATACATATCATACTATAAATGCATAACGGTAGCTATATTAACTGTCTGTAATAATAATATTCCACAGCAGCAATGCACAAAAATGGTACATGTCCAAACTGCTGCTGTGCTGGTTTTGTATCATGTGATTTACATGCATCCCTATAAATGTGACTGCAGTAAAAAAATGTGATCATCAATTCCTCATGTCAAACGCTGGCTGAGTGATGTCTCATAGCAGGACAGATTTCTCGACAGTTGAGAGAACTCACAGTCCTGCAAAAGCATCACCATCAAAAATAAAGTTAGCTGTCCGTGACTCTGTATTTTTTGATAATCCTGGGTGTGTTTGCATTTCTGGTAATAGTGAATTAAATTGGAAATTACTGCTTTATGAGAATATGATTAGTAGATTGATAACTTTCTCATACCTGTGTATTTGAAATGCAAGAAACAGGAAAAAACTAGCTTGATTCTGCGCATAGTTACTCTAATTTGAACACACGCTTAAACCGTGTTAAAACCGAGGCAATAAGAAGAGAGTGAGAAGCTTTAAATATCCTAAAAGATGAATTATTTTAGCTCTTGCTTGGATAAAAAGTCTGATTTTACTTTGCCAATGAGATTGAAGCGAGCAGCTGGCTAGCACAGCTTAACATAGCATAAAAGCTTCAAACACAATAGCTATGTGCCCAAATTATTCTCGGTTGGGAGCAGTGGCCAGACAGCCAGCTAGCTAGCCAAGAAGTAGACAAATTAGTCTAGGTCGTAACTTCTCTTAACAGGACTCTAATACAGTAAAATATTTGTAGGTCTTACAATAAAAAAGCAGAACCATGAAATGCTCATTTCTCATCTCTCAGCAGGAAAATGAAAGAGCATTTTTCCAAAAAAAGTGAATATCTCAAAGCTTTGCACTTGATTCCTGAGATAATGTCGTGCCAAGCTTCTCTTCAGCTTATAAGGGTAAACAAACTACCTGTCAATCCACTCTCACTGTAATAGAGGAAGTCAGAGCTCTGCAGTAAGCCTCACATAGCTCTCCAACAGCGGCATGGCCCTGAGCATGATGTATTTATATCTGTGTGAACACAGAAGCAGATGTGGTTATATATCAAGGTTAGAAAACAACTGAAGTACTATCCTGACCTATCAAAGTACACTGATGTGCTGCATTTGGAGAAAAAAAACAGAAAAGCAAACACATTTTCCGAATCAGAAAATTGAGCATGACCCTGAATCCTGATATATTTCAAATCTGATCGAGTTATTTTTTAAGAACAATGTGATGTAATAACCTATATTCATATTGTTATCGCCCTGTAACAAACTATTCATCATGTGTCTTACACTGTGTGGAACAAAAAATGTATGTGTTTGTATATTCTGTTAATAGGAGACACATATGTATGGTTAGGATGACCATTTCTACAGAAATGAGGAGAGACACTGTTACACTGTTGAATAAACATTTCATCTGTAAAACAAACTCTTTCCTCTCCTTCTCTCAGATATTGTTTGCAAAAGTGTCAACTTACAAAACACTTCATTCTCAACACTTGCTAAGGTTTTTTTTTTGCATTTACCATTTCTGATTTACTCACAATTTGTACCTGCCAGAGTGTTGAGCAAAATGATCAACTTTACTTCACAGAAATTTGTGTCACAAACATACTGTTTTATTTAATTCCCCTTTAAACGAATACCACAGTCAAAAAGAAGAAAAAAAAGAATAAGTCATGTGGTCCACAGTAAGCAGTACCTGACCACAAAGAATGAAGGTTCAACAGTTCAATAAGAAAAGAAAGCTGGTGTGCTGTACTTGTAAACTGGAAAGCAAGATGCATGTCAATATAATGATAGAGTTGTTATAAAACTAAAGTGGTTTTTAAAAGCTTAACACAAAGTTAGTAACAATAATCCCCGCTGTGATTAAGCATTCAGTTTGGCATCATGTGTTATCATCATGTCCTTTCTCCGTCTATAAAAACATGATTGTTAAAATAAGGCTTTCAAACACAAAAGGCATCCCCGCATTAAATGCTTTGAAGTGACGCTTCCTATCTGTATCAAATTCATATTAACAAAAATAAAAATCAAACTCTCCTCTTCACATTAGGTGCGTTTGTTATGTGACTTTTTAAACATGCATTTAAACCATGCTCTTACGGGTCCTGGTGTTGTTAATTTACACTGGTCTTACATAAATCAGCGTTTTATTCTTCCACCCTTGCACGGCTTTTTTTTTTCTTCTTCTTCTTCTCCGGTTCAAGCTCATGACTGAAACTGGATTATCCAGTTAAATTACCTCCGTTCAGAGCGAGTGGATAACACGAAGGTTCAGTGCATTCAGAGAGCAACGGTTATTGCTTTATTCCCTGACTTCATCTGAGCTGGTGACTGTGACAGAAATATTCATGTAGTTAGCAAAGATGCTGGTTTGATTTACTACACACAGATAATCAAAAAGAGGATGCTTTTCAAACTAACTCATAAATGTTTAAACTCAAGAGTCACGTTTAGTATAGTACAACCGAGACGCAGATTTTAACCTGCAAAGTGTCGAAGTTCAGGTCCTCAAGATCTCTTTGGATTGGACTGAGGTTTCGGATACTACCAGTGGTCATTAAAGCTCCTGTGAAGAGTTTTGTAAAACCTATGAAACAGACCGAAATTCATATTGGTGCCTTTTGTTGATCTATGAAAGCAAACTTGACCATCAGCGACATGATCAATGTTTTTACATCGTAAATTTTCAATGCCTGAAATCTGAAATTGCCTGAAATTGACCTGTTTCTGCAATTTCCACATAAGATATTTTAAATAAAACACACATTTGACTATTGAAAGTCAGCAGGATGAGATTTGTTATCTGAAGACACTTTTAAAGCACTTGCCAGACAAGATAGGGAAAGACCACTTTGTCCACAGGGGGCTCCAAGTTGAAAATTCTTCACAGGAGCTTTAAATTTTAACAGATTTTGATTTCCTTCATGTTACGATCCTGTATCAGCCTCTCTAAATTGCACATTTTCTTCACCATGAGCACCACACTGGCAAATTAGAGCCGTTTAGTGTTATCAGACCAACTCACTTTGAGGAAAGCTACATTTACTGACAAGAAACCTGAAGATAAACCGTAAAGTTTGAGTTCAATTTGTTTTCGCTGCTTCATTAATAAATCAACTCGTTGCTCTGCGATTCTGTTCTTGTTAAAGGAGCTGAGCGTTTGCTGAAGCATTTCTAATTCCAGCTGCTGTTTTCACAGTAACCACAGGTGTCGTCAATTCACCTACATAGAAATCTTACAACTCCTCGATTTTATAACCTTTGAATGTCTCTCACAGTGATCTGTCATCAAACTACTTATTTAAAGAAGCGTTTCACCAAATGTGACCCTGCGTCGCCCTGACAGTCACATTAAGGCAAAAATAATAAAACTGTCCTTAAAACAACAGGTGTCATTGTTCACTAATGCACTGTTCTCTAAGGCAAAGACTTCAATACAGCAAAGGACAGATTCGACAGTTTATCCTGTCACTAAGTTTACAGGAAGACACAACCCCAGAGTTCGTCTTGGCACCTGGACTGTGCTGCTTTGTGCGGAAACATTCTGGACTTCAGTTTTTAGTTCACATTGTCTAGTTTTTGAAGCAGGAAATGATCAGACAAACTCAGCATGAAGATATTACTCCAAACAAGGCAGAAATCAGTCTCTTAGTAATGTTTTTGTGACGTTTATCAAGTGCTCCTTGCTGAGCTGTTCCTGCTTTGTTTGAGTTTTTCAGCTCGTTCAGGTTTTCTGTACAGCTACACCTCATCAATCTCAGTCAGCCTCGAGAGGAAACGATAAAACGGAAGAAATGAGAAGTTTCTAAAAGATAAACATGTGTTTACAATGTGACAGCTTGCAGCAAAACACCCTGAAGTATCAATAAATGAGACATCCATAAAGGAAAGGAGACATGGAATTGGTCAAGAGGAGTTCATGCTCATTGAGGTCCAGCAGACCACAGGTTTGAGTCCACAGCAGCAGAGCTCGGCTCTGTTTCCAGCATTTACACAATGTACTGGTACATGTCCGCTTTGCCGTGGTCGGGCGATGAAAAGGGACTGAGCCAGGCTATTGAGAAGGGATGTCCGAATACCACCTTCATATTCATCCATTTGGACTTTTTGGCCCAGCGTCTCTCCTCCTTTTTGAGCTGCTCAATACCCTGAAGAGAGAGGAAGAGGGTTATTACCGAGAAACAGGCAACTGTTTTAACTGGACTGTAAGTTTAAATGTTCATCTCACTGTTAATTCACTCCACAAGGAGGCTGGAAAGAATCTGTTGCCATGGCAGCAATAACAATCAGTTTCCTAATTAAGAGCGTTTCTGAAAGTACGCCCTGCTTTGTTCACTCCAACAACCAGAGGAGGTCAAAGTCAGTTCAACGCGTTTTCTACAGAGCTGGTGGGATTTAGAAAGTTGCTTAAAGTCACTTCAGGAGGGTCAAACATCTGACTCAACAATCAGACTTTAGAAAAAGGTGGAAATCATGGCTGTCTTTGACTTACTGTCTCATCGCTACAGATGGAGTGGACCTGAGTCCCGAACATGACTGCAGTGAAGATCAGAAAGAGGAGACCCTCAAAGCAGAGGAGGATGAGGAGGATGACAGTGGCTGGTGGGGAGAAGTTGCTGCACTCTGGAGAAGAAGAAAAATCAGAAGAGGAAATGTTGGTTACCTGTGTGCAATAATGTTATATTGCATTTATGAATGAAGCATATAAACAATACACTCAACTCCATCAGGATATAGACAAATAAACAACGTCAATACAACTGTAAAACAGCAGAGTGTGTTTTTTTTTATTTAATAATGCAGATCTGAGAATTACTCTCCGTCATTAACTATAACTTAATCTGAATTATAGTGACGATGAAGCTACGGCAGTTTATGACTTACTTGTCCAGTCTTCCTCAAAGCAGAAGACAAAGTGGAATGCCACCATGATGAGTGCGTGGAAGGATATTAGTGCAATATACATCTGCAGGAAAAAGAGGAGCATAACAAGGAGCAGTTTTTGAATTAACATGTTTTAGAAGTTATTTATACATATTTTTTTGTTTGATTGAATTGTATCATTACTTAGAAAATGACACCTGGCTGCACCCATGAAAGCTTTAAAAGTGGGGTAGGCAGGATCTGAGGAAGTGACCATTTTTAGGCGAAATCTTAAAAGTAAACTCTACCCCTCCTGACCAGTTTTCCCCTCAGCTCCTCCTCTCCCCTCCCTCTCTGCTCTAGTAAGCCCCACCCACAAACAGACGCTCCTGCTCGCTCGCAGATATAATGCAGATAAATACTTCAGATAATTACAGATGAGGCCCAGTCATTGTGAAAGTAAAAAGCATTGGTGCTACTGTAGATGCCAACAGACGACCAGCAAACACAATGTTTGCAGGACTTCTACAACTAGGATAAAGTGACATAGTCCAGGACCCGAGGTCAACAGTTTAGCGGTGCTACAACACACAGCAGGTCCCGTTTGACAAGAAACACTTCTGTTACACTTGGCTTATTTTGTTAAAGCGGTTTACCTGTTCAGCAGAAACGTTACAGGGTCCGTAAGATCCCAAAACGTCCGCGAAGCGTTCGGCTTCATTGATGTTGACCTGGCTTTTCAGCTCTTGTCCAGATGATTTTGATATGTCTTAAGCGCCTGTTATTCCGCCAGAGTCTCCGGTATTTACTTTGCTTTTTTGCTTGTGTTGGCAGTTGTGGCCAAAGGAGGATTAAGAAAATTTTCCGTCCTTTCTGGTTGTTTTCTACTGACCGATATTGTAGCATGCTAACTTTGTTTGGGCTCGTGAACGACATGATGGAGCAGCGTCTGCCTCACAACCAATCAGGTCGGGGAGGCTTTGTTTACACACAGAAGGAGCGGACTGCTCAAGATTTTAAAATGTTGACTACACAGACATAACAGAACACAGCAATATCATTATGTTCCCAAATGTCATCAATAACTAATAGCTATTGACTGATATTAAAAGCTTTTTTATACATACACCACAAAAAAGATGCTTCTTTAATGGATTCCTGCCTACTTCACCTTTCAGTCTGATTCATAAGTAAATGACCCAAGCCAGTTTTGTTAGGACTACTTAAACACCGTATATTGTGAGCATATGACCTGCACAACAAAGACTTGAGGCACAAGGAAGTTCAGAAAGTGATTTTCTGGTTTAACAGGAACATGAAGGAAAAAGCAGCAGAAACATTAGCAGGGAATTTGAGTCTGTAACCATGTGGATCCACAGTATGGACTACCTAAATTATTGATTTCATAATTGAGAATTTTGGGGAGGCCGATCACATTTCAAGGGGGGCTATAACCACCCCTGCCCACCCCCTGGACACACCCCTGCTGTCCCAAAAATTTGGGCTCCCGAGGACTAAAACTCACTGTGAACAGCACAAAGTATTTCTGATTTTTCTCCCCGACACAGTTGTTCACCCAGGGACAGTGGTGATCCATCTTCTTGATGCAGCGTTTACACACACTGTGGACACAAAACAGACAAAACAGAGCAGAGAGAAAAAATAAGCACGGGGAAAATTCTGACATTTTGAGGTTGCAAAAGAAGTGAAAACAGACAAAGACTTTCAGAGAGATACGTTTTGATGCAGACTGACTCAAAAGGTGTTTGTGTCAGGGGGTTTATTACTCTCTCAGGACAGAAGCTGGTTGTCAACTCAAGCCAAGTCTGACAATTCAGGATCCATCATCTATACAAACTGTCTGTGTGCTTTGTTTGCACTCTTTCTGAAGGGAATCTATATTTAATAAGCCGTCCTGAGTGTAACGTATGACTCTTTGTATCATCAGAGACAAGTGTATCATCTTAACCACCCACATGGATGACGCATTATATTCAGCAAAAAGAGACTTCATTCAACCAACGTCAATATCTGCCTCTGGGACAGAGTGACTCATTTGTTTTACAATTAAATTACTCTGCGCTGTTTTTGCACTTTTCAAGCCTTGAGATCCCAGGAAACCACCGGGCAGCCGCAGAGGGAACTCCCAATTACCAAGCTGCAAAATCTGCAGGGAAATACTCCACAGCTACTGTAAAAACTGGAGAAACACACACAGGGGAGGCAGGAGAGCCAGAGCAGGCAGGATGAAACACAGATGTAGAGAGAGGAGTCCCCCCCCTCTAGTGAGAGAGATGCGTTTCTTCTGTAAGGTGCAGACTTCAGCAGAACGCCCAACCCGCCCAGACGCATCTCTTCAAAGCTGCAGAGTTTGCATCGGGGGAGCTGTAATCTTTCCTACAATCTACACATGCACAGTGAGCGCTGGGCTGTACCTGCAGTGGTGAGCTCTGTCGGGCTTGATGCTGCAGCACTTTGGACACTTGTACACCACCTGTCCGGGTTTGAGCTGCAGGCTTTCGATGAATTCTTTGGTAGCGTTCCCTTTCGGTACAGCACCCTGAGTAAGAGGCATAGAGAGAGAAGAAGATCGTCAAATATAGTTAATAAATGTTGTCTGTTAGAAGTAAACTACTTCTACAACAACCTTTAAAAGTTTCTGTTACTGCAGTTTTTACCATATTTCCCAAATTAGCTGAATTATGCGGCAGACTTGACTCAGTCTGCAGAACACTGTAGCCTAACTTGTGTGCTTCTGGCAGCCAGACGCGATAATTTTTTTGTGGGATGGTAAGGGAAAGTCCCGCCTCCTTCACCTCTGATTGGCTAGAAAAACTGGAAACGTCAGCACACTCTTAAGCCAAATGCAGGCTGTTGGCTCTGCACATCGATCAGAACATTCCAGAACATTATCGCACTTCTGAAAACCCTAACCCTAACCCTAACCCTAAACCTGGCAGACGATGCGCTTCACAGCCATAAGGAATAACCAATCAGAGCCCAGCATTTCTAGCCAATAAGAGGCAAAGGAGGGCAGGACTTTCCCCTACTATCCTACCAAAAAAATTTTGCCAGCCAGACCTACATCCATGTACCAGTGACATCCAACAACCCCTCTTCAGGTATAACCCCACCATCTCTTTGGATCATGCCATTGAGTCAAAACTAGTTTCAATGCTATCTGTGATAGTAGCTGCGTTTACATGGGCACAAATAATCGGAATAAAAATGCGTCATGTAAACATATTGATCAGAAGATTCTGATCCAATCGGCTCGATCAGAGGGAAATTGTATTCCAATCAAGAGGGGTGGTTTATGCCGGTCGTTAATCTGAAACACGTCCATGTAAACACTTATTCCGATCATGACTCTCTTACCTGGCTCAATCTTCACTCTTTAGCCTTATGCTTATTTATTGAGGTCAGTACAGGAGGTTTTGTTATTCACAGTCTAGGGTAAGACACAACTGCAGGTACTGTAAACTTTGCTACTGTTATTAAGAAGTTTACGTTGGTTGGTATTTGAAAATTAAGAGTTTAGAGACAGACTGAGTGAATTGAAGAGATAAATTTTCTTGTACACAAAATAACTAAAGCTTGTGACTCACCGGGTCTGTGCACATCGCCTTGGCATGAGAGGCGAGGGCGAGGAAAGCCAGGCCGTTGAAGAGCACCCCGTTAAAGAGGCTGTAGGCCACGTTCTTGGCGGGCAGCAGCATGACGAACACCACCACGAACTCGGCGTAGAAGACCAGCATCCAGGTGATGACGCCGCACACGATGCCGCAGCCGTCGCGGATGAACCACATGGTTTCAGAGCCAGTGCGGGGCGGGGGAGGGGCGCAGTGCTCGGGCCTCAGGTAGCCGGCTTGCCGCTCGATGTCCCTGGTGCGGTGCGCCGGGCTCTTCATCCTACAGCGCCCGTGGATCTAGCTGCATACTGTGAGGTGAGAGGAGAGACAGATGGAGAGGAAGAGGGGGAGCAGAGAGAAAGCAGTGAGATGGAAAATAAAGAGAAAAAGAAGTGGAGAATCAGGATCAGGGATTGTGAGGAGAGAGCGTGTCAACAAGGGAGGGTGTCTGTTTAGGGAGGAAGCGAACGGTTACACAATCTTAAACTGATTATTTGCTTCGTTTGATCTGATTAGAAAACTAGACAAAGAGGGAACATCTTTAAAAATCAGAAGCTTTTTTTAATAAACAAGAAATTTTGGACTTCCATATTCACCGACCAAGAATATCACAGATAACACAGTAGACTTGAACCCACACACAAAAGGTCACATTTCTAAAATGTGAATATTTAACTCTGCAGAAGTTTTAGCAACTTCACCTCAGGTACATTCACTCTTCTTCTGTTTGTATGAGGTTAGGTGTTTCATGTTTTCTTTGCAGATATCAAGTGCACAGAGCATTATACATCAGACCGATTAGTTACTATTAGAGGAAGCAGAAGTGCAGTGAAAACTCTTGTAACTTTGCACCAGTGTGTGGAAGAAAGAAGCACTTTGAAATTGAGGTCAGGGGCCCTGTCGGTGCATGAAAACAATGTTAGTGGAAACAGGCCCTCATGTTTGTAACCAATGCTTGGCGGGTGTTGGTTAAAGTGGGTTTCAGCAGGCTGCAGAAAAACAGTCTTTGAAAAATTGATCAGCTAAGACCTAAAGTGAGTGACATGACTGTTTAAAGACAGCAGGGTGAGGGAGATGTAGAGCAGCGAAGAGAGAAGAGACACTGTTTTGTTTACAAAAGACAATATTCCTTGATATTGAAGGTTACTCAACTGCTTCTCTATACTGTTTGAACTCTCTACTAAGAGTTATATTAAGTGTTATAAAGAGACAGAAAGGCTGAATGTCACTCTCTATTTAGACCAAAAAATGCAGCACAAAACAAAGTGATAAATACGAGGCTGAGCAGATGAGTTTGACCTCAGAGGAGATAAAAACTGTCAGGGTTTTACTTTAATAGCTTCTCAGCGATGATAAGCTGGACCTCCGAGTCCTTCTTCTCCCTAAAACCTGAGCTTAAAGTGAGTAAAATCAGACTGCTTGAGGCATACCTGAGGATTCAATCCGTCCATTAGGCTTAGCTGAGCGATAGCCTAATCCCACTTTTATGTCCATTTTAATTAGGGTTTGGTCAATGACCCTGGCGGAGGAGCATGCTTCCCTCGAGAGCAGGAGTTCAGTCAGATTGAAAACGATTTCTCGAGGAAATTCACCAACGTCATTCTTAGATTAAGCTGGCACGTTTCTTTGTCAATTACAGCCGGAGTTCAGAGCGATTATCAGACCTCTTTCTTCACACCGCAACACACCCTGCCTGACCTCTGACTCACAGCACATTAAAAGACCCACCTGTTAGAGTCCTGAGAGACAAGAGACATGTGCAGATTATTTACCATCAACTACTCGTTCCTTATACTTCCTTACAGCCTGTCAGATTAATCACAAACAAGAGGAATTGGGGTATGATATCACTATGTTCTGAAACTTCACTTTGTAGATCCCTTGTTTAAATATTTAAACAAGGATTTAATGGATTTTATTGAGACTGGAAAAAGGGTCTTAATGACCAAATAACCCGCAAACCCAACAACATTTACATCCCTTTTATTATACTTTGAGTTTAATGCCAGATAACCATCACTGCAATAGGGCGGTGTCTAATTCAGCCAACAGTTTGGCTGTATAAGACCTTTAATAACACGGGGATTATAGTCTAATTAATTGTGAAATTATAAACAATGGGTTTCTTTGGGTTCGTACAAGCAGCATGTACTTTCGCATGGACGCACTGAGAGTGAACTGGCGGGGCTGTAAATCTGCTTCCTTTCTTTGTGTGTTGCGAGCAGCTGATTTGCTACAGCCCAAAAGCATGCTGGGATACCTGCCAGCACAGCCACATAAAGTATGTCTCCTTAAACAAAACAATCAGTCTTGATAAAATGGTGCAATATGTTTCACCTTCGAGGGAGCTGGTTGGAGAGAAGACTCGATTTAAAGCTCCAGTGAGGAGATTTAGTTTCATGGGGAGTTTCGGTGTTTTACTAATAAATAATAACACAGAAAATTTTCTCCTAGTAAATATCCTCACAGTAATATTCAGAGCATTTCTGAAAGTACAGTCGAACGCAGCCACAAGACTCATGACTCATGTTTAAAGTGTTTTTTTAAAAATAACTCCTGTGACCTCTGTGGACTTGGAAGCACACAGACCTTGTTTTTGCTGGAATGCTGCAAAAAATACAAAACAATCTCCAGCATTAAATCCCATTCTGTTCAACGTGAGGAAAAACTGAACTGGGCCTTACAGGGATGATATAACTCAAACAAACCCTGAAAAGGCTTACGCAACGAGCACATGGGAATAAAAAATGGTAAATCACTGGAGTTAGCCCAGTTCCAGTGGCAGTAAAACAAACAAAGACATTATTTTGGACAGGAAACCCCTCCATTGGTGGTATCCCTTGAGTTATTTATTCCTGAACAACCTGGATTTATCCGTCGACATGACTGAGGACCTGCCAGCTCTACTGAAAACTATCCAGAGACTGAGGGATCGTCTGATCAAAGTTATTTACTGGTCTGGATTACTTCTTAAAAACACAGTAACAGAAGCCTAAGCTGTGTGTTTCTGCTCTTAACCCTTTGACCACATGTGTCATCACTCAGCAGGAGTCGGGTGCAGCAGGAGGTCAGGTTGGAGGTCTGATCAGTCTATGGGTATCACTTTCACTACAAGTCTGGGATTACAGAGCCATCTGTCTTGGCTTTGAGCGCTGGTGCTTTACTGTTTCCATACATCATCTTTGGGCTTTCATTGGATCACAGAAAGAAACTTCCAGGCAGCAGAGACGTGTTCGTAGTTCTGCTGCTGATATGAAAGAAAAGTGACGACGTTACTGCTGATCTCAGGTCTCTGAAGAGAGTCTATGTTATTCATACTTGTCGATAAATAAATAACAACTTTAAACCCAAATTTTAGCCTGCTCTCCAAATTAGGGACGCACCGATCGAGTTTGGGTCCGATATCGACAAATTAACTGGATTGGATATCGGATGAATGATGTCGATCTAGTGTTCCGATCCCTTTTTTTTTTCTGTGAATCAATTTTTCTTTTAATACATGGAAGTCTTCTGTCTTTATACTGTGTGTTAATGTGCAATTTGTTATTTATTGATAAATAAAATTAAGTAAAGTTATACCTGTCTTAATTTGTTACCTTTTTTTAACAAGGCTAATGTCAAGCCTGATGCCTTCACTCACAGTGCTAGGTATACAGTTCATTCATTCAGCAGTAGTATTGGATCGGCATCAGATATCGGCCGATATGCTTAGCCCACGTACCAGTATCGGATTGGATTGGAAAAAAAATGAATTGGTGCATCTCTGAGGAGAGTCTACGTTATTCAAACTTGTTGATAAATAAATAAATATCTTGAAACACGGCTTTCAGCCCAGTCTTCAAATATAGACTTTGTGCAGTTGGATCAAGAGGTCTAAATAAATTTGTGCTTTGTTTTAAGATGCAATATGTAGAAATTCGATAGTTTTGCGTTATCTTTCCATTGTGATTACTGGACCGGCATGCTCCCCTACTCACTCCTCTTGCCAGTGAAGTGACGGTGGCCCTCATGGACAAGAAGCTCCTGTGATCCATGAGTATAATTCTCAATTTGAAGTGATTTTACATAATACCATTATAAGTCCTGCCAAATCCTACCTAAACCTGCAACCGTTCTCAGGGTTATTTGGTGCAAATGTGTCACCTAAGTTTCATCCAGATGCAGGGTGGGGCCTAGATCTGGGAAAACAGGTTTCAGTGTTGGGGGGGATTCACAAACCTGATACCAAATCGTCAAGTTAGTAGTTGGAAATACTGAAGACATGAATAAAAAAGAGGTTTAAAGTCGTGAACCGGTGAAACTTACATGATACACTGAGTTACATTGATTTATATGGTTGTTGTGCAAATTATGTTCATTATATTGGCAGTATTTACTGGTGTGGCAAACTCTGCAAAGGTATACTTTAAGTTGTTTTAATCTGGAGTAATGGATGTCCAGTGTTTACCCACACATGTATTTAGGTGGCCCACCCAAACATCCACCCATGTATACAGCAAGTATATCTCTGGGTGGCTCGGTTTCTTGTTGAATTGACCTCTGACCTCCCTGCAGACGGGAATAATTGGGAATTACATTACACTCAGGTGTTTAACAAATACAGGGACGTGACAATTAGAAGTCAATACATAAACCCAACCAGGAACTGAGTGTGTCCTCTCAAGCAGGATATCTGGATTTACGCCATTTAAAATCTGATTAACAGGGAAAATAAAGTCAAAATTCACTCCTTCTTTGGCTTACAAACGCTTACCTCGCACCCTCCTGTAGTCTCAAAGAGTTCCCTGAGGTCCTTGAGTAAGTTCCAGTAGCTGGAAATAAAAAGATCCCAGACTAAGAGAGAGTCTCCTCCACCGCTGAGTCTGTGAGCTCAGTCCCGGCTAACCTCACTCATCTGCGGGCAGCTGCTCCCCACAGCTGCGCGGCTCTGCTCCAGCTTTCACCTCCGCCTCGGGTTCGACGACTCGATTATTCGCCTCTCCGTGTGCTAGCTACGACGGGCAGGGACCGAGCCCTAAAACAGGCCGTTACCAAACTACTTCTGTGCTTCCGTTTATGTTAGATCCACAAAGCTTTGCGGGAAGCAGGACAACACAACGCAATGCCAACCAGGAAGTCAGATACCTCCTTCCAGTTACTCTGTGCCCGGAGTTGAGTCTGACAGGCATCACTTTCACCGTTGCTGCACGAAATCCCCCCATAAATATGATTGATGTGAATATTTGTGGAACTGTTTTAATTATACAACTTTATTTGTTTTTATTTGCTTTTATGGCCTTTGTCTTGTGTGCTATTTTTTGCTCAACATAACACAGCTCAGAAACAAGTGTGCTCCTTGACAAATTTCTCCATGTGGAAAGTAAAGTTGATCAAATTTGGTCTAGTGAAATGTATATAGTCGTGTCACATCATTTACGATACTAGTCAAAATAGGATGGGCCACATGGCATAGTTGTTAAGAGTGGGCTTGGCTCAACCTGAAGCTGCAGGCCCCAGGCATAGACTGTATATACTAGGGACAGCTTGGTTCCGCTTTCCCCATGTATACGGATTTGAAGCCGAAAAGCTCTCTGTAATTCCGCGTTTTTCTCCACTTCCTGAAACCAGTGTTGCACAGTACCGTTGTACGCATTCTGCGGGAAAGTCGCCAAAAGTCGCTCAATCAGCATATTCTATGCAATCTTCGTACGCCTATAAGCTATATCAAGTGTCAATCATAGAAGGCGGAGGCGGAATTATTGACCTATACTGCAGCCCGTCACCAGAGGGTGCTGTTCTCGGAGTGTCTTAACCCAGAGAGGAGGCAGACGGCATCCATTCTATATACAGTCTATGGTCCCAGGGCCCAGGCTCAAAACTTATGTCCCTGATAACCTTGCTTATTCTGAAAATGAGGTTCAAAAGCAGTCAAACTACCATAACTTCACAGGGGCTTAAAGGTCACAGGGGTGGGGGTCATTGCCATTGATTTCTAAGCTTGGAGTCACTTTTTAAGGTATTTCCTGAACTCTTACAAATTCATTTTCTTACCTCTATGACTAAAAGTAAAGCCCAAACTTACAAAAACGAATGAGCTAAAGCTGTTGTGGGTTAAGCTTTCAAGTAAGATATTTGCTGGCTCAAAAAGCCCATGCTGCCTTAGCTGCCTTTAAGTCTACGCGCAGGGCAAAAAAGCACCATGCGAAAATCACTGTTTTTATCTGTTAAAAATCTGAACAAAGAAATCTGACTCTGCGATAAAAAAGGGAATAAAGAATGAAAATCTTGGGGCATTTTAATCTTGAAGACATCTACAAAAATAATTGATGCTATAAATGATCTTAAGGAGTGAGTTCAACTGTCCAAAAGTTATGTTTATTTAATAAAGATGGGAAAACTGAAAATACAATACGAGTTAGCTCAAAATAATTCATCGCGATCGATTTTTGTTCTTTTCCACTAGTTCCTAAAGAGGATTAGCGTTTCATGTTTGAACCAGCCTGCCCCGCTTGGGCGGTTTCTTGTATCCTCTGCGGAGTTACGCAATCCGGGACGTACCGGTGAGCAAAGCGGATACGATCAACGCCCGAGTTCCCTCATTTTGTGTTCGTCGGCTTTTGATGACGCAGAAAAGAGGCGACACATTCACATGTTAGTAACATTATGGCAACAGTACAAGTCAGCGAGGCAGAGAAAGTGTATATTTTACACGGTATTCGGGTAAGAATTCACAAGTTTTGTTATATTTACAGCTCTGAGCTTGTTTGCATTTTATGATTTGCTGTTAGCATGTCCTATCTGTGTGCACGGCGTGTTGTTGACATGTTGAATCTGTGATCAGGATGACTTACGGGTGGATGGGAGAGGCTGTGAGGACTACAGACACATGGAGATAGAGACAGATGTGGTGTCAAACACGGACGGCTCGGCGAAAGTCACTCTGGTACTTAATGGAGCCCTCCTTAGATGGTTCATTATCTTCATCGATTATCTGAAAGGTCCTGATCTGATTTGTTGTGTCTGTTTCAGGGACACACAGCAGTGCTGGTTGGGATCAAGGCTGAAATTGGAAAACCAAGACCCATGGTGCCAAAAGAAGGATATTTGGAGTTCTTTGTTGACTGGTAGGCTTGTTTTATGGATTTGGCAACCAGATAAAGAAAATTTTAACATCCAAAACATCTTATTTCTTTAGCAAAGAGACTGAACACAGCTCACCTACCCTCTTTCAGCAGCTGCTTGTTTGTAGCGAGACCTGGGGCCAGTCCATTACAAACTACAGTGGGGTGACGCAGCTCAAGGAAGAACATTTACTATCATTACTTTATCATATCCTTGGCTTGGTAGTTCTTCTGCCTTAACGTCTCGGTCTGATTGCATTTCCATGAAGTAATAATCATAAATGTTCTTCCTTGAGCTGCGTCACCCCGCTGTAGTCCGTAATGGACTGGCCTGAGGTCTCGCTACAAACAAGCGGCTGCTGGAAGAGAGTAGGTGAGTTGTGTTTAGTCTCTTTGCTAAAGAAATCAGGCAAAGCTAAAAAGATGTTTGGTGGCTAGTGCTGTGGCTAGGACCCTATATGTACTGTTGATGAAGTTAGGTGCTGTTCTGAGCATTATTTGTGTCTATAGAGTGGCGTTTTGGTTGAGGTTTGTATATTGCTCCTCAGACTTCTGTGTATTGCTATCCTGCTGTCGTCGCTAAAGTTGGTTTAACTAGAGATGCAAGCGGTGGGCAACATTCATCTCTTGAGGGGGTGTCTAACTTGGTGTTACAGTGTGTTTGACCCTAAATCAATTTCACGCCGCAATATCCCTTTTAAACTTCACATGTCCAGGATTTCATTTCTATAAGATATTATTGCACATAGTTGAAATATTGTAGGTTTACGTTACAGAAATCATTTTAGTCATGAATCTGCTGTTAAAATTATATTTTTAAAACTTGTTTCAAACGGTCTTGGGGAAAAAACTAACAAATCTCACTCAACCTCTCAAATATTATGAAGGTGTAACATTTCAATCGATCAATCAATTAAACTTTATTTTTAAAGCCCTTTTGCCACAGATGACAGAGGAAACGCAATCTTGAGTTAAGAAAAAAAGGGGAAACACTGGATCTAGGACTAAAGCGATAAAGCCATGATAAAATATAATAAAGGTGATAAAGCATTAAAAGTTAATGAAATAAAACAGTCTTGGAATCAAACAATAAAAGAGAGTAAATTAAAAAAAGAGGTGATGAAACACAAAATAGTTACTCTAAGACTTAAATAGGGTGAAATCACATAATTAATCACATTAGATTAAAAGATTAAAACAAACTGTAATCTTTTATTTTCCCCTGGTAAATGTGAACATGTCCTGTCCTGTTTTTAGATAGATACCCTGCCCCTAGGAGGTGCTGTTATACCATCTGTTGTTTTATTCCCTTTACAGCTCAGATGTAACAAAGTATTATCCCTCTGTGACTAAAAAAACAACAACTTTCTATTGTTTTTTTTTTTATCTTCCAATACCAGTTCAGCCAATGCAACACCTGAGTTTGAGGGCAGAGGAGGTGAAGAGCTGGGGACTGAGCTGAGTAACACTTTATACAAAGTCTTCAACAACAAAAAGAGTGTGGACCTGAGGAGCCTGTGTATCAGTGCAGGAGAGCACTGCTGGGTCCTGTACGTGGATGTGCTGGTACGAGGCGACAATATCTGAGAACTACATGTTCACATGAAGAGTTATGTTTCTATACCTTCACTGAGGTTAACATCTCACAACCACGTGTGTCCACAGCTCCTGCAGTGTGATGGAAACCTGTATGATGCCATTTCGATCGCCATCAAGGCAGCTCTTTTCAACACAAAGTAAGTAAAATCAAGTTTGTCTGTTTATGTCTTGGATAGTTTAAACTAGTAAACTGACGGCTTACACACTTTGTCCCGGTTTCCTCTCTGACAGAATTCCCAGAGTGCACATATCCTCCGATGATGAAGGAGGGAAGGAAATTGAGCTGTCAGACGATCCGTATGACTGCATGAGACTTAACGTAGAAAACGTTCCTTGTATAGTGACATTGTGCAAGGTAACCTCACCACCTATAACCTCTTATCTTTTAACCGTTCACACTACTTGGTTTCTCTGACATCATGGGCTTTCCTGCAGGTGGGACACAGATACGTGGTGGACGCAACCCTGCAGGAGAAAGCCTGCTCTGTGGCGAGCTTGATCATCTCCGTCACACACAAGGGCACGGTCACCTGCATGAGGAAGGTGGGCGGAGGCAGCCTGGACCCAGAGAGCGTCTATGAAATGACAGAGGTGAGTGCAGACCTCCACCTCGGCCATCTGGCCTCCTTACATCTTTAAAATGGAATTAACAACATCATGTGATTTGAATGTTGAAGTTCTCACCTCTGTGCCATCACCAGAAGTCACAGGCTGCAGCACAGAAAGTGAAAAGAAAACTGCTAGCCTGATTTCATTTCAAGACAACAAAACCTGCCCATTAGCTTCTCTGAAGCACACTGTTTAAAGGGATAGTTCAGATTATTTTGGGGTGGGACTGTATAAAGTACTTGTCAGTACTGTATGGCAGGAGTGGGACTTGGTAGCTGAATCAGAGGATATCAGTGGCTTAAATATGGGTGCAGTCTGCATCGCCTTGCCAAAGTGAAACGCCCTTTTTTCTTACTGTTCACTCAACATTCAGAAGTTAAATAAGAAAACTAGAAAAGCCAAGTTAAAGGGCCTCTTAAAGGGCCAAACACACCAAAACACCAAGCACCCCACAGCAGTCCGTAATGGACTGGCCTGAGGTCTTGCTATGAACAAGCGGCTGCTGGAAGAGAGTAGGTGAGTTGTGTTTAGTCTCTTTGCTAAAGAAATTAGACAAAGTTAAAAATATGTTTGGTGTCTAGTACTATGGCTGGGACCCTATATGTTCTGTTGATGAAGTTAGGTGCTGTTCTGAGCATTATTTGTGACTATAGAGTGGCGTTTTTGTTGAGGTTTGTGTATTGCTCCTCAGACCGCTGTGTATTGGTATCGTGCGGTCATTACTAAAGTTGGTATAACTAGAGAAGCAAGCGGACGGCAACATTCATCTCTCAACAGGGTGTCTAACTCACTGTTATGGTGTGTTTGACTCTAAATTAATTTCACGCCAGAATATGCCTTTAAGTGTTAGGCTCGTGACAATGTGGTTTTAGTGGGTTCACCAACTTATCAAAGGACTGATTTTAATTTGTCATTGTTGATCTATTGATTTATAAATGTGAAGCTCTTGGTCAACTTTGGCTGTTTTTAAATCTGTTGGATTTATGGAAAACAAAGCCCTACTTGACTTGACTGAGTTAAAGTAACAAAACTCCACCATTACTGCGTTACACACATTTGAATCCTAACACTGATTGATTAAATATGAACAAGTTTGTATGGCAGCCAAGTAACAAAGTACTCTGTTGTCTCCAGGCAGGTAAACGAGTGGGTAAAACCCTTCACGCTCCTCTCATGAAGCTGCTGCAGGAGGAGGAGAGTTTGGGAACCAAGCGACAGAAAGTTGGCTTCCTCGGTTAAGAACAAATTTATCATTGATGCACATGTGTACAGATTTTTTAATAAAACAGTAAATTTGTAAGATCCTTTTGATTTTTCTTTATTATTCAACATTAAGATAAACTGTTTCATCATGCACACTCGATATTAAGCTGAGAGGGACAAAGTGAAAAGAGTGAAAGATAGCCTAACAAAACTAATTATACACTTAGAGTATTTTGGTAGTACAGCCTGTACTCTGAATTTCACTGTGAATGCTTTATGTGCCTTACCCTCTAATATTAGGCCTCTGTTATGACAGGGTAGCAAGTGAAGGGGTACTTTATAATACAGCACACTCCCCTAATATTGTGTATGAAAAGCGTAACAAGAGGAGAATGGCGTTTACTTTATAATAGCCTGACATTATAATGTAATTATGGGGTGAGAAGGGGAGAACTTCAGAATACCTACAACTTTAAAATGTTTGATTGCTGTGCTGTTAGGACTGAAGTGCAAAAGAAAGTCCACACTCACTGCGTCCTTTTGTTTTTGCCACGTGTCAGTCTGGGATTGTGTAGAATGGAAGTCCGAAGCAGAGACCAGATGTGACTCTGGATCGTTTCCACTCATCCCTCAGACTGGAGTAGGGTGTGTGCACTGACTTAGGAGACAGGTCCAAAACAAAATCTAATTTATGGCAAAAGCTCACACTGCATGTTTGAAAACACAATATGCAGGGAGTGTTTATAGATGGATACACAAACTTTGAATAAGGGGTAGTGTTGCAAAAAAGGTGAATAAAGCTGTACAGGACACTAAACAGGTCGTGATTTATGAGGTTTTAATTTTCAGTGCCTCACTTCTGCCAAAAACACCTGGAAACTACAAGATTTTTCCAAACGGTACAGTACTTAGACTTCCAAAAGTTATTCAGGCCAAATTCTAAGAGAGAAAGAAAGTCTTATTCCACTGTTTTCACTATTAAATCTCTCCTCTGCCAGCTGAACTAAAACCAATTTATTTACCATCTAACAACAAACAATTCCCTGTTAGTCGTATTTATTTTTCTTAAACTGATGTCACACCTGTCTCAGACTGTCTCATCCTGTGTGCCAGTTTCCACCTGTCTCCCAGGTCTGGCTTCAGTTCATTCTGGCCCTTCCCCATACAGTTACCGGAGCCAGACGACACTCAGCGCAAACACATCATCCCTTAAAGCTCCTGAGGTTGGTTTGTTGTGCCTGCAAAGGGCGGTTTTGGACTCGAGAGTTTTTCCCTGTTTGGAGATGAAAGGGAGGGTGTGAGAGACGGACAGATAAATTGCACGCACACACATGGGATCAGCCTCATACAATACAGTCCCACCATGGAGTTCAAAGGAGTGTGTGTGCTGCTGGGAGTGCTACTAATGGTGAGCTGCTCATTTCAGCAGACCTCACTACGGAAGAAGCCGCTGAAAAAAGGTACACAACATTCTCTGATTAACAATCTTCACTGAGGATTTGAGCAAAAATTCTCCACTATATTTATTGCTCAGTGAGACTTTCATCTCAGAGCGCGGACAGTAAATCACACCTGATTTGAATTTCCTCCTTTTTATGTCATTGGAATCAGAGCCAACAAAAGATCCTGCAATCGAGGAGCTGCAGAAACAGATTGATAACATCATCCAGGAGCTTAACCTACTGAAGGAGCAACAAGCCCTGCAGACAGGTAAAGATAAGACTCTGAATTGAAGAACAAAATTAACGAAAACAAATTCTTTCTTCTCTCTAAAACTGCACACTAAGCATCATATTAATATGTGAGTCAGTTTTTTGTGAAGTTTTTGCATCATTGTGCTTTACTTTTAGAAGGGCCTTGTATAATGAGAGAACATTTTCATACAGTTAATAATAGCAAAGTGAGAGAAAAACTGAAATTAAAACTGCAAAAAGAAATAATTATCAACTTTCATCAGTCAAGAGTAAAACAACACGATGGGGGATGAGAAAAAGAGACATTTTTGATAAGTTACTTTAAAGAGTATGGAGTCTGAGTTTCCAAAGACCAAAGTTTGGACACCCAGACTGGACGATTTTGTAACCAAGAGCTTTTTTGTCAATCAAATTTTCAAGACTTTTAAGACTAAAGGGCCCAAGAATTATCCTTTTTGGCCCTGTGGTAGTCTTGCATCATCCCATAAAAAAAAAACTACAAAAATTTACAGATTTATCCAAATTTGAAACCCTGTAAAAACAAACTCTACGCTGTTGGCTCTCTGATGAAGACACGCCTCTTCTGTGGAGGGTTTTAAAGCTTTACTGTGTGAATTTATATGAACTACAGCGTGAAGGGCATCTTGTCTGTGTTCAAGTTGGGGCCAAAAGCCTGTAGCGTTGTTCTTTTAAAAATAGAGACAGATGGGATGCATGTGTAGTTTTGGAAACTGCTGGTACTCACTTTGGAAAGCACACAGCATACCATTTATGACCCTTTTTTCAGAACACAAAATTACATCCAGTTGTTTCTGCAAACAGTAACTGAGTGTATTGTGTTTATTTACTCGCTCACAAATACCACTAACTACTTAGTACTAAAAGAAAACAAGTTTAAAAGAGTTTAAATGATTTTAAATATCGCTCTAAGTCTATCTAACATCTGCTCTTTTTTGTTTTTCTCTTCAGTCTGTTTGAAAGGCATAAAAATCAATGGCAAGTGTTACTTGGCCGACCCTCTGAGAAAGCGCTATCACACTGCCAGCGAGGACTGTAACGCCCTAGGCGGACTCCTCGGCACACCCACGTCCAGCGATGAGAACGACCAGCTCAGAGACTACATCCGCCAGAGGATCGGCCCAGATGAGCAGATCTGGCTTGGTGTCAACGACATGGTGACCGAGGGCACCTGGATGGACACCACAGGTTTCAGCATTTCATACCAAAACTGGGACACATCCAACTACCGGTCCCCTCAGCCGGATGGTGGGATGTCCCATAACTGTGCCGTCCTGTCGGTGGCCTCTAGGGGGAAGTGGTTTGACGAGAACTGTCGTGACGAGAAACCTTCTGTCTGCCAGTTTAACATTGTTTGATTCTGTCAACATAAACCGTGCATGGTTGTAGCTGCTTTCAGTGTGTACTCTTCGCTGCAATACTCTTTAGCCTGCTATTACAGAGAGAGTCTTAAGCCAGTGGTTCTCAGCTGGTGTCGCATCAAGACTTTAAATCTGATGTCAAGGACTCTCAGTATTATTTTTGAGATATGTCATTTGCAGCATTCTTTGTGGTCACAATAAAACCACAAAGAACGCAGTTTAGACCAAAAAACAGAGATTATATTTTCCCAGAAAGACACCACAACTGCTGCCTTCATAGATTGTCTTCTGATTTTGCCTGTAACTTAAAAATATATATATTTATCAGATGTTGATAGCATTCTCCCAACAAAAAACACGTGTTGGTGCTGGCACCTTTCACAAATGGGGAAAAAAAGAAAGGGGAGTTACATTGGATTGTGAAAAAGACAATAACATACAAAAGATACAACAACGAATCATCTAGCACAACAACACATATGAAAAAACACAACGACTAAAGAAGCACATGTACGTCTGGAGCAGCAGGTTATGAGAATCACTTAAATCACTAAACTGAGACATCCCTTCCCATCTACTGTATTTAACGACAAGACTCACATGGAGCTGGAATTGTATTATTTTGCATTCAAATAAAAAGAACATCTCAACCTAAAACTATGTTTTTGTCCATTTTTTGTAGCTTTTGTAACTAAATTAGCTGGTTTTATTTGAACCGAGGATAGTAATATCGTCTAAACATGTTGGTTTTAATTTATGACACCAAGTTCTGCTCTGAGACTGAAGAAATTGTATTTTTTCTATTCAAATCCTACATCTGCAAGAAACATGGTGCAACTATGTAAACCTGGCCTCTTCATGTCTTGTTTCCAGTCAAACGCTCTCCTCCACGGTAAACACTCTTCAGTCTGAGGTCTTCCACACCCTTCTTCACTCTGTTTTTCATGGCTGGAGTTCCTGTGGTCAAAAGTGTTTCCATCATCAAAAATGCAAAAGTGACAGTATAAGACACAAGACTCTTCACTGGATGGGACCAGAGCTCTCTGGGATTTATTGCAAATAAAAAACAAAAACTGCATTGTATTTACAGGTAAAGTAAAAACACACTGATAATAATATAAAAACACTTAAAAATGTGCACATTTGTTTTCCTTTCTCCTGATTTATGCCACAACAATTCGTGGGCAACAATTTAATAAAACTAACAAGTTAAAACTTTGAAAAATACTCAAGACATTTTGCAGTTTTCTTGCTAGAGAGAGGCAGGATGAGATGATGGATTTCCCTCTCACACACGAGCTAAGACAGGAGAAAAGCCCTTTTTCTCGTCTTTATGCTATGCCAAGCTAACTGTCTGCACGCTTTAGCCTCATATTATTCACTGGGGATACAGTCAAGTCTTATTTTACTCTCAGCATGTCACAGTTGGCTCCCAGCTGACCAAACTTCTTTGTAAAGATCACAGCATCTACTCTTCATCCCTCAGAAATGAGACCAATAAAGTGCCCACATCACACTCGATAAAACTCTCTTTCCCTGAGTAGGATCGAGGCACGGAAGTTCACATCGGAAGAGACACTTGGTGCTGCAATGAGGCTTCAGTAACATGGTCACACTACAGGTAGTCCTCTGTTATCGGTGGCTCTGGTTCCAAGTCAACACCAGAGAGCCGGATGGTGTTAATATCACCTGTGTTCTTGAACGTGTACAGCTCATTGTCAACCATCCTGCGGTCCTGGAAGCCGAGGCTGTCCTGCCGCTCGATGGGAGTGCGAGGGCGAGACGGGATAAAACTGTCCGCAGGGTCAAGGAAGGTATTGAACGTATCAGTTTCCGGGTCTTGATCCGGTTCTTTGATCACAGGAAGCCCTCCGTCAGTGGGGCCTGTAAAGGTCTGATAAGAGTCCACCTGCATACCTTTATAGTGGTCCTGAAGGCTGTCGGCGTAAGTTGAGTCACCCAGCAGATGGCCGTACACCATCGTCTCATCGATGGAGTCGTAGACGTGGGATTCATTGTCAGACCGAGTTTTACTGAAGTGCGCGTCACCAGGGCGGAAGATGTTCCCTTTGCCGATGTAGATGGACGACTCTTTGTTCATCTTGTCTTTCTTCTTCTTTCTGTTTGGAAAAATGAAAGACGTACATATATCATAAGAGAGAGTCAAATAAAGCTGCTCAGTACTGACTATTATTTAGGGGCAGAGGGAGTAAAGGCCCACTAGCTAGAAGTGAACCCAGACAGCCTCTTTCAAGGACTATGGTCTCTTTATGGTCCTAGCCATAGTACTAGCCACCAAACATCTTTTTAACTTTGCCTGATTTCTTTAGCAAAGAGACTAAACACAAGTCACCTACTCTCTTCCAGCAGCTGCTTGTTCATAGCGAGACCTCGGGCAATCCATTACAGACTGCTGCGGGGTGACGCAGCTCAAGGAAGAAGATTTATGATCATTACTTTATCATTTCCTTGAAGTAATAATCACCATATTAATCATTTTGCACTGCAGACGCAGTAGTTCTTCTGCCTTAGCGTCTCGGTCTGATTGTATTTCCATGAAGAAATGATCATAAATGTTCTTCCTTGAGCTGCGTCACCCCGCAGCACTCTGTGATGGACTGGCCTGAGGTCTTGCTACAAACAAGCGGCTGCTGGAAGAGAGTGGGTGAGTTGTGTTTAGTCTCTTTGCTAAAGAAATCAGGCAAAGTTAAAAAGATGTTTGGTGGCTAGTTCTATGGCTGGGACCCTATATGTACTGTTGATGAAGTTAGGTGCTGTTCTGAGCATTATTTGTAGCTATAGAGTGGCGTTTTGGTTGAGGTTTGTTTATGGCTCCTGAGACCGCTGTGTATCATGCAGTTGTTACTAAAGTTGGTATAACTAGAGAAGCAAGCGGTCAGCAACATTCATCCTTTGAGGGGGTGTCTAACTCGGTGTTACAGTGTGTTTGACCCTAAATTAATCTTACGCCGAAATATCCCTTTAAGGTCATGTCTGACTCATCAATCAACCAACTCAAGACTCTTCAATGTCAAGCACCGGTTCAGCTCTGTCATTACTTAAGTTCAGACTTCACCTGTATTACTCAAACAAGTTTGAAAGAAGTAAACTTACTTTGTGACGAAGCATACCACACCCAGCACTATGAGACCGAGTAGAAGAGCTCCTGCTATCCCCAGGAGGATGGCCAACAGATCTGTGGAGGTACAGTCCTTTATTTTACTTATCTAGTTAAGGATTTGATGTGTTTTTCTTATCAAATGAAAGATAAAAGCTCTAAATTAATTACTATTTCCTTACTTGAGGACTTCTGCAGAACGATTTTGGTCACCGCTCCAAAGTGTCCCTCCTCTGGAATACAGTTGGACATATTCAGATAGAAACTCTCGTCCACAAACAGCTCATCCTCCGCCTGCTCGTCCTCCCTGCGGCTGAAGATCTCCTCCTCCTCATCCAGTTTCTTCACCTTCATGGCGGTGTGTCTGTCGAGGCATTTGGGCTGGCTGACGTTGACGAACTGCAGGTGTGCTTTGTACCCGCTCGGGACGTTGACGATCCAGGAGAGAGTGGATGAGGGTCTCATCCCCTCAGGCCAGTTAGGGGTGGCCAGCAGGGTTGGAGTTGATATTTTGGGACTTATACTGTAAATAATGGTCTCTACAAGAGGGATGAGATCATGTTCAGAGTCAGTGTTGTATTTTCAAACATGTGTGGTACAACAGTGCCCCTGTGTGGAGCAGAAGAGCAAAGTGACTGAACACATATAATGTATAGAAAGTAGGTGTCATGCATACAGGATTCTAGTCATAGCTAATTTGCAACCGGCTTCCAGAAATGACAGAAAATTGAGCATAAAATATTGTAACCACTAAAAAACGTACAATAAAATCAATTCACACAATAAAATGCAGGACTTAAACAAAGATAAAGGCCTGAATTCATCAGAATTTATCTCACATCTTACCTGGGATCTCCTCACTGTAGCTGACATTAAGAAAAGGTCCTCTGATTCTGCTGAAGTCTGGGACTTTGGCTGTGACAGAGACGTTGGCATGCACCTGAATTTTGGGGATGGGTCCGTTGAAGCAGAAATCTCCCAAAGGGAACCCGTCAGCCTCCGCCACATGAAGCGAGACCGACTGATTGCATTCCTGGTTGGGGAGCGACTGTCGGAGGCTACCTGTGGGTGACGTCAGATCCACAGTGCCGTCCTGAGGGATGGTGATGTGCCAGGTGAAGCTGTGGAGAGGCACCCGAAGACAGGGTTCCATTCTGGGAACGGTGAGGAGAGTGGAGGAGCAGGAAGCTACGTTTTGGCAACCTGTTCGTAAAAGGGCAAAGAAAGCAGAGAATATAGCCTAAATTGGACCACCTGACTTGTTACCTACTTTCTTTCCCGTATCAAGACGAGAGAAAAGGCGCAATCATTCTGGCTGTTCACATACATGTATAATAAAAACCCCTCACCAATAACTTTACTGGCTGTCAGGCGGATATCCTCGTCAGGACAGTCCAGGAAGGAAAGGCGGGCCTTGGTACCCGCAGCCACGTTAATCTTCTCTCGGACCTTTGAGTCGATGCTCATCTCACAATAAGGATCAGAACCAACTTTCTCCAAATGCAGGGACACTCCTTTGTGTTTGGTTAGATCCACTGTGCACAGATCTGGAGGGGAATACAACAGAGACCATCAGACTGAAGGAAAAACTCTGATCTGAGTAAATTAGGATCCGAAGAACTAGAAATAAAGGAGATGTGTTGAAATTTTGATGGTTACAAGCATCAGTCTTGGATATTAGGCGGTTAGATGCTTGGCCCAGTGACTTAAGCCACTTGAAGTGCCACTCCTTTCTCTTAAATTGTCTATTTCTACTCAAAACTGGGAAAATTCTTCAGGTTTAATAAATCTGTGGTAACGACAGAGCAGTTCTTCGCTGTACCTGGATGTCCGCTCCTCATTAACGCAACTCTGTAGTTCAGGGTGAGTCCCGGCAGCGTGTGGTTCGTCTCGCAGTTCTTCAGCACCATGTTGAAGTTACCCTGTTGATGCTTGGGCTGCGGATCCGTCAGAGTCAGCTTGGTCCCCTTCTTGGACCCCTCTTTCTGGTACTCAACGTAAACATCTCCACTGAGGCACTCGGGAGCTGTGTGGTCCTGGAAATGCATGGAGTAATTGTGCATGCCGGGCACCGTGAAGTCCCACTGCATCTGCTGCTGGTCAGGGAAATCACCGGGATAGTTTGCTGTGATAAAGTCGACGTTTGATACACCTCGAGGTAGATTCACTTTCATTATCGCCACCACTGGAGGAAAACAAGGAGAGAATCTTGAGGTTTGATTCGCACATACAGTAGGTGCTTTTAAATACACATATGACACTTTGAGCATTATTTTATACTGTTAATGTTTCTTTTAACAAATGAAAATGTAGATTTTGTATTGTTTTGGCTGAGATTAAAGCCCCAAGGACAGAACCAAAACTGCATGTTTACTTTGAGAAGGGTTTGATACGATACGATACGATATGGCATGATACGGTACAATACGATACAATACGGTACGGTACAGTACGGTACGATACGATACGATACGATATGATACGATTCGGTACGATACAATACGGTATGATACGGTACAATACGATACAATACGATACAGTACGGTGCGGTACGGTACGGTACGATACGATACGATACGATATGATACGATTCGGTACGATTCGGTACGATTCGGTACGATTCGGTACGATCCAATACGGTATGATACGGTACAATACGATACAATACGATACAATACGATATGGTGCGGTATGGTATGATACGGTACGATATGGTACGATACGATACAATACGATACGATACGATACAATACTTATAGCTGCAGGTAATTTAGGGAATTTAAAAAACGATTATCTACGAGACATACTAGACAGACTGTCACACAGCATTATTGCTAATAAATCCAGCTGTTTAGTCTGCAGTTTTTTTCCTTAGTTATGAAGAAAGCATAAAAATCTGTGCCGAGTAAACACCTTTAGCACGCCAAATACAAGGCGTTAAGATCAGCACACAGATGTCCTCTGTCTGTTGAAGAGCATGGGCGAGATTTGCAACCTGAGGATTTTTTACGTGAAATTACTTTGGTTAACTGTTTCAAAGTTTTAATCGTGTCATCTTAACAATAAAAAAGATTACAGGCTCTAAAAAGAGTGATGAAAAAAACATGAAGGCATGTTATCAAACTGTTTTACCTCTTTCACTGCGTCAAATTGAGCAATCATCATAAACTATGGTCAGTTAAGTTTTTGGTTAATTTAAAAGGTGATATTTTTTGACATATTTACTGCTAGGTTACCCAAACAAAGGTAGTGAGATCTGAAAGTTTCCCTTTCGCTTCAGACTCCAAAAACTGATGTTTAACTGATAGATTTTGGACTTTGTGATACACGGTGTTCAATATGTTGCATTGTCAAAAAAACATTGTTAACTAACTTACTTGTAGTTTCAGGACCAACATTTAATTTGAAGTTTACAGGATTTAGCTTCCTGTCCCCAGGCACCTGTAGAGACATGCGTCCTTTATATCGAGCCAGGATTGAGGTCACTGGTCCTCCTTTGCAAAAGGTACCAACGACTGCCGGTCCTGTGCGCAGATAAGTGACAACAGAGTATGTGTGGCCGTCAGGACAGGTCTCCTCTTTGGCAATCTGTCGCATTCCCGGCTCTGGGAAGTCCAGCTGGAAAGCCCTGGTGGCGACGACTTTGAGATCCCAGGTGAAGGTTCGATTAAAGTCTGGGAAGAGCGAGGACTCGGCTTGAACGATGTCGCCTGAACAGGAGGTCTCTGTGCAGTCTGGAAATTGAACATGCAAGAGATTTAGTGTTAAGCGGGGCACATTTTAGAAGCTGCATTTGAAACTCAAAAAAATAAAGAGTTAAAGCAATAAAGAGTCAAGAAAACCAATACTCCTGCTTACCTATTTCTCTGTTGATCTCCACAGTGAAAAGATCTTGAGGTTGTGGACAGGTGAACTCCACAGAGATGTTGCCCTGTTCTCTCAAGCTCAGATATGTTGGGCTGCATATAGGATGAACTTTATTTACACATACTCTGCACTCTGGCTCGTCTGTCATCCGGCTGATAGTGACGATGGTGTCCGGATCGGGCATCACAGACATCCTTCTTGCACCTGGACAGAAAAATCAGACATAGATCAGGCCAAAGAGAAAAGATGTCTTAGCACAGTGACAAAACTGTAGCCCTGTATAGTTGCAGGTTTCAAAGGCGGCTATTTAACCCTTATGCAGTATTGGTGACAAAAACGTCCACCAAGGGTCACTTTTTCCTCTTAATTTGACCAGAACTCTCACTGTATTGCAGCAAATGGCATGATTTTTGCTGACAAACCTTATTTTGACATATAATTTGAATATTTGAATATATTTCCATAAAATATTGAATATTTTTTTTAAATTACAAAATGGAACCCTTTGAATGACAGTTTAAAAAAGAAAAATACACACAAAATGAGCTACTTTTAACATAAAAAGTTATTGGACAAAGAAAATTTTTTACCTGCTATCAAAGTCTTGGATATGTCAAAGTTTAGTAACATAGTTGGTTTTGATGCATGTTTAGTTTTCGTGCAGCAACAGATTTTCGAAAAAAAAAACTTCCTTTATGGCATTAGTGGCTGTTTTTGCCCCATTGACTCCCGTTATAACCACAGGTTTTGAATACAGAGACACGGCCCTATATAAACATAATTTTACAGTCAGGGTGATCAACCTTGTTCAGAAGGGCTCAAATCAGGTAATTTTACTGTTGATCACCTGGTTCACCCATTTACCCATTACATAACCCTGTTGTATTACTAGCCTAGTTTCCTTCTGCAAAAGGAAGTTTTTTTGAAAATCTGTTGCCGCACAAAAACTAAATATGCATCAAAATCAATTATGTTACTAATCTTTGACACACCCAAGACTGTGATAGCAGTTTAAAAAATTCCTGTCGCCGATCATTTTTTATATTGAAAATAGGTAATTTTGTGTTTTTCCCCTCCCAAAATCAGTGACTTCATCTTCTAAATTGGCCCTTAAAGGGTTTAAATCCTGATTTTTTAAAATATATTTAGTAGTTCTGATCAGGACTGAACTTGCTTAACAGATTTATGCAAAAAAGTAGAAAGAAATATTAATCTGATATATTTTTAAAGCAGGTAGAAGTTAGTGGCTGAAAACAACCACTAATACTGCTAAAGGAAGTTTTTTGAAGATGCATAAACAGCTGAGCGTGTTTTTCTATAGTGAACAGACACTTGCCTCTTGGTGCTGCTTGTGCGGTGAATGCAACCACATCTACATCTTTTGGCACCTCTGCAGTCACCGTTGTCATGCTGAGCAGTTCCAGATGAGACACCGTCCCTCCTTTACAGTAGTTTTTCGTTTTGGTTTTCCCGTCACTTCTCGTTGTACGAACTGAGTACTGGAAGCCAACTGGAAGGCAACTTTCTCCTGCAGACACTTCCGTTAACCCATCTGTGAAGTCCAAAGATAATACAGTCCCTGGAGGGACAGTGATGTCCCATGTTATGGATCTTTTAAAGTCTTTGAAGAGATCGGCATCGATTTCTGCTTTGGGAGGAGTGCAGGAGCTCTGTGTGCATTCTGGGATAAAAAAATAAATAAGAAATTGTTCAAATCAACTGTTTTCATTTTCCACAGTGAAGTTGAAACTAAAATTAGCAGAAAAAAATACAGAAACGAGTTAGTTCTTACCTATTTTCTTGTTCATCTCCACGCTGTAAACATCCTCAGGTTTTAAACAGCTGAACTCCAGTGAGAGGTTTTCCACATTTGTGAAGGGCTTTGGACTACAGTCAGGACCAGAACCTTCAACAGAACACACTTCACACTCTGGTTCCTTTGGATCCCGGCTCAGGGTCACACTCGTGCTGGGATCGACAGTAATAACCATCTTCCTGCCCTCTGAAACCGAGACAGTGAGACGGATAAGAAAACTAACAGATCTCATGTAACTCAAATGTTTTTGAAATTGTATTTTGTCTTTTTTTTCTTACTCTGTGGTCCGGCGGAGACCTGAAACAACACCGGTTCAACCTGAGCCTTTGGTCCAGCCAGCAGAGACACGACAGCCCCGTTGGGCAGGTCCAATTGAGTCTCAGAACCACCTTGACAATACAGAGTCTGGGTAGGGCTGCTGGTTTCTGTTGTAGCAACAGAGTACTGTAATCCACTGGGACACGGCTGTGATGACTTTGCCAGTCCTTCTCCAAGGATCTTCAGACTCACAACTGTCTTCTCAGGTGCCTTCAGGTCCCAAGTAAAGTGTCTGGTGAACTCTGTGAGGAGGGAGGGTTGAGTTTCTCCTGTTGCAGGGCTGCAGGTGTCCTTAGTGCACTCTGAATGACAGTCACGGACAGACAATAAAGGATGTTAGCTCATGCAAAGTGGATGTTAAAGTCAGTCAGTTGAGTTACAGCCAACTGCAGCATCTTTGCAATAAATCTAAGGGCATTGTGTATGAGAGGAAGTTGTTATATAACGAGATTTAGGAAGTAAAGCAACAACTTTAACTTAACTCTATCACATCTCCTATATTTCTGTAGTTTTGGCTTACAATTCCCATAAAATAAGTAACCAAATTAAACTATCTTATGTTAAATTAACTGTTAAATCCTTGCTCATTTAAAAATGACACCCTCATTAATCTTAAGGTTGTGTTTCTGAAGTTAAATTAACCCAAAAATCATATTATTTGGCTGTTTTCTTGTGTGTATTTTGGGTCTATAACTGCTGAACTACCCATTTTATCCACCAGATTGTGGCTCGTTTGTCTGACACCCTCATTCTTGTAAAGTTCAGCACTACGAAGAGTCCAGTTTGTGGCACACTGTAAAGCATTAAACCTGTCCAATCCTCTACACTTACCGATGGTCCGAGCTATCACCACAGAGTAAGCCTCCTCAAGGGGTTGTGAGCAGTTGAACAGTAGAGTGACTTCCTCCTCAGGAACCAAATGCAGGGAGGAATCACAGGTTTTCACTGTGTCATTTACCCCGCTGACCGAACACACCGCACACTGATCTGGAGGAAGCATGGAGGACACCGTCACTGTGGAGTCTTTGTCGGGTCGGACCACCGTCTGTAAGCATTCTGCAGGAAAAACAGGGGAGAAGCAAAGATAAGGTGAAACGAACAGGAATGTAAAGATGTGATTTGAGAAAATAGGACTACACACTCCTAAGTTGAGACTTGAGTGGGTGGCAAACACAGACTGATTCAGAGCGACAGTCATTTGAAAATATTGTGGTTATTTCCCAAGACAAGTTGATCATCTGTAACGACTCTGATTAACTGTGCTGAACTATTTCACGGTCCTTTTAAAGAGCACCTGACATGATGAAGATGACTGGCTGACACCGCTTTAAGGATTGCAAAGCTGTATTTTAGCTACATTTTTGTTTTTCTATGTGTTTTCTATGTTACCCGTATGTGTGTAGCCTCACTTTAACGACTATTTCGCCAGCCTAGGACTATTTTACTGTTTTGGCATTTTTTGTCAACAAAGGCAAGTTTACCTCTTGTATTTTTGAACCCATAGTTAGTGCTTTGCTCCTCTAAAATAAAAATAAAAATAACCCTTTAAATATCATAATGAGCAAAATCCTGGACAACAAAGATTTGGACCACCATCTGAAGTCTTTGTTTTTAATTTCCACAAACACTCAAATGCTAACTATGGATGTCCTGAAGTGGCTCAATTTCTTGTTGTTCAAAAAAATTATCATAATTTGGAAAAACCAATTATGGTCTAAAGCTAAAAACACTCAGAGAAAAGTCAAAGTTAATCAGACAGCCTACATAAAACATTTTCTTTACATCCAGATAGAAGAGCATTATACCATTATGGCTAATTAACCACAGAAACAGTCCTGTATAGGAGCAGGTGTCTATGCTACGATTGGGAACAACATGTGATTGGCTCCTGAGGTCAACCATAATGAAATAGTGATAATTCTGGCATTGTCATATACTTAAAAGTTGATTCCCACAAGGAAAAAACAACTAGACTGTTGTTGTCCATGGATGTGATCGTCCGATTGATCAAAATTGATGGCCAGAGCAGAAATCAGTTTGTTCACACTGAGCAGGACACTGTCCAGCTCTTCTGTACAACACAATCAAATAAGCGCCTTATTGATAACTTAAAGAGTAAATCAGACAGGAGTGGTCAGCCTGAGGAACTAAAGGTTTGAAAATGTACAAGTCAACTTCTGTTTGTATGAAATTTCACTCGTCTGATCCAAACTTCTCCTTACAGGCAAATTATGTATTTGCAGTTTGATACTGTTATTGTTTCAGCTGTAATCTCACACTGAACATCAGGAGCTGAAAAGCCACATTACAGCTTTGGTTTCACTTTTGTCCGGTTTGCCAAATATAGGGAAATCATTTCATTCTGTGTGCAGTTTCTCTCTGTTTTGATTAGTCTGATTCAGCTTGATAACTCCACATTTTTATCTCTCAAACCGGAGCTTTTACTTCATCAGATAACAAATCTATTATCAATTGTTTCAGGGCGGTTTTCCATAAAGGATGTTTTCATTAAGACTTTAAAGAGGCAACAGAAAACTTTCAAAATTACATTTCTAACTTTTTTAGCTGTTTTCACATCAAATAAAAGAAGAAAATATTCTCATGCTTATCTTTTGTTTGTAAAAAATGTAATAAAAATGATTTTTTAACTATATTGTCCATATTATAAGCAGATTATTTAACAAATTTTGGGTATAAAAGATGCAAGTTGTCAGCAATTTGCTTGGCTGTTTTTCCTCTTAAGTGGGGTAAATGTTCATGTATCATATCATGAATAAATCAGATAAATTGCACAGTATACTTGTTAAGATAATGGGGCAGTTTGACTTTGCTACAATTGTCTGGTTCTTTTTTTCCAAGAACAAGAGGTACCAGGAGTAGGTTTACATGGCTGATAAAAATATTTTGCAAAGTCCAACAGGTCCAAACAAGGCTTACTTGTTGCTGCAATACATCAACTAATAGAAATATCCTACGTTGTGAAACTTCATTAGCCTCATTACAGTCAACTACTTCTGATTTTATGTTTTAAGTTTCCAACTCCTTCCTTATCATCATTTCATCATTTTACTGGGATGTTTTAAAAGCATATAGTTAGGATGAAAGGATGTACAGGTTATGCATACAAAAAATAGGAATTCACAAGTCCTGAACGTGTGAGGACTTGAAAGCAACACAGGGGGAAAGCTGTAGCATTCACACACATGCAGGGTTGGCTAAAGGGCTTCTCATGACTGTAAACAATGGGTGTGACGAGACTGTCACAGCCAGGGTTCAAACTGCAACATAGACGCAGAAAAATTAAAGCTTGTGCGAATAAATCCTCAAACATACATTGAATTTTATCATGCTGCTGGTGACTCCCTCAATGAGATGAACCCAGTCAGCAAAATCTCGGAAAAAAAAGCAAACAATTGAGGATTTTTGACCGCCAGATTCGTAGTGAAGCAGCAGCTTGCTGGTCAATCATTAATGCAGTTATGATGGATTCAAGCCTAAGGGAGGCTCTGTAAACGCCTCATAAACCTTTTGAAAATGAAGGTCTTGAACATCAATTCTCACTGAGGATGTGCCTCAGCCTTTTATCTCCTCTGTCAACACGATCAATCACTTTAATGATGACTCAGCGTCTCCAAAATGTATTTACGGGACTTCATCTCTTTTTGGATTAGGTTTCGCTCGAGCACGTTAACAAAGCATGTAGTGATGGGCACGGCAGCTCTTTTAGATGTACTGAATCAATAGAATCAGTTCACTAAAAAGATTCGTTCACCAAATCACTGAATCATTTAGCACTTAGTAGGAGAAGCCTGCGACTCCAGCCTCCTGAACTGGTACACTGGTGCACGGTTCAGGATTCAGTTCAATTCAAAGCTTCTGGGACCAAGAGATGAGAGTGTTTGGCTGTGTTGCTTTGGCGAACAGGTTTGTAAAACTGAACTTGTTTATAGGTCATGATGTTCTAAGTGTATTGTCCTTTGGTATGCTATTTACCCGGTCAGCTCGGTATATTGGGGTCAGTGAATGACTCGTTCACTTAAGGTTTAGAAGAATTCACACTGATTCCAGAGAGTTCAATGCGTAATTCGTTCACAAAGTGATTCAGGCGTCGGTGCATATTGTCCCCTGTTGTGGGACAATATGTGCTGTGCTGTTTCTCACTTCAACTCAACTGAAATGAGAAACGCACAAATCACTCGATGAAGTGATTCGGTTCAGTACGTTCACTTAAAGATTCTGTTCTTTTGAACCAATCGTTCTCGAACGACACAACACTAAAAGCATGGACTCTTGTCAGTTACGTGTTGACCTAATTGGCACAGATTATAATGTAACACTATATAGTATTTTATATAAGTGTAGCTTTTCAAAATAATGAAGTTTAGAAAGAAAATAGAAGGATAACTTTTATTTAAGAAGAAATAAATGTAGCTTGAAGGCTAAAACTAATCATTAACTCACCTGATGAGTCGAAGACCGTCAACAATAAAAGTCCAATGAGCGTGCATGACTCACGAGGCAGCATTTTCCCGCAAAATAACAACTTTGCTGTGCTGAAGAAAGCTACAAAAAAGAAGATAAAATCGGTTTCAGAGGCTGTGTTGTCTCTCAAACACACACCCGCATTTTCATTCACTTTACAACAACAGCTTCAAAGTTGACAACCCCTTCCTTCCTGCTCTGGGTTACCTGTGCGCAGCAGCACGAGAGGAGGGCGTGGTCCGCAGGTACGTTACGGTTGAACCTGCCCCAACTTGACGGGCGAGGAGGTGAGGAAGAGCAGACTGGCACTCACTCAGTGCAGTTCCGCCCTCAAGCCGAAACACCACAGAGCTGTTTGATTCGGTGATAGACTTTGTGGTAAAACACGAGTCCTTAAGTGACTTCGACCACTGTGTGGCACAATGGCTGCCCTATTTATACTCTGCCAAACATGCCAGAGATTGCTGGCATGAGCTGGTGTTCCCCCAAATGAGGGGGAAACAGGGTAGGGCTTAAAAAGCGATCACTTCAAATTTGGATATCACTTATTCAGTGACTTACAGCATCTCTGGTCACTTCTACACCATGAAACTTCAGAAAAGTATTACAATGGACTTTATTAGTTGTCTGATAGCTAAGAGTGAGGTATAGGAGTAACACTCCCATGTTGCAGAGGCTCTCTCTTGCCTCCACATGCCTCCATGACGAAGACATTCCTGCACTGAAATTTACCTTAAGGCAAGACTGCTAAAAACACACATTTGTGCAACATATTTTGAAACTTTAACCCCTCAAATCATCACAAATATACATGTTCTTTAATGCACAAAGCAGTGTAGACAATACTCACAAATTCAGCATATACAAGCCACATCTTTTTAACCTATACTGCCCATTTTTTAAATCATATATCATGTTGTCTTGACCAAAACTTTTGAACAAATTTAGGGTTAAAACTGCAAATTTAAAGAGGTGAATTTTCATCTCCTAGTGCAAACTTTTAAGCAGACAATTACAAGCGACTCTATGTGTTTTTTTGCGAAACCAGTCTGACAGCATGCAGAGTGGGCGTTGTGGTGGATTGAGACAGCTTCAGTGAGTCTCAACAACAGAGCTCAGTGCAGACCTAGCAGCAGCTGTCACACTTCAGTCTCCCTCCTGCAGAAAAGCCAAACTTGTGCCTCGCAAAGTTTCACTGCAACAGTCTTTTACTCGAGCCAACAGAGATAAGCAGTTTTTATGCAGAGCTTTTCCATTTTTTTGTGTGGGTCAAATGTGCGTTAAACACTTTTTCAGAGTCTATCATGGGCTGATGATGAATTTTTGGCTTCATGTTTAATGTCCTCCCCTTGTTTTTAAAAATGTTTTTTTAACAGAGCACATGATGCAAATCAAATGTGTAAAGTCTTTAATTAAACATCTCTTGGAGACAAACATGCAGCTCTCATTGTGTGTCAGCATCCTGCTTGTTAGACTTAACCACATGATTATAATCAAACAAAGCACATTCCTTTAAATCTTGCCCCATTGAAAAGTGTATAAAAAAACTTTGAATAGTTAAACAGTGAGTTGTTCTGTTAAACCCACTCCCTCCACTGGCAAAAATCCCACCCTCTCAAACCAGCTGTTTACTGGGCTGATCTGATTCTAAGCTTCTTCTACAGCCCACATGAGGGCAGTAACACAAGACAAATGAGCTGCACCGTGTCTGTGAAATGGTCAGGAAGTTTCACAGCTGCAGAGAAACTTCAAGACATTTAAGGAGTAATTTCCAGGGTAGTAGGAGCATCACAAAAATGCTGAGCCCCATGAAAAGAGAATCACCGCCTCTCTACGTCGACAACTTGGTGATGTGACCCATTCCAGATTTAAAGAACTATTTATGTAACACCCTGAAAGTTTTGGGTTGAATAAATTAGTTATCTGACAGAATAAGTTACCTGACAAAACAAAATTAAAGTATTAAAGGGATATTCCAGCGTAAAATTAAGTTATGGTCATACACACCGTAACACCGAGTTAGACACCCCGTCAAGAGATGAATGTTGCAGACTGCTTGCTTCTCTAGTTATACCAACTTTAGTTGTAGTATAGTTTAGTAGTACTGTTGATGAAGTTAGGTGCTGTTCTGAGCATTATATTTGGCTATAGAGTGGCGTTTTGGTTGAGTGCATGGCTCTCGGCAGTCTGCAACATTCATCTCTCGACAGGGTGTCTAACTCGGTGTCACGGTGTGTTTGACCCTAACTTAATTCTATGCCCGAATATCCCTTTAAATAAAAGACAAACAGAATGAGTTTGGTCATCTGGAGAAATACCTGACAATACGAGCTTATTCACCTGACATGTTGAGCCATATGAGCTATCTGAGGACTGAAATAAAAGACAATATTTTAAAAAAATCTAGAAAACTCGAGCTACCTTAAAGCTCTTGTGGGGGACTTTTAGTTTGTGTTCATTTCAGCGCCCCCTGTGGACAAAATAGTCTTTGATTTTTGTCCTCTACATGCTCAAGGAGTATCTCTTGAAAATAATCAAATACTTTATTTGCAAACAATCCCATGATAACAACAACATTCAACAAAATGAGAAACTGTAAATGATTATAAGCAGATCAAGTACCAGCAGAATCTAAATTTGACCCTTGTGGTACTCCACCTTGTGCTCAAAGACACCAGCTGGCCTCATCTGTTGCCACACTCATACACTCAACCAGCCAGCCTGGAGGAGTCAGGGGGTCTGAGGACTCATTGCCCCCAGAGAGACCAAAAGCACCGAATACTACACCCATAAACCGGGACAGCAGCTCCCCTTACAGCTGTCTGCAGCATACATAAAATTAGACCCACAGACCTATAGACAGTCATACTGTAGGCACCAGCAGGCAGAGACAACTGGGAAGATACAACAAGCATGGACACAACTTACAGTTCCAATCAGGACTTTGGTAAGAAAGTGTGGCATGAATTATTAACTTCTTAAACAATGTTTTTGTTAATGAAACTTTGTGCGTTTCTGTGTTTTCAGTATGTGCTTGTGTCTCTCTTTCTATCTTTGTACCCAGGGAGCTGCACAGGATGCTGTAAAGCAGTGTGTGGCAGAGACAGAGCGTGCCGCGCGATGGGGCATTTATTCCATGAAGTTTGTTTCACCTGCAGTGTTTGCAGTGAGTTCTCCTGATGTCTTGGTTGAAATTTGTGGACTCAAATGTGAATATCCAGTTCTGCTGGTTTTGTTTGCTTTTTAGTATCATGAAAAGGCATTTAGATGAATATTGGTCTGTTTCATGAATACACAAAAAAATCCTCACAATGATTTGTACCTCGTCTGAAGAAACAGCGTTATATCTCAGGATTGTTTCCTATTGGCTGAAATTGGAAAAAGTGGTCTGACTGGGATTCTTTTGTCGCCTCGTACTTTTAGGTAAAAAACTCAGCGGCAAACCGTTTTATACGGTGTCAGGGAGAATTTACTGTGAGGATGATTTTTTGGTAAGTACAGTTAAAAGAGTTGTACAAATAAATAGTTTGAATACTACATTAACACACAATCAACCAGGTATTTGATGAATGTGTTGTTCTCTATTCAATGTAGTACTCTGGAGTTCATCCATCGCCGGAGGTGTGTCACAGCTGTGGGAATTTAATAACTGACATGGTGAGAATTTTTTTCAGTTCGCAGTCTTTCCTGGAGACATATAATTATAGCCTATTGGTATACATATATCACAAAACTGTACTCAGTAACTCAACACCACTGGCTCTCACACTGAGGCTCATTTTTTTATCACCCACCAGGTGTTGCAGGCTCATGGGAAGTCCTACCACCCATCTTGCTTCTGCTGTGTAGTTTGCAGGCAGAGCCTGGAGGGTCAGCCCTTCTCTGTGGATTCAGACAGCAGAGTTTACTGTGTCAGCGACTACCACAAGTGAGTTTCTCATACAACAATAGGTCAAACAACAATAGGCCGAGTCCTGGATTTCCCACAGCAGACAAAAGATGAAACCAAACCCTGCTAGACGAGCTGCTCATGAGATCAGAGTCCCGCCTAGAGTGAGTGTACTGTCTTGGTTTCAGGGTCAGGGCTCCTGTGTGTGCAGCCTGCAGAGAGCCCATACTGCCAACTGAGGTGAGCGTAACCATTGTTTAAGTTGGCACATGGAAGTGACAGATACTTATATCACCTTTCTGGAAAAAATATAAAGACAGCTCCTCTTTGTTGATTGTTCCAGGGGTCCACAGAGTCTATCCGAGTTGTATCATGTGACAGAAGTTACCATGTGGAGTGTTACAGCAGTGAGGTTGATCTCATCTGAGTACACACGCCTCTACGCACAAACAGCTTTTTACCTTCAGTTTTGTTCTATAAATGTTTTCTATAAAAAAAGAGTTGACAAGAATGAATGTGAGTCTGAAATAAATGCATCCTTGTGAATTCTGATAATTGCTTTGTGCGTTATTTTCTGTTTGAAATGGTCTGAAGCAGTTGAGTATTTAAACAAAGCAGGGTGATGCTGCTACGGCATGAGTTAATAAAGTCAATATTTACTCTCAGTTTCATTGAAAAGATAATCTTCCAGAAGGCGTTGCCGATCCAAAGTGAGTTTTTAAAACCGTTAAGAGTTTATTTGTTCTGAATATGTTTTTACAACAAAAGTCCACTGTTGTACTTTAGTGTCAGTTTGCTGAAAATTTATCTCAGCTTCTTACTTCAAAAGGCCACTAAGTCTTTAAAATACAGCCTACAACTGTGATTTAAAGACAGAAAAACCAGTTACCCCTCCATTGTTTCACGTTCACTATTTACTCAGCTGCAGATGAAGAATTCTCAGAAGCTCTGTGGGAGGTGATGGGTGATGTTCAGAATCAGACTTTTGCACATAAGGAAGCCGTCAGGAGATGTAATACGCCCAGAAAAAGTTCCCATTGACCCTCCTTTGAGGAACTTCCAGTTTGTTGATTTTGGCACACCCATGGACAACACTGCACCTCTCATGTCTCCCTTACTCTGTCCTGTGCACATACTTTTTTTGGTTCCTTTTTTAATGTCCCCGTGCTGAAGTACAACAGTCAAACCCGTCACTCAAAGTTATTTTTTTCTATGTTCAATTAAAATAAAGCTATTTTGCAGCATCAAGCTGATTACTTTACTGCTTTGGCTGCAGTTTCAGATAGTGATGGGCACGGCAGTTCTTTTAGATGTACTTAATCACTAGAATCAGTTCACTAAAAAGGTTCGTTCAAAAGATTCGTTCATTGAATCACCATTCAGTGCTTAGCTGGAGACTGGAGTGTTTGGCTGTGTTGCTTTGACAAACAGATTTATAAAAATGAACTTGTTTATAAGTCATGATGTTTTACGTGTACTGTCCCATGGTATGCTATTTATCAGGTCTGCTCGGTAAATTGGGCTCAGTAAGTGATTCGTTCACTGAGCATGTACCCCCCTTGCGAACCGCTGCAATGATAGGATGCTGCAGGTTTTTCATGCACTTACTTATTACATGCTGTGTCATACTGTATGCAAGTTGTTGTGGTGGCAATTTAGCAGTTAAAAATAAAAAGTTAGTTTTGTCCTGCAAAAATGATTCAAGAGAGTGTGATTCAGGCGTCGGTGCATGCGATCCCTCACTCGCTGGCTACTCGCCTGGATATGCTGCGTGCTATAGCATCTGCTCTGCTGACAGCTCAACTGAAGTGAGAAACGAACGACTCCCTTGAGGAAGTGATTCGGTACAGTGCATTCACTTAAAAGATTTGGTTCTTTTGAACGAATCGTTCACGAACGGCAACACTAGTTTCAGATAATATTTTTTGCATGAACAGATAGTATCTCATAGTCTCATTTTCTTATGCAAAATCAAACTTCACTAGTTTATTACAAGTTGTACCAAACTCCCCTTGGTTCTTGTACATTGCCTCACAGGTTGTCCTGCACAGCAGCGCCATCGTGTGTCAATATTCGATATTACCACGAACACCTCTCCCGGAAGAAACCACTTTGGAGGTTACTAAATGAACATAAACGCTGATTGAAATGGCGTCAGTCTCGGTTTGGGGCTGGGCGCTCTGCACCGTGTCTTTGCTAAACTTTGCGTTTGTTTTTATATCCGGGGCAGACTTTGTTCGGTTCATTTCATTTCGGGCAATTTACCACAACATCACCGGAGACACGATACTATGCCAAGGTAAGGTATAACACCGCTGTTTGCTGTTGGCAGGCGACCAGAAGAAGTTAACTAACTTTAGTTTAAAAACATGTTATGACAGAAACCAAATTGATAGCAAAAGTCTTCGTTGTTATCAATTGACTACTCTTCAGCAGGGGTTGTGAGATAGAAGGAGCTGAATCAAATGAATGGCAGCATTGTAAAAGGGACCAAAAGTCCCGATAGTTTAAAGAGTTACGGTTAAACAGCCTATTGAATGGAACAAATATGTTGACTGTATGTATCATCATTAAATACTGAACTAAGTAAAAAACCTCAAGTAAACTTTATTCATTTTAGTTGAAATTTCGCTTTCTGGCCGGTAGGGGTCAGCGCCCGGCTAGCTCAGTCGGTAGAGCATGAGACTCTTAATCTCAGGGTCGTGGGTTCGAGCCCCACGTTGGGCGATCAACGTTTTCGTTTTCTCTGTCCCTTTCAGACCAACACTGAAAAATAATCCTTAGATTGTCTTACAAGGTTGAAAGTTTTAAAATATCAGGAGAATCTGAAGCCAAAACACTAATGTCAATTGAAATGTGACTGCAGAGTTTCTGTTTGGTGGTTCAAGCTCGTCCAGTGACCCGAGTTGAAAAGCTCAAGAACAAAATACAATGACAGTACAATGCTTGCTTTTATGTTTTATTTAACTTTAAAGTATCCAAAAGTAGGGCTGCTGTGTAAAAGCAAAAGAGCGCTGTGGTAAATAACCAACAATATGGGTCAATATGGGTGCTCTGTATTGTAGACTGAGGGGTGTTTAATGCTTGATTACTTGCAAACAATGCTTGTGTGTTCTTCAGTGTGTCATCTAGCTACTGCTGGTTCACAAAAAGATAAAAGACAGACTGAGAGAAAACACTGTGAGATGACATGTTCTGTTATAATTTAATTCTACTAATTCTCCACATGCAGAAACATACAATAACGTACACAAAACACAGTAAATGCATAAAAAGGAACAAAAAATCATCACAGCTGATCTTTATGACTGTCAATCTGTACCCAGAAAGGAAAATAACAAATACCCAACACACACAAAAAAAAGAGTAAAATATCGCCAGACATGTAAATTTGCTCTCTGACAAATGATAGTGCAGGCAGATTAGTCACTGTGTTTCAACTGTGTCACAACCTTGTCTACTGTGGAAAGATTGTTGAGTAATGACAGTGAAACTGATGACTGACTCCTCCTTAAAGTGGCGTTAAAAGCATTCCTGTGAGAAGTGCTGAGATAGCTCACTTTTTTTTGTTTTGTAAAAACCTCTGCTGTCATTCAGTTTGGTAATGTGATTTTCAAATCCTACAGTAGTGTGACTTTTATTCTCTGTGTGTCTTTACATGCAAGACTCCATCCCGTGGTCTGTGGCCCTGCAGGACAGCTCTGTCCTCAGGTCTCTTGGAGTGGATGTGGCCCTGCTGGCTCTCTTCACCACACAGCACAGCCTGCTGGCCTGGTCTCCAGTCAAACAGGCCCTGCAATCCGTGCTGGGGGCCCTGAACAGGACGGCGTACTGCTTCACAACTGCACTGGCCCTTCAGGTACCGCAATGCAGACTCTTTAAGTAAAACATTGCTGCTTAGTGCGTAGAGTTGAAATATCTAATTGTTGAGTTCTCTCTTGTGTCAGATTTTGATGCGATACTGGCAGCCGGTGACTGGCGCCCCCTGTCTGTGGTCGGTTCGTCATGCTCCCTGGAGTATCTGGTTTCCTTTGCTGTGCTTTACTCTGCACTTTCTCTGCTGGACCATCATCTGCAGCATTCTTATGATCTTTGATTACCCTGAGCTGCTCGGCATCAAACAGGTAAATAAAGAGTCACTCATGGGTTATACGTATCTGTAAGAAGCTGAGCAGTGAATATAACACCACTAACAAATTAATTCATACAATCATTCTTAAAGGGATATTCCAGCGTAAAATTAATTAAGGGTCAAACACGAGTTAACACCGAGTTAGACACCCCAATAGCAATACACAGCAGTCTGAGGAGCCATAAACAAACCTCAACCAAACGCCTAATTTCTTTCGCAAATGCTTAAACCAAAGTTGGTATAACTAGAGAAGCAAGCAGTCGACAACTTTCATCTCTCGAGGGGGTGTCTAACTTGGTGTTACAGTGTGTTTGATCCTAAATTAATTTTACACCGGAATATCCCTTTAAGGAATGCCTGCTCATCATTTAAGTATAAGAGTGTTTCCCAGCGTGGCAGGCCTTATACTGCAGCAAAAACCCAATGATTGACAGTCTTTCTGCCTCCATAGGTGTACTACAAGTGCCTTAGTCTGGGGGATCCCTTGTCCGACAAGCCGCCCCGTGCTCAGCGCCTCCTTTCTCACCTGCGTCACCCGGTGTGCTTGGAGCTGGGCGTCATATTGTGGCTCCTGCCTTGTTTGTCCCTGGACAGACTCCTGCTGGCGGGGACTCTGTCAACTTACCTGGCCCTGGCTCACTCCCTGGACAAACAGGATTTAGCGTATCTTTGCGCTCAGTTTAACAGCAAGATGCAGCTCTTTGGCGAGCCACCGCGGGGCAGCGCTGACGCAACAGACCAGGACACCAGTAACCATAAGGAGAAGTGAAGTGAGAGCTGTTACCAGGCTGTGAGGAGAAGTACCCAGAAAAAGAGTACAGGGACCGTCGATTATCTGCTGCGCCGGACAAGAACAAACTAATCTGCTTAAGTTATTTTCACTTCACACTGAGTTTTTGAAACATCTAAATTTTGATGTGGAAATTTCTGCACACTACTGACCTAACTAAAGTGCTATTTTTAGAAATTTCAAACCTTAGGAAAAAAATCTTCGGCCTTGTGACTGCTTGAGTACTGGGCGTGAAGACTTCACTTTCACATTGTATGAATATCGTGGAAATTTCAGGAACAGATTTGATAAAACAACATTAGCTCTTGGCTTTTGCTTAAGTGTTATGGTACATTTTTATAGGCTGTTACATTCCATTTACTGTGTTTTTTTTTTGTAAACTACTTTAAAGCTCCAGTGAGGAACTTTTGATACATGTCTAAGTTTATATTTTTTTCTTTAACAGTTGAATGTTCTTTTCAAAAAACACAGAAAGACACTGTTTTGACATTAGGAAGTTTGTCACTCCTCCTGACACCTAACCCCTGCTGTCGTGTCTCCAGCTGTTTCATAACCAGATACGAACTCCTCAAAGGAGCTTTAAAATTCATTACAGGAATTAAAAACAAGAGTGCAGCTTTATACAGATTTTTACAATTTGCAGCTATTAAGAAATTAAGAATGTGTTTCTGAACTGTGTTGTATTGGGGAACCACTACTGATGAGAGAGTTATTTCATGTCTTCTCCTGTAAAAGTATTTTCTGTATGTTTGTAAGTCCTGACTTTTAAGTTCTGTATTAATTTGCTCATGTTTCGATTGCTGCCACGCTGAAATACTAGAGTAATTCCCAGTATTTTCAAAACTGTGTTTAATAAATTTCAGAGACTGTTTACTTTATTTTTGGTATGAGTATTTCTTGGTGTGGACAACTACTGTGGTGCAAATCATGTTGCAGAAGATGGCAGAAAACTTTATATTCTGTGTAATTTCTAAAGTTTGTCCACAGCTCCATAGGGATGGCTGGTGGAGGCGGGATTTATGACCTATACTGCAGCCCGTCACCAGAGGGTGCTGTTCTCGGAGTGGCTTCATCCAGCGAGGAGGCAGACGGCGTCCATTCTATATACAGTCTATGTCAGTGACACAGACAAACAAAAGATGAGAAGTAAGTCAGTAGGGTTTATTTACAAAGTTGATGATGCAAAATGTATCATCTGCGTTTTTGTTTTTTCTTTATTTGTTTTTTGACTGAAAACTTTAAATTTAAGTTTACCTAAAGTTTGCTCTTATATCTTCATTTTGATTTTTTTTTTACCATGGACATTGTGAGGTGAAAATCTGATATCAAGACAGCCCCAGTTTGCTCAAACCTTTCCCATGATTCAGTTCCTCTGTGTGGACCACCACTGCAAAAATTGCGTGGACACGCCCCTGCTAATTACGTCGAAGGGAGGTTGAGCACACCTGGTTTGCTCAGGTGAACTCCAGCAGCTCTGACAGCGTTGCATGTTGCCCCACCTCCACCTCCACTTCTTTTCCAATTAGCCCAGCGGGACTGAGGGATGAGACGGGGGAGGGAGGGAGAGGGAGGGGTGAGGGAGAGGTGGTGGTGGTGGTGGTGCCCGGGCAGACGGCTGTGTGCTTTAAACGCCTTTTCTTAGGTCCGACAATATGGTGTGTGCCACTAAACTCTCCTGACGGAATTTAATGTAATTATCGGATTACAGTGCTGCCGCACTGAGGCTAGAAATATTTACTACTATCCTGACGACCGAGGTGTTTTCCGTCTCTGCTGCTTTCTCAGGCAGTAGTGACTGGATTGTACAGTGTTATTAAATCCGTTCATTTTGACAGCATCGGTTAAGCTGTTAGTTATTTGCGAGATAAAGATTTTTGTCGAGGATTGGAGAGCTTTACGCACAGCCAGGACGCACAAGTGGAGATGTCGACTGTGGAGTCGAGGCGAATATAGAGGGATCTTCTTAAAACGAGGCTTTGGGTAAGTTTAATTTCACACTTTGAATCATAAATGTGTAATTATAATTAGTTTCTTTTTAAGTTTATTGTATTCTGTGAGTTTATTTAATGATGTTTGAGATATTTTGTGTAAAAGATAAAGTTAAGCTGAGTTAACCACAGCTAAAAGGACTCCAAGTTCATGTTTCCAAGTGTTTCCCCATTAACAGCACTATTTTCAGTGTATGAAATGTCAAAATAGTTGAGTTTAAGAGTTGTCATGTTGTTTATATCTATAGATCAATTTTGGATGATGTATGCATCTTAATAACGGTGTATTTTTGGAAGTGAACTGATATAACTGAATTTTCTGATTTCCAGACAATCGTCAGAGGCTTTGAAGACAACCGCCGCTCGTCTTGTCCAGAATCTGCTTCTGTTATGTCTGTGTCCTCTCTGCCGGAATGGAAGCAACTCCTGCTGGAGAAAAAGAGGCGAGAGGAGGAGGAGCGCGAGAGAAGGGAGAAAGAGGAGGAGGCGAAATTTGCCAGCATGCCCGCCTGGAAGCGTGGGATCATCCAGAGGAGGAAGGCGAAACAAGACAGTTTAGGCGACAAAGACAAAGACAGGGAGGTCTGTCTGCTGCAGGTGGATGCCAGATGTCCATCTGACTGTCTGAGTGACACCGACAGCTTCATAGCCGTCAATTTTGGGAGTGAGCTGTCACTTAGTCCAGATCCAGGGCAATGGCTGGACGCAGACATCAAATCCCTGAGTCAGGTGTCTGTAGAAACTATCGTTCCTCTCCATGAAAACCCTTTCATTCGCACGCAGAGTGCAAAGAGGAAAGGGAGGGATGCAGACCTAGGGGTCGACCTGGAAGCTAGAGAGAAATCGAGTACCAGGAGTCAAGAGGGGGAGTCAGGGAGAGGAAGAGATATAGAGCTAAAAATAGAGAGATTCAGAGATTTAAGTGAGGGACGGGAAACAGAAAAAAGCCGGGACAGGAGTCAAGGAAGAGAGCAAGAGAGAACAAGAGAAGGATGGGAGAAAGATAAGAGTCAGTGGAAAGAGTCGGGTAAAGATCAAACCAGAGAGCAGGAGTTACTCAAAGCCCTGAAAGATGATTCAGAAACAGATCCACAGTCTTGTTCGTCGTCTATCGTCCCTTGTCTGCGGACCATCCGAGCCGACAACATCATTATCATCGAGCAAGAGAGGAAGGGCGCAGAGGAGAGGAGGGGCAGATGGAGGGAGACAGAGAGCGAGAGACCCGAGGAGGACCACCAGGGCAAGAGAGGGATGAAGATGAACCTGAGGGAGATCCTGTCAGGAGGGGGATGTGTCACGGAGATCAGAGCGTCTGAGGTTCTGATCATAAAGCCCTCGGTGAGCCCTGAAGAGAGGAGTCCAGGAGGGGGAGGAGGGGGTAAAAGTTCAGGCAGAGAGGATGGAGAAATGAAGGGGAGTGTGGATGGAAGGAGGGAGAGCATGGGCCGGGAGTTTCGAACAGATATTTCCTGGCTACGAGAAAAAGAGAAAGAAAGACCGCGGGGCCAGGCGACAGTAATCAAAGAGGACAAGAAGGACAGTGCGGACGATAGCATGTTTGAAAGAGGAGGGAGAGTCAGCCAGCTGCTCAGCAAATTCGGAGAGCACCCCAAGCCTCCATCTCGATCCAAAAGCTCTGATAATTTCCTCCGACCCGGGAGAAGAAAACTGTCAGATGAAGATGAGCAGCAGTCTGAGGAGAGGAAGACAGACGGGAGGAATACTTTGCTGAAAGGTGTGCCCAAACGCTCTTTTAGCTTTTCTGATCGTGTCATCTCTGCCAAGGAGAACGGTTTGGACGATAACGGGCATTATGAGAAGAAAACACGTGAGAGGATACATTCAGACAGGAGCATGCCAGCTTGGGCTGACCTAACAGGGAAGGATATCAAACTGGGGAACACACGGTTTTTAGAGAAAGAGCGGTGTAAAAAAGATAAAGAGAGGCATTTCAAAAATAAAGAGGAAAAGAGGGGTCCCAAGATGAGGAGAAATGATCAAGAGATCCACTTAAAACACAGAAGTGAAGTCAAGAAAGTGGAACTCTTTGACACAAAGGTCAGTGAGAAAGATAGCGATGCAGATGGAGATCAGGGGTTCACTGTGGCTTCTGTCAAAAACACAGAAGGAATCTCATTTGCTCGCAGGGTACCAATCAGGCAGGATGTGAAAGCGAGAGCCGACAGAGACGCGAAGCAAACCACAGGTCAAAAAAGTTCAGAGAGAGAGCCGAGTGTAGAAAAAGACTCCGAATCAGAGAGACAGAATGAAAAGGTGACAGATTCTCAGAGGGAAGAGGGCTGTGAAAGTATAACACAAACTGAAAGTGTGCAAAAGAGTCATGGCGCCACATCCGCAGAGCTGGCTAGTCCAGGTCACGCTCAGTACAGACATGAATCAGCTTTTAAAGAGTGCTCAAGTCTACTCTGCGCTATTTCAGACAGAGCTAGAGACGCTCATAGTGGGCCAGAGTGGAGTGGCGGAGGGTCACAGGCGTCTTATCTTGCGTACAACGTTTTGTCCAAACAAACAGAAGAACTTATCAGTAAAATAGAGAAAATAGGAGACACAACTGTTTACCACAGCGAGAAGAGTGAAAGGGCTTGCAAGGGTGCTTATGAAATGCCAAAAGAAAGCAAACAAGATGAGCAAACAATCAGTGATAATGAATCTGAGGGCCCGGCTCATAATATGAATCCCAAAGCTACTAAAAGGATTCAACCTGCCGGGATCCATCCAGGTCCCCTTGAGATTCAAATCCCGAGGAGTGTGTTTTATGTTGCCCAAGAAATGGAGGAGAAAAAGAAGAACGAGGGTCAAAGTGATGATGGGAAAGACTGGGAAGCAGGTAAAGGAGTCGAAAGGAGGGATAGCTGGAGGATCGGGAAACCCCTCAGCCGGATTGAGTCCCTGCGAGAGAAGATAAGACAAAGAGAGCTGGAGAAACTGAGACAGAAAGCAGCAGAGGACGGAAGCGAAGGTGAAGCTGCAGAAATAAATGCTACTGCAGGGCAGAGTAACGACGAGACGGGAAGTGAGATCGAGAAAGAGAGGGATGGTGCAGCACATATGCGGAAGAGGCCTGTCGAAGCGGAGAGGGGACAGGAAGATGCAGCAGCGCAGACATCCATGACGGCATTTGACGTCAAACAGGAAGTCAGTGTGTTGAAAACCAACCCTCAACTTCCTGTTCCTGTCCCACACTCACAAGCTGTCAGAGGGGAGGAAGTAACAAGCGGGTATGCTGCTGCTGCTGCTGCTACTGAAGGTATCTCTGAAAGCCTCCAAACAACCGAGAATGAGGACGAACCTTTAAAACATGTCGAGGAACAGCTGAGGAACCCCTGGAGCCAATCGGAGAATAAAGAAAAAGACAGGAAGGACGAGGACAAGGAACTATCCGAGGGGAAATCAGAGGATTATCCATCGCCTTTGGACTCAGGGCAGCCATTCTCATCGTTTTCACCACATCCCAATTCCCTAACAGCCATGAGCCGGATCTACAACCTGGAAACAGTCGGCTCAAGGTCGGGCTTGTGTCTGAGGGAGAGGACTGTCGAGATCCCACCAGTGCACCTTGTGAAAGTGAAGCCGCTCATGTCAAACTCACCGCAATCTGACAGCAAGGAATCATCAGGTGACAGCAGTTGTGGGGTTCAGACGATCCAACAGCAGATAGAGCAGTTTCAGCTGAAAGAGCAGGGAGCACTGAAGTCAAGCACGTCAGCGAATAATCCTCACGATGCCAGAGGGACAAAGGGGCAGCCAAGCTCTAGGGGACTGTTGAAACACCTGCTCAAAGACAATGCCAAGAACCAGGAGAAAGATCAAGAAACGACAGAATCGAACCCCAAAGTGTCGTCTCAGCGCGCTTGTTCTCCAACGTCTCGGCTCAAACCGTCCAGCCAAACCATCAACATCAATCCATCACATCTACGAAGCCAATCCCCGGACAATACCTTGAAACCCCCAGACTCCACCCCGACCCCATGCTGCTCCCCAAGTTCAGCATCCCCTGCCCAGTCTCCTGGTGTCTCCCCGTGTACCACCCCATCCCCTACGCTCTTCTCCATCAGGAGTGCCTCCGGTGGCCAAGTGAAGAGAGGCGCCACCATCACGATATCTCCAAGAAAACCTGCTGTGGTGACGAGCTCCACGACGAGCTCCACGACCGGGACCACCACAGCAGGGTCCACCACTGTAACGGCCGAGCCGGGGAAAAAGAAGTACCCCACTGCGGAGGAGATCGAGGTGATCGGTGGATATCAGAATCTGGACAAATCCTGTCTGGTCAAGAACAGAGGAACCTCAAAAAGGGTAGGTGGCGACTGTGTGCTAGTTTGTTTTCCTTTGACTGAGATAATCTCATCAAACACTAAGCTTTCACCTCTGAACCACAGACACAAAGACACCAACGTAGTTTTTAAATTCCATGTAGGAAACACAAACAAACTGAAGGACTCTTGATTTCAAAACGGTGTCAAAATGGCGCTTCACCAAGGCCAGATTTGACCGTGATTGTCGACCCCTGCTTCATGTCAGAGGTTGGCTGGAGTGCATCACCTTATGTCACCTGCCTGATGGTCGCTGGTTGTCAAGCTGAATCCCCTTTCACTTGGAGAACATCCCCTTTGATTGAGAAGTGCGATCGCAGAGACTGACCTAAGCCGGTTAAAGCCTTATTAAGCACGGCATCTTGATTCCTAACCATAATATCCTGGCGTTATCTGCTTTGCCACTCGCTTGTGCGGTCAAATTCTCTGCTGCCTTTTGACTTTTACGCAAGATGATAAAAATAACTCCAGAGACTTAAACCAAACCTATGCAGACAGCGAAAGAGCATTACGTATATGGTCTATTGTTTGCCCCACAAAAAAACAGAGAGACCACAAACGCGCTCTGCTTCCTGCTTTGTCTGTTACCTTCGGTTATTCCTGCGTGCGACTTTAAAGAAAAGAGCTTGGGTATATTTGACTTAGTTTGCAGAATATAAGAGTTAAGATTACAGGCTTCAGCTGAGACAGAAAAGTCGAAATAAGGAACCAAAATTGAGGCGTCCAGGTCCTGTTTTTTGCGTGTTGTCTGTCTACCTAACATCACATGGTTGTCTGTGTGTATGCAAGCAGAACCACTCTGGTATTTACAGTAACTCACTTTGAGTGCTTTCAGCTCAACCTCTAGGGAAGTCAGAGTTCACATTAGTACTTTTAAGTTTCCTCTTTTTTTTTTCAAGCTTTTCCTGAATCCGGTCCTTGTTTGAGAACGAGTGGGAGATGAGCACTTATGTAATAAAGGAAAACACTGGGATGATGAAGCTGCTCAGTGCAGCAGAAATGAACCGTCCTGAATGACAACATCCTTTGATGATCTCTGAGACTGTATTCTTGGTTTCACTGCAACTGATCAGAAGTTTGTTACTGAACTTTTTCCATGTAGGAGTTGTAAAACTTGCAGATTATTTCCCCTGTTGCAGACTTCCTTCTTGTTCCCTCACATCAATTCTGCTCTTTTTGTTGAGTCAGCCCTCTGATCCCCACAGACAAATCTCTCTTTGTATCATCTCGGCTGTTTCCTAGCGGGGGTTTAGTTGTGAGACCAGGGCCTTGGCAAACAGTTTCTGACCACGCTGACCCTCCGCAGCATGACTGAGCACTACTGACAGTAGGCTGCCAACTCTCAGTCTGACGTGGGTGAAATGGAAAGAGAGAGGAGACGGGGTGTTGCAGAAAGATGTCAGAATAACTCAACGCCGGTCTCAATACGCAGACAAAGAGCGAGAGCGGCGAAGGGCGTAAAATGACAGTTTGACAGTCATACTGAGGGGATTTAAGCTCTTCATTCGCTTTAACAGTACCTCCCTGCCACAGTGAATGTTTTTTGCTCACTTCCCTGTTTCAAACTTCTTCACTTCCTCCAAATGAGACACAGATCGACATGAGGAAGCGTCGCTTTTTTCATTTTTGAAATTCCAAACTGAGACTTGAATGCCAGCTCTTTTCATGCAACGACTTCTGTTTCAAAAACTTTACAGATCAACATAACACTAGAAAGAAATCAGCTCTGATTTGATTATCTACATGACATTCCTCTGGCTCTGAATCAGCCCATTGCTGTGACTTCAAATGAGATAAAGAAATATTTATCTACAAGCACAGTCCTCTTTTAGCAGCAGGGAATGATTCTCTGACCACCTGTCGCTTTCCCGGTGATGCCCTTCAGACTGTCTGACGTCAGGCTTCCTTCCCTCCCCCATCTGACCCACGCCATCTTGCCCCAGAGGGGGGTGACCTGTTTGTTTGCTTGTTTTGCATCCTCCTCTTCTTCTCCTTTTTCATACCTATCCTTTTCTACCTTAAAGACAACTTTTCCTCAAACCCTTTGACTCTGATGCACAAATGATTGAACTTTTGCACATTCAGGGCTAAAGTATAGATCAAAATATCAATCTCAGTATCTATATTTGAAAATTTGATGCCCGTTGCCTTTAATCTGAGCCGTCCTGTGCATGCTTTTAAAAGACTGGATGTCTTCCAGAGTCATTAAGGATGGTTAGTCGTGATAAAACAGAGCCCGAAGTTTAGAAGTTCCTGTCTTTTTTGATCCCGTATTCTCCTTGAGTTTCTGTCTCACACCCATCGCCTCTGCCGCCCTGCTGCGTTAGCTCTGGTTAATCGGGTTCAGAGAGGGAGGATTAGCCTCCTGTGCCTCACCATGATTCGCCCAGCCTCTCTAATGCAGAGCTATTATTTACTCTCTTCTGCAGACAGACACTATGAGGATGAAGCTGCAGTAACAAGGCCTAGTTTGCATTGTGGTGCCTGTTATTTTTTGTCCCAATATTGTGTCTTCTCCTGTGGGTGTGTTAACTGTGGTACAAGTCAAGGCCTCAGAGATGAGTCTCTGTTATGACAAAACACAGTGAATGTGCTGTGCTGAGCAATCAGTGTGTCTTCAGTCTGGTCTGTTTACACCACACTGACTTTGGGGTAAACACTCCACACAAACATCCGACAATCCAGAACAAGACGACTTAAACTCCCAAAGGTCTTATTCGTGTCCTTTACGCTAAAACCATAAATCTGCCTGGTCTGCTGCATAAATGTCTATATTTGGATGATGGCGCTCTTTCCTTGAATAATCAAAAAGTTAGTTAATGAAGCGTCCAGTAAGTAAATCTCAGAGAGAGTAATTCTGTGGCGTTAAGCCTCATGCTGTCAGTTAACATTACACTGACAGATTACAAACATCTCACAGGGACTGAGTCTCACTTTAAGCACACATCAGAGAAAAACTGATCAGCTTCAAAATCACTAAAAGATCTTTGCCCTCACCTGTGCAAGAAAAGACATTTTTAAGTGGAGGTTTTAATATTATAAAAAGCACTTTACTATTTTTTTGAATGCAGAGTTTCAATTTAACAAAGCGAACTGAAACTGAATCATCGTCTTCCTTCTTTTGTTTACAGGGAAAAGTCTGTTTTGATGAGGACCAGCTGGAGCAGCTGTGCGAGTATCCGTCAGAGACCTCCATGTTGGCCAGTACCCCCTTCCCTCATGACCTGTGGAGGACTGAGAGGCCACAGGATGAGGAGGCGCAGGATGAGGAGGCGGAAGTGGAGGTGTCGAAAGGCACAAGGAACATAGGGATTTCAACAGGACGGGGTCTAAGAGTCGGTCAGTTTCGCCCCTTACTCAGAAAACATGAACATAGTTAGTGAGAGCGAAATTGTCTTGTTCTTGGTGTCCACAAACTTTCTTCCAGTTTGAAAAATATAGATATATAGCAATTAAAGTTGCAAACCTGTCAAAATTGGTGTTAATATACAGCAAGTGGAGTTGTGTTCATGCAGGTATGATCCTCACAAATCCACAGATACTAAGAATGTAAAAACTGTTAGACGAAATGTAACGTCACCCCCTGAATTATAATATAAAATCAATCTGAAATGTTCTATTATTCATTTTTGATCTCTGTCTCTGTCTTCCAGATGAGTCCTGCCCTCGGTAGAAGCCAGCCACCTCGCCAAAATTGTCCATGAGATGAAATGACCATCACCTCGTGCTCGTATAACAATATCACATGATGTTTATAATGTTTCACTGTTGAACTGAATGAGTGACTGTGATATTTGTGACTTCTTTGTTTGAGATAGCCTCAGAATGAATGAGTGTTGTTGAACAAATGTATAGTACGTTTTGGTTTATGCAGTTGAAAATAAGGGACACAAGTGTGCTAACTGGATAAAATATCATTTAGTAATATTTTCAGGGATTTGAAGGACAAATGTGAATGTATTAGCACGGTACACAATAAAAGACCCTCAGGTGCGCCCTGTTGGGCTCTTACGGATCACTTGACTATGCAATATAACAATTAAATTTTATCTGTAGCGACTTTATTCTATAGTTTATTTTGAGTCAGTCATTTTCTAAATTGAAGTAAGCACTGCCTCAGCACTGAAGAGTGATGTTTGTATCATCTGTTTTCATGTGCCTGCTGGATCTGCCCATACAGATGATATGAAGATCAATCTGTATAAATTAGACGTGTGTCTTTTTTGATGTTTTTTTTCTTTATGGACTGAAGCCTTTTTGAATTAACTCTTTCAGTGGGTGTTGTGTTGTGTTGTGTTAAATGTCGCAGAAACAGGGGTGGTGCAATGTGTGCAGGATGCTTGTGTGTTTTGTAGGGTTTAATCGAGCCTTACAGTTCACAATAACAACTCTGGTAACAATTTAGTCAATATTTATGGATGTAAATGAAAGAAATATGTTATTGTTTGTGTCAGATAGAGAGAGAGAGAGTTTTGTGAGAGAGTCCTGGGAAAAAAGCTGACTAAAGAACATAAATTATCAGACAAACATCATCACATCACAGCCATTACTAAACTATTGGTTCTATTAACCCTATGATACAAAACACATGCAGAATATTTCTTATGAATAAAGATTTAATTGGTTAAAGTGACTGCAAATTATTTTTTTTCTATGACTTTTATGAAGCTGGCTTCAAAGAGAAAAAAAATCTAATAAATATTTCTGAAAATACGTTTTGCCTCGTCTTTGTTTTTCATATAGAGAGTAGACTGTTCATCAACTTTTTCAGTCTTTTACCATAACTAAGCCTCTCATTCTTTTAATTTTGTTAAGATCCTGAAACCAAAAGGATCTTATTGACTTTTTAATTCAAGAATTCTTTCTTTAACTGTATTTTTAGGCAAAACTTGACTCTGAAAAAATTAAGTATCACTAACTTAAGTTAATACTAACAAAGTTGACAACACAAGCAACATGAAAACTCCTGATGAATTTATTCTATTATTTTACTCTTCTGTGGTATAACTTTGTCCAGCCTGTTATTTTATTTAGGGGAGAGTGGGGTTAGATGAGCCATTTTTCATATTTTGGATCACTACATCAAGGCAATCAACAGAATGAGTGTAAACACAACTGTCTTGATAATATAGCATGTCAAAACCTAGTGTATGGGGCAAGTTGACCATAGGAGAGGGTCAACTTCCACTTCTTCACATTCATGTGTATTTTTATCTGTTATACACTATTCAGCTGGTACAATAATTCTATTTATTATTATTATTATTATTATTATTATTATTATTATTATTATTATTATTATTATTATTGCATATAACTGCTAAAAAGCTGTTTTGTAAAAAGCCATATTAACATGAGAATGCCTTTAAGTGATTCAGAACATTTACAGCTGTATTTTTGGAAAGGAAAAGTAACACATTTCAACAATCTGAGCTGAAACTCTGATCCTCCCATCAGCCTTCTTTACTTTCTCAGTTGAACCACTGGCTCAACTTATCCCAGAACTACTATTATGACTTTATTAGTCCTCTGAGCTAAAATGGTGGACTTTTATGTTAGGTTTTTGACCTCATGTTGTAGCTCATATATACCACAATTGATGTATAAAACGAATTTAAAATGATCTTTTTTGGTCTGAACACAATTCTAATGAAACTTATGACAGACTAAATTCACTTTCAAAAGTGAATTCATAATTCAGGAAGTCTTTGTTTTACTGTATTTTCAGGCTATATTTGACTCTGGGAAAATTAAATATAACTGACTTAAGTTACAACTAGCAAAGTTTATAACACAAGCAACGAATTCCTGATGAATTTATTAAATTATTTTACTCTTCTATAGTATAACTTTGTCCAGGCTGTTATTTTGTTTACATGTTTTTGTTTTGCTGGTAAACTAGTTCGTCTCCTTCGTCAGATTACAAACCCACTTTGATGCGTAACAGCGACACTCTGCGGGAACACGCGGTAGTGCACCTCCAAGATTAGAGTCACGTAGCTGTTTACGGAAACCGTTCTTACGTCAACACGTGTGCAGGCTTGTAGCTTTCAGTCCACTACGTGAATATTTGCATGCTCGTCGGGACAAAAACACGGCTGAGTGTTCCTCCTCGCGCTTCTGACCCCACGGATGCACACATGTTTCCAGAACTAGAATCCATCCAGCGATGAGGACGACTCTCACATCCACTCAACATGGAGAAGTAGGAAGGCTGGGCTTCATTTTGACGCTCTGCGCTTCGAGGAATGCGCCAAAGTTAATGTAAATAGAAGGGAAAAGCTGCTTTTTGTGTTTCAAATGCACAGCAGAGTGGATTTGTGAGTAAAGGGAAAATGATTCTGAAGAAATTTCACGCAGGATCGTGCAGAGCGTGGCTCTCTCGGGTGAGTACTTTGGTGTTGTCAAAGTAAACTGTCAAACTTGAGTCTTAAGTCTGTCCGTAATCTTGCTCTCAGTGGAATTGTTATAAAAATATCTCTGTAAAACGAGTAAAAGGCAGCAGATCCCGTTTCGACTATCATGTTTTCCACACTTCCTATTTTGATACGCCCAAGTCGAGCCCTGCTTTTTTTGGCATTTGTTCAAACCTTCTTGGGAGTCATTGCACTGTACTGACACGCTGAGTTCCTACCAGCATTTAATCAAACTTAAAAGCTTTTAAGGTGAATTCATTATACATTTAAAACTATCTGTAGTGATATAAAGAAGTTGTTTATTTCTTATCCTTAAAATCCTAAAACTTCTCTGCCTCGCTTCAAGGTTTCCATGAGGCAGGAGCTGCGTTGTTTCTCCTCCTCTGTGCCCCCCCAGCCGGTGCCCCCTCTGGCCCAGACCCTGCAGGGCTACCTGAAGGCTTTAGAGCCCCTGCTGCCCCCTGAAGAGATCAGCCACAGCCGGAGGATGGTGCAGGAATTCGGCAGACCGGGGGGCCTTGGTGCAAAGCTGCAGGATGGGCTTGAGAAGAGAGCCAGACACACCAAGAACTGGGTTTGTGTGTTTTGTATGAGTGTAGGGAATTGTGACAGATGCTGCTGATGGATGTGGGTGTGTTTCTGAAGGGAAGATAAAGCTGCTGGGGTGTGTTTGAGGCATGCCTGGGTGGGTAGAGCAGTACTATATCAGGCTTAAGCAGCGCTGTGAGAAACCCTTTAAAGGGATAGATCAGTGTTTTTGAAGAGGGGGTTGTGTGAGGCCTCTGTTTATAGTGAATGTATTGCCCACAGGGGGTGCTAGTTAGCTCAGCACCTTTATTGATAAACTAGGAGGAGAACCGGAACAGTACAAAGTCTAATCCAAGTGTGAAAAGTATAAAATATTTGTTTTTTTTCAGTGCTACAACACTGCTAACAAATTTAGTGGAGGATAGTTTAGCTTGTTTCTCACCAGAGGGTGCTGTTCTCAGGGTGGCTTCACCCAGCGAGGAGGCAGACGCCGTCCGTTCTATATACAGTCTATGAATGTGACATGTCAGCCTTAGCTTGTATAATATAATCAGACATCAAACAATCATGATATTCCTTTCAGATTAAACTAAATTTAAACATATATTCAATTTCTATGGGAAAATACAGAATTTTCCTGTTACATTCTGCATAAAGTAAAAAAATCATAATTGGGAGAAAACTTTGCCAAAAGATGTTGAAAATACATTCCAAAGCTTTCTATGTTTTTAAGTGTGCACTAACTCTTACAAAGATCTAATATCATTAAAGTGGTTTAGTCTTATTCACAAAGTTTCTTCCGTTGTTAATGTGTGGTTTGTGGTCTCCCGCTGCAGATCGCTCCTTGGTGGGTGCAGTGGGCGTACCTGGAGAGCAGACAGCCGCTGCCTGTGCACTCGAACCCGGCCATCTCTCTGCCCAGGAGAGACTATAATGGCTGGAGGAGCCAGCTAGTGTGAGTCAACACTTAAACAAAACACACCTGAGCACATAAACCGTGATAGCCACGTTTTTGCCTGTGTAAACTCTGATAAACTGTTTAAATAGACATTTGAGTACCTTTAAATGTTTAGTAGCTAGCTAGTCGAAAGTATGATGGATGTTTTAAATATACTTGTGTTTTGTTTGTCTGTATCGAATTTATTTAACAGTTATCAATAATCATTAGGTAAAAGTCTGCTATTGTAACAGCCCTGACTTATACAAAAGCAGACGTTTCTGTCACTGAGTAGAAGGTGAAATAATTTCTGTATTATTCAGGTAGTAAAAACAATTGTTGTCTTCTATGCAGTAATATTCAGTACCCTGTGAAGACGCTTGGTTAGGATGTGTCCTCTAAACATGATCTGGATAGTCATGCCGATTTAATTCACAGTTGATATTAACAACTTGCAACTTGATTCCTGCTGTGAGCCAAAGAATCTCACTAACCTTTAAAGCCGGGGTCAGCAGTTTTCTGCAAAGGGAAAAAGCTCAGAGAATTGAAAGTTGGCCTGCGTCTCACCTCATCTCTGACCCCGAACCACCAGATGAACCCGAGTTATTAGTTTTGAACTTGCATAACACATAAAAACAAACCTGCTTTCATGGTAAACCTTACCAGCCATTATAACACACTAAGATAAGACCAGAAAATGAAGTATCACAACCTGCAGGAACTAAAAGGTTAAACTTAGAATCTCTAAAACCCTGTGTTGACATTGACGGTATTTGTTCTAAATCTTTTTAGCTGGACATGCATTTTCATTGAAAGAGTGCCCTTTCTTGTGAGGGGAAAGCTCAGGGTGTGGGCATTCTTATAACCACAATGCAAAAGTTTAAATCTATCTCTATGCCTCCTCACTAAGCAACATACCTGTTAGATGGTGGTTTGGTTATAATGATTGCTGCAGTTAGGTGAAGCTCAAACCAGCTATCAGTCGCCCTTGAGATGAATGAGTGCCATTTTAGAAATGAAAAACAATGCTTTTTGGATTAATTATGGAAAAGACATGCTGCTGTGTAAATGTAAAAGACTGGTAAACAGAAACTGTGATTTAAAGCTAAAGTGAGAAACTTTTGGTCAATGTTGGTTTTGGAACCCCCCTGTTGACAAAGCGATGTCTCTTATCTTTTGTTTTCGAACTTGTGAACCTCACAGATTTTTCTCCTATTTTGCAGGTTGAGTCCATATTTGATTGTTAGTGTTAAATTCAGACTTTTGCATCAAAACAACTCAAATTTTCATTTTGTCTTCATGCAGGTTTGCATCCAAACTGATCGCAGCAGTTCTGGACTTCAAGGCAAAAATCAACACGTAAGTACAACAGAGGTGGTGATGAATAGACTCAACAAGCTTTTATTTTTTTCTACACCTACGGTTTCAGATCTTCTTTGTATTATCATAAAAATGCAATAATATGAATTCTAGTCTATTTCATGAGTGTCACAAACTCTTCACTGGAGCTTTAAAGCAACATTTCTGTCTATGATTGAGCTATAAGCACTTAATTTACCACCTGAAAAGTTGATTTGACTGAAAAATACAGTAAAGTTTTAAAACTTTTTTTCAACTCTTAAACTAAAACCTTCTTGGTAATCAATGCATCACGTTTTAGAGGACTGCATGTGATGTGTACGACACTTAAAGTTGACTACCAATATTTCAATAATGATGATTTTTGAGAAAAGAGAGAGAATGCAGGAGTTAAAATAACTGAAGTCATATATATTATATATTAAATATTATTATCTAACTTCTTTTATTCTAGGATTGGAAGTGTTGATATTCATACGTTTGAAGTAACACTCATATTTAATGATGTACAGACATCTCTGGATTCATGTTTATCTGCATTGCTGCTCTGTAATAATAGGTACATAATTATTCAGGACAATCCCTTTAAGAGCACCTGCTGAGATCATTAGATCTGTTAATTAACTGTAAAATGGTGTCTGTCTTTGTAGAGAAAGCCATAGTAATCCTCTCCTTAAACCTGCTGTGTTACACTCACTTTCAGCAGCTTCTATTTCAGCTTTGTGAGCTCAAAGCTCCGCTGGCATCAGTCTCTGTGTCTATAAAGTTAATCTGTGTCTAAATATATGTACTGAACTGTGTGTAACTTTATCCAGCAGCATACGACCACGAGGGCTGTTGTTTTTACTCTTTGGCCCGACACCGTGTGGATTAAAAAACACGGACGCACATTGAAGTCTGTTTACAGCAACAGATCAGTTTTGCACAAACCTCAAATAAGCTGATGCAGGTTTCATCTGTCAGATTTTCAGGTTTCAAAACGGATAAAAACTTTGCATTGTTGATATGTTATTGTCCAAAAGGCGACCTCAAATGTTGCACAAAAAAGTTCTGCAAAAATCCTCAGGTGGCGTCTGATTCTGTAACGTGGGAAAAACTAGATCAGACAAGAGTAAACGCTTCAGAAACAAATTATGTCGCTAAACATGACTAATAAAACTATTTCTCTCCGTCCCTGTCAGTGGCCAGCTGCCGGTGGAGTATATGCGAGGAAAGCCCCTCTGCATGGAGCTGTACCCGCTCCTCTTCTCCTCCTGCAGGATCCCTGGCCCCAAACACGACTATGTGGCACATTACGGTCGAGCCAGACGTTCCCCAACTCACATCACAGTGGTCAGGAACTACCAGGTAGAATTAAAGAATTAAATGTAAAGCACGCAAACAGTCAGTTTGTGATCAAAAGAGTTGCTATGTCATCCTCAGAGGACAGACATAACTGTGATGACTTACCTCTACTTATCCAGTTCTTCCAGCTGGAGGTCTATAACAGCGATGGATCTCTGATGACAGAGAGTCAGATCCACTCACAGCTGCTGAGAATCCGCTCTCAGTCCTGGAAGACGGACAAAGAGCCGATGGGGATCCTGACCAGTGAGCACCGTCACACCTGGGGAGAGGCCTACAACCGCCTGCTCAGAGGTAACCCACAGCATTAAAAGTCCGGTCCGGTCAGCTTGTGAGCGATGTCGTGTTCATGTTCTGGTTTTGAGTTTTTAAATGGCGGAGTTTCCTTTAACGCATCATTGAAACATTTTAGAAAACGTTCTCCAGTAATCAGAGTTCACAGAAAGAGCTGACTCATTAACAAACTTACTGATTTATCATCTGCTTTATGACGCCTTAAAAGGTAATTCAGTCTATTAATGCTGTTAACCGATACATGTGGTCTGTTTGGGTCATCAGTATTTGTTGTTAAAAATAGCTGGTCACTAAATGTTGTTGTTTTTGTGTGCATGTGTATCCGTGTGTTTCCATGTGTGTACGACTCAGATAAACTGAACAAGGAATCTGTGCGGCTGATTGAGTCGGGACTTTTCAACTTGTGTCTGGACTCTCCAGTCATGAGGATATCAGATGAGAAGTATACACACACACACACACACACACACACACACACACACACACACACACACACACACACACACACACACACACACACGCACACACACACACACACACACACACACACACAGATCCACAGTCAGGCATTTGTGTGTTTGTTCCATGTGTGGTAACCCTGTGTGTGTTCAGATATCATTGTTCTCTTTGTTGACATTCAGTCCGGAGCGACAGAGCAGGATTGTCACCTCCTCCAGCTGAAAAGTTGTTGCCTGCTTCTTTTAGCAGATTTGAATAAAAAGACGCTTCACACTTAGATTTAATTATCGTCAATCAAATCAATTTAAAGTCACTTAATGGAGCAGGAAAAGGAAAACTTGAGTCCATCACACTTAAAAAAGTCACATAAATCTATGAACTTGGGTTGTTTTTTTCTCTTTGACCTCCTTTTTTCTTTGATTGACAGGTACGCCAGCCGTAAAGCAGCACAGATCCTTCATGGAGGCGGGACGTTCTCCAACAGCGGCAACCGCTGGTTTGACAAAACGCTGCAGGTGAGCTGCAGCAATAGTCACTCACTATTAAAGGTCATTGAAGGTCACATCGAGGTCGAGTTTGTTTATGCAATCATCTTTTTGTGTGAGCAGTTTGTCGTGGGCGAGGACGGCTCATGGGGTCTTGTATATGAGCAAGCCACCGCTGAGGGTCCGCCCATAGCGACGCTGCTGCATCACATCCTGGACTACTGGTGAGAGCATGATAATAGGCCTCGTGCTTTACTCCCCTTTCCCTCTTTCAACATGAAAATCATCTTTAATTGAAGTTGAGCAAAGCTGAATTCCTTCTTTTGACTGCAGTGAACAGCCAGACCCAAAGAGGGCTCCCATGCTCCCTCTGCCCATGCCTAAGAAGCTCTACTTCCACATAGACCGGGAAATCAAGATAGACATCGAGCACGCCAAGCAGAACCTCGACATGTAAGCGTCGTGGTTCATTACAGTCAGTGTGGAGTCCTTTTGTGGAGATTTACAGCCTCTGAAGAGTCTCTATAGTTTGCATTGCCTAATAATAATGCTGACGTGAAGCGAAGCCACAGGTGTGTAAACACATTTATCATCCGTGTGAGTCTAACAGTGACTCAGCAGAAAAGATCCACTTATCAGACAGTTTCTTTTAAAGCTTTAAGACCTTATACTCTGCTCTATTACCTGTAAATCTTCATTATTCAAACATCTAAACATAAAAAAAGCTCCTCTGGAATATAAAAGTTTAGTTCAAAGAAGATAAAAGTGTTTTTTTATGTCTTTTTTCAGCCATAACAAGGATATTTTCTGTCAGCCACCGTAATTTCAGATGGCTGTAGCCTAGTAATAAAACTTGTTGTAATTAACTCAGATTCATTAGAGTAATGAGCCGTTTTAATGTTGTCAATAGGTGCTGGATAGAGGCTCAGCTACCATGTAATACTCTATGATAATAAATCCCCTTTATGTCATTAATCACAGTGTAGAAAGTGCTGAGGAAGCTATAATTACTGTGTTAATGAGAAATCAATATGAGCTGTAAACAGATGTCACAGAGGTATGGTCAGAAGCTTTCTGCAGAGAATAGAGATAAAGACAAATGCTCAAAAAAGAGGTTTTTAAATATCCTTAAACTAGACTAAAACTGTCTTAACTTTCCCGCAGACTCATCAACGACCTCGATATTAAGGTGTTCAACTTTAAGAGGTACGGCAAAGAGCTTCCCAAGGAGCACAAGATGAACCCAAACTCCTTCATCCAGGTCGCTCTGCAGCTCGCCTACTACAGGTCAGCCACAGTGACACAGAGATTGTTATTTCTGATGTTTCTACTAGAGGACTGCTACTGCATAAATACATGAATATAACTTAAAAGAATCTGATGTGAAATATAGTTGAAGGATGTTTGTACGACAGGATTTGACTCATTTAGTTTTCTCTTTTGTTGGTTTTCCAGAGTTCACGATGAGGTCTGTACTACCTGTGGTATCGTCTCTCAGCGGATGTTTCGAGGAGGGAGGACAGAGTTCGTCCGCTCTCCCACAAATCAGACGGTCAAGTTCATCCTCGCCTTTGATGATCCCACTTTATCAGTGAGGAAAAACTCCAGAGGAAGGTGTATGCTCATTTGGTGTCAGGTGACGTTTGATTAACTTTGTGTTTTTGTGCTGCAGCGCGAGGCAAAAGTGCAGCTTTTCAGAGAAGCTGTGGATGCATACTCAGCTCTGACCAATCAGGTGAATAACCACATTGTTTTTTAATAAATTGACATTGTCTTCTAGTGTCGATGAATAATTACACATTTCATTCTCTTCCTGTTCTTCAGGCTCTCAATGGCCACGGCATCGAGAGCCACCTGCTCGGGCTGAAGCTGCAGGCGATCGAGGAGGGGATGAGTATTCCCAAAATCTTCATGGACACGGCTTACGGCTTGGCGACGCACTGGAAACTCCGAACAGGACAGGTGTGTTGATGTCTGAGTGCCAGTATTTGTTTTACATAAGTTCTCGACAGTCCTGTTGCAATTCGGGAAGTGGAGATGTTTACGGTATACGAATATGAACGCGGGAATTTCTCTATCAGTACTTTCCCTGTTGTTGTGAAGTATGTTAAACTCCATTGTGGTGCATTTACTGTCAGCCAAATCCCATTTTGGAGTTCCCTAAATTGAGTTGTTTTTTTGTTATGACGCTTTTTAAACCATACATTTTGTGCATCACGTTAATTAAGGTGATCTGGAATTAATCCCTTAACTTTATACTTAAGTAAAAAAAGAGAAGATATAATGTTTGGATTACTTTGATTTAAGGGAAGCAGAGTACTGTTGTTGGATTAAAGATGGGAAATAAAGTTTCCTACTGTGATAACTACACACACAAACAGAAAGGTGGTTTTTGTTGGCAGGTTTCCCTCATTTTAATTTCTCAGAACTACTGAACTATAATTACAGCTTTGAGTCCAAAGTATCACCACTTTGTTTAGTGACCTTTATTTTTGTGATGTACTTTGTTTCTTTACTTCTTTATTTTTTCACAACTCAGCTGAAAGGACAGGATCATTGTCAGAAACAGAGTAGAGAGTGGGAAATAGCAGACAGCTGAAAACTGATGTCTCTTTTTAAAGGTCCTATAGGGAGTTTTTTTGATGTTTATGAAATCGACTGAAATTCAAATTGAGGCTTTTTTAGATATTAAAACTCAGGTCTTTGTATTTACCGTCACATCTGTGCTGCTCGTATGTTATTTTGATCCAAGAGTATTGTTTCATGTACTCATGTTTTCATCCGTTTTGCTCCCTTAGGTGCCCGCCAACACTGACAGCGTGATGTGCTTTGGGCCCCTCGTTCCTGACGGTTACGCCATTTGTTACAACCCCCAGGCCGACCACGTCCACTTCTCCATCACTGCCTTCAACTGCTGTGAGGAGACGCATGCAGAGACATTAGCCGTCACCCTGTGGGACACCCTGTGCCAGCTACAGGAGCTGCTGGAGCCTACTGTGTAGGGCTACATGTTAAACCCACTTTTCTACAGTTGGAGAGAAAAAAAAAAAAAGACTTTGTTTTCTTGATGTCAAATTTTGTAGGAGTCTTGATGAGGCTTGTTTTTGTTACAGATGCCGAAAAGTCACACAATGTTAACATGAGCAGTGTGATCGGAGACAGCGGTCAAGACTGATCACAGTGTCTCTGAGGTGCTTTCGATGCTTTTTTACAGCTTTTGATAACGCAATTAATCATTTTCATTCTCTAGCAAAAGCTGAGCGAGCAAGCTGCTTCTAGTTACAATTGATGCACTATGAGGAATTCAAAGCTTCTACATTTCTGGATGAAGTCAAAGACAACTTGACACTCCGTCATGGATCAGAATAAGGCAAAAAAAAAAAAAATCTATTTTTGAACAGACTGCACTCCTTTGACAAGTCGTGAAACGACCAGGAACCTTTCTAACACTCTCTACTGAGAATAAACACATTTTTGTGAGTTGGACTGTCACCAGCGTTGACTAATGTTTGATCTTGCAGGTAAGCATGTATGTTTGAAATGGACCAAAGCTTGGAAGAAGCTATTCAAGGTCACAGTGCTTGTCTGTATTTACTGTATTTGAGATGAATGCGAAGAGGCTTTGGGCCCATCTGGGACGTGTTGTTCTGCTCCGACCTGCAGAACTGGTTAATAAAGCCTGTTCGCTCAAACCATTGTTTGAATTTTTACTGCGTGTATGTTAGAGGTGCACGACTGAATTAGGAAACAGGAGTAGGAACAAGAGCTATGTTTCATTTGCATGTCTCCTGCTAGAATCAATCTGCAATAAACCCAAGATTACCCAACTGATTTTCATTTCCGTATCTGCTGAGATCTGGGGGCAGGACAAACCAGAAAACAAGATCCTCTAAGCAGAACGGATAAAACCATCCTGAACTAGCAACTTTTAAACCATGGTCACTAAAGCACTTACACAAACTGTATGTGATATAAAAATAACATTATCTCTGAAATAAAGGTAGAATTTGGTAAAAATGTGCTTTTCTTTTTAGCTATTCGAATAAGAAAAGCAATTTAGAAATATGTTTATTAATTTTCAGTGAACAATAGAATGAAAAGGAAAAAATGTTTATATAAAAACAAAAAAACCCAGGAGTAAAAAACGCAGCATATCAAGAGTTACAACTACATGGTCATAAAATGAATATTGACTTTACAGAATATAAAAGCAGACATATAATTGTGATCGTAATAATAATAGTAAAATAAATAGGTCTGTACACAAGATCATACTACAACAGCATTAATCTCATTTATCTATCATGTCTGGACATGATAGATAGATAGATAGATAGATAGATAGATAGATAGATAGATAGATAGATAGATTGCCCCTGCCTGACATTGTTTTTTTGTGCAGGGAAAAACGTGGTAAAATGAGAATTTCCTGAATCTCACATGATTGAAAGAGGATCTGACTGTCAGTGTGGTGCCTGTCAGTGCACTCATGTTTTTAGTTTTTTGCTCTTATCATTAATTAATCTAACCGGGTCAACAGTGACCCTAACACAACAGTGCCATAATTTTAATGAGAGCATTTAATAATTTAGTCAAATTAAAAAATTTTTGTTTTTATTTTGTTGAAATAGACGTTCCTGACAAAGTTAAAAAGTCTTGATGCCAAAAAGCTAATTTAAGTGGTTCTTTTAAGCATTTAAAACAAAAGCAGGTCGGTTACACAGGAGGAGGGTTAAAACGCAGGCAGACCTCAGAGAAAATGTAATTATTTAAGACCTGATATATGGCTATTCTCTGTGTTTTTCTCAGGGTTTTACAGGTGTGCTGTCTGTTGTTACACCTGAGAGTGGTGTGTCGTGTACTCGTTGTCCATTGGTCGAGCTGACACAGGAAATGACGTCCGCAGCGGTCGAATCCTTTTAATTTAAAACCGGAACAAACAAAAGAAACTACAGCAAAGCGGAGCAGCTGCGTGTGCGGTGTTTTGGTTGTAGTGATATTAAGCAATAGTCACTCACACGGGGGAACACTTTGTGGTAAAACGGGATCCTCGACACGGACGAGCGGACTTGAGTTCTTCTTTTCAGCCTCTTGGGAAAAGAAATGAAGCTGATAATGACAACACAACATTAGCCAGAGACATTAGGACTTTTTGTTCTTTTTATTGACCAAGTGGCTCTTTTATTTAACTCGCCTTTCGGCTTTTATTTAGTGTTTTATGCTTAATTTTTGAGACATAATGAAGGGCTGCCTTTCTGCTTTGAGGAGGAGTAGGAGGGGTAGCAGCGGGGCTTCCAGGCTCTTGTATCCGCTGCTCGGTGCGTGTCTCTGGGCTGCGGTTGTCGGATACAAACCGGTGATCATCGTCCACGGTTTGTTCGACAGCTCGGGGGATTTCAGGAACTTGATACACTTCATAAACGAGGTGAGTGCTCGGGATAGAAACGCACCTGTGAAATAAGGTTTGCTTCTTTTGGCAGTGAGATGTATACATTAATGGTATAAGACAGCGTAAAGAGGCTACAGCGGGCCTGACTGTTGTATAAGCACATGTTAACCAGCAGAAACATGCAGCACCACTGTGGAAAATGAAGATGAGCTGTGCGACATTACTCAGCGGATCTCATGATGTTCAAGATATGATACTTAAAACAGAAGGTTGTCTTCAAATATAAACTCTTTTTGTAGCTTCACTTTTAGGGGTTTACATTCACAAAACAAGTCTTTTCTATAGAGAAAGTCCAAACAATTAAATGTATTAAAACCAAATCTGAAAAAGTTAAAAATTTTCTCTACTTTTTAAATTTGTATTTTTCTATCAATTAGATATATATTTTGTTTGATTAAAGTTTCATTTTAATTGTCAAAATGCTTAGTTTTGCACAGTTACTTTTTATTATTATAATTGTTTTATATATTGAAATACTCCTAAAACAAGACAGAAATATATTGTATAAAAACTAATATTATCATATTATTTGAAAAAGTGTTCAAAAAGAATACAAGAACAATGTCAAACATTTGCTATAAAAGTGATAAACATTATAATATGCTTCTTCTTTTGAATACATGACTGAAAAATTAGTCATTGTCTTTTAAAGCCTTGTTTTTATCCCTTTTTTCCCTTTTGTATCATGTTTGATACATAAATTTATGATACTTCTATCAATCAATATGATCAACAAATTACTTAAAGTACACCTTAATACAGTCTGATAAATGGTATAAATGTCCTCTTGTGGTTTATCAGTTTCTGGTTTATTCAATGCTTATCAGAATTGTTTTAATATATTGAAATACTCCTAAAAAAAGACAGAAATATATTGTCCAAAAACTGATATTATCATATTAGTTGAAAAAGTATTCAAAAGGAATACAAGAACAATCTCAAACATTTGCGTTAAAAGTGATAAACGTTATATTATGCTTCTTCTTTTGAACACATGACTGAAAAATTAGTCATTATCTTTTAAAGCCTTGTTTCTATGTATTTTTTTGTTTTTTTAAGCATTGTATTTATCCCTTTATTGCCTTTTGTATCATATTTAATACATACTTTTATAATACTAATATCAATCAATATGATTAACAAACTACTAAGAATACACCTTAATTCAGTCCGATAAATGATAAAAATATCCTCTTGTGGTTTATCAGTTCCCAAAAACATCTAATGTGTCAAACGAAATAAATAAATATATTTGTTAAATTTTAAGGACATTTTGATTTTTTTGGTTTTCAGTAGTAAGTGAAATAAACATTTCAGCTCCAAAAAAATTGAAATTTTTTGGCCATAATTTGTGGTTTTGTAATTTTTTTTGTCAAAACTAAAATAAGTCACGTTTTTGGCAGTCTAGTTTTTCTTAGTTTCCTTCAGCAAGAAACCTTATTAATTACACTATATTAAATGTGATGAGTGTGTGGTCATTTGAATGAGAATCCAGATATAGAGAGCAAGACCCAGCTCTTCTCACTTCAGCTTATGGTGTAGATCACTTTGAGGCCGACAGTGACCAGCCTGAGTTAGAAACTGATGTTTTGACCTCAGTGTCATCAGGCAGATATGTAAAGAGCTGGCGCATCTTGTGGTTTCACTTGTAGCTTGTGCTGATATGCTATGCAAGGCTCTTTGCTCTTTGTGTGGACAAACCGGTTCGAGTCAGTGTGGGTTTATGTCCTCGTTACATTCAGGAGCCATAGTTTGTGCACCAGTCATTCAGTGAGGTTTCCACTCTTCGCTGTGATAATGAACATTCCCACTGCACAGTCCATTGTGCCCTGTCCTGCTTGTCCTCCTGTTTCCCCCAACCTCCCCACTCACATACCATCAGAAACTGACACACATGTGTGATTGTGTTTAGAGGCTGACATAAAAAATGTGATGGTATTGCAAAGAGGAAGTCGTTGTGGGGGCTCTGGCTAAGTCTTCAAGGTAAAGGGAAGGCCGGGTTCCTCTTTTTGTCCCAGATGTCTAAGAAAGTCAAAGACTGAAACCAGACAGCTTGTACTTGTGAAGGAAACTAGGACCCCGCTCTCTTTCTGCTTCATCTGCTGTTCTATCTTGCACCAGACAGGCCGAAGAGTCATCAATATTTTAAGCACATGCTAATCAATAAGCAGCTAAACATCCCAAAGACCTCTGATAATACAGGAGGTTTCCTTTGCTTTGAATGCTGAGGTTAGCACACAGTTTCTTGTCGCTGCCCAAAGCTTCACTCAGTAATGTGAGAGATTACGAAGACACACTCTTCCCCTCCTCTCTGTTTACAAAGTGTTTTCTTCTTCTGCAGTCTCACCCTGGAACAAATGTGACCGTCATCGACTTGTTCGACAGGAGCGCCAGTCTGCAGCCCATGTGGAAGCAGGTTGAGGGCTTCAAGGCAGCTATCTACCCAATAATGCAAAACGCAGCAGACGGAGTCCACTTCATCTGCTACTCACAAGGTGTGTGAAAAGATAACCCAACAGGCCTGGCATTTGTTTTGGTCTCTAGTTACAGAGTGATTCTTGCAATAAATGACCTATTTTTTACATTGTTAATGTTTTACTTTTTTGAAGATTGGACTTTACAAGACACGTTTTTTAAATCATTTTACAAGCTGTTTGTTTTTTTATAACTCTTGAGGTTTCTACTTGAGTCAGGAGTTGAAAAATCCCAACAAGCGTCCTGTTATTCAGCCTGTCACATGTTCTTTTACCAACATGCATTTAAAAGCCGACTTCCTCCCACTGAGCATGAGTAGGATCTCAAATCGAGTATAATCATTTTAAGTTATTCAGGTGAGTCTTACTGACAAAATAGCCAATATTTTCTTTCAAAGCCTCTTCATTGATTTTTAACCCTGTGTGACAGTAAAGTGGATGTTTGGAGCTCCTTCCTGTCGCTCAGATAAAACAAGACTGTTTGTAATGTCACCTTTGGCTCAGAGATTAGATTATAGAAGAAACCCTGCAGCTCTCTGTGGCCTTACATGGGAAAAAAGGCAGATGGCTTGATAGTGGAAACTGTTGTTAGTTTCAGTTCTGGGGGTTAAATTTCAAACTTTGGCTGTAAGGTTACCAAAACAACACTCACGAAGCAAGTGATTTCCTGTCCTACATGTCTGTCTGCCTCTGAGGAGTCATAATGTGGTTGTGCTGGGATTAAAGTGGAATAAGTGGGTCAGAAGTCTTATGAAAAATATTCTCTGTTGATGAAACCGCAGGTGGGCTGGTGTGCAGAGGAATCCTCTCCACTCTGTCCGACCACAACGTCCAGTCCTTCATCTCTCTGTCCTCACCTCAGGCCGGGCAGTACGGAGGTGGGTTTTACTTCACGCTAAGCACATTATGACTATTATATGTTCAAACGTCTTATTTTCAGAGGAGACCAATGTCAATTTAGGACTTGACACAACTTCAAGTAAATGCCAAGTATCAACTGTATGTTGACGATCAGTGAATGTTTACAGGGGATTAAATGTGTTAAACTTGTTCCTTTATCTTCACCTTTCAGACACAGACTACTTGAAGTACCTCTTCCCACAGTTTGTGAAGTCCAACCTCTACCACCTCTGCTACACCGCCATAGGTCAGAGGATATCCATCTGCAACTACTGGAATGGTAAGACTTCAAAATTACACACTCAGTTTGTTCTTTATTTTAATACTTTGTTGGATTTACTGAGATTTTCTGATTGTTTCTTCCTCTCTCTTTGCAGACCCCCACCACAGAGACCTGTATGTGAACAGCAGTGATTATTTGGCTCTGCTCAACAGTGAGAGACCCAATCCAAACTCAACAGGTCAGCACATTCCTTCAGGGTAGAACTGGTCCTGAGGTTCTTATCTGTGTCACTGTAGATTATAGACAGAGTAGAGTATTGACCTCAGGGGGTCTTTAAAGAGGCATCAGTGAGAAGAAGAGGAGTGTTTTTAATACTCTCAGTGTAGACACAGACTGGTGTGTCTTATTTTGAAAGATTCCTCTGGAGCCACAGAAAATAGGACGATGTTTAGATACAGTTTTGGTCCTCCGTTAGCACATGGAATCACATGATTGTGATTCCCTTTAGCCGTAGAAAAACTGATAACAGTTGACCACTTCTCTTCTCCAGTTTCTTCTAAGTACTTCTTCTAAATAAAGGGGCCACAGACTGAACAGTACGTCCTGTACGTTTGTGTTTCAATCTCAGAATGGAAGAAGAACTTCCTGAAAATCAAGAAGCTGGTGTTGATCGGAGGACCGGACGATGGGGTCATCACTCCCTGGCAGTCGAGGTGAGTTCAGGCTCTACCTGCTGTTTATAACTTCACATCACTTGTTATGAACATTATCAGTGTGACAACAAGCTTTGTAAGGCTGGATGTAGTCAGGAAAAACTCTGCATTCAGCACAGTCTTTATACATTTTAGTTTCTTTTAAATGCCTTCATTTTGTGGAGTAATGTTTGAAATTTTTAACGCTGATAAAAGAAGCTGAAGCATATTTTTTTCTGCCAAATCTGGGGATATAAATATTTATTTCTTTCCTGCTACTTCTACGGGATGTTTCTAGCGTCATGTCACACACTGTTTCACATTCCTCAGCTTTGAGTAATTTTCTTTTTCAGACTGTGAACGATCAGATGACTTTCTTATGATGCTCACACGTTTATCTCTCTTCTGGTTTTTAGTCAGTTTGGATTTTATGATGACAACGAAACTGTTGTGGAGATGCAGCACCAAGACGTGAGTGTAATCTGCTATGTAGTTTGTTATGACATATAGAGGCAAATATAAAACACTATCTTCTGAAGTGATGAAGTAAGAGAACCTCCTCTATTTAACACACCCACTGTGAGCTCTTAATTCTATCTATAATATGACCATAAGAGTCATCCTGAAATAAAATTCAGCTTCCTCAAATTCACTCCAAGAGTTTTTTGTGCTCTCTTATTTATGAAAAATATTCAGAAATAAACAATGAAGCTGTTACATCAACACAAAAAGAGATATTAGACACTATTGTGAAGGCCTTTTCTCCTCAAAGCAGCATTAGGGCCTGTGTCCACTGAGTGCATTCTCATACATAATAATTTCCAATCAAAACTGTAATGTTTGTTTACAAAACTGAGAAAAATAATATTTTACAGACATTTTTTTTTGCATTTGTCAATTTATTTTGTATCCCAAGTGTTTGTTGTGTATATATCTGATACTTCTCCCAACTTTTAATGCTATGGCTGTTTTATACCAGCAGATGGCAATGTAACAAAGTGGAATTCAAAACCTGTCCTCGTCTGGTATTATGACGGCAGCTACAAAACTGAAGAGAACAACCTAAAACACTCAAACTGATGAAAACCAACTAATATGAGCATTTAAAGCATTGAAACAAATAGTAAAACTTGAAAAGATCAACAAAACTCTCATTCAGACTAAACTGAGTGTCCAAACAAAACAGTTTTAGACACTATAATGAGCAAACTTTAATAGATCATAAAGAGTTTGAAACACTGTGCGATAATGTGTCTAGTGTCGACTGTTAACAGGAAAACATCCTCAATTAAATGATCTTCCTTTTCTCATTCCAGCTGTATTTACGAGATGTTTTCGGTCTGAAGACGTTGGGGGCTCGTGGAGATCTGATTGTCTGTACCGTTCCCGGAGTTGAACACGTGTACTGGCACTCAAACGAGACCGTGTTCCGTCTTTGCATGGAGAAATGGCTGGAGTAAAACTCTCTTTTACAGCACGCAAACACACAGACACAGACACAGACACACAGATACCCAACACTGAGTTTTATAAGCTCATGACTTCCAGCATTTATAAAACTCTGCCTTTACAACCACTGTAAAGTCCTCTCACACACATCCTGAGTGTTCTCCAAAAGTATGACCTCAAGTCTTTAACACTGACTTGGTAAACAAATCAGGGTTGCTAGAGTTTGTTTGCAATACTTTCTTTTCCACTTTATCAGTTTGGTTTGAGTGTCTGCAGATGCATTTACTTATTCTAACACATCATGAAACATTTTCTGTTATTTAAAGGGACTCTTTTCTTTTCTTTTTTTTTTAAGTTTAAATCCTTTTACTTGAGAGTTTTATGAGAGGACTGATACTGCTCTCCTCTTTATGAGCTGTAAATGAAGTTATGAAGCAAATAGTTTAGTTTAGCTTAAAGACGAAGGGGAACAATTGGCATACCAAAACACCGTTACAGTTACAAAACACCTACCAGCATTACTAACTTACAAGTTAAGTCTTTAGTTTAACTGTATAAAGAGCTAAGTGAAGACATAAATGTGGTTTTACATACGGGCTTGTGTCCTCACTAATGTTACCCCCCGGAGTTTCTTTGCACGGTAAGGTTGCCAGGCAACAAGCTGAGACTCAAAGGTGGGAGTTCTCGCCTCATAAACGCCACAAAGTGTCCTCTTTAAGGATTTATTGTGTATATTTTAGGGCTTTTAATGCTATGAAGGCGTTTTTTAGTTTGTCTTTACGCTAAGCAAGACTAACTGGCTGCTTCATGAGAGCCGTATCTTCATATCAAGGTGTAGATGTGGAAAGATTATCAATACAGCTCCCAAAATATCCAAACAGAGGGATAAATATCTAAAATGTCAAACTTTATTGATTATTTTTTAACATTTTTTCTTTGTTGAACAAATCCAGCAGTTATTCTTACAGTATAAGCACAAAGAACAAACTTACAGATGCAACAGATGAAACGTCTCCGGTAAACGAGGTAAAGATTTAATCATGATTTTATTTTAAAGGCCAGCAAAAGTCCACTCTGACTTTATGAGAGCCCTCCTACGGTTAATGGTTGTCTTTTTTATTGATGTAAAGGGAAATTTAAAGGGGAAAAGTTAACGAAGGTGCAACATTCTGACTTTTAATCCCAAGTTTAAGTCACTTTTTTAAAATTCTTAATAGCTAAAGTCAAAGTTACAGACCTTTACTGTGGTTTTCACAAGTTGATGAGTCTCTGGTGTCTGCTCTTCAGGGGTGAAAACTGGTAGCATGCCCCTTTAAAGTGTATAAACAAACTATATCACTTCTCAGACTTACCAAATCACATATCTACAAGTGTGTGTGTGTGTGTCCGGACACACATACCTCAACACATCACACACAAACCAGTGCCTGAGCGACGTTCTGTCATCCTCTCTCTTCATGTACAGACTCACTGCCCTGCTCATCGGATGATGCAGTTATTTATATCTTTGGAATCCTGTCATTTTAACCCAGGAGATGATGATATCCATGTTGTTGTTTTTTTGTTAGATTGTACATATGATCATGAATATTTTGTTTCGTATCATTACCATGCAGTGCTTTGAAGTTTTAGTAGTTTAAGCCTTAAATTGTCCCGACATGCCTCCGTCTTTCATGCTCCATACCTAAGTGCTAAAACACACTGCCTTTAGTGACCGTGCTTGAATGAATGAGTGATAGGAGAGGAGGAGAAAGAGCCAAGAGTGTGGCAGTGCTATATTAGTGTTTACTTATCCACTAGACTCTTGTACATGACCGTCTTTACCTCCCATCTCATTTAGATATCTCAGGCGTTTTAGGAACCTTCTTGTTTGTCAGTCTCTTTCAGATAAAGGGAAATACTTAACTTAATTTGTTGCATTTTGTTGGATAGTTATGGGTGCTTGTTGTACTAATATACATCCAGATAGTTCTCCAGAAATAAATACAAGAGTGAAAATATCCATTCTGTGAAAACATGAAGTTGATAGCTTTCTTAGAGCAAAAAGTTTGTGTTGCACAATAATTGCCCAGACAAAGAGAAGGGAGGAGATTACCATAGAATGATTTTAACTGTTTTTTAAAGTTGTAAAAACGTCAGTATTATTTGAATGTTGTTGCATCCTTTGTTCACTATTTGTTTGAAGAAATCAGCTGCATAAAATGCAGATTTAAGGGAAATTCCTCTCTATTCAGTTGTCTTGCTTTATAAACAATAAATTTGGATACAGAGTTTTTTTAAAGACCAAACAAATGACTATTTTGGCACTGTCCTTCAATTTCTACAGTACATGGTCTTCAAATAAAAATGTGTCAAATGCTGTCAATTCCTCAATAAAAGACGGTTTTGAAAAATGATTTTTGACGAATTTTGTTGTGATTTTTTTTGCCCGTGATACCATTTGTCTACAAATGTAGACAAATACACAAACAAAAAAGTAGTTGTTAAAGGGATATTCTGGCGTTAGATTAATTTAGGGTCAAACACACCGTAACACCGAGTTAGACACCCCCTCCAGAGATGAATGTTGCCGACTGCTTGCTTCTCTAGTTATACCAAATTTAGTAACAACCGCATGATAGCAATACACAGTAGTCTGAGGAGCCATAAACAAACCTCAACCAAAATGCCACTCTATAGCCACAAATAATGTTCAGAACAGCACCTAACTTCATCAACAGTACATATAGGGTCCTAGCCACAGTACTGGCCACCAAACTTTGCCTGATTTCTTTAGCAAAGAGACCAAACACAACTCACCCACTCTCTTCCAGCAGCCGCTTGTTTGTAGCGAGACCTCAGTCCAATCCATTACGGACTACAGCGGGGTGACGCAGCTCAAGGAAGAACAAAGCAGCGTTTTGGTTGATGTTTGTGTGTGGCTCCTCAGACTGCTGTGTATTGCTATCGTGGGGTTGTTACTAAAATTGGTAAAACTAGACTGGTCATCATTCATCTCTCGAGGGGGTGTCTAACTTTGTGTTACGGTGTGTTTGACCCTAAATTAATTTTACACCAGAATATCCCTTTAAATTAATTAAATTAGCAGATATATTATTTCATAAGCTTATTTTAACTTTAATAAACTCCTTTAACTCGATCGTTGTTTCATTGATCTGTCATAAAAATAAAAAACTTAAAGAGGAAAATCCCTATCGGCATACATTAGTCACTATTTTAGCTCTATTCCAGATTGCTACGCATGATACAACACAAACTACAATTCCCTGCGTGCAATGCGCACCGGAAGTAACTGGCCAGCTCACCGGATATCTGCACGCGGCGCCCCGAAAAGGCCCTTTTCCGTCTCAGAGAAGTGTGGTTCAGAGCGGCAGACACAAGTGAGTTAAAAATTCACATTTTCTACGCCTAAAACGCAACTTAGGCAACTATTCTGTCATTATTGGGAGTCGAAATCGCCCGTCGACCGAAAACTATCATTAAAACTCTTCAGCTTTGGCGTTATGTAGATTTATTTCTCATAAAGGTTTACCCTACGACGGTGAGCTTTAGCATGTGGCTAGTTTAGGTAGCACATGTGGATGCGGCATGTAGATGATCGGTCTCAATAGATCACCCACCTAGTACTTTATTTAAAATATATGCATCTGTATACTTTTTTTAAACTTCATTTTCAATAATACAGAAATCTGTCATTGTTAGTTTTGTGTTCGCTCGCTAAGTTTAGCTTCTCGGTTCACAAAGCTAATGTTGAGAGATTCAGGCATGATCTCCGGCCTTACTGTCACAGTCAAGTCAGATTATATCCCGTTAGGTTATGAAGTAAGGTTTTGTCTTATAAAAGGAGTTTAGTTACTTTAAAGCATGTGGCAACTCATATGAAGGTGTAGAATTTTACTAAGAAGGTGATTCTGCAGTGACCTCAGTTGTGGAGGATGGTGTTATTGAACATTGCAGGAATCAGATTGACATTAAATTAAGACTGAAACCCCTCTCCGAAGCTGATCCAGTCTGATGGCTCGAATTATATTCACACACGTACAGTATAAAATGTAGACAAGGTTGAAGCTCGTATTTACACTCAAATGTACAAGTTACTTTAGAAACAAAGCCATGCTAGGTGTCATTATCGACCCTTAACTAAAAATTCTCCACCTCTCCTTTCATTCTCAGTGACTGAGTGGGAGACCGCCCCAGCTGTGGCTGAGACTCCTGAGATCAAGCTCTTCGGCAAGTGGAGCACAGATGATGTCCAGATCAATGACATCTCCCTGCAGGTAAACAACAACACAAAATCACTTTACTTCTGTTTTTTCATCTGTTATATTGTTAAAGCGAGGCTAGAGTCACGCCTGAACACTGACCCGTTGTCCCGGTGTGCTAGAGTGCTCGCAGAGGAAACGTCTTTGCTTATTCATTGGCTGTAGTCTGCTGTGGCCCAGCCAATCACCAACTCAGACACACTGACCCTCCATGCATGCTGTACATGTAGAAGACAATGTTTGAATCTCTTAACTTAAACCCATCCGTTGCTCCTCAGGATTACATTGCTGTAAAAGAGAAGTACGCCAAATACCTGCCACACTCTGGAGGACGTTATGCCGCCAAGCGTTTCCGTAAGGCTCAGTGCCCCATCGTGGAGCGTCTCACCAACTCCATGATGATGCACGGCCGCAACAACGGCAAGAAGCTGATGACCGTGCGTATCGTGAAGCACGCCTTCGAGATCATCCACCTGCTGACTGGAGAGGTATGTAGTAACGGGGAAAATCTTCACAGATTTGATGTCTCTGAATGCGGTTTAGTGTGTCTGGTTAACACAAGTGAAATCAGAAGTTTTATGTGGAAGACTGAGATTGAAATATGATACAGTCTGATATATGCAGGCAGACAAGACCATCAGTTCAACTTTGGGTATTACACCAGAAATTTGTCAAACCACTTTGTGCGTCAATTCTGACTCTTTCTTAAAATTTTGTCCGCAGAACCCCCTCCAGGTTTTGGTGAACGCCATCATCAACAGTGGACCCCGTGAGGACTCCACCCGTATCGGTCGTGCCGGTACCGTCAGGAGGCAGGCTGTGGATGTGTCCCCTCTCCGTAGAGTCAACCAGGTATCAACTGAACCCAAAAATACAACCAATGAAGTTGTTGCTTTTGTATCCCTGGAGATTGAATTTGAATAGTGTCCTTTACAACTCAGAGAGAGGACTCTGGAGAACTTGATTTGTTTTGATAAACAAAAACCAGTGTTGTCTTATTTACTGATGTTTTATTGTTCAAAGATACAAGCTAATGTTTTAAAAGAGAAATAAACTTTTGCACCTCTTGTATTCTATAAATCTCTCCCATATATAATACTGATTTGTAAAGCGAGGCTAGAGTCACGCCTGAACACTGACCCGTTGTCCCGGTGTGCTAGAGTGCTCGCAGAGGAAACGTCTTTGCTTATTCATTGGCTGTAGTCTGCGGTGGCCCAGCCAATCACCAACTCAGACACATTACTCTACAGATATGAGTTACTTGAACCAAAGTTCTGCATCTGTCTTACTTCTGCTCTCCTCGCTCTCCTCTTCTTTAGGCCATCTGGCTGCTGTGCACAGGAGCAAGAGAAGCTGCTTTCAGAAACATCAAGACCATTGCCGAGTGTCTGGCTGATGAGCTGATCAACGCAGCTAAGGTATGTTTATCCTGAAGAGTAGGATCAGTCTGGTTTGATGTCAAATAAAAAAGTAACTGCAATATTATTCCAAACTCCTGTCTGTATTTTTGTGCTGAACATGTGACTCTCTCCTCATTTCAGGGTTCATCTAACTCTTACGCCATCAAGAAGAAAGACGAGTTGGAGAGAGTTGCCAAGTCCAACCGTTAAACATGTTCGCTTTCTAACAAAAATAAATTTGAAGAAATTTCTGTCCATGTCTTGACTGTTGTTTTTTCTTTCTTGTCCATTGAAATGTATAATCCTGAGAAAATGCCTCAGGTTTAAGAGGAATTGGTGTTTGAAGAGCTGTCCTCTTGGCTTTTTGTAGTGATTGGGGATCACTGTTTGTGAATAAAAGCGTCAGGCTTTCTTGAAAGTTGACAAGGTAGCAAAAGAGTGTGGGTGGAAAAAGAATTGCACCAAGAGCAAAGATGACCTCTACCTGAAGGGGGTTGACAAGAGAAGCTGGTCTTAATTCCTATACAGACCTACTCCTGAAGCACAGTGTCTTATCTGGGCTAGCAACAAAAACAACCTGGACTCTGGTCTAACGTTTTCTTTTCAAATGAAATTAAGTTTGAGTTTCATTTGGAAATAAAAGGTCCTAGAGTCTGGAGGAAATGCAGAGAGGCGCTTAATTCAAGAACAGGATGAAGTCCCACAAGTCAGTCCCACGTGTTTAATCAAGTTCCAAGTCTCTGCAGCCAAAAAGGAAGATGTTGAGACAACCTGGGCTTCAATAACACCTCAGCGCCACAGGCTGGTCACCAGCATGCCACGCCATATTGCTGCAGTATTTCAGAGTTGCTCAAGATGCTCCAACCAAGTATTGAGTGTTTAAAGAAACTAACTTGTCATAAATTGCACATTTTGTACTCCAAAACCACTTTTTACTTATTGATCTGAGGATATACTTTGACAATCAGATACTGGATTTCACATTTTTTTATGAAGTGGAACCCCAAATCATCAAAACAGGTTTGCAATATTCATTTTTTCATTGCACAAAAACATTGAATTTAACCTTTTAAAATGAAAAAACTCAAACCTTTTCATGATATTCTTACTTGTTCAGATGCACTTGTATTGTCTCTTCTGTTGCAGATGGTGGAGCCACTGTTGGTCTGATATTTTAAAGGCATCAACTACTCAGACAAGAAAAGAACTACTTCTGTTTTGAGGTGAGTTTTATTGTCATCTCTACACTACAAACTCGTACATACAGCTAAAACAGTCTTAGAAATCGAATTCTGTTCTTAGCAGCTACATGAGGCTGTAATGAAGACAGTAAAGTCACTATAAGTTGAAGAGAAGTGGAAAAAATATATGGAACATGAGAAATACATCAGCACAAATCTGCAGATAGGAGTTTTAGGTACCACATGGGATTGACTAACACTGCCTTCAGAAAATACAATAAAAAATTAAGTTAATTTATCAAATAATAAAAAGCTATTGTTATATTTAAAGTTAAAACAGACAGAGAATGAAATAAAAGTGTTTTAAGGCCTTACTTTCATTCATTTGCCTACATTTGTACTTTGGTTGATTGATGCAGATATCAATTTGCGTTCTTGTTTTGTTTTCATACTTCTGTCAGCTTTAGTCAAAGTGATCAGTCAGCTCAGTGGTCATCTCTACAGAAACAGTGCAAAGCTACAGCTGGTTTTAGTGGTTTTAATGGAAAAGAAATGTCAAACGTTTGTGCCGAAACCTGCATGCTGCAATGTTTGTCCAGCAGGGGGAGCAGCTGTGCAACAAGTCTGTGAGCAGGCGTTACATTTGGATGCTGTGTGGCAGTGGTTTTCTATGAGCAACAAATAGAAAAGAATTTAAGTATGAGGGGGAAAAAATGTGACAGGGCCCATTTTTTTCCTTCAATATCATCAGTTCAATGTGTGTGTGTGCGGGTCTGCAACATGTATAAAGTGTGTTTTCAGAAATATGTGTGTTTTCTGTTGATGAGCAGGCAGAGTGAGGACAGAGAGGCTCCCAGTTTGGAGGCCTCGCTGCAGGCTGTAGGCAGGAGGGTGTAGTCCTGGAGCTTCTGGAAGGCCTGCAGAGATGACAAAGGAAACACCCTGCTCATTATCTCCGTCATCATCATCATCATCATCATTATCACGGTGAGGGAACACTTTGGATCCAGTCAATGGAAGAAGTAAGAGGTATTTAAAGAAGGAAATATTGTATCAGTGGAAATCATTGCAGCAGAACAGACGAAGCATCTTTCATTAAATCTCTTTGAGACTGTAAAATATGCTCCCAGTGTGCAGGCCTGCTGTCTTTATAAGTGGTATGGGAGGCAAAGCCTTTAGTTATCAGGGCCCTCTGATTTACCCATAGGAGGCAGACACCCTCTCTAATCTTAAAAGTAGCCTTAAAAGCTTATTCTTAGGCAGGACTTGACACTAACTTTTTTTCACAAGGAGGGCATGTGCTCCTAAGTTGAGAAAGTGAGGAGCGCACAAAGAAATTTAGGCGCACAATGAAGATTGATCGAATAATGTGTGTCTTATTGGTCGACATAAATACTTTTATTTGAAATCAATTTTAGGTCTTTTGGTCACATGACATGGAAGCTATTAAATAAAGTGTTCAAAATTTGCCTTTAAATTTAACATCAACATTTTTTAGATGACAAATTAGGAAAATAAAGAGGTGTGTCTTATCGTTCGACCTTAGTACTATTATCCGAAATCAATTTTAAGTCAATTGGTCATGTGACATGGAAGCTATTGAAGGAAAACAGGCTTTTCTGAGAACATCAACCGGTAATTTATTAACGGTCCCTTATTCAACACCCGACATTGAAAGCAAGGATGCCGAGTAGATTCAACCGCGCTGCTGCTGTTGTTGCTATTTCCGGGAGAGTGAGAAGACACCGGTCGAGCCACAATGAATGTCCGTTGAATATCCATCATAAAACTAACTTCACTGCGGTATTTACATGAAAAAACATTTGTTGCCTCGGCTGAATTTTTTTTAAGCGCACATGTGATCCTAAATACATCTTACAATTCGCACACATCTATTTTTAATTGCAAATGCGAGTGAAATGGTTGCACTGTCGAGCCCTGTTCTTAGGACAGGCTCAGGCTTGGACCAGCACATCCTGCTATAGGCTCAGGCTGCCGAGAGAATAGGCACCGTCTTTCTTGTTTGGTTTCTGATTGGAGACTTTTTTTAAAAAGTGCTTTGATAAAAAATGTTATGTTCATGTTATAGATGAAAAACAGTTAGAAATCAATGCTTTTTTGTTGTAATTTCACTCTAATATATGATGAGGTGTTATGGAAAACAATGCCTCCATTACCTAAGACAACAAATGAGTCCTTTGTGTGTATACGGTAAATATATTGGAACAGAATTATCCAGTATTTTCTCAGCTTTAACTCAAAATAGGAACTAAAATTAAGGATATTTTCACTTCCATAGTTTCCTCTTTGCACATCTTTCTTCAATATGCCTGTGAGCCTGTAAGCTTCACTGTAGCTGTGACTGTGTTTCCAAACAGCAGCCTGTAATAAAAGCCAGAGCCTGAGCTGCACTCACAGAGACGCTGTCAGGACATTCCTCTGTGGGCCGGTGGAGCAGGAAGTCCTGATTGGACGGGCCTCTGATGTAGACGCAGTTTGCTGCTGATTCTTCAGGAACAGTGAGGACTTCATAGTGGTGATCGGTCAGCTGTTCCATCATCTGGATGAAGCGCACACACGACACACGTCATGGCTATGACTGAGTAACACCCTAACACACACATGTATTTTAGACAACCACTCCCAGCATTACACGCTGACTCCAAGGCAACATTATTGCTGTTATTAAGATGACCTCAGCTGTATGGAAGCTTCAGTATGTGCAGTTCTTATGAGGACAGTGAGAAGGACAACACAAGCTGCATCAAAGATCACAAACTATGACTTTAAAATAATCAGAGTCAGTTCAAAACTTCAAAACAGGAGGCAACTTTCAGGATCTTCTTAAAATCTCCTTTTCTGACACATGGTAATGGGAGGAGAGGTTGTATATATCCATGTAAACCCCACATGCACACTCAAAGATAAGATGTAAACACACAGACGTACCCTCAGAGTCTTCTTGGCCCCGTCACTGTCGTTGATAATGATCGTGTCTGGACCCCCCATGGAGCAGATGTTCTTCAGCCGAGCTCCACCGCAGACCGGAACAGTGGACACAGCGAAGTCCTGGACAGATGGAGGCGTAAACGTTTAATCAACACTAACAGCATTCCTTATCTGGTTGAGCAGCAGTGGCCTGGAAAGCTTTTTCCACACAGCAGAGATTCTGTACTCACAACATAGAGTCGGACTTTTACCACATAAAGGAGCCTGCAGTGTGGATTCAGGGATCATAGGCAGTCATGCATTCGTCTAAATAACCTTCAAATACTGTGAGTGCTGCAAGGATTCATACAACTTCAGATACTCTGAAAGAGGCTCACACACAGCAGGTGAATCCTCCTACATAAGATCCTTTTAAGTTCTTTTTAGCCGCAGCACACTGAAATAGTTGCATGTCTTTTCTTGGACTCTAATATCCCGCCTTTACCATGTCCCTACAAACCTCAAAAATGAAACCATTTCACATCAAATATTCAGGAAAGAGGCTTTTGCTTCATCTTTGACTACCTGCTCTGGTGGACGAACCACTGCACCACCATTCTCTGACCACACGATCCCTCCAATGCATACTAATTCACACACAAGCACTTGCAAACACAAACACACACTTCACCCGAGTAGATGCAAGTGTAAGTGTGTGTGTTGAGAGAGGCACGAGTGTGTATGTTGCACTTAAGAGAAAGAAATCAATACTAATGGCTGTGTGGAGTCAGAGGGGGCCCTGCTGTGCGTTCTTCATTGTTTGGTCAATAAAACAGCCTCATTCATCACTGTTTACAGGCTGCAATCCCCCCAATGCAATACAGCAAAGTGCCACCTGCTCACTTTGGCAGCTGGGTCACTTCACTGACAAGCATCTTGGCACTTTGACTTTTTTTTTGTGGCCTGATTAAAAAAATCTAAGTATTGATTATTTTGTGGTTTATTAGTGTCAGCGCTTGTCTGAGACTCTTAATAACGCAACAATCAATAACTGCTAAAAAGAACCTTGCAGTGATTTAAAGGATGTAAGACTGATAGTACCTGAAGTCACTGCAACATCTCCTCTTAATGCTTCCTACCCTGAAAGTGTCTGCCAGTACTTCAGCCCCTCTGCGATTGGTGTGAGAGGAGAGGCCGACGAAAAACTCCCTCCCCGTGAAGAGGACGTCGCTGCCCTCCAGTGTGGCGCCTCCTGAGTCTGCTTCATTGGACCCCATCTCCACCACCGTCAGGTTGAGCTCTGACATCACCCTCCTCACTGCCTCCGCCTGGAGAGAAAGACACACAGTCACAAGACAGTTAAGTTAAACTCAACCATTTACAAGTGGCTACAGAGCAAGTATGAGCTTCCCCTGATAATCACGGTCTTAATAGCTCCAGAAAAACAAGGATAATATGATCTTACCCAATAAATCAGCCTTTTTATGGCCTTTTTAGACAGTGGACAAGTTTAAAATTCCTCCAAGGAACATCAGAAACATTTCTCTAAATAGGTCAATATCTTAGGAAGGATTTCAAGCTCGTCTCCAACAGGTTTATTTAATAAGAATAACAGAAATAGTTCCACCAACATTGAAAAACAAAAACTTTTACCATGATGACGAGTTTTCTCAAGATAATTCCTTTGTAACTCTTACACTGGGCCAGACAGCAAACCTGCCTCTAGGGCAGTGGTTCTCAACTGGTGGGTCCCGACCCAAAAGTGGGTCGTGGACACGTTCTGGATGGGTCACGATCAGCTGGTCAAAATAGTAAATAGTTGATGCAAAATTTATTAGATATTTGATGTTTTCTGTAGTTGTCGTCCTCATGTTGTCTCCATGTGCTCTGAAATGCACTTTACTCAATAAAAGAAGAGGTTTTATGTTGAAGATTAGAGTCTTTAAAAGTTTATTTTTAATATAAAAAATGAATTTTCTTGGTCTGAATTCTGTAAAAGTGGGTCGCGACGTAAAGACCATGGGAAAATGTGGGTCCCAGAGTGAGACCAGTTGAGAACCACCGGTCTAGGGTGAAAAACTGATCAACAGAGCCATTTGGGTCTCCACTGTGATACCTCACTGCGTCTCTGATGTTTGTAGGGTCTGGTGATGAGTGCTGTGTCTCCCTGGATGACGGCCACATCCTCTATCCTCCAGCTCTCCGGCAGCTCGGGGTCAGGGGGGATCTCGATCAGCTGCAGGCCTACTTTCTGCCTTAGAGCCCCTGTCAGGCACCCAAACTGACGCTGCGCTTTGGCCAGGTCCACAGATATGTCGCCGTTCTCTTGCCCATCTACCACCTCCGCTTTTCCAAAGGTCTCCGGGATGCCTCGCACCACGGCGTGGGTGAAGCTGCCATATCGGCAGATGTTTGCCATTTTTTAAATATCGACTGTCTACACCAAGAGGTAACCAAAACAGCTATGGATGAGTGTAATCATGTAAAAACAGCAGAAATCTAAATGAAGCTCAGTGAACGGAGTGGAGAGCCCAAGAGGAAGGAGTGGAGCATCTTATTTTCTGTCTCTCTGCTCCAAAGGTTAGTGCTCCATCGGCAGACATCAAGTGGAGGTGGTTCCTAAAGTAAGAAAAGGGACAAGATAATAAACTCACTTTGCACTCATTTTGTTAAAATCTAAACTCACTTTTTCATGCTTATCAAAAGTTCAAGGCCAGCTGAAATAACACAAAAAGAACCACAGCTGAAAGCACACAGAAGTTGCATTGTTCAAGGTAAAATTGCAAGATGCTGCAGAGCTTTTTTCTCTTTCTGGACAGTGGGTGAGATTTGGGACAATCACCCTTTTATCTCTGCTGTAGCTCAAAGGAGTCACCCACTGTGAGGCTGTGAAGAGGGACCTGGTTCCCCCTCCACACAGGATGTTTCCTAACTATGCTCCAGAAATAATGCAACAAGTGCTGAACTTTAGTACCAGTTTACTATGAGGCAGCATACATACTTACACAGAGACTTGTTTGCAGATTAAGTCTTGAAAATCTCAGATAAAAGAGATTAAAACTGGATGTTTTTGTGTTCATTGTAACCACCAAGGAATGAGTAGCAGTGTTTCCACTCAGTGTATAGTGAAAATCTTTGTTTAACTGATTTCTTTAGACTAAATAGTCCAAATTTATTATCTATAATTAAAGATTTACACCCCAACAAACAAACATGATGAGTGTAGAGAAGTAGGAGTGAACCGCCCAACAGCTCACTGGTCCTCCAAACTACATCTATGATGTCCCACATCCTTTTCACTGGAAAATAACGGTCACTAACCACTCCAAAAGTTGCGCAAATGACAAATTAAAACGTTTATTTGTTTCTGCTCACCTCTTTTTTGAAAGATTCGGAACTCTCTCGCTTCAGCTGCGTTTCCCTCGGTGTGATTTAATATCCCAAACCGACCCAGTTCCCGTTATTCACTCGCTCGCTTTTTCCCTCTGCCGACCAACGACACAATAAGCCAGCGGAAGTTAGTACCTTCGTTTCCGGTTGTGAATTCCAAACTAAGAGCATTCACTATGGCTGTGTCCGAAATGGATCCCTAACCCCTATATAGGTGACTATATGGGGGTTGGCGCCATTTTGAGGGGTGTCCCAAATCTGAGTGATCAATTCCGGTGCCCAATTAGGGGACTCAAAATTTCCCATAAAGCATTGCAAAATGTAGTCACCATTCAAGGGTCACGCACCGGTGGTGGGCATTCCGCCATGCATTGCGTCTTGCCATTAATCACTGAATCCCTAACCCCTAACCCCCATATGGGGTTTTACTATATAGTTGACTGGGTAGTGAACTTTGGACACTACATGGCAAGACCCAATGTATGACGGGATGCCAACCACCAGTGAGTGACCAGGTCTATTTTTAAAAGTTATTAGGGGGTTCGTGTTTTCTATGATTGACACTTGATACAGCCTATGGGGGTACAAGATTGTGTAGCTCACTGGGGGATTCGCTGTTTGAGCAGAGTCGTCACAGAGACTCTCGGCGACTCTCCCGCCGAATGCGCACAATGCTACTGCGCAATGTTGGTTTCAGGAAGTGGAAGAAAAATGCGGAATACCGAGAGCATTTCGGCTTCAAATCCGTATACTGGCGGTAGGTGGAACCAAGTTGTCCATAGTATGTACAGTCTATGGTCAATATCTAGAAACCACCGTGCTCTTATTTTGTAAAGCCAAGTCGTTAACTATCCGGTTATCTTCCCGCATTAATGAGAGTTTGACCAAGTCAGTCCACTCTTTCATCCCAGCACCCCCCATCCCCCACACGTCCTGTCTGGATTCAAAGTTGACTTCACCCCTGAAGTATAGTCACTGTTGTCAGGTCTTTACAATAAACATTTTTTTGTCATTAAAACATTTCACACTAGAAAATTGTATTTGAAGTTCAATAACAAAGACTGTCACTGAGCCATTCAGCCAGCATCCTCCTCAAACAAATCCCAAACCTGGCCTATTGTCCAGGATTAGATTACAGTTAGAGGTAACAGCTGGCTTCATGGTTATCTAGTTAGTTGTCATGGCAAAAGGCTCATCTTTGACCCAAATACTGTCATTAAAACTCAAAGGTAAAGTAAGTTTTTCAATACCTTTCGAAATCTTTACAATTTATCATAAAAACGACAGAATACTTGGATTAATTTGACCTCTTATATCCTATAAAAGTATAGACTGGAACAGACTTTTATGTTAGAAGAATTGAATTCGCTTTGGGACTTGGGGAAACAGCGTTATTTGATGTCCGTGTCAACTGAGTAACTTCGAAATACCAACTGTAAATGTCACGGGCAGTCATATAGATTGGTTTGATTTATCCACTTTTGGTTACATAATGGGAAATAGAGGTTTAAGTTTGGTCTAAATATTAGCCTTTCTCTGGATCCCAAATGTTATGTTCATACAAGAATAAAGTTTTTATCACAATATATAAAAACTACAAAGTACGCTGAATAATACCAACTTATTTTTGCTTTTAATTCTCATAATAGGCTTCAAAGTAGGGCTGTTTTCCATGACAACTTAACATTACATGAAGCTATAATGTTAAAAGTTGTTAGTTTGAGCTTTAAAATTACAGCTACTGGTCAGTTATTTGGTCTTACAGAGGCGTTTTTCAACTTTGTGAGCAAAAGCATTAAATCAGAGTAATAAACCGCAGTTTAATTTTGGATAACTTTTTCCCTCTCTGTAAAATCAACAATTTATGCCCCAAATTAAATCCCATCTGTGGCTCGCTTAAGCCAGACACCCTGTCCTTGTACTGGGACACTGATTTAATGATGGATTTAAATATTTCCATCAGGTTTGGATTAAGGGCTCAGTTTTTACCCCCTAATCCTGATGAATTGTTTATGTACTGTCAGCATAAGAGACGGGCCTTTGTGCTCATATCTACCTCTGTGGCAAAACTGAGACAGTCAGCAGGGAATTAAACACAGTCAATTAATTTCACATGGATACCAGTTATAGTCCCCTAATCTGTTCAAAATCACTATTATGAGACATTTTGTACTTAAATAAATATCTACTGTTGTCCGATTTTGGTTGTGAGGTATAAGAAAAAAATAATCTGTCTGTTCCTGAAATGTGGGTCAAATGATGATTATTGGAAAAACAGGTTGCCTTATCAGATGCTCTAAAGAGGGAATTTTACATAGCTGAAAGTTTGCAGGGGTGAGGTAAACATGCATTTACAGTAAAAACAAAACAGCTGCAACTATGTATGAAACAGCACAATATTCCCTTCTACTGACTGGATTGAGTTACTGCAGCCTGAGTTCCTCCTGCCTTTCGAGGACAAATAAAGAACGGCTGGAAATCTGCGTATATTTCTGCACACAGAGGGAAAAAAAACAGACTGTAAATGTGAGGTTGATGTTTTTGTAGAGTGATGGGGAGGATGGAGGATGGGAGGTAGAGGGCACAGACAGGATTAAAGAACGCCATCTGTCCACAGAGATCCTCCAGCCAGCACACAAAACATCCCAGTCGTATCAGCGGGTTTACCACACTGGCTCAGTCTGTCTCCTCTGTTCCTCTATAAAAGAGATTCACCAAACTTTTACTGTACGATCTGCAAAATGAAGATTATATTTGTAAAATTGCTTGATGAGTCTGCCAGAGTCACAAAATTAAAATGCCAAGCAAACAAGAAAAATTGTACAACTAATGAGCTTTGATACAAACTCTGTGATCCTCATCCAAGAAATAAGTTATCCCTCTGGGGCTCTTAGGACATGTTTGTACATTTTTAGTGATTTTTTTTTACCGCTCATTTGTTGATCATTTTGGCTGTGTTAATGCAAATGAGATTATTTTTTTCAGGGATTTATTTTTTTTTCTTTCCAAATTTTAAAACGTGACCACCCATTATCATATCAGGTCAATATTCACTGTGTGACAAAAACAGTCCTTTGATGGACAAAAAATGTCCATCTCCTAAAAGTGCTATAAAAATATTATACATCAATATCAATAACTATTTGATAGTTATGATGAGGACTGAAGTTGATTAAAAGATTTAAGCAAAAAAAGTGGAAAAAAATATTTATGTGTAATTTTTTTATAGCACTTTTAAGAGATGGACATTTTTGTCACTCTAAGAACCTAAACGTAACTTTTGTTGAAATCGGACAATACATCAAACATGATGATGCATCAAAATTAATGTTGTTCTTAATTATTGACACATCATAGACCTTGATGAGAAAAAAACTAAAAAATTCCTACCCATCATCTAATATATGGAAATTAACTCCAAATCTCTTTTAATACCATTAAAAATAATAGTGATACTATTTAGTCAAACTTGTATTTAAAGAGTTAAAATTCTGAAAATAAATTAATATTTGATAGAAGTAATCAGGAATGAAGTTGATTAAAAGATTTAAGGAAAAAAAGTGAATAAAAATATTAATGTATAATATTTTTATAACACTTTTAGGAGATGGATATTTTTGTCCACCTAAGGACCTAAAAGCATTTTTTAAGGACTCCTGAGGGTTAACACACCTCATTTCACTTCGCACGAAACTTCATATCATATTATAATACAGCCTATCATTCAGCCTGCTATTGTCAATTATATCAACAAATTAAGTATGATAGCCTGTTTGTCTGAACAAAGCAGAAGTTTTAGGCGATTTTGCTAAAGGGTTTGACTGTGTGAAATTAATGAACTGGTGAACTGCTTATTCAGCCTGAGCTAGCTTGGCTCACTCCATCACAAGACTGCTGTCAGCAGACCATCCTGCACGCTGCCCTCATGTCTCCCATTACGCCCTGAGGATAATGCAGTTAAACTCTCCAACTCACTGCCTCTCTGTCCCTCACATGCTGACTGTCTTTCTCTTTCTCTATCTCGAATGCTGACTCTTTCTACACTCTGCTGACTTAAAAGCTGGTTTTATTTTACTCTTGGCTTGTTGTTTTAGCGCCTTTTAGCTACTCCCTCAGCCATAGACTCAAGGACAAGGAATCAAATTCTCAAAGACCAATTAAACTCCTTAAAAATGTTATTTATGTTGTACATTGTCTGGCAATCTAACATACTCCCTTACTCTCTTCACTTTGCTTCTACCTGTCCTTTAACTATTTTCTGTTCTCATTGATTCATCCTTGAGTATGAAGTTGCTGCAAGGACAATCAATAGAATAAATTAAAAAACTCCAAGTTCATACCAGACTCAAAACGGGCTCATAGGCCATCTTGAACCATATCAGCTGTTTATCATTAACTCTCCAAATTGAATCAGGGAGGGACGCTGTCAAAGTAAGGTGGGTATACAAACCAGGTCCACTACAAATCATAGACTGGAAGAAGAAGACTGACTTAAAAACTAAAGGGTTCTGAGTACTATTACACTTGAAAGAGGCGAATATCATCGACGAATGAGTTGGGGGACGTATTCGATTAATCTGCATCAGTTAGTTTGAGAATTAGTTTGAAATTGATCAGGACTTTTTTACTCGGAGCGTCATGTCTCATTCACAAATTCTGATTGTGTTCCTGTGTTTTCTACCTTTGGCAGGTATGTAGACACACACATGAAACATTCAATCACTCTTTAATTTTTGAGCTACTGAATTTCAAGTTCTGAGGTGTGATGTTGAAGTTTGGACTATGGGTGCTTCATTTATTTCATAATTTAGAAGAACTTGTTTTTGGACTACAGTGACTATTTCAACCCAAACTGAAAGAACATTTTCAACTTCTTAATAGAGCTAAGTATGAACAAGAAAAGCAGCAGGCAAAGATGGGTGTGTGAAGCTTCTCCTTGTTATTTTGTCTTCTGATTTTCATACCAAAATCCAGTCAGAACCAGTACCTTAAACTGGAACAAATGTATCTTAAAATTGTATATATAAAACATAATTCTAGTATCGGAAAATTGAGGATTCTCATGTGTTTGAAGTTTGAGTATGTGGGACAACTTTAGATAACGTTTCTTTAAAATAGCACCATAAGGAAGTTAAATCAGCAGTATTTGTATGGTTATCTTAATATCATGAATTTAATTGATCATTTTGAATATGAGGGAACTATGTCTCTCTACTTTAGTGACATTTTGCATCTCTGTCTTTTTTGTGATATCTGACAGTCTCATCTTGTCATTTGTAAGGACACTGATACAATAACCAATTGTTGCTGCATTTCCTGGATATCTAATTAGTTTCTAAAACAAGAGAATGGATATAAATATTTTCCTGTTGTTTTGTTTTGTTTTTTTTCCCCCCTCAGCATCTTTGCAGTGTTACGCTTGTGTGTTCCCTGCCATCTCTCCTCTGGACTGCCTGAAGTTTCCTCAGGAGTGTCCGGCTGGGCAGCATTGTCTGTCAAGTACTGCCACGGGAAAACGGGGTGAGAAAGAAACAGAGCTCTCTCCTTCTCTCTCTTGTCTGTGTTTGGAAAAACGAGTTTATTTCTGTGTCTGTAGATGAGATTTTTTCCCAGAATCTGAGGCATGACGACAAATTGGCAGACAAATCCTCATTGTACACAACATTTTGATAAATGTTAGGCACAGTGTACTCTGTATTTATGCATGAAATAGTTTATGTAATTGTTAGGATAAACTGTGGATTTATATCTTTACATTCAGGCTGCGTCCATCACTTCTAAAGGTCAGTGTAGAAATGTAACCTCTTTCTGTGGTCACAGCTCCAGAACTATTTACCCTGTGAAAGCTCTATATCAGGCCTTTACTCAGAGGCAGGTTTGATGAGGTATTCAGATTATTTTGTCCAGGAAATAGAAAAAACTCTCAAATCAAGAACAAATAATGAAAAAACATCTGGATTAAGACTACAGCTCTGTGTATCTGAGTTATGGACATGAATCCATCTGAGGGGAAACATTTAAGCCTAATCCACCCTCGTCTCCACAGACATAATGACCAAATGAGACAAAAGAGAAAGTCAGACGATCGGGTCGCAGCATCATTTCTCTTCAGCCTGGTTGTCAGCTCTCTAATTCTTCTGATGCTGTCAAATTATCTCTAAAAATAGAAATATGGGCGGGGACAAACATTCTTGTTTGTGCAGAGGCTGAAATCCCGCCCTCTTTTTCTTGTTCTTTTTTTTGATAAGCACTTTAACCCCAACATGCTCGTCCATTTCTCAATATGAGTGTCAAGTGATTCCTTTTGTATCTACCACAAGACCCACATATCCTTCAACGTTACTCAACCTTTGCAAGCACACTTCAATAAAGACGTCTGATCTGATTTAAAGTCATGAGGCGAAATAGGAAGAGAGTCTAAAATTGAGTTTGTGGCGATAGGTAAAAGATGGTGCTGTTAAACAACATTTCAAATATATTCCTCACATTTCCAATCACATTAGATTATAGGTAAATGAGGGAGTTCTCACATTAGTAATGGTGGTTAAATCTGGGGAATCACACATGAGACAAGAAATCAAATTGTAAAAAAAGCCACAAAATTTGTCTAAAACATTGAAGTAATGGAGCACAATGACTTTGGTGAATAAATACAGTAAAGGCTTTTTTCAGACCATCATGTCCATGTAAAGTTATGCAACACAATCAAATATATCAGATAAAGATTAGGTGCAGGTTTGGAAATGTACAAGTTTTGTTTTCATTCCAAATCCGCTTCCTGAAATGTTTTAATAAAATCACCACAGAGGGAAAAATATGAGAACTATGAGACCTCTCCTTTCCTCATCACTGAGTAAACTCCTCTCTCTCTTCTCTCACAGGTGCCCTTACGATCTCAATGTATGAGAAGAGCTGTGCTGTTTCCTCTCAGTGCGGCGTGAGCGGACAGAAATACACCTCAGGCCTTTACTTCAACTACACCAACGAGTGCTGTGACACAGACCTGTGTAACGGAGCCGTGTCCACTGCTGCCCTCAGCTGGGGAAGAGTCGCTCTGTGTCTGCTGCCTGCGCTCGCTCTGCTGCTGGCCTGAACACCACAATGATGATGGAGAGGAAGTCTTAGGAAAAGAGGTGCTTTAACCGAACAGGGAATGTTATCCAGCAGCAACTAAAAAAATGAATCCCTGAATCCCTTTTTTCATACTTATCTGTTGTCCACTTAAATTGAGGCTTTCTGTTACGCCATATTGTCTTCACCAAGAGATAAAAAATGCTCAGTTTTAATGGAAATGTACATAATTAAATTGAGATTTGCTTCTGGGGACTTTTTGGTTTAAAAATGAGTTCAAAATTTCATTTACAACCCTTTGAAATCTCAACATAAGGTCTATTGAATTCTGAAGCTTTTAATCACATCACATGATTGTCATCTGTACAGAAGAATCATAGCAGACTTGTAGATAATTTTATTTCCTAACAATTTTAAAGCTCCTGTGAGGAGTTTTTCACTAGTTATGAAACAGAGTGACATGAATATTACCTAAAGAAACAAACAAGACCTACAAGAAAAAGACTGACTCACACATTTCTTCATACATGCCACAGTAAAGTTTCTCGATGAATGATACTTTCTTAAACTTCCTGAAAAATTCCCCACATTTACCACAGTGAGCTGCACGTGTGAACACAAACAGCTAATATTTCCATCCTGTCTTCACCCAGATGTTTCCTGCCAACCCTCCCTGGTATAGTTTCAGGGTAAAGTCTGGGTGAGCTCATGTGAGAAGGCAGCCAGAAATCTTCGGGTAAACCGATCCCCAACCACATCATCTAGTCAAATTAGCAGACCTATGAAAATTGTAATTTTGTGCCATTTAAGTTGCAATTACATGTTTTTAAAAGTTCAGTTTCAGTCAGACTCAGGCAATAAATGATTCATCTCTCCATTTTAAAAAAATTTAATGATGTCAATCACAGTGTATATTTCACACTATGTCCAGAGCTCATCTGACATTGAAATCTTCAAACTATAAGGGGACGTGTGTGAACAGATACATTGGGTAAATTTTAAGGCTCTGCAATTTCAGACAAATTTCTGAGGTTTGTGTTTGGAAACTGCCGACCGATTAAAAAGCAGGATTGTATGTTTTGTTTGAGAATTAATTATGGTACATATTCAGGACTAGATAGCAGCAGATACAACTTTGTCCACATGGGACGCCAACATCAGTGCTAACAAAAAAGTTCCCCACAGGACCTTTAATGAGATTTTTAACGGTTTAGGCCTGACCGTGAGTTCACTTTTGACCTCAGTGAATGTTGTATATGTGAGCTTTATTAAATAAGTAGAACATTATAAAAAAAACCCTAAGTCTTGCAGTTCAGAAAGTCCAAAAGTCGAGTTGTGAGATTTATTACTGAAATCCAGATGGGGATTATGGGATTGAACAAAAAGCACCAACAAGTTCTGAGGAAAGAGAACGAATCTCTGAGTTTAAGACCAACTTTCCAAAGACAACATGGGTGAGAAATGCCAAAAAAAGTCACATTTTAGCTCAGAAATATACAAGAATGGATACAAAATCAAAAATTACTCAAAGTATTAAAAAGAGTTAATTTTTTTCCAGATAATGTCCTCAGTTTTGCTAATATGCTTTTTTTAACCATTATTGACAAGTTTTGCATCATTGTCTGACACTGATTATTTGTAATTTTGTTTAGTTTCATTAAGCAGCTAAAAAGTTCAATAAAAACACACCTGTGAGTGATTTATTATGACGCTTCTTTTATTAGAATATTAATACATGTGTCTTTGTAAGAGTTTCAAGGTACAAAATACATTTCAGCTGTGCTATTAGTTTGATTGTCTTCATATTTGATGTAAATCTACTGCATACAGTGTCCACAAGCCTAGTTTGATGTTGTGGACTTTTTAAGTGTGACCGCATTTGACTACATGGCAGACAGCATAACAAACAAGCAGAAAAATACACATTATAAAAAAGGCTAAAATATTTTGGGGAAATGTAAGCCTGAAGAAACCAATGTGAAAGTTATAGTATGGGTCCCAAAACAAAGAGAGTACATGACGAGAATAACATAAAAAAATGTTAAAATTGTGAAGTTAAAAACAAAATATGAATATAAGTAAATTAATATGAATATTACATGTTAAAAGTCCCTGAAATTGTATGAAATCCTACGGTCAAAAGTGAAAAACTCTCCCACATTTGTAGAGAAGAAATATACCAAAACTGAAATTATTCAGACACAATCCCTTTAAACATCTGTGCATTTGAGAAAAAAAACAAAACAGATCAAATCTGCAGCAAAACAGTCAAGTGGAATCAACAGTGTGTTATCTTTTAGATCAACACTTCTGCTAACAATCCTATCGAGGAGGGATTTCATGCATACTTCCAATTGTGTAAAAAATAATTGTGGTCGTGCTGCATGTCTTAACATAGTCAACGATTTTGTACAACATTGTCTTTTTCGATCAGTGTTAATTGCACTTAGGTGTCATTTCGTTTCAAAGATCAAAATCCTGTTTTAAGAGACAGGACATAAACTACCTAAAGCTCGGAAAACAAGAGAAGCTTTTTGTGGAACCTGCTGCAGAAACAGAGTTGGGAGAGTAAATACATTTATCTTCATTTAGACGTGTCAAAAAGTTCTGGAAACAGTCAGAGCCCAATTCTGCAATTTTAAGTCACCCCAACAAGAACTTCAGCAAACTTTTACATGAAAGGTGAGGGACTGCAAAAGTTCAGGGTTATTAATGAACATATAAAAAATCTGAATCAGGGAGAAATCTACGTTTTTCTTTCCATGAAGAGACCAACAATGTTTAAGTTTAACCGGTCTATCAATCAGCTGATATTTTCAGATCAATACTGGGTCGTTACAGATTACAGTTATATCAGCACAGGCACATATTTTCCAAAATGTGTTGATATGAAACCCCCTTTTTTTCAAATTACATAAGAAACAACACATTTGTCAAGTACAATGTGCTCCAACTCAGCTGTATAAATATTGGTGTTAAATCGTACTGTACGACATGTTGAACACAGGCACTGGGGGTCTTTCTTAAATTCCTCCCCTCTTCTGCAGCTCATACCCACTGGAGCATAAAACATTTATTAATCTGCAGCTGGAAAAGTTCCAGAAAATACCATGAACTCCTGCTGATATCTCTAATGGAGCTGGGTTGGTTCAGATTGAGTAGCAAAGTGATGAATTGCTGGTTTTGGTATTTGTTGACAAAAAGAGAAAATTTTAAGAGTTTATGAAAGACTGAAAACTAAAATTAGTGAGTGCTTCTTTTCATTTTAGAAATAGTGCATGGTTATATTTCACTTCCTATTTCGCCCCATGTGACAGGACGAGCCACGTGCAACGAAATCAGCCTTCCCTGTAGCCGCTGAGAAGACAACACCCTCCTACCTTTTTGATCTACAGCAACTATAACACACTAACAACCTGTTATCTTTCTTTTATGCCACTAATAATAATCCTTCACAAGTGGCGGACAGAATCAAACTACATTTTGGAAACGGGCCCCCTTGAACGGATCAACAACAAGCTCTGTAATCTTGAATAATCCGTCACGCCTGAAAAGGGGAAGCCCAGGTCTATTGAAACAGTTTCCTGTTGCTGTGACTGTTTGCTGCCTCCCGCTCTGAAGACGTTTAGCTTCTTAATAGGTTGAAAAAAACAACTATCCTAAAGTGTTAAAGGCTTGTTCCCTCTGCACTGAAATGACAAAGTTATTCTCGAAGCATCCGAACCACTAAAGACACTTTGGCAGGTGAGCTGGAGCTGCTGTGCATGTATCTGATCGGACCCCAAAAAAGAAAAAAAAAGAACAAAAAACTCTTGTTTTGATACCACAAATGTCACCGAGGGGACTCAGCTCATGTGAGGGTTGCGCGGTTCTAATCCAAGTTTGATCTGGTTGGCAGTTTTAAGAGTGAGACCTGTACAGTGAGCCTGCAAGCAGCATGATCCAGACTTCATGACTGTCCTTGAGCTCTCGTAAGCTGAACAAATTTAGACACAGCCGACTTTTTTTGTGTGCACATTTTTATGTCACCTTATCTGACTCTTGTGTTCCTGAAGTTAACTAATCCACACTGTGAACAAAAAGCTTCTTTATCAGAGGGAAATCTTAACCCGGAGTGTAACGTTTGTTCGTGGTAAAAAGTTGCAAAATTCAAAGCTGTAGTAGAGAAGTAACGGTTAAATGAAGCCTTGTGGGGAGGAGATCGGCCATGCTGCTTGCAGGTTGAGCACTTGATGTGTGCAGGTGTGTAAAAGTGTGTGTGTTCTTGTGCTTTTGTTTGTTTGTCCTGTTTTGTCCTCCTACTTGAGAGCTTTCGCAACAGACGAATACGCCATGTGGATCTCCTCGTCGATCGGGCAGGTGGAGGAGAACTCCTCCCTGGCGTACGCTGCATTCAGGTACCTCCACAGGTTCGTCAGAGACTGAGGGATGCTGAAGTTCCTGTACTTTAAACACACCACCTGGAAGGAGCGACAGAACAAGGACGCGATCATCCCTGATTAAGACAAAAAAGTGGATTTACTTTCCTTTTGTGCTGCACAGCTTGAATCCGAAGATTACCTTCGAGATGTGGAGCTTAGGCAACAAGTTGCAGTCAGCCAGAGTCAGATCTGGGCCGTCCAGGAAGGGGCGGGACGAGGAAGTGACGTCATCTGCGCTATTCTCGTCGATCTCGTCAGGAAGTGGGGAGCCGAGGTAGTCATCGAGCTTTTTCAGAGCCTTCAGCAGGCCTTTCTCTAGATCTGAGCGCAGAGAAAATAAAGATGACAGTGTGTATAAGTTTAAAGACGGGTCTTCTTCCCCTGAGAGCAAATACACGTCTACTCTTCAGTTAATTTCTTTTCAGAGAAGAAGCAGAGGAAACAAAAAAAGCTGTTTTTGCCCAACAATAGTGACATTTCCAATCAAATCACCTTAAACTCTGAGCAGCAGGTGACCTGAAAATCCCTGAGTGAAGTTATTAACGCTGACGCTTCCTGCTGTTTGTCCATCAGACACACACAAATGCATCTATACTCCCATTAGAGCCTCAAAACCTTCAAAATATGGTATATTCCTCTTTTTTAAACGACATGTAGACTTACTCTCATTGTTCTGAGGGATTGAGTTCTTGATGTAGGCAGAGAATTTGGAGAAAACATCCATGCCTGCTGTGTTGGACTCAGGGTTACGAGCAGCCAGACGTGGATACCTGAAGAAAAAGACACATTGAGGACACATTACAGCCTGCAGTATGTGAGTATTTTCTCATCAACACAGAAAACAGTAGAAGAAAAAACTATTTTCTTCCCGTAGAAGAAAAGAGGAAGGACTTTTTGGACAAACAGATGGAGGTGGAGATTACTTTGGGGGGCAGAGGTTTTCCTCCAGGAACTCCTCGATCTTGTTGGTGTCTGTTTTCACCTCGCTGCCGTACAACAGGAAGGGAGGCTGAGCACCTGGTGCCAGGTCCTTCAAGATGTCCGGCTTCCTGAAATAAAATTATAATCAGGGGAAGAAAAAAAAAGAGGCAGAAGGTTTAACAGAATAAGTCAGGAGAAAAACAAAAAGGAAAATAGAAACACAGGATATTACTAATGCCTGCAGCTAAACTAGAGGAGGGTTAGTTTTCGACTCTGAATGTCTGACTGAGATGTTCCTTCACTGCACGGTAAATTTAGACACATTCAAACAGAGGGCAGGCTCTTCCTTTTGTGCTTGGATAAACCTGCAGCACATGTGTGAGGCTCTCACCTCTTCATATCCACTGTGGTCACGTCAAACGTGACTCCTTTCAGCCACAGCACCATGAAGAGACGCTGGGAGAACGGGCAGTTTCCGATACTTTGACCATCGCTGCCCGCCTGGAATACAAACACAGAGAAAACGAACAGCATGTTATTTTCCTTCACTTCTCTCCCTACATGCTTGTGTTGTGGTAAAGTTACACTTGTTTTGTCATTTGCTGTTTGTTTTTGGATCTTGGATGATGTTTTTGGTCGGAGGAAGCAAAAAATAAGGTGATGAAGTGGAAAAAAACATGTGCACCAGGAGTTTTCAGGTCACTACAAGCTGCAGAGTCAGCACAAAATATTACCACCACACACCCAGCGTCAACCTTTGACACACAAGAAAACTGGCTCATTTACTAGCGAAGAAAAACTGTAAAAATGAGCAAACTCTAAGGGATTCAACCACATGTTTTTCTGCCCTGAAGGAGAAACATCAACCCTGTCAGCAACACATGAAATCTATATGGTTTCATAAAGTCTGAAAAGTGACTCATGCAACTTTTAGACGCAATCTGCAACAGCTTCACTCTTAAGTCTCAAGCAATTTTAAACTTTTTGATTGTGCATCTGCAACCAGAACTATTGCAACACTGATTATCCTGCAAAATATTAATATACAACCGCTTATTAATCAGAGTTTCTTAAAGTTAAGCTTTTTATTGTGCCCTTCATGCCAAAAAATACAATATTATTGTTTGGTTTTGCACAGAACAGATTCCTAATAGCATCTAAGCTGAACCAAGTTATCATCAAGCATGACTTCAGTTATTCATGTTCTGTCAATCTACCTGAAATTGTTCCAGCTCTTTTACATGACAGCTAAGCTCAACATCCAGAGGATTTAACCAAACACAAGGTTTAAGACACCAACTCTGGCTGAGGTCCAGTTGCCTTTAGGGGTTTAACTCCGAACAACCTGACCTGGATAACTGAGGGACCTGCACAGATACACCAAGATTATCTTTCTCATAACCGTTTCTCTACATCATATCAAGTCGAACTGCTTTGACACAACTTTATTTAATAATATGATATAAAACAATTAGATAGTAACAATTTTCCCTGTTCCAGCGTGTCATTTTATCTTGATATTATAACACTGTCATCAGAGTTATCACTATTTTTGGCCCGTTGGTTCGGACAAACAAGGGATTTAAAGACTTAATTCACATGTGCCTTAAACAATTAATCTGGAACATTTTCTACTACAGGTTAATCCACATTAGAAATAAGAGTAAGCCACCGCCATGAAAGCAGCACATTTCAGTCTAACACTTTAAGTAGGGTCTGTAGGTAAGTCAGGAAATGATCATATAGCTTTACAATGTTCCCTGTGTGGCTGCAGGAAGCCGTATTTTCTGCCCGGTCAGTCTGTAAATCTGCGCCTTGACATAAACTCTCAAAACGCTGACTTTATGTCACTATTATTATGCTTTTCTTCTGTGTCCTGCTGGTTACTGGAGTCAAGTGTCAGTGAAGAGGGCTGACTATTGAAACCAGAGTTTAGGGAAGTCACAATTGCATCTTTCAGTTTTGAAAAAAAGGGGAAAAAAAGTTGAGGGTGGCGCACATGTTCATACAGAGGAATCATTATGGAGGCTTGTGTAAGAGCATGAAGGAGGCAGAGAAAGCCATATTGGTTATATTAGAGCATGTTTGGCTCAAAGTAAATGGGATTAGCCAGCCTGGCCAACATACTAAATATAGATTAAAGGACGCCTGCCCCTTTATCTTGACGTGCATTTAATTAGATTAGTCTTACTGTCATTTATAAGGCAGGTGAGTCAGCTAATGACATGAATACTATTAACACAAAATGTGATTTAAAACAACCAAGTGAATTAATACTCTGTGAGATGTTTGGGCAGCGTGTAACACTGTTTAACACTTGTAGTAGTGACAGGGTGTTGAGTTACACACACACACACACATATATAGTAGTAACACCGTTAAATAAATGTGTGTCACATCATGTCGCCGTCAGCGCGTCACATTATGGGTGTGATGGATTTATTTGCTCCCCATTCAATCGCTTACCTTCACGAAAAGTTCAACTTTGGGCTGATTCGCGTCGCTCATCTTCACCTGTTGATGCAGGAGACCTTTTAAAGAAAACAAACACATATTTTATCGAGTTAAAGTAGGAGAAAAGCTGAAAAGATGCAGTTTTGAGGCGAGAAAGGAGTTCGAAACTCGGGCAGCCAAGCCCATCTTCCGCTACAAATCCCCGCGACCCAAACGATGAATTGGAGATTAAAGCGGCGACACGGTCGATGGAAACGTCAAAGAAAGCAAACTTTAGCTCGTTAATAGTCACATTTTTGAAACTTGGTGTGTGTTTTAGGTATAAACAGAGCCTTACCTCACGGTGCTGAGAGTTGTCGCTGAAGTATGTAGCTGCCTGCTGCTGGTTTCTCCTCCCAGGTCTGCTGCTGCAGCGACACTCATCACCCGCTCAGCAGCTCCTCCATTTCCTGGTGCTGCTGCGTGACGACCTGAGCTCTCAGCAAATAACTGAAGCGCCACAGCAGCAAAGCTTTGAAGTCCCAGCAGGCCGGGGTGACTTACAGGGTGAGGAGGAGCAGGTCAAGAGCATAATGGTTTACAAATGAAAAGACACACCCAAAAAAAACCCCAATGATTTTAATCACGATTTTTAAATATGTTTAACCAAATTCAGGCGTGTATCGCGATGTATGGAAGCCCAAAGAGTAAAAAAAAAAAAAAATCATCAAGTCTTAATAAAATAATTACTTACGAGAATAAAGTCGTACTAAAATCATTACTTATGAGAGTAAAGTCGTATAAAAATCATGTCTTATGGGAATAAAGTCGTAATAAAATAATTATTTATGAGAATAAAGTCGTGATATAGTTATTACTTACAAGAATAAAGTCCAAAAAAAATAAATTAATTGTGTACAAGCATAAAGTCATAATAAAGTTATATTCACTGGAATAAAGTTGTATTAAAATCATAACTTATTCATGAGAATAAAGTCGTGATGAAATCATTACTTATTCACAAATATAAAATCGTAATAAAGTTATTACTGATGAGAAAAAAGTTATTACTTACGGTAATAAAGTCGTAAAAAATCATTACAAGAATAAAGTTGTAATAAATTTACTACCTATTTACAAGTATAAAGTTGTAATAAAGTTATTACTAACAAGAATAAAGTCGTAAAAAAATCATTATGAAACTTGTGATAATGTGCTGGTGTGCCTAAAGATTAAGTATCTCCTTGTTTAAGAAACCTATATTGAAGTACATTTTCACAAAATGCTCCATGGCTCTCGTTTCAACAACTATCATCTTAAACAACAGGTTAGAATATTAGGACTTTATTCTCAAAAGTAATGATGTAATTACAACTTTATTCTCACAAGTGATGATGTAATTACAACTTAATTCTCACAAGTAATTATTTAATTGCAACTTTACTCTCTTAAGTAATGATTGTATTATGACTTAATTCTCATAAGTAATTACTTTATTCTCGTAAATTAATGACTTTAATGTCAAAGTCTTAAAAGTTTTTTTCTTAATGTGGCCCTAATACTACGTTGTAAGATAAAACTGGTTATAGTTATAGTTAAAAAGTTATACCAATGAGAGAAAGACTCACTTTTTATTTCTAAAATTGTTCAGATTTAAAATAAAAAGTATAAATTTAAAGAAGGACATTGCTTGGCTAATTGTGAAATCAACACTGACACATGTGAGATAAAAGTCGATATTTTGAGTGAAAGATAAAACAAATCTAACTTTAAATTTTTATTGGATTAAAAAGCTTCAACTGCTGTCTAAAGCTCGCAATAATGTTGTTAAAGGATGATTATACTTGATACAACACAAAATTATTAGGTTTACAATGCTGAAACTGTGAAATGCACCCAAAAAGTCACAATTATGAGCAAGAATGGCAACACTATTATAAACAGTTTAAATCATAAATGAAAAAGCAACTGTACCATACAATGTTGACAACAATAGGCCTACATAACATAACATGTAAAAATGTGTACATCTTAACTTTACTGGATTATAGAAACTGTGATACTGAAAACAAAATGTACATCAATCTTTTGTTCTGTTTATCACAGTACATTGTGTTCTGCTGAACCATGAGTGGCCAGTAGAGGGGGTATAAGCTTCATTTTACTTATTTCTCTTACACGGTGATAAAACTAGAGAAGTGTGATCATAGAGCTCTTATTAAATACAGCTTTTATTGAATTAAAAACAGTTTTTGCTCATATTTTGATATTTAAACAACTTTTTCTGGTGAGGATTTTGTTTAGTTTTTGGATGCTGTAATGACCAAATCTGGGCAGTTCATAGAGAAACTCTGTCTTAAAATCTTTTTTCTTTGTTTATAATGACCAGTCATATATAATTTTGCACATTTAAATGTAAAATAAGAAATCCTGCAGAGATTTTGTAACCCGCCTGGTGTTGCTGTCATGGTGCAGCAGAGGGCGTCCTTGGTGCTGGATTGTTCTCAGGTGGAGCAGTGACAGGTTTAATCAGATCACGGGGTTGTTTGTGGACACAACAATAGGACACTGTCATCTGTGTTTGGCAAGTGTTGACAACATGCCACTGTACAAACTGTTCCAACAAACCAAGCCCTCATTATCAAGTGTTAACAAACCTGCTGTGCACTCCTTTTATTTTGGCATTCAAGAGATTCAATGCTCAGCTCACGAATACTTCATCAGGGCTGAGATTTGTCTCGGGTCACTGAGTTTAACCTCCCTCTGGTTAAAGATAGTTTTTTAATGCCCTCTTAGGCAATTTTTGTCCGTTTTAAAACAAGAGGTGTCTAATTCCATTCACTTGTACACTTTCAGTCTAAAATATCATTGGGACACTGGGAAATATGTTGATAAAAACTGACCAGTTTGGCAGCAGGACTCTTCTACTACAGAGCCATGCTGTTGTTCTTAGTACATAATGTGGCTTTGCATCGTCTTGCTGAAATATGCAATGACGTCCTTGGTCTTGATAGCAACAAAATTTGCTTCAAAACCTGTTCATGTTGTTTTGCATGACTGGTACTTTCCCAGGTCTGTAGACTTGTCATGCAGTGGGTGCCTCTGCATCCTCATACCATCATGAAAGCTGGCTTTTTAACTGTGAGCTGATGAAATCTGGAATAGTCCCTCTTCTCATTAGAGCCAAGACACTGCGTACATAAATGTAGGACATGTTGTACTTCCCCGCGGTCTAGCACAAATAAATTTTGGCCTGGAGGAGCATGATTACACATGCTTTCTTTTTCCACACTTAATCTTAACCTGCATTTGTGGAAGCAGCAATAGATTTCAAAATAATGGTTTTAGGAGGTGATTTTGTGTCTCACTTCAGAGTCATGTCTGTTTTTTTCTTTGAATGACATTTTCAGGCTGTTTTAGGAGAGACATGCAGGAAGGAACCACAATTTGAGGCAAAACTTTGGTACAGAGGGCACACACTTATGCTGCTAGGCCTGCAGTTTTAAACACAGAGGTTCTTAAAGGGATATTCTGGCGTGAAATTAATTTAGGGTCAAACACACCGTAACACCGAGTTAGATATCCCCTCGAGAGATCAATATTGCCAACCGCTTGCTTCTCTAGTTATACCAACTTTAGTAACGACCGCACAATAGCAATACACAGCCGTCTGAGGAGCCACACGGTGAACTAAAACGCCACTTTATATCCACAAATAATGCTCAGAACAGCGCCTAACTTCATCAACAGTACATATAGGGTCCAAGGAATCAAATATCTTTTTAACTTTGCCTAATTTCTTTTGCAAACAGACTAAACACAACTCACCTACTCTCTTCCAGCAGCCGCTTGTTTGTAGCTAGACCTCGACCAGTCCATTACAGACTGCTGCGGGGTGACACAGCTCAAGGAAGAACATTTATGATCATTTCTTTATCATTTCCTTGAAGTAACAATCACCATATTAATCACTGTGCACTGCAGACGTGGTAGTTCTTCTGCCTTAGCACTCCTGATAGCATTTCCATGAAGAAATGATCATAAATGTTCTTCCTTAAACTGCATCACCCCTCTGTAGGGATAGGGATAGGGATATTCCTATCCCTATGCCGGAATATCCCTTTAAGATCATGACCACCTGCTTCTTGGCTTTTCCTTTTTTGTAGAGATTTCTCCAGATTCTTCAAATATTCCTAAAAACTCTTAAAACATGATCTCAGTGTCTTTTTTTGTGAGCTATGATCCTGAAAGTGCAGTCAGTAACAATAAAACAAGGAAAACAACACATCGTTATGATTGTTTTAATCAAGCCTCATGATATCTTAACCTTTATTATCAAAATGATTGAATTTTCTGACTGAGTGCAAAAAAATGTCTTTTGTAAACCCCTTTAATCATTAAGGAACTACAACTCCCATGTTCCCCACAGAGATGACAGTATCCCAGCACAGAGAATAACAGTCAGAGAGAGCTGCACAGAAGAGGCTCCATTACACAGGTCTGTTGTACAGCACTTGAAACTGCTGGTGTAGCCCGCTCCCAGGATGTTACCGGTCAGTGTCTTCCCACAGAGGTCAGAGTCCAAACAGCCACGGGTGTGAAGGGCGAGTGAACCTGTCGCATTGAACTCTGAGAGGATGGAACACAAAAAGTGTGTGAAATAATCTGATGGATGCTCAGTGTGAGAATTTAACAGTAGTTAAACTGCACTTTTTTTTGGCACAGGGCAATCTAAACTCCATATGCATGAAGATGGATTAAAAAGACAAACATAAAACTACAAAAAGAGAAAAGAAAAGAAGTAATCACACAACATTAGTTCATTAAAGAGCTTTTCTTACGTGCGTCACCACTATAACAGCTCTCAGTAGCGTTGTTACATGTGATGTCACTTCCAAAGAAACAAGCCCCAAATACACCGAGAGGACACTGTCGACACTGCAGACATTGTGCTGTCCAGAAGAGACAAAAATATTCATCAATTAGAGGTACAGTAAGGAAAAACATTCAGTAACATGGTTCGAGGGTTTAAAAGACTTCAAGATGTTACTGCAGCCTCTGGTGTGGTATGACCTCTAAAAAGATAAAAAGATTGATTCACATGTCGGGCACATGATTTTCATCTCAGGAGTCCTAACACATGTGATATTCATGTGATTTTTACCCCAGCTATCAACAGGATTAAACTTCTTAATTGACATGTAAGAGTGTAGTAATCTTCTCTTTAGAGAAATCAAAGCAATAATCAGCTGACCTTTGGAGTACCCCAAGGCACTATTCTGAGCCTTCTGAAGTATTTGTCCCAAGCTGAGTTAAATACTGGATTCAACAACGACCTATTCTTAACAACTTAATCAATTCAGATCAGAGAAGTTCAGACGGATTTCACCTTTACCTGTTGACACTGTAGCACAAATGAACATGAAGTGGGCTTTTCTAGTGTGTTTTGATTAAAATGTTTGGGGATAAGGACCTGATTTAGATACAGCAGTAGTTTTGAGCCTTTTTCATGTTTCTTTTTTGCCACATCGTCAACAGGCAGAGGTGAAATGTGTTGGAGCTGCTCCTTTAGATCACAAGGTCGTCCATAACTTCTCTTTTCTGCTGCTATTGTTGTGGGATTTCAACCAATCAGAGGCAAATATCATTGTCAGTATTAAGAATATTGAATACAGTGATTTATTTTGGACTTTTATTTTGAAAGTATGTTTTCTGAAAGTCATACTATTCCTACAAATCTTATTTTATTGCTTTGCAGTGCAGACTTGTCAGCCAGTTGAGGCAAATTGTAAAGTAGACGCCTTGAGGCTACAGATGACAAACAGAAGAAGAGTTATGGGGTTTTTGAAAAGCAGAATTTCATTTAAATTACACAAATTATGCTCTTCTTTTCATTTTCTTCTTCATAAATTCAAGAAGAATTGATCAGCTTTATTTTAGGCATGTCTTTACAACCTTTTAAAACAGGTAAGGCTCACTTTTATTTCTTTTTTTTTGTCAAAATCTCATATGTCAAAATATCTCATATGTCATTCTTCATTTTAAGGGAAACAATATATTCATCTGCAGCAGTTAGCCTTGAACTAAACGCATGAATTTGACTGAATGCCATTTATCTGCCGCTGAGTAAAATCCTGTGAGATTTATTCATTAACATCAGCTGATACAGCCACCCCCAATCCAAGCACACCATTGAATTTAAGTCTACTCATTAACTCTCTGACATTTAAAGATGTTATTTCCCACTTACCTGCAGCGATGAATGCACTCAGGACGATCACTCCCCTCCAAAAGCTGCTCATTTTCATTGAAGTCTTGACGTCTGTGAATCCCTATTTCTTAAAACACACGCTTCAAAATTTACAGCACCTGTCTCCAACAAGTTAGCGTCCAAGAAAGAACACAAGACTCGTGGGTTTGACTCGTTGAGAAGGCAGAGTACAAGAATGAGGTTTATCAGGTTTTGTGTGCCATTAAGTAAGAGGAAGAGGTTTTTGCTGGAAAACTTTCACAACCTTAGGGGAAATAACAGAAGTCTGAGAAGTTTGAGTGTGGCTGAACTTTTTTTATTTCATCCTTACACTGATACACCAATCTATAAAAACTCTTAAACAGGTGCAGACATCAGAGTATAACGATATATCACAATTAAGGTAATTGTGTTCTGCATTCAAAGACAACACCCCTGTGATAGATCTGTTTTAAAAACTCTTGGCACTCCAAATGGACACAAGGGCTGCACCCAAAGCGGCTGTGAGAGGGAGCTGCACAGACGTGGCTCCATTACAGCAGTCAGTCATGCAGCAGGTCCTGGTGATCGTGAACCCCACAGTCAGGAGGCTCCCTGTTTCATTTAGGCTGCAGAAGGTTGAGTTCATACAGCCTCGAGTCTCCCAGCTCATGAGTCTGCTGCTGTTGAGTTCTGAAAAGTGATAGAGAGAGATGAGCAGTGTACATTTTAGACTTTTTAACTGAGAAAACAGCTGATTTTACTGTCTGCAATTGACCCCTTTTGTCATTTGTGGAGGAGGTACTGAACAAAAAGAAGAAACACCTGAATGTCCTGCATTATACATCACTGAAATAAAACAACATGAAGATACTAGTAAAAAAAATCCTGGGTGACACTTTACTTGATGCCTATCTCTAACACATTATAAATATATATATAATCCGTTATAATCACGTAAAAGCACTGTATAACAATAGTTATAAACACTCATAAATGTTTACAATGCTTTATAGCAATAATCATAACAGATTATAAAGCATTTTATCATGATTTACACGGTCAGGTATTATAATGTGTTATGCTTAAGCCTTATGATAATTAATGAGTGTTTATAATGATAGTTATTCAAGTTTATAAGCAAATTATAACATATAAATAAATGTATGATGCATTATCAATGTGGGCGATGTCAGTGAGCTGTTAACAGTTATAACACATTATAATACCTGACCTTGTAAGTCATGATAAAATGCTTTATAACGTGTTATGATTATTGTTATAAAGGATTATGATCATTTATGAGTGTTTATAACTATAGTTATACAGTGTTATAACGTGATTATAACGCATTATGAATATATGTGTAATGCGTTATAGAGATAAGCGTCAAGT